GAGTGATTCTCGGAGATCGATTATATCTCCGTCCATTGATCCTGCGCGTCACTTCGTTCATGCAGCAGATATTCAGCATCATTCCTTTGTACGTAGACGATTGGAAGGTCTGTCGGTATCGAAGAGGTCGACGTTGTCGGCAACGCCAGAACCATGAGGCAATAAATCGACGTTCGACAGTGTAGAGCGAATCTCCTGAAGCTTGCTCTTTGGTCCCGGCCAACATGGGTGAGTCTCGCAGTCAGTAGCTTTGACACGGATCCTGATGTACATCAGAGCCAAATATTTTAAGAGGTGAGCGCCTTTCTGGCGTGTATGTCCATCAAAAGCCAGCTCATCGATCGTCTAGGCCTCAATGACAAGCTGTAAGAGCTCATCTGCTCGCTATTTACTATTACTGACAAGATGTAAAGATATGATCGCCGCAAGGCGGCGGCTGTCGAGCTGGAAACGTGAGTATGCAATGTGGATCCTGTAATCATTGTCTGACTGACATAAATTCAAGACTTGTTCTGGCCTCTGACATGACCAAGATCTCCACCATCGTTGGACAGCTTTGTGGCATGTTCACGTCGACGAGTGCTGCCTTGCATTCCAGGAATGGAGGTGCGTACCAGTTGATATCTAAACTTCACAGGAACTGATCAGCCGGCCACTCAGGACTGATTGGACTTGCTGCTACGGCCATTGCTCTGGGACAGGATTTTGCGCCCTTCCTGGAGAAAATAATCCCGCCAATCTTGACTTGCTTTCAAGATCCTGAAAGTCGATTGAGGTATCATGCGTGCGAGAGCTTGTATAACATGTGAGTAAAACTTGAGAAGATGAGACTGATCTTTTGTCAGCGCCAAGGTCAGCAAGGGAGAAATTCTGGTTTATTTCAATGAGATCTTCGACGCACTAAGCAAAGTGAGCCCGTCATTGTTCATTGTGCTTAATACTCACACCCTTCAGCTCTCTTCTGATTCAGAGGCGTCGGTGAAGAATGGCGCAGAGCTGCTAGACAGATTGATGAAAGACATTGTGGCGGAGTCCGCGCCGACTTACATCTCCATATATCCACCAAATGGACGCTCTAAGCACACGCCCAAAGCCCAGTCACCATCTTCTGCAAGATTCGTGCATTCCAGCGAAGATCGAGGACCGGCCAACGGAGAAGATGTTGAAGATCCTGAGTACGACCCTAGAGCATTTTCTCTCGCCAGATTTATCCCTCTTCTCTCAGAGAGAGTGTACGTCATATCGCCGTACACCAGGATGCACCTGGTCTCTTGGCTTATAGTCCTGGATTCAATCCCTGACCTCGAGCTGGTCGCTTGGCTGCCTGAATTCTTGGACGGATTGTTGTGAGTCAGCAGACCAATCATTAGATCCACACACTGACGTTTTCGCAGAAAGTACCTCGCCGATGGCAACGTCGATGTGCGGCTCGCCACTGAAAACGTCCTTGCGGAATTCCTCCGCGAAATCAAGTACATTGCCCAAGTGCAAGAGAAGCAATCCGAAGCCGAGAGGCAAAAGAGAGAAACGGAAGCGGCGTCACAGCATCGCCGACATCGAGATGCAGAGAAAGACTCCATGAATGATCGCGATGAAGCCGTCGCAGATGACGATGAGGAGGACGGAGGCGAGAGTGACACCATTGATGGACACGGGCATAATTCCGAGCAGGCGGAGGAGGAAACGGAGGCAAGGCATAATTCAGTTGGGGAGGGTTCTGGTGCTTGGGTTCCGGGACAAGGCGTCTTCGTGGACCACGCTGCCATCATGGATATCATGATACAGCATCTTTCATATCCTGGTGAGTTCCAGCTGCCGCGGGCCAGGACTGACATGCGAAGATGAGCTGGTCCAGTCTACTGCGATGGAATGGATCCTGACCTTCTTGGAATTTGCTCAGAATACTGTTGTGGCTTTTACGCCTCGAATCATTCCTGCAATCCTGCCGAATCTGGCGTCACCGAGGTGAGATTGTTTTGTCTTCGGCGATGCGAGATACTGTCTGACACGTATTTCATAGTCGGCACATAAAGCTGGCGGCCCATGAGACGAACAGCAGTCTGTATCGTGTAATTCAGTCTCTTCCGCTTCAGGCACTCCAGCCGATCCCTCCCGCCACCAGCAGCACCGCTACCAATCAAAATGTCCCACTCAACTCTGGAAATGTCCCTGTACCCAATGCCTCGGCAATCATTCCCCACGCAGGCTCGCCCCCGGCATCACTGCCATCCGTAGCTCCATCTCCAGCAGGTCCTGCACTGCGACGAGACACTTCAGCATCCATTTCGGAGCCATTGGATTCGACGAAAGACAGCACGCCAGTAAGTGACCCGCTCGAGGTGTCCAATTCTCAAGCCGGCCCTGGAACCATACGTCATTCGATCTCGAGCTCTAGCAACAATATCACCACTTCGTCTAGTGCGTCCAATGTCTCAGCACTGCGAATCAAGCCTAGTCCAGCTGCTGCTGGAGTGACCGCATCGGAGCCCGTAACACCAGCTACTGCCGAATTTCCCAGCTCGCTTAAAACAGCGCGGATTCCGGATACTCAGCAGAGTATACAGTCAAATCCGCCGGTGTCTCCGACAGCAGAGACAATCCTAGATGACGATCCCTTCGATGTTAGAGAGACAGTCAATGTTTTGACTCTGCAATTTCTCAGTGACCATGCCGAGACCAGGATTGCAGCGTTGGAGTGGCTGTTGATGCTTCACCTCAAGGCACCGAACAAGGTGGGTAGCCTCATAGACGTGCGGAGTAGCTGATACCGCACTGCAGATCCTTTCGAGGGACAGCGGAACCTTTCCAGCCTTGCTCAAGACACTATCCGATCCGTCTGAGGATGTCAGTCAATTTTAAATCGCTCGAATGCGAGGCTGACCTGCGTCTACAGGTTGTCAAGCACGATCTCCAACTGCTGGCTCAGATTTCCGCATCGTCGGAGGATTTCTACTTCATGAGCTTCATGAAAAATGTCCTGGAGCTGTTCAGCACAGACAGAAGACTACTCGAATCAAGAGGCAGCCTCATCATTCGCCAATTATGTCTACACCTGAATGCTGAGAGGATCTTCCGAACCATCGCCGAAATCCTCGAAAAGGACGACGTATGTGTTCGCAGTGAGTCTTCCAGCTGATAATCCAAGGACCTCGAATTTGCAAGCATGATGGTGGTCAAACTCAACATGATTCTTATCACTTCGCCCGAGCTGGCTGACTTCAGGCGACGCTTAAAACATCTGGACTCGAAGGTAAAGCCACGCTGAACCCGTCGGTCCCGCTGACTCCTCTCAGGACGGCCAAATGTTATTTTCATCGTTATATCGATCGTGGTGTCACAATCCTGTTGCAGTATTTGCACTCTGCTTGCTAGCGCAAGCGTATGAGCACGCTGCGAATCTCCTGCAGATCTTGTGAGCTATTCTTCCCCTAAGGCATGTCTCACCGACCCAGTGCCGATCTCGAACTCACAGTCTCACTCCTCGTCCAAATCGACAAGCTTGTGATGCTGATTGAGAGTCCAGTCTTCACGAGTGAGCTATTTCATTGGTCATTTCTCCTCAGCTGACAACGCTGTCAGATCTTCGCCTGCAACTGCTAGAACCTGACAAATATCCGTACCTGTCAAAATGTCTCTACGGACTACTCATGATACTGCCGCAAAGCTCGGCTTTCGTCTCTTTGCGCGCACGTCTCTCAATCGTACACTCCTCGGGATACCAGCCATCTCCGGCCAAGAGGTGGGCATCGTGGCAATTCGATTCGCTGATGTGCGACAGCGTATCAACCACATCTAATGTCGTTGCTGCGGCTCGGTCCAAATTCACCAAAGACGAGATCAAATGGCAGGAATTGCTGTCTCGTAAGGACATATCAAGGTCATGTCGAAGAGGCGCTGACATTCCACAGATTTCCGGTCGGTACAAGCGAGGCACGAGAAAGCCCGAAGACAGCTGCACTCTGTCGAGATGGGAACACTTGGCTCGGTGCACTATTCCTCTCCGTCTCAGACATTCATATCAGCGCCTTCGACAGCAGCGGTCGGATCGTCGAGTCAGATACCGAAGATGGCGACAGTACGAAAGAAAGGAGCTGGTCCAATGACACCGGGTCCTTCCACTTCTGGTCTTTCAGGTCCACGGAGTTCGTCCGGATTATCGAGTTTGAATCCTCGACGCGGTGGAGCCATGTCATCGACTGGATTGAGTTCTGGAACGAATGGCACAAGCGAACGCATCTCAGGAGAGCGAGAGCGAGATCGAGATCGAGCTTCTGATCGGGACAGAGCTCTCATGAGTCCTGGGGTCAGCATTGGTGGAGCAGTGGCAAGCATGAACAGCTCACAGGGTCTCGGTACACTTAGATCAGTGAGCCCGACTGGAGGACGAAGGAGATTATTAGGCGGACTGAGAAAAGGGCAAGCTGGAGGGGCTGGGGCATCTTGATGGAAATGGCATGATATGTCATGCATGACTTCAGCCATCTTGCTACAGTATGTGTGCTAATAAGTACTCCGCGGGCGCGAGGGTCGCGAATACACGTGTTTTCGCTTAAATGCCATTGCCGATTGACCGTTGATAGCGAGCGAGCTATTTTTGCTTGATAGTCAATAACATTACCTGCCAATACCAAGGTCGAAACAGTCATGGTGCTACTGCCGCGTCAGTCTCGGCTCCCCGCTTGCAAGGGTCGAGCGTTCTCGACATCCTCCTACAATCAGAATTCCGTTCCATTACTCATTTCTCCAAAGCAGCTGAAAGAGCTACCTAAGGTGGGTTCTGGGAGCCCGAGGATATTCAACAAGCACTTCATGTCTGACCCAGGATGACTGGGCCCTCGGTCGTGGCATACCGTACACTGTCAGCTAATCCTTCGCTTAGAACTCCACGATCCCACTTGATGTCTCTTGGCATATGCCCAACAATCCCAGATCAGCACTTGCAGATTACCTGGCCGGACCAAGGATACCAAACGCGAGACGATGGGACCTAGACGAAGTGGCCGAACTGGATCCTCGGAAAAATCCTCTGAGTTTGACTCACATGTTGCCATCCAAGGAACTCTTTGCGGAAGCTTGCGGTGGGGTCGAGCTCTGACACGCACCGTCATGTCCGGCTCATTCTAGTCACACAGGGAAACGAGGTATCTCACGCGATACTCATGTGGTCATTTACGATACCCTCGGAATCTTCTCTTCTCCTCGCGGTCTATTCACTTTCAAAGGTAAGCCGAATCTCAATGAAGTTCGGGATGCAAAGGACTGCCTGAACTGCGAGGCAGGGCTGACTTTGAACGCGCTCAGCCTTCGGACACGAAAATGTGTCAGTTCTGGACGGGGGACTGCCGCGCTGGATAGCGGAAGGAAATGATGTCGAGCTGGGGGATGTGCCAAATCACGGCGAGGTCGAGTACACGGGTGCTACGGAGCCAGAGCCAGGATTTGTTCGAGGTGAGTCGGAGACGCCACGCCAAGTGGACCGCTTGCTACCCAGCGCACCCAGCATACGACGAAGTGGTGAAAAATGCTCAGAAGCCAAGTTCGGACCCATCTTCGAAGCCCCTACTGGATCATCGTCCGACCCCCAGGCAAGTAGGACTCGGCTCGCCAGCATGCTAGTGCTGATGCGTCCGACTCAGGTGGGAAGGATCCGCCCCTGAACCCAGACCAGGTCTTCCATCAGGACATATTCCGAATTCTAGATCTACACCATTCAGCTCCTACCTTGTTCCAATGTCCGACAAGAGACCATACACATCGTACCGTCCGGTTGAAGAGCTCAGGAGCGTACTCGTAGACGGCGTCGGCGGCACAGAATCATGGGAGAAGTTGAAGAGTGGGGATGGCGAAATCATCTTCTCCTGTGGCAGTGGCATGACAGCTGGGATCGGATGGTTGGCAATGGAGATGGTAAAGCACGAATCCGGCGAGCAGATCAGAGGATCATTGTATGATGAGGTGAGCCAATTGAGGGACCTTTGCCGGCGAGTGGCATGCTGAAGTCCACTTCCAGAGCTGGACTGGCTACGCCGTGAGGCCGGAATCTGCGATTGCGACCAACAAGGGTTCAAGGGCTTCGAACTGACAGAAAGCGGGGCGTCAGTTGCTGTAGACCAGGAACGAATACACAGTGATAGCTCGACGTTGAGAGTGGAGATGGCAGGTATCTTGAAGCATCGCATGAGAGATGCGTCGGAATGGGCTGTTGATTGATGATGAAACCCCCGGCTCGAGTAGCCCATCGCATTGCAGGTCCTTGGCAGTGATTAGCACTGCGCTCTCTCGTACGGTGACAAATTTAGACGATGCATAACTCTGTACTGTCATACACAGAAGGCAAGGGGGCCGCTAGAAATGCCCGACCCCTTGCAAGCAAGTCAGGCGTATACATAGACATAGTTACCGAAAGCCGCCTCGCAAAGATTTGCCACGAATGTTGTTCTCCAGCTTCCTTACTATACCAATTCGACATTTGCAGCTCTTAGGTCTCACACACTTCAAATGACGTGATGGCTCTCCCCAGAATTCGGTCAAGGTTACATACTTGAGAGGGCCGCTTCCCAGGACGCACATTCCCACGGAAAAAATGGGTTCCAAGTCGACCGGACCACCGTTAATCATCACGCCGAATCTCTTCGGGACTGTCGAGCCAGCAGTCTATAGATCCGCCAGTCCAACAGCAGCTCAGGTGAGAGCGTGAGAATGGCTATAGGTTCTCCCACCTGATGTCGATTTAGGTCCCTTTCCTCGCCAGCTTGTCCCTGAAGACAATCATCTCCTTGACCGCCGAACACCCTATCAAGCCCCTCTTACAATTCGTCAAAGCGTCAAACGTCAACTTCGTGTGTACCATTCTCATCTCACTGAATAGACGAATAACATATCGCAGGTTCATCTCGGTGTCAGCCTTTGGTTCCCACTGACTGATTGGAAGCCTATCCGAGATGAAGTTGTCAAAGCTGCGTTGGAGATGATACTGGACACGAGAAATCATCCGATCCTCCTTATTGACCCGTACGTCGATCATAAGTCTTGGGCGAGGAATGTCAATGAGCTGATCTAGAATGTCTGCAGATTCGGCATCCATCAAGTGGGTTGTGTAGTCGGAGCTTTGCGACAGATGCAAGGATGGAATTTTGCTTCTATCCGCTTAGAAGTGAGTTTGTATCCAAATATGCAACAGCGGCGTCAGACTGATCACGCGAGATTAGTATCGCACTTTCTCTGGACCGACAAAGTATCGTTATGCCGATGAGCAGTATATAGAGGTGAGTTGAGGCCGAGAGGCTCTCCAGCGGGACTGTCAGCTGATGTCCCTGCTCCCGAAATCATAGCTATTCGACCCTGATCTTATCAACTTACCACCATTTGAGCGATTGCCTCAATGGTTCGTCCCGCAGTATACGGCGCAGAGCATAGAGCTGTGATACCGCCGACCGCATTAGACCCTCACAATGGCCGGGAGTCGCCTTCGTTTCGCCTTCGTTTCGCCTTCATGTGCTGTATGTCATTTGGAATGTTGTACATGAGAGTAGAGTTATAGACATCGGATCAATGCTATCGGAGTTTAGCGGGTTGTCGAGGCATTGTAGCCCGATCGCTATGCCCGTTACTCTTGACCTCCAGCCCATCCGACCGACGCTCCGTTCCTGTTCCGCGAACTCATTGCCGTCCCTCGCCCATCCCTCTTTCTACCTCCCGAATCCGCCAGTCGCCTGAGCGTTCTGACCCATGGTCTGCATCCTCTCCCCGACAACCTTGTTGACTTCGAAAAACTTGGCCGTACATCTATCTATGCAGACTGATTCTCCTTTGAGGAGGTCGCCTTCGTTGTATCGGTGCTTCATGGGGTCTGGTTGGATACATTTCGCGTGGCAAGAGTTGACCAAACGGTTGCTAGAGCGATTTTAGCACTCTTACCTCAAATCGCAAGAGACTGCAGACTCACAAGACATCCGTCAGCATCTCGACTTCAGCCACAGCCATTTCGATCTTGGCGGGATCGACAGCTCCCGCATCTTGCTCTGAGACGGAATGGTCAGCTGCCAGTACTTGACAAGAGGATAGGAGCCCGAGGTTTCAAGAGTGTGCTTGACAGATGTGCATCTCCCACTTACTAGCACCTCCTCCAAGAAAGAAGGACATATCCAATCGTCTCTAAAGACTGCAATCTTCCGATGATCTTGTGTGAGTCTGCCCTGACGAGAAAGTGAACAGGTCTGCAGAGATATATCATGACTTCGGTCCAGGTGATCGTAATTGAAGACTTTTCTACCAGAAAATCACGTGGCACTTCATATTGCTACATATACATGGATATGCATCTTTGTCCACGCATTTCCCTCTTCACTCTGTCATGTTCCTCGTCGAGCGTAGCGGGTCCTCGGCGTCCGCTGCGGATCGTCGCAACAATGCATCATCTCGTCCGGATCTAAAAAGTGTTGCGATAATCGTCCTAAATAGCAGCCATGACCAATTTCGCGGCTTCCTCCTTTTCAGCACGCACTGCCAATTCTAAGGTCACTCCGGATCCAGGTGCAAATGTCATCCGACACCTGGCCAGGACTTTACCTCCACCGCCGGACAACATTCCAGACATGTTAAGCGTGTGGACCGAGTTCGAAGTCGGTGATTCAGTACCACCCAATGGCTCCATACCAAGGACTTCAATGAGCGATTTGCAGGCATCTACAAGTGAATGAGTCAGCAAGATTCAAATTGAACGAGCTCAGACCCACCTTTAAGTGATTCTGAAGAGGACAGAGCAAAAGTTTCGGTGACACTGCTTGCACTGGCCAGCTTGTCCCATTCATTGGCGAATGTGACATAGGTTGGAATGATGTACTAAGGATAGTCAGCCACGATGATTTTGCCCCGCGTGTCGGATTCACATCTGCTGCGCCCAGGTCACAATCCTCCACCTGATATTCATCCTGATATCCCTCTTCTTCCGGTTCACCACTGGTCGGATCGACCTCCTTGCTGACGAACCGCAAAGTACATCCAAAGCTTCCTCCGGCGTACGCAGCGGGGTCATCCCTCGTGAAAGAGACATAGACCTGGCCAGATCCCCTCGCTGAATTGAGAGAATCGATGGGGATGATAAAGTCCTCTGTTAATCCTGTCTCTGGTCCAGGTACCATGAGCACAGTCACCTCGTCCAACACAGTATCGGGTATCGTATTTGACACATTGAACTGGAACACGACATGTTCCTTGAAGACGTGCTTGACGAGCGACACGACGTATTCCGTCTCTGACTCTGTGAGCTGTATGGGTCTTGGCGATGATTTGAGGATTGGACCGTAGGATGACAGCTCGGGAACAGCGGCAATTTGAGCAGAGTAGGACGATTGGGTCTCAGCCGCGGATACCGGGGCCGGTGAAGGCTCGGCAGTCTTGGAAGAAGACGCGATTGATTCGAGCGCGGATGGCCGCGAAGATGCAGCTTCTGCCGAGGCTTGCTCGCGAGAGATCTTCGGGATCGAGGAAATCTCAAAGGCAGTCGAGTGACGGCCGTTATCTTTGACGTATGATTCCAACTCGCTCTCGAGGGTCGCAAGGGAGAACGTCGCCTCTGTGGAAAGTGTGAGTGAGAAATACACTAAGAGGACATTGAACACACCTTCCCGAACAAAGGCATCCGCCAGTGACTGCTCGTCCAGAACTTTGAGATACATCGCCGCCCTGTCCCGCACTTCATCGTCCACATCCTCAAGGCAACGTCGCAGCAGAACGTGCACGCTCTTCATAACTTTCGAATCGTTGACACAGACGCCGAACTTGGCGAGCGAAGACACCGCTGCGGCACGGACGACCGCATTTTCCAGAACGACGCGATTGTAGATGTACCGAATGTATTTTGTCGGGTGAGACGTCTTAGGCCCCTCCAGTCCGAGGAGATGAAGGATTCGGACGGACAGCTTGGTGAATTCGCAGTCCTCGATGAATTCGCACAAGTGAGCCAAAGCTGCGGTTAAATGAGCGCCACTTTGAGGGAGAGATCACACGACTCACCGGTCTCACGGCAATCCTTGATGTACTTGATCATGTCAAAGATTGCCTCGACGACAGACTGCTTGAACTCATATCCGCCTTCGTCTCGTAAGACTCCGGACAAAAAGGTGAGCATGACGGCTTGCTTGGCGGGAAATTTGAGGCAAAGCGAGCGGATGGCGTCGACAACGATGATCTTGAACTCGTCGGTGATGTCGGACATGAAAGATGAGATCTGCTTCATCAGTCGGTCCACAGATGCCTCGTTACCGGTCTACAGCGGCGTTAGCGACTGGTTCTCCCCTGAAAATGACTGACCTTGAGCAGAGTCGTGATAGCATAGGTAGCAATAGACCTGTTCGAATCGGTGATCAAATTCTCCATATCCAAGTTGCAAGTAGTGACAGCCGCTGGTTGGGTCATGGCGAGTTTATTGAGTGTCTTGATAGCAGCGAATTTGAGAACGGGTTTGGGAGAGGCGAGGAACAGTTGTAGGACTGCATATGTGATCAGCAACAGTTGCAACAATAGGTCGCTCACCGGAGACAGGTCGGAACAGCTCAGTGACAGTCACATTTCGCATCTCGCAGATCGCTCTGGCAGCTTCAATGTTGACCATATCCGACTTGTGCCTCAACAGTCCTTCAAGATACTCGTGCATTTGCTTCTGGACACTTCAAGGGGATGAGCGTGATCTTGCGGGAAGATCATATCTGACTTACTTAGGGTCCTCATCCATGACCTTCCTTGCAAACCTGATCAACATGCAGACGGCCATTGGGTTCCTGACGACCGAACTGCCCTTTCCTCCCGCTCCAAGCTGTTGGACCATCTTCGTGATGGCCATTCTATCCTTCTCTCTCATCAAGTAAAGCAAGCCCAAAGCGTGATATTGCATGATGTAGCTCGAGCTGGCGACAGCTTGGAATCCAGCCGAGCTGCCTCCTCCAAGGTATCCACCGGCGTTGGCGTAACCTCCTCCTGACGAGACGGCTTTCGCATTGACAGCTTCCTGTGCTTCGTTCGCCCATCTCTTGATGATAGCGGGGGAAATGTTGAAGAGATGATAGGATGAGACGAGGGAGGCTGAGGAGATGGAGGAGGACTTATCGACCAAGGCGGATTTGAAGAATCTCTCGACGGATTGCACAGATTGAGCCTGCAGCAAGTATCAGCTAGTCCTCCCGCCAGCACAGCGTGTCTCACATCAATGATTCTGGCCAAAGCTCGGATAGCATTCGGACGGTAAATGACCTCTAGGTTTGGTTGCATGTCCTTCATGATGGATGAAGTAACCATGATAACGTCTTCCGCGATTGTCGAGAGCTCCTTAACCACAAGGTATACCATCTGTCGTAGCGCCGCCTATCTCCTCATCAGCATGCGGTAGCTCAACATGCCAAGCATCCCGCTCACATCTTTGTGTTGAAAGAGCTTTGTTACACCGAAGAACAAGGTAGTAGCCTCTTGCGTGGAGAATGTTTCTCCTGCATACAAGAGGTAGACGATTCTCGTCAACAACGCTCGACATTTGCGTGGTGAGATTGGAGACTCGTTGAATACTCGAGCCTCTTGAATGACAGTCGTCTTGTCATTGTAAAAGGCTGGAAGGCATCAGCTACGTTGAGGAGATACAGACTATACTCACATATCCCTCCGAGCTCCTCGTCCTTCTTGAATGACATATTGGACGTGTGTGCTTGTAGGAGAGATCACGTTGATCCTCTGAGTGCCGCACAGTTGAGCTATACCTGCTTGGTTGCCCAGCCCTAGGTGGTGTTCGACAAGTTTGACACGAGGTATGCTAGCTGATCCCTATATGTGACGCGAGGGAGCGGTGGGTTAAGCCCCTAGCTATTGAGCCAGAAATGCCACGCTGTCCGGGATATTGTCAAATGTGGCACATTTTGATTCCGTTCACTCCCACCGCGGCTCGAGGCACCGCTCCTAGAGTAGACACCAGACTAGCGAATGCTATACGGTGTCCCGGGGGTCAACAACTCATGAGTCGGGGCGGCGGATATAACACTAGAGATCATGCATTTCCGACCATACACGAGCAGCTCATTCAATGATGAGCTAGACGACGTGGAATTAATCAGAGCAGAGATCTTTCGGTGTCGCGTCGGAGACTCGGCCCCTCGCTTGGACGTCTCAGGGGGGTCAAAAGAGACCGAGATCAGATAAGACGTTATATTGAACCCTCTTTTCTGGGCATAGCGGCAGGGCAGGTCAAGAAGGCCAAGACTACCTTGAGAGGACCTCAGCCTCGGAGGGACAAAAATCAGCGCATGCGGGCGGCAGCAGCATCGTATCGTTTGCGGATCTTGCTCGCTTCTCTGGCACCTATTCGGCCTGGACCTGTCTGAGCTTGGACGTCCCGCCGAGCTACAGGACTATCTAGTCCCGGACCATCTGCTCAGCTTCCCTTCCACCAAAGTCATCCTGCTCAACATGACTCTCCGATGGACAGCCCTCCTTATCTGTCTACCCCTCGCCGTCGCGTCCTGTATAACTAACTCGTCATCTACAGCTCAGCTGCAAGCTTTGCTGCAGGAAGGAGGAGAGGGCTACAAGCTAGAGCTGTGTCGGAACCAGATCTACAGTCTTACAGATGTGCTCAGTTATACAGCTGCTGGTCAGGTGTGTACAGAGCGGTCGTCACGTTCTCAGATGCTCAATCCTGACTCTGCTCGCAGGAGATATCTACCGAGAAATATCCCAAAGACGAGTCTCGAGCGACACTCAAAGTCGCGGGGTTCAACGTGACCTGTGCAGTCAAAGCGACAGCAAATGGTCTCGATGGGATAGCATTACGCAACGTTCAGGTATGGTCATCTGGAGACTTCTGACCACACACTGAGATCATATGGCAGATTGACGGAAATCGCGGTAATGAACCGATATATACTGCTCCGCAGGCCAACATCGAATTCGGAGGTATGAATTCTGGCCAACTTATCGAATACGTCAGGTCGTACGACCCAAGAGGGTGGTCATGTATGCACATGTCAGCTAAGAATTCCGGGCCTCTGGGTAACGGTAGCAGCTGATGCTCCGCAGTGCCGAAGGACCATTCACTTGCCGAGGTGCAACCATTCAATACAACGATATTGGCCCTTGTGGGTCCGAAGCTTTTCAGCAGGTCAGTCAGGCTTACAACTCTGGTTCCGCATACTTAAGTCAGTCACAGTGGGCCGACGGGATCAGTCTGTCCTGCCAGGAGAGTCTGGTCCAGGGGAACACGATCGTCGACGCCACGGATGGAGGTCAGCTCCAAGGTCTTGCTTGCTTGATCTGTTCACAAGGGCTGATGAAAGACTACCAAGGTATCGTCATCTTTGGAGCGCCAGATTCTGTCATCCGCGACAACCTGATTCATGTCAAGACTGTGAATACGGGCATTCGCCCAGAGACTTCGAGCTGACCTGATCTGCTTTCAGAGAACACTGCTTGGAGGTATCAACAGTGAGCAATAAAACGGTCTCGGCCCTGAATACGTCGCTCATCTTTGACCGTACTAGTGGTCGACGTCCTCCCATGGCGTCCAGAAGGCAATTTCTCCAACGTCTTAGTGGAGAACAACCACATAAGTGGTGGATTTGCGACTGATGTGAGTTGCCCTATATCCCGATAAGGAGTATTCATGATGCACCCGGATAGATCGGAAACGATACGATGGGAATGAATAATGCCAGCGCAATCATCAAAATCGGTATCGTGAGTGGTCCACCAGGCCCTCTTTCCTTGTGAGAGCCCAGGTTGAGCTGATTGATAGGGAATCGGCCCTCAAGTCTGGTGGTCCGAGTAAGTCATATCCCCAAATGCGACGCAGCTGTTGGCTTACCTCGACTTCAGTGGCCGATATGGACGGAACCAGACGACCGGGGCTACTATCCAGGGCAATCAATTCTCAGGAGCCTTTGCATTCGCCATGGTCAGTTCGTCTTCATCCACAGAAATAGGGTTTACTGAGGTACCCCGTAATCTAGGCTATCTCTGGCGCTCGAGACGATGTCATCCGGGACAACTCCTTCGTAGGCAACGTTTCATTTGTAAGTCCATCTAAGCCTCTACATTGTACCCCTCCAGCTTGTGAACTCATGCTATTCGACCAGATTGGATCCTACGGTCCGAATTGCACGGTCGGTGGAGAAACGCCCAATAGCCCCGTACCTTTATTGGAAGACCCGTCACTCACGACCAATTTGGATATCTCCGTACCTTCCCCAGCATCTTCTATACTCAGTATGGCACCTGGCTCCGGAGCTTTCCAAACTGGCCGCGCTTTAGGGTTGACGTGTTTCATGCCTCCCGCTTCCGATTCCGTTTCGTGGCCGTACGGTGGAGGTCAAGTGAATGCTCAGCCTACAAAGAGCGGAGGTATGTCTGAGGGTAGGCATGATGTGGACAGTGGCTGATGACCTCACAGGCGCCGGTCTGCTCATTCAGCCAACATTGTTTGGGCTCTGCTTCACGGTTGCCGTAGCTGTGCTTTTCACTTCCGTTGGGGGCCGCCTGTAGCATTGTATCCTAGACACCTCTTTATTCTGCGACTACGAACTTCTTCTCAACGCACTCCCCAGCATCGGTATCTTCAGCTTCTCCACTAGCAATCTTAGACTTTCGAGATTTTGTCATAGACATCATTTGTAGATTCGCTTTCTGTGATATCGCATAGCACACGTTCGTAAACCATGCATCCTTGCCTGTCATCACAATTATGTTCCGTAAAGAGATCAGAGCTCGTAGTCGGTGTCCCAGTCTCGAGAATACAACATATACACCTCATGACGCCGGCGGATTTGCCTCAGTCTGCAGTTTGCGGTGCGAAAGACAATGTAGCTCTAATGACACGATCAGTATTGCCCTCCCCCAAATGACCCCAGGCTCACTGATTTCGAACAGGGTCGTCCAGTCGAATCTGCTTGTTGCCTGGTCCATCACATTTGACACCGTGCAAATCCTATCGAAGATCAGTATGGGAGGATTGAAATGCCAGGAGGCAGCTCACTAAAGGAGTGATCAAAATAAATTGCTTGCCTTGAGATTCTTTCGCGCCTTCGACCTGACACACGCGCTTCAGGATTGCTGTACTGTGCCCTTCTCGTCACTCACCAGCATCTTTGCAGCGACTCCTCGGTTCCCTGCGTCCAGGAAGACATCCCATTCGTCGAGACATCTAATGGGACATGACGCTGTATCCCAAAGCGACAGAAGGAGTGATACTGTGGAGAATGATCGTTCACCTCCAGAGAGATTCTTGGGGACCTTGAAACGAGCCTCCTCAGCTCCACCGGCATCGCGCTTCTTGGTAATGCCAGTCGTTTGAATCTTGAGTGTCGTCAGTGTCCGCGTGATCTTTTCCGATTCCTCGCTCACTCTGACACCCAGCTTCTTCTTTTTGTGCTCGAACAGTAGTTTACCCTCGAGATTGCGCTTGTGCAGATTGACAATGAAGAGAGTTCGGGCTCGGATGGCGATTGAGTTTCTCTGCAACTCCCACCATCTCATCCTAGTGCGGAACATCTGCTTGACTTGCTGGCACAATCGTTAGATACCATAGCCTCCTTGAGCAGACACTCACATTGGCCACGCTGCGGAAGTTTGCCAACTGTCTTTTCAGTTCTGCGAGCTCGTCTTTCGCCTTCTGATATCTGGGCATGATCTCTTCAAGGGAAACGCCTTGCCTGAGAACATATGAGCCTCAATGATTTCGATCTCGAAGCTCGTCTGACTCACCGTTTTTCAGCCTCGATTCGTGCCTTCTCGGTGGCCTCCTTTTCCTTCTTGATCTGTTCGATTGTCCGCCTGGAATTAACTCGATCTCCTTCGATTCGCTGAGCCTGCACCTCCCAGTCCTGCATTACTAGTCAGCTATACCCTGCATGGGATCTTAGACACTCAGCTCACTTTCAGCTCTGCTGCTGCGCGATCCCGATCATCTTCTCTTTCTTGTAGCCTGGTTCTGAAATTCGCGTGACTCTCTCGATGCTGTCTCATCTCGTTTCGAGCTTTGGTCTGAGCTTCTTTGACAATGTTCACCGCATCTTGTCGCTTCTGAGTTTCAGGAATGAATTCGGCGATCTGTCTGCCCAGATCTTCGAACTCATTGCTCAACTTCTGAATTGTCTCTTCGTATCCTGGAAGGTCCGCCTGGAATGACTTGAGATCGTCTTCGCGAGCCTTGAGGACCCGCTCGTGCTCTTGTCGAGCCATCTCGAGACCCCCTATGGCATCATCTGGTCTTTCTTCGATCTGACTCTCGAGTCTGTGGATAGTCTTCTCCGCAGATTGTATACCGACTCTGGCTCGACTGTGCTCCTTCTGCATATCGGCAATCTCAGTCCTCTTTGCATTCTGTCGGGCTTTGGCATCCTTGAAGTCTCGGTCGTATTGCTCGACGGATGCGACTTCGGCGCCTCGCTTCTGCTCCAAATCGGCGATCTCAACTGCCATGTTCTTGGAGAAAAGTGGGGATCCGCGCCAGTCCTCAAGAGGTGTCGACCCTTTGCCTTTGCCCTGATTAGCCGTCGTACGGTAACAATCTGCGGTGACGAATTCTGCACCAGGCAAACCCCGAGCCATCATCTCGTCGGTTTTCTCGTTTGCCACTTTGACTGAAGGCGCCACAAACAGCCTCTCTATCCTATGCTGGTTGACCAAGATGCGCAAAACATCCTCATCCTCAATACGCAACTTGCTTAGCAGAGTTGGCGCAAGGTGGTTGAGGCTTCCGCGAGAGTAGTCAAATCTGTCTCCAGAGTAAGTGATGATGCTTTTCGTGTTCGAACCAGATCCTGGCTTGTATTCCCTGACGTTTTGAAGTATGCTGAGAAGTTGAACTTTGTCATCTGGATGCTTCACCGCAAATCCACATAAAGTGGTTCCGAGGACTGAGCAGGCCACTTTTCTGTACATGGGATCCTCCAGATTGACGTACATGCCCAGTGGACCAATCGGCTTTCCCCCCTTCCAGGGTTGTCTTGGGTGATCGATAGCCTGGCGAACCCGGTCAAGACCCGTCCCAAAGAGGTTGAGACGATCGCCTGATTGTTCCCGGAGTCTCTTGATCCTATCCTCGATGTTGCGAATGTTCTGCTCGACCGATCCCTTTTTGACGACAAGGTCGTCAACCTCCCTGTCGATGACTTGTCCTTGTGCTTGAAGCGTTTCAAGTGCCTTCAGCTTTCGAGGCGCATCTTCCTGAAGCCTTTTCAACAGATCTTGATGTCTCTTCAACGACAGACGAGCGTCTCGTTGAGCGTCCGTCTCGGCCTGGTTCAGTTCGGCCTGCTTCTTCGCAATCTCCTGCTCGAGCTGTGCAATACTCTTCTTTTCGGCTGCGATAGTCCGTTCAGTCTTCGTAATGTCGGTCTAAATAATCCTCATTGAGCTGAAATCTGCGCAAGGTGCTGTCTACGTACATTTGCCTGACGAAGGATCGTCTGTGCCTGTCCCAACTTGGTTTTGGCCGACTCCTTCTTTTGCTCCAAAGGTAGCTTCGTAGCTCGGAACGCCTTCAGCTCATCTTCGGCGTCTTTGACTTGCGCCTCCAGAGATTTGAATTCATCCTGTGGCACTATCAGGGGACATAGGGAAGATTCTCGCACCTCAGCCTGTTTTGCTTTGTCTGCAAACGCATCTACTTTCTGCTTGATCTCCCCCAGCTTCTTCACTGTGTCCTCGAGCTCCTGTGTTGGGTCAGAATGAAGCATCTTGAATTCACCTCTCCTGTACGAACCGTTTCCTTGTCCCGTATATACGCCCAAGCTAATTCGCTCGTAAGTCTCGTGATCTTGGCTTGCAGTTCCACTATACGCCTGGAAGCTGCGACTTGACGATGCAGCTGATCCACTTCAATCTCTTTCAAAGGAATTTTCTCAGCTTGAGAATCCGCAATGTTTTTCAGCTGTTCCCCCTGAAGCTGCATCTTCTGATAGTATGCGGAGAGACTATCTAGTCCGGTCCCTTCGAGGAAAAACTAATGTCCTGGTCAGCTTACATTCTGAATGCAAAGACCACCTACCTTGTACAACATCTCGTCAGTCGCATTCTGTAGAAAGCTTCTCGCGGCATCCTGAGTCAGAATGGTGAGGGGAGAGTCGATGGTAATACTGAAGTTGGCGCATATTTCGTTCAACTCGTCCCTCTTCTGAGCGATGATCTTTCCGTCTCGAGTTGCCCGGAATCTGTAGCTTGAACCGCCGTTCTTGTGCAGCGTTCTTTCAATAACGATCTGTGAGCCGTATAGCTCAGGCTTGAACGCTTCGGGTCCCTCGTTGGACATGATGACGGTTACCACTGCTTTGCTGAGAGTTTGAGGTCAGCTTTAACGGGGGCTGCACCGAATATGACCCCTCACTCTGCGTCTCTCCGGATAAGGTCTTTCAGTCCTTGACCACGCCCCGTCACGGCTGCCTTGCCGCCAAGAGCAACAGCGATGCCCGTGAGCACTGCCGACTTCCCACCTAGAGAGATCTGTGAGATCGAGCGTGGAGCCATCGCGAGCTAACTCACTCCCATTATGACCGACGATGAAATTCATGCGGTTGCCCAGCTCGACCGAGAAGTGTCTGTGACACATGAAGTCGACCAGTATGACCTGCTTGATGATCCCTGCGTCTGAGGCCCACTTAAGCGAGAAATCAGCTGAGCTCTCTAAGTGAATCTCTCTAAGTCTCACGCCAAATATGTCGCCCGTTTTGGCCTTGGCTTCCTCGTAAGCCTTGACATTGGCTTCATCGTCGTCAAAGTGCTCCTCGTCGTCTGTCGGGGCTTCAAGTTCACTCTCGTATTCTGAGTTGTCCAGTTCCGATTCTGAATCATGATCTGACGTGGCGGAAGGTTCGCCGGCAGCTCTACTGACACCTCTCGATGCCCTTCGAGCCAGGCTAGGTTCTCTTTTCACCCTTTTGGGCTGTAAGCCAGCGTCAGTCAACGCTGCAAGTTCAGCTTGCGAGCGTACCACTGGAGTGGGGGCTCTAGAGCTACCCTGTTCAGACTCATCTCGATCCTCGTCCTGTAATTGTCTTTTGGCGGGTGAGGTGGCCATCCTGTCCGCGCATCAATAGCTGACAGGTATGGGCAAAGGAAAACAAATGTTCAAATCCAGTATCGACCGCGAACGCGTCCGATCCGTCCTCACGGGGATTAGAACCCACGTGGCGGCAGAATCACTCTGTGTAGCTAGCTCAAGCATAAAGGACTGTATGCATGCTTGTCGCCTTATGCCTCCTTGGACTTGGCCATTTGAACATTCTTACCGGCGTACAGAGCTCCGCCTCTCACACCTTCTGGATTGCCTTGCAATTTGAACGTCTTGGGAGCCTTGGGACCGAGGTTTCTGGGATTCTTGACATCAAAGTCAAACTGATCCGGTACGATCATGGAATCATCGGCGAGATGATGCGAGAGAGTCTTCATCGAGATCCCATCTTTGTATATCCACAAGTCCTCTGTCTGTCGTTGCCAGTCCTCAAGCTTCTTTCGCAGATCCAGCAGAATATCCTTGTACTGTGGATCTCTGTGTAGGTCGTGGACCTCGAGAGGATCCGCTTCGAGATCGTATAGTTCTTCTGCAGGTCGAAAGACATAATCTTCTAAGGATCTCGATCCGAGCATGACAGGTCCATCTACGTTTCTCATATCTTCGAACGACAGTGACGCGTACAGGTCGGAAGAGAAGGGGAAGTCAAGCCTCCAAGCAATGTTGCGATGATACTTGTACTTCCTCGTCCGGATGATACGGGTTGGCCAATAGTTTTCCCTCTGATGAAAGGTATGCGAGCCGAAAATGTGGTGCTTCCACTCGCTCTCAGGTACGATCTCACTCTTCTCGAGTATAGGCAAGAAGCTTTGACCCAAACGAGGCGGCGCGTTGTCCTGGATCTTGAGGTCGAGTGGGATGCCACAGAAATCTAGCATAGTCGGTAGGATGTCCAGATAACTGATCATGTTGGGATTCGTCACGTTTTTGATGCCCTTTGCAGCCAGTCGAGGGTCTCGGACAAGGAAGGGCAAGCAGGTGCCAGATTCATACAAGGTCGTTTTGGCGTTGACGAATGGAGCACCGTTGTCAGAGCAGAAGAAGACGAGTGTGTCCTCGTCCAGTCCTTGCTTCTTTAGATTCTCCAATATCATTCCAACACCTTGATCAAGTCGGTTGATCGACTCATAGTACTCAGCGAGCTCTTTTCGAAGTCCAGGAACGTCAGGGAGCCATGGGGGGATCTCGACATCTTCAGGGTTGCACTTGTAAGGCTTGACTCGGGGATCAAATGGTCCTTGTGTATTGGCAAATCCTCCTCGCGTGAAGTCTCTATGGGTATCGTGAAATCCAACGATCAAGTTGAAAGGCTTATCCTCTTTCTTGGCTTGCTCGAAGAAGGCGTCGACGTGATCGGCATACTTGGCCGAGTCTCGAGTCTCGATGTCGTCGTAGACAGTCCATGGATAGGTGGACTTGATTCCAACGTGTACCTTGCCCACGATTCTATACTCAGGCATCAGCCATCCGCAGTCACTTGGTCTGCAGGCGAGCCAGCACCTGAGCATATCACTCACCCAGTCAAGTACCCTGCTTTGTTGAAAAGAGCGGGAAGGGTGTCAACGAATTCGAATGTCTGAAAGTGTGTAGCTATGCTGTTCAGTCCATACTGTCCATTCTCGTGCGTATGTAGCCCGGTATAGATGGTCGACCGGGAACCAGAACATGATGCAGTCGAGGCGTATGCCATGTCAAACTTGACATTGTCTTCTGCGAATTTATCGATATGTGGCGTCGAGACACTCTTCACCCCGTAGCACCCAAGGTACTTGCCCAGGTCGTCCGCGACCATGAACAGGACGTTCCTCTTCTTTCCATGAGACATCTTTATCGGAGATGAGGTAGAGCACGAGACCGAATGATGAAGGTTGATGTCGAGATCCACGCTCCCATACATAAATATAGCACGTCAGATCTCATGCGTCGGATCTGAGCGAGCGGTTCTCGGTACGCTCGCCGCAGCCCTCCACTATTTCCAGCGAGTCTTCAATTTAATTGGCCCAGCCTTTGTAGTTTGACGACATGAGGGGATGAATCATGCCTGGACTCGCAGCGACAGTCGGCCTGATATCTAAAGCCCCAAGCTCTCCCTTCGTATGGATATAGGCCACACCAAAGCCAATCTGAAGGGATTTAAGCGGAAATCATACGTCTACTGTACTGTATGTATGTACAGTGCGGCGCCACACTCACATTGTATGGGACCCCGACTCCAGAATCCGGGTCAATGCCAGTTACCGTCTTGCTCCCGGCTGCTTCTTTGATGGCTGAGCTAGTGACGATGTCGGATGACTTGGAGGATGGGGATGAGGAGGACTTGCTTGAACGAGAGCTTTGCTCGCTTTCAGTCCGACGAGACGAACCTCTGGATGAGGTGGAAGAGGTGCTCTCGCTTGGCTTGGCCGCTTCGTCCTGTCTCTTCAATGCATCGAGTTTGGCTCTTTTAGCTTTCTCCAAATCGTCAGTAGACTTCGATGAGGGGATTTTCGACCTTGACTCGGAAGAGGATGATGTCCGTGTAAAAGATCCGGAAGAAGTGCTGGGCACTGGAGCTTCAGGAATTGGCTTCACGTTCAGTTCTTGCGATACAAGCTGCAAAGAGAAGGCGAGCAAAAGAAGAAAACCCAGCGTCCGATTGACTTGAGCGACGGTCATTCAAAGCCCTCCGAGGACACCTACTCAGCCCGATACCAATAATCATAGCCAAGAACTTTGTTCTCCAAAGCTTCTGCTTCTGTCTGACCTGAATCAATCTCGGGATGAAGCTTGTCACTTACCGATCGTCAAGGGCCTTGAGTCTAGCCATCTCAGCTGCTTTGATCTTCGCCTTTTCCAACTCCTTCCTTTTGTTCTCCTCAGCTTTCTTCTGCTCTTTCGCCTTCTCAGCTTCTTTAACAGCTTCAGCTTTCGCTTTCGCCTTCTCTTTCTCTTTCTCCTTTTCCCTTTCTTTCGCAACTTCCTTTTCTTTCCGCTTCTTTCGCTGCTCTTCACTCTCTTTCACTTCAGGTTCCGGTCTATTGTAGTGGCCACTAACGAAGGCTCTGAGCATCTGTCCCTATGACCGCGGCCGAATCTGTACCAAAACTTACACATGAGCGGGCTGTCCACTCTCCCACCACAGCTCGGGTCCAAGAGCCGCAGCGCGTCCCATTGGAAAAGGCCAGGGTAGATAGCGGTTCAATCTCGTCGTGAGAAAAGCGGAAGGGTGTGCTCTGAGATCATCCCAGGGACTGGGCTCAGTCTCCGCTGTTTCCTTCTTACTCTCCTTCTTCTCAGGCTTCTCATCTTTCTTCTCTGAAGATGAGGATGTTGACCTCTTAGAGTCCGATTCCTCTTCCGGAATCTCCGCGATGACCTGATTCCAAATCAGAAAAAAGCTATACAAGCCATCAGCAAAAGCTGACTGCTCTACTCACATAATGAACGCTGTGGCTAGGTGGACATAGGTGATATGCAATTGAGGGACTCCAGGCACCAGCCCGGTCATCTGGGTTACTAGTCCATGGTCAACTAAGCATCCCGGGGGGTGTTGCTATCTACAAGGAAAGGCTCACGGAGGGCCAGGAGGATGATTCCAAATCCCCACTGAAGTATCATAGGTGCCACTTGTCTACAGTCATGCCACCAATACTGCATCAGTTATATTCCTTCCTCTTCGTTCAAGCTTATAAGCTCACCCTACTTTGGCTGGATCAGGTAACAGCGCTGGCATGGTATGACTGGCCATAAAAAGCACCATACCGACGATCAGTATGACATATATTGGTGCCGGAGATCCTAGGTTCCCCAGGTCCGTAGGCATGGGCGGAGCGAAAGTGTAAGGGTACATTGTACTTCCGATCGAGGTCCGTTGCTCAGGAGCACGATCGCAAACAGCAGGTAACAACGATCCAAAGTGGACGCTTTTCAAGACAGAAAAACAGGAGTCACCTGGACAAAGGGTGGCCATTCCCAGACAGTCGACACCACCGACACAACCAAAGGGAGCAATGACAGGGGAAGATGCATCATGCGTGCAAAGCTATGCCAACAATGAACATGCTGTTCTAAAAGATACAATAGGCTATCAGACGGCTGCTATTCAGCTCGACGTGTATCTGAATTGGAAAAAGACGCGATTCAAAGCAGTTGCCATGATTCTGGCATTTGAGTACGGGCTGCCCACTTCTTTCAATGCTTTACTCTTTCTGGCTCTTTGTCGATCGGAAGAGTCTCCTTCCACTTCTCAGCCGTGGCCTCCCCAGCAAAGACTTCGCGAAGCACTTGGTTGAGATTCTCGACATAGACGAACTCAATTCCCTCCTTGACGGTCTCGTGAACATCGTCTTGGATGTTCACCTTGTTTGCAGCCGGAACAAGGATTTCTATCAAGCATCAGCAAGGATCACAACAATGCCACGGCCAAATCGACCCACTCTTGATTCCAGCGCGGTGAGCCGCCAACCTGTAATAAACATATCTCAGCCCTGGAGGCTATGGATAGCTGGCTCGACTCACGTCTTCTCCTTCAGGCCACCAACGGGCAACACCTGTCCGTGCAAGGAAATCTCTCCAGTCAAGGCGATCTCTTGGCTGACCTTGGTCTTGGTGAGAAGGGAAACCAGGGCGGTCACAATGGCAGATCCAGCCGAGGGGCCGTCTTTACCCGTTGCTCCTTCGGGGCTGCGAGAAGTCAGCAGTGCATTGCGAGAGGCCATACTGTACTCACAAGTGCAAATGGAGATCCTTGTCAGACAGTATGATCTTGTCATCCGAATCAGCGATTCCGAGAGCGAATGCGTGCGCCTTGACCCAGCTGATAGCCAGGTGAGAAGATTCCTGCATGACCTCGCCGAGCTTTCCAGTCAAACGAAGACCGCCTTTACCAGGCATAACCTGCGGGGAGAATCAGTAATGGATTCGCGAACGGTAACTTGGAGGACTCACATTGACTTCTATAGGTAAGACCCATCCGAGACCTTCACCACTAGCGGCCAATCCTGTACTGACTCCCGCTGGAAGGTAATTTGCGTAGATCTTCTCCCTCGGGTAGACCGGGCTGGTTTTCGATTAGACATCAATTGCGAACCGATAAAATGTCAGGACTTACGATCCGATATAGTCGCGCAAATTTTCTGGTGTTATCTCGACCTTGATACCGTCAGGCACCTGAACGCGCGGGCGAGGTGTTGTGGTGACAGGTTTGACAGATTTCTCCTCTCCATCTTTGGACGCTTCATCTACCGGTAAACGTTCCGATGCAGGCTTGACATCTGGGTCCTGAGACTCGACAGTGGTGATAGATGCAGCTTCAGTCTCCTCTGCTGGGGCCTCTGCCAATTTGTCCCCGTGTTCAGTGACGATCTTGAATGCCACTTTTCGATAGATCTGAAGAAGACCGATGAGTTGCCCATCAAATTTGGCAAAACCATAAACTCACTTTCTCGATCAGTTTCTTCAAATTCCGAACTCCGCTCTCTCTCGCATACCATTTGACGATGTTGTCCAATGCTTCCGGTTTAATGTCAACGGTAACGTCCTGTAGTCCGGAACTCTCCTTGGCTGTAGGTGCCAAGTAACGTTCAGCAATGACTTTTTTCTCCTCGGCCACGTAGCCACTCAGCTCGATGACCTCGAGTCGATCGAGCAGAGGGCGGGGAATATTCGGTAGGTAGTTTGCTGATGAGGCAAAGGTGTCAGATCCCTGCCGCAGCCGTCATCAAAAGACTCACCAGTACAAACGAATAACACTCTAGACAAGTCGATCGGGACATCGAGACTGCGTTATGTCAGTCTGGCGTAAGCTCATCGGTTCCTCACTAGTGGTCCACGAATGAAGAGTTCTGCTCGGGGTCAAGCATCTCTAAAATGGCTCCTTGCGGATCACCACCATTAAACCTGCCGTTTCCAATCTTATCGATCTCATCTATGAGAATGAGTGGATTCTCCACTTGGACCTTTTTCAGTGCTTGAACAGCTTTTCCTGGCATGGCTCTGCGACGTGTGAGCGCTCTTGCAACTCAAAGATGAAGATTTCTGTCTCACCCAACGTAAGTCCTTCGGTGACCCTTGATCTCCGCCATATCGTTCAGACCGCCCACTGAGAATCTAGCATCACTCAGATCAGCTTTGTGGTCGGCATCAAAGCCACTGAACGCACCGGTAAAATTGTCGATCGAGAGCCTTGGCGATACTCTTCCCGACACTAGTCTTTCCGACACCTGGCGGTCCGCTGAGACAGACAATCTTTCCCTGCACGCTGCCTTTGAGTTTACCAATGGCTAGGAATTCCAATATTCGATCCTTGACATCCTTCATACCGTAATGGTCGTCGTCCAAGATCCTCCTTGCTCTCTCAATGTCAAAGTTCTCGGTACTGTGTAGACCCCATGGTATGTCTGTCAACCAGTCGAGATAATTTCGGGTAACGCTAGAGCCGAGCGGGTCAGTCACGAGCTATCCGCTGCACCACGGTTGTCCACTTACGCGAACTCGGAAGACACCTGTTCCAAGCCACTCAATTTGTTCAGTTCCTCGTCGACGATCTTGCGAACGCCCTCTGGCATGGCGAGCTTCGCAGCCTTCTCCCTGAACTTTTCCAGCAGCTTGTCCTTTCCATCACTTTCCAGTCCCAGCTCCTTCTTGATCCCTTTCATCTGCTCCATAAGGTAATATTCCCTCTGTCGCTTTTGGATTTTGCTATCTACATCCCGCGCGATCTTCTGCTGAAGTTGAGCGTTGATCAATTCCTTCTTGAGCAACTCTAACGCTTTCTGCAGTCTGTCTTCGATGTTTGGCGATTCGACCACGGCCTGGAGTTCGGCCGCTTCTCCTGTCGTGACTGCAGCCGCAAAGTCTGCCAGTCTGTCTGGCTCCTCGAAGACGCTCTGAGATCGATTAGATGTGGTGAAGCTGGTGACTGCAATTGCGTCAGTGATGGGTGAATCAAAGGACAAGTTGGACTCACTCTGTTCTCGGAAGATGGACTGCATCTGGGCCAAGTCCTTGAAGATGGTGATGAGCTCATTGACAAGCGCTTTGACCATCTGAGTATCTTTGGCTTGGTTGTCAAAGACAAAGTTGGACACGTTGGCAAGGGAGACTTCAGGAACCAAATGATGAAGGAATCCGATTTGAGAGTACGTCGTGGATGGCTTGTCCTCTCCCTCAGACGACGGATCTACAAGGGTGGTCAGTCAACGCGGGTGAACAGATAGACGATGATGTGATCTCACTTTTCTTTCCAATTCTCTCCTTCACATCCTGTACCGACGGCACCACACCCTTCTCAAAGCTGGCCACTTCACTTTCATCCTTCTGGACTATCTCTGCAGGTCTAGGCTCAGGACGACCCTCAGATTCTCCTTCAACACCAGCGCCAATCTTGACGAGATTCTGGTCGACCAGCTCGTCCAGTCTTATTCTCCTCAAGGGGAACAAGATGACTGTGAGTGGTGACGTTGTCTCCTTCTCGTCTTTCGCGCCCGACGCGTCCTTCTCTGACTCGTCGTTCAATGTCGTTAATTTGGATGCAGATTTAGTCTTCACATTGGCTTCGAAGAAGCTGGTGATCTGCGCAAAAATACCGACTGGGTGAACTTGATCCATTGAAGTGATCACGTCGGCATCTACATCGGCTTCCTTGAGCAAGAAAGCGCCGAGGTAAGGTTGACCACGTGCGACGAGCTGCTTGACAGCTTTAATCACGGCCGGATTGTGGATAGTGACCGCCTTGTAGAAGGATGGGAAGAGGGGCCGTTGAGTGAGAGGGAGAGCCAAGAGTTGAGGATAAATTTCCGGAACATCCGGTCTGGCGATCTCTCTGCCAGTCCTAGGAGGAGTGTTGTCGTTCGACGAGGATGAAGACGACTCAGCGCTGGCTGACATTGCGGCTCCCTGTGCAGAGGTACTGCTGGTGGAAGCAGGTTCAGGCTCCGATCGAGATTCCGATTTGGCTCTCTTCTCAGCCGCTTGACTAGATTCAGCTTCTGTCTCCTCTACCGCCTCCTCATTCTGCTCTTCTTTCAGTGTAGCCTTCTTACGGGAAGAAGATTCTGCTCTTGTCCGCTTCGGTTTGGTTCCCTCCTTGGCTTTCCCAACACCAGAATCTTTGCCCTCATCCTCCGCGGCTTCCTCGCCTTCTCCATCGGCCTTGCTTCCCACCTTTGTCTTGAGCAGGACGTTGGAAGTATGCAAATGCCGTATTGGTATTATAGGAGTGAGATGAGAGCTGGATGGGAGCGATGGAGGTAACTGAGGCCGTAACCTAATACTCGATGGTGATCGGGTCGCTGATGATGATGATGCAATGGTTGATAATCGTCGCCGCTGGACAGCCGCACGGGATGAGCGAAGTGGGAGCATGATGTTGAAGATGTGATGCTGATCGATTCCAGAACAGAGCCCTCAACAAGTCTCCTACGTCGCCGAGATCAGCTTCAGTCGAACAATAAGACAGATGAATGATCAATAATCAGACCCGCTACAAGTTACTGATTTTAATCAACTGGAACCTTCGGAACTCGGTTTCGATTGCCAAAATGGCGAAATCATAAATAGAGTGGCAAAGGGGAAGCAACGAACAGATAGCATGGACTGGAGACTCTCAATCAAGAACAAGATATCATACATATATACAGTGTAGTGTCCATGTGACATTAGGTATCTAGAAGAAGATCATGATGATGACGAAGGCATATTATACTCCGTAGCCTGCGACCCCGTTTCATAAACAACGACCCCATATCACACGAAGACCACTCACGAGGGAGACTTTCCATCGGTCTGGAAATTTTGAATCCTCGATCGGCAGCGGCCTTCTCTCCCTGTCGACCGAATCCGAATCCTCCAAATCGCGCACCTGGAACCGTATGCTCAGGGACAAGAGGAGTGTCTGAATGTTGGCTAGTTTGGCGGGATAGGTTGCTTTGGCTGGCCTTTGGATAAACTCGTTTTTCAGTCACCATGTCCCAAGCCGTAGCTGCCATTCGGGTCTGAGGGGTCCTGAGATCAGGCACAGCAGAGCGTCAGATACAGCGACGATGTTGGCGAGGTGACCTCACAGGGACGTGACGTTCTCCCAGGAGAAGATGAGACGTTTCGTTTTGCCTCCACTCCTGAAGACGAGGCCCTGTCCGAGTATCAGAGACTGTGATGCGGGCTGCCGATATCATAGCTCACCGCAAGAATGTTCAGACAACCGATGATGAACAATAGCCAGCTGCTGACTTGAGGGAAGGTGGTACTGTAGTGTGAGAGGACCTGTGCTCCGATCCTGAGAATGGATGAGCCGAAGCATCATAGCAAGAAGCAGGGTCAACAAAATTCACAATGCTTGAAAGATCCCCAGACACCCTAATCCATGTGCTGGACCCAAGATCGGCAAGAAGTTTTCAAAAAGTCTCTTTGGAATCCCGATCTCGGACAAAGTGAGAAGTATACACTCGAAGACTGCTCGGATGCCATCAGTATGGCGATTCTCAGGTCTTCCGGTAGGCGGCTCACCGATGAAGATTCGATTGAGGATCGACCAGAATGCACCTCCCGTTTGATCCGGGACGGTAGAGTATTCGACATAATCACAATCCAGATCCTGTTCGTTCGAATTGTAGGCTTTGATTGCTTTGATATCACTGGAGCCCTGATCAGCTGGCAGTGTCGATCAAAGGTCAGGTCAGACTCACTCTACCATCGTGACTATGTTGGCGGATAAGCAAAGGATCAAGGCGATGATGCTCAGGGCTCGGAGTACGTTGAGACCGATGAAGACAGGGCCGGAAGGTCTCTTGGGTAGGAAAGGTTTGATCGACTCGGCCATGCTGGAGTGTTATCGTGAAGGACACGAGGACTAGAGGTGACAGGGGCTTTTAAACTAGTGAGCTTTAGGAGTTGGCTGTTTATGCGTCGACCAGCGACAAGAAATGAAATCGTTCTAAGAATCGCTTCGAGCGAAGGAGCTTGAGAACAAAATAGCAGAATGCGAAGCAAGAGATGGAAGAAGTGATCGAAGGGAAGAGGAAAACGATTAGCTATGTTATAAGTCTCGTCGAGGTCTCATGATCAGCAAATCGAGCACAATCAGAAGACAAAAGAACCACACTGTCACCTTCTCCCCTTAAGCCGTCTGGCGAAGCTGTGTAAAGCATGAATACAAAAGCCTCAGGTTTGAGACTCCATGTTGATACGTCTCAAGAAGCATAAGATATCCATGTTTGACCAGCGAGGAGGAAATGTTACAAAAGTACAACAAATGTCGAAGAACAAAAAGGATACACCAATGAAAGCAAAAGCCAGCGGCGGCAATCACCGCCATCGAGACACATGCAATGTGGCGGTCCCCTTGTCGAGATGCTCCGCCGATGTACTTGCAGTGCGTGAGGGAACAGGTATCATCAGGGCGCCAGCGAGGTCGTCTTCTGAGAGCTTTACGATCATCACTTCCAATCCTCCACCGTCCTCCGGACGTAACTCGCATGACCAGATCACGGTTGCTCACGGCTATGTTAAATGTCCCGAATAATTCGCCGAGGTCTTGTAATGCCTCCCTCCACTCTCCGGCGCAATCATGACCCGGAAGCCGCTCGCGGAATCTCGCGGTTGAATGGGCTGGCTGGCTATTCTTCTAAAGTGTACTTTCAGTTTTGCTCCTCTCTTTGACGTCCAGGACCACATTTACCATGTCCAAAACACGAGATGCTCTTGGCAAGCCCGAGACGTTGACATACCATACGACCCCACGTGGACATCAAGTCAAGATTGATGTGCGGGGTAAAGGTGGTCCTGCGCTCATCACGTTCCATGGTGGAGGTATTATTCAGGGCAGTCGAGTTGATGGGCATATCCCGTCGAATTGGGAGGGTGAGTACAGCATGCGTACAGTGTTCCCTCGACGTCTTGATCGCGTTGACACATACACACACCCTCTCTCAGCTAAATTTCCTGGGACATGGATCGCAGCGGATTATCGACTGTTGGTACCTTCTGTAGGATCCGATATCCTGGAAGACATCAGGATTTTGCTGGATTATGTCTTGACTCTTCCGATAGACCATCACAAGATCTTCCTCTTCGGAGGATCGGGCGGAGGCTATCCTATGCGACTAGCGGCTATGCTCGCTGCTCAAGAGAGTCAAAAACCTGAACCGAGGTACACTGTGATAGGCTGCATTTCCTACTGTGGAATGGCTGGAGATTTCCTCTTGGATCACTGGTTCAAGCCTATCATTCCGAGAGATATGAACATCTCCGAAGAAGGGATCAAGCAGAAAGTGGACTCTCTCAAGCCTGATCTCGATCACATGCGAGGGGGAGAAGAGCAATCGGATTGCTCGTTCGATGTCACTCGAAATCCCAATAGAGACGTCATCTGGCAGACTTGGCACTTGACAGGGACTATCAACGATTCCATCACTGGAGATCAAGGATTCAGCGAGAAGATGAAGTCCATTCCATACGAAAAGAGACTCGAGTCTATCCCTGAAAAGCTCGTCCCTTTCCTCCCTCAAGCATTCATTGAGAAAAACGGTGCCATCCTCCCTCCTTTCCTCCTGGTCCATGGTAACAAGGACACCATCATTCCGTATGAGGAATCAGTCAACACTGAGCGCGCTATCAAAGCGAGCGGAGGTAAAGCCGAGCTGTTCACGGTCGAAGGCGCAGATCACGATATGAAAAAGCCCGGAGAGGCTTCGGACGCGATCACCGAGAGTGACGAGTATGCGCTCAAATGGATGAACGAGAGGATCCGAGAGGCGACCAAATGAAGGAGACATCAGACACTATCATGCATCTGATGATGGTTCCATATCTTTCCACCTATGATCTCCTCGCCATGAGCTTGTCAATGTGCTCCCGAACGCCTCCTTCCCATTCCTCCCATATGACAGAGGCAAGCCACGAGTCCCTTGCCTGATTCTTCTCGTGAGGCGGACGTCCAGCTATGGAATGGGTCAGAATATGAATACTCGATGATCCCTCTCATATACTCACGCCGTGAACCCTGCCATCCCTCCAGCAAGACTCTTTGAGCTCTGATGATTCCCTCATGCTTGTATCCCAACCTCAAGGCAGCAGCTTGAGATTTCAGATTCAGGACCGTAGTATACCATTGACATCTTCTCAAGCCTAGACCTCCTTCAGATTCAGGATCCAAGATACGGTGCATAGCGAGTCCAGCAGCATGTGTGAGCACGTGGGTCCGCTGGCAGCTCAGAGGTCACTATATGCTTCTTCGGAATCTTAGCCTTCAGTCCTGACTCACCTGATATTTTGGGAAGATGATGATGAATCCTGGTTCTGCAGTGGCATCTTTAGCAGAAGCGTTGATGATTCCTAGGAATCCGGCAATCTTCCATTCGTCCACCGGAGGTGTGGGATCGACACCTGGCGGTGCAGAATATATGGCGTGGTAGAGAGCAGACTGAACAAGTTAGCCAGTAACCTCGCCAATGGTCCTCTAAGAACGTTCAACGAAAGCCATCCTCTGTAGATCGGGTGACAAAGGAGACAGACAGAAAACTTCAACGTTTGTATCTACTCACCGGCTGAGAGCGAAACATCGACTCAATGAATAGCCTCGCATCGTCCAACGTTTCGCACCTATACGGCAACCATTCCATCACTTCAGGATTGGCCGAGACCCCCTCCGCGAGCGCTTGAGCATGAAGAGACGGCTAGACCTGTAAATCAATGGTCGATTCAAAGCGATAAAGGACGCACGACGAAAGGCCTCAGCTCAACTCTATCACTTCGAAGGACCTTGGGGGGAAAGACAAAGTTTTGGTCATAATCTTCCAGAGGGGTGTCACCATAGACTTCACGAGGCGCCTGAGGGGGCGTGTACTGGTTCAAGTAGATCGGGTCGGAAGGCATGCTTGGAAGGGAAGTTCTACACAATGTGCCGTGTTCAGATGTCGTGGAGTGATGTATAGTAGCCTGACTTTATGCTCCAGACATGAAGTTACTTGCTCGCAGACGGAAATGCCGACTCCAAGCGCCGCTTAATCGCATCTATCGAGTCGCGCATCTATCCGCAAGAGAGGGAGAGAGAGAGAGAGATCTTTGGCCGGATGTCCGCGCGGAGTTCCGGGAGCGCTGGCCACGGGAATGCCTCTTGTATGTCGAGACTGCAGCTCGAGCAACTGCGTGATTACTGAGCCAGCCCGCTCGCCTGATATGTGAACGAAACAAACCTGATCGAGGCGAATTAGCGTCCCCAATTCGTATCCGCGTTGTACGCCAATCAAACGACTTCTGCATGAGTTGAGCATTACAAGTCGAAGTTGGTGATATTCACTATCCTGCGAGAAACCCGCTCGACGGTAGTAAAGCTCCTAGCCATTGCTCTGCAATGGCTCTAGAGTGATGAGAAAGCAACTGAATGTCGCGGAATAAAATCAAAATGTCCAGCATGTAAAGTACACTCCTTCTGACCTCTCATTTCTGTTCATCCTTTGGCTATCATTCCTCAGAATCGACCATAGTATGAAGCCTGAGCATAGCTACACGTTAAGTCAGCGCGTAGGCCAAGATCCCATATCGCATCGATCGATCAACTCACGGCCCGTCTCCTTCTGTTGGTCTACCCAAATACTGACCAGGCGTTGGAAAGTCCGATGGTCTGACAGCCTGTTGACGACCGCTCCCTTGACTTCCGTGATGGCTACCGTGGCTGCTCCCAGAGTTACCTCTGTGCAGATCACTGTATCCCTCTCCAGGATCCTGGGTAGGGTAATCGTGTGAACCGTACTCTGCTACGGCCGCGGGAGGCAGGGGTGCTATGGGTTGATGAGCTTGATGATAGTAAGACGTGTCGTAGTCGTACGCTGCGGAATGAGCGAAAGGATCATGGTTGTACATGTTGCTATCGTATTGCATTCCAGAGGCTCCCGCAGTGAAATCATGTTGGGGCACACCCTCCACATAGTCCGGTCCGTCTCTGTCCAGATCGGCGATAAATTGTTGACGTTGACGATCTAGAGAAGAAGACGAGGCGCTACGATGAAGTGTCTTTTCCAGGCTGTAGAAGGATCTTCAGCTTCATTATCACGACTGGCGGGACTCACAAGTCGTCATTGCCTCCCAGACCATTCGGACTAAAGTCTACAGGAGCCATCTTGGAATCGAATCGTCGACTAGGTCGCAACTTCCACTTTCTGAAGGCTGTCCAGGCCAGAGCAACGAGAACTAGAACGGAAGCGACCACAATGATGATGATAAAGGTCGTCCTAGGCAATCCTCCAATGTTATCGTTGGTCTCTGCGTTGTCGCTCTGAGTGGTAGGAGCAGGCCCAGGAGCGGTGCTCAACATGGTCTTAACGGAAACGGAAGCTGGGTTAGTATGGACGACCGTGCGCGTAAAGTCGTTGAGCGTTGTCGGCGCAGCGGAGGATGTCGAGGTGACAGCGATGGTAGAGGATGTTGTCTCCACAGCACTGGGTGTAGGTTCGGCGGCTGACACTTCATTTTGGCTCGGAAGCGTGTCAAGATCCCCGGTGCTAGATGAGGTAGTAGGCGTAGAGGCAGCTATGCTACTGGTGGTTGAAGATGTCGTTGTGATGACCGACGACAAGGTTGTCGAGCTTGAGATGCTAGACGTAATGTCTGAGACCGTAATGGAGGCTGAGGAGGTTGATGTGACCGAGGACGATTGATCTTGAGCTGATGTAGACGACGTAGTCGCGATAGTCGAGTTGGAGTCTGAATCTAATTGTCTGGCCTGCAGGATCCTGATATGATGTCTGTCGGATCCAGGGCTCAGGGGATGGGCCAAGGTCATACTGGACAGGAAGACTATCAAGAGGAGAGACGAACGCATGGTGTGGCAGATGCTTAACGAAAGTGGTTCAAAGGCAGTGTATGTTGGTGGCAATGGATCGACCAGAGAGGGTCTCTGAGCGAATCGCCAGCTGAGGGTCGATAGTCTTTGACGACGCTGCAAGCGGGCGTGGCAGAGGACGATGACACGACGATTCAGTCGTCAATAACAACGTATTGAAAGATCCAAGAGACACTGATAGGCCTTTCCTTTGGTGTTGGGAGATAGAGGAGTGAAATTTGTCAAAAGACCAGCCAGTGATCCTTTGTCGAGGTTGATTTGCCCCTCTCGTTCTGCTTTGATGAGAATGATTGAATCGCTGTCCAGGTCCCAAGGGGGTGGAAGGTCCGGTTGGCGATGGAGGAGGAATGAATACAAAGGAGAGACCTGTTGAGTGATGTCCGGCAGTCGCGCGGCAGAAATGAGGAGGTTGGGACCTGGTTCCTTTGAGCGGATATGAGATGGGTGCGGGAAGAAAAAGTATGTCAAGAGGCGGTGGGGACTAATGATTTGGCAATGTTCGAAGTGGGTGGACGAGTTGATAACCAGTATCAGTGAGTTGAACACACGAGTAGATGAGATGAATGATGATGATAGGGATGGACGCTGAAAGGTGTGGACAACTAAATCCAGACAAAAGACAGGAGCCCATGGACTGAGAGCTGGCCACCCTAAAAAAGAGGCGTTTCACATTTCAAGAGAGAGAGTGTTCACACCGTTACTGCGAAGTCCCTTTTCAAAATGGTCTGGTCTGGACACTCTATCCTGCTCTAAGCTACTATCAGTGCAGATGGCTGCTCATGCAACATGCAAAGTCCGAGGGGTCTTCAGGTTGAAGCCATACATTGCAGCGTTGTGACGGTGGTGGCGACCACCTTGGAGCTACGAGGCTGCACATGAAACGCGTCCCGGCGATCTGTGCGTTGAGACGCGTCACACAAGCTATCCATTACGGCATTATCCGCGTGGCGTCGCGTGGGGATAGGGATGGGATGGGATGGGATGGGATGACCTCCACTTTTTGGATGGACATTTGGACACGCAGACATTGCACAAGGTAGCTAGCCAGCCAGCAGGATCAGCTTGCACGAGCTCAATAAGTGATTGTCCGCACACGGTCATGGCTACCCCGAGGATCAAACGAGCCAATAAGGTGAGGCTTATCCGCTCCTGACATGGTCCACGTTCGACCGAAGGACTTAAATCCTTTAGGCTTCGATGAAGGATCTGGCACCTGACTTACCGAAGGGGATCCAAGCCGGAGATGCTTCGTGAGCGAGCAGCAAGGTCCTGCAGAAGTGCATATAGTCTGACTAGGTCTGATCATTAGCCCAATACTCTCCCTTGTTTCTAGCTCAGAGCTCGCTTCGTCGTCCAAAGATACCATATACGATTTATACGACAGCAATATATCGAATATGTGAGCTAAGGGATGGCATCACATCAACTCGCGAGGAGACCCCCCTGTTGATGTCTCCTCCCTGATATCAAGATCGGAAGGATCTTCCGTGACGTACAGCAGGGCCGAGAAGCGTGGAGAACTATTCCATGCCGATTCTCGGTTCTTGATCCTCAGCACATCACCACCTTACCCCGGCAGTAATGATGATCCATCGCCGCGCATGCCTGGATCTTTACCGCCGGACAAAGGTAAAGGCAAGGCTCGAGCGACAGGTGTGAACATATCCCCTAGTGAATTGTATGGATTCTGTATGTTTCGTTTCGATACGGAGGAAACATTGACCGAGGACGACGTCGAGGTGATTTATTGGTGAGTCACAAAGTGAAATCCCCTTGCGATCGATGGTCGTCTCTCTAAAAAAAGTTTCTCTAGCTACGAAATTCAATTGTCCTCCAGAGCCCGTGGTAAAGGTCTCGGGACTATCTTGATGCGTCATTTGGAAGATATAGGCAGGCAGCAAGGCATGGCCAAGGCAATGTTGACGTGCCTGAAGAGTGAGCCTGTCTGTTGTCTCAGACGCTGGGCACACCTCTCATTGGGTGTTCGTCAGGAAATACAGCAGCGTTATCCTTTTATGCTAAGCAAGGGTGAGCTAGAAGCCCACGTAAACGCAGAAACCCGCCGATGATGATGATAGATATATGCCCGACGAGATCGACCCGACGAACATGGCTGAATCAGACGAATGGCAAGAAGTCGATTCAGATGGAGAAATTGCGCCGATCCCTGAGATCGACTATTGCATCCTGAGCAAGCATCTACATGCATCTTGAGGTCATGGGTAGCAGCTAGGGGCCTCCACTATAAGAGATGCAGCTATTTGTTTGAAGCGGACAGAAGCACATTCTCAATCGTCTCACCGCTAACGGCAGTCTCATCCAGGCTCGGTCTGCCATGCGCTTCAAGCCAAGCTGGTAGACCGTCGACAAACTGAATCAGATCATTGAGCTTTGATGGCTTATTAGCGAAAGATTCAACTGACCTTGCGAATCGCCTCTCTGCTCTCATCTGTCTGCAACCCCCATATACGTTCGGCATACGTCCAATCCCTCTTCCGCCTCTTCAGCTTCTGACTCGTCGTTGTCGACCGATTGGCTCTAGGAGCTCGAATTTCCGGTAATCCATCTTCTACAGGTATAGATCTGCTCTTCATCCCGGATGACGTCTGCGCATTCCTTAGTGATCTGGCTGTCGAACCCGACGGTGAGGCGCCTGGTCTGAGGGCGAAGAATGCCGAGGTATCTAACCGTTTCGATCTGGTCCGAGGCGTCTCATCCAGCTCTTCTGTCGCAATGGCTAGATCCACACCTTGGCGAACACCGAATTTGACCCGCTTCGTCGGTGTTCTCTCCTCCTGACCATCTACTTCCATTGCGTCTTCGTCGATCATTGCAGCTTCAGCTTCAGAACCCGCCCGTATCTCATCTTCCTTCACAACACCATCTTCCTCATCATTCTTCTTTTCCGTGACTCTGCCGCCTCTGAGCGCACTTCTCACTCGCCTCGAACTTGGAGTAACGCTCTGTCTCAATGGGGAACCTGTAGAAGGCTCATGTTGATGTTTTGGCGTGTTCGGAGGACTACCTCCTCCAGCAAGACCGCCCTTGACTAAACCTGATATGTCTATTCCCGACGAATACTTGAATCGCTTTCGAGGTGTCGAAAATGGACTAGGTCCAGATCCTCTTTTCTCGCCAGTGTTCGCGACTTGGTCGGCGTCTGCCTGATCTGCATGACTCCGAGTTGACCTTGTGGACCTAGTGGAAGGGCTAGCTGATGAACCTCGTCGAGAAGTCGATGCATCTAACGATGGATCACCCACAGAGGCCGATTCGAGGATCCTCCGAGATTTCAAGAGGGCCGACTTGAACCTCGCGGGAGAGACAGACGAAGCTTTCTGAGCCGAGGACTCCACGAGGTCCTTACTCTGGACCCTGAAGATTATGAGTCAGCGATCCCATCCCATGATTCGGTCCATGCGGGGGGCTGCTCACCTCTCGCACCCTAGCAAAGCGGAGATCCCCACTAGGGCAGCTCTCTCTTCTGGAGGGAGATCGTTCCCTCGTCCTGGTGCTGTGAGATTTCGCAGAGTCGATAGAATCTGCGAAGCGATAGGCAGAGCGGGATGAAGAGCAGATGGGAAGAGTGGGACGAGTTCCTTGGATGACATGCTAATCGAGGACTGTGAAAGCAGTGCGGGCAACCTGAACACATGGACGGTCGAATGTAATAATTAATAAGATCGTCCGGAAAGAGAGTCGCGCCGCGCCGCCCGTTCGAGACATTTGGTCCCGCTCATAGTGCCCGGAATACTATGTCACGTCCATGCATCCATCGACTCGACAGTACAACAGTATAGATGAGAGATACAAAATGCGCAAGAGGTACAGATTACGACCTTGATGAACCAAGATGGAAAAAACAGGAGCACATATTAAGCAGCCAAAGCGACCCGTTCCTCTTTTCTCGCTTCGAGCGCTAAATCGTATCAGTGAAACCCAAAGATGAGTGCTGAGGCCCGCTCGCTTCGCTCACCCGGCTGCTGCACTTTGACAGGCTCCATAGGCTCGGTCTGAGGAGCCTCTGGTAATGTGACTGGTTGTTGTTCCGGTACAGAAGGTATTGCGGGCTGCGGCAGACGAGCTTTAGGAAACCACCCCCATTCTGCACAGGGACGTACGAAAGCTTCGCGTTCCAGCTGAGCCAGCTCTTCTTGTACTGCTTCTTCTTCCTCTGGTGACATTCTCGACATGAGCGCTTCGTCGATCTCCTGGAAGAAAGTCAAAGTATCAGTATTACCTCCCTAGACGATGGAGAAGTCTTTTTCTCTGACCCGTTGATATTCAATCCCTTCTCTCGTCTCTTCCATCAATTTGTCGACTTTTTCCAGAGACATTTCCGATTGAAGTTGTTTCAATACCTCATTCCCTACTGATATACCATGTAAGACTGCAGCTTGGATTTGACTGAACTCGATTGTAGAGACCTGGCGCAAGAAGCATCAGCCGTGAATGTAACGAAACGCGAGCACGGTTCATGTCTTGACGCCGCGCCGAGATTCCCTCCTTCCCCTAGACTCTGCGACCCATGCGAAGCACCCAGATGGCCCACATGCACACGACTCACCAGTTCTTGCAAAGTTTGCAGCTGTCCATCCGTTTTGGAAAGCAATTGTTCCTGGTATTTACGCTGCCGCAGTGCTGTCAAAGCGCGTTTCTGTGAATCCCAAAGGTCAGCAGATGCAGATGACGATGAATCTTGCTCAGACCGAATCCAATTAAGATTAACGTCGGTACATCTAGAACCCCAACCTTGTGGCCACAGATCTGGACCCAACCCACCTTGTTGCCTTCCTTCAAAGCCCTCTTCGCGATCTCCTGCTCTTTGTCCAGAACGGCTTGAAGCTGGACCCAGGTTCAGCCCCCAGTTCATAACACTCATCTTAATCATGACTCTCACCCGCTTCTGATACTGCTTGAGCTTATCTCTCTGTAGCTTCAGGCTGGAGAACGAGCATCAACAGACGAACTCCCGCTGTATTTGGTGGCCAAGATACTACCGCCCTACTCACTCTAGTATGGCTCGATCCTGCTGTGTGATCTTTGGTCCAGGTTGAGCCAGCCCGACCTTCTGTAATGCATTATGTAGATATCCCATGTCTGTGGAGTGCGATCAATCTAGGATGAGAAAACAGCGTCCTGGACGTCGCTCGAGATACGATACCGTCATGTCGTCAGTCTTTCGGACATCGCCGCCGATTATGGTACTCGGCATGCGGACGTCCCGTTGAAAGCCAGAGTTCTGCAGTAGTTCACTTACTTCTTTTGTCGCGTCAAGGCGGTGGACTCATTGGCCATAGTCACCGTACATCAGCTCAGTGAGGAGACTGCTGGCTTTCTTGTTTTCGGAAAGTCTGAGAGAGGGCTCGACCCGCCGCCAAGATGTCAGGCTCAATGTTCGGAGGAATTTCCATTGCGGATCGCTTGAAAGCCGCTGTGAACACGCTCGAACAAACCGGGTCATCGCTGCAAGCTCAGGCCAGGGCGATGAGCCAGCAGCAACAGCAGCAGCAGCAGGGCCAACAGGGTCAAGCATCAGGATCACAGTCTAGTGGAACGCCTCGACCTGATTCACCCTCTGTCTCTACGAGTCAAGGCGGCTCCAAAGGCGTCGCATGGCCTTTGACCTCTGGGCCTGGAGCTCCTGGTTCCCCTGCTCGGTCCACACCTGTCCCTGCTGGGAGTAGCTCGGTAGCCGCGGGGCCAAGTACTAATAGTCCTAGTTCTGCTACGTCGCCGACTAGGGCTGGGACATACATCTCTCACGCTGCCGGAGACGCATTTACAGGTCTCCGTAAATCTTTACATTTTGGAAGAAGCTCTATCGATTCAAGTCCTGTCCCTTCTTTTTCTTCACCGAACACTCAACAAGGTGGATCATCACCGGCTCAAGAACTCAAAGACATACCTCATGTCGATCATCAACCTCGCCCCACTACTCCTTCTAGACTCCTCGGCGCATCAGCACCATCTTTCACTCTAGGTTCCGGCCCCTCTTCACTATCCAATACTCGGTCTCAATCTCCTCTCTCCCACGCTGCTCAGATACCTCTCCCGAAATTTCCACTACATGCCCTTCATACAGAAGCCGATCTACCTCGTCCAGATCCTTCTGATCCCGCCACGTACCCTTTACCTCCTTCCCCGACTCTATCACCTTTACTCTCTGTACCGCCGCTTTCTGCAGGATTCAGCGATCCACTGGGTGCTTCACCGAATTTGGATCCAGTGATCAGTGTAGACGTACCAACCGTGGAGCTCGTCGCTGCCTCCAAGGAATTGGAGAATGATGGTATGGCTTCAACGGTGGATAAACACTCAAGTCGCGGGGAGAGGAAAGTTAACGGGGACGTCGTGCCAAATGGTATCGGGCTCGGCGTCGACGGGGTAGATCTGGCGGGTATGGAGAATGGCTCAGCCTCCGGCTCCAGTACTGCCGTCGATGCCGCAATACCAGATCCGGCAAAGGATCTCGAGACTGCTAATAGTAGACTAAAAGGTGAGCTGAACGTTGCTATTGACCCATCCCAAGATGCTGAGGCACTTCATATTGAAGATCTCTCCTCCCAATATTCCACACTACACGCTCAAATGACGGCCGCGGATAAAGTCCTCAAAGACCTCACCCCGCTGGAAGGTGGTGTAGCCGATCACGAAGCGTTAGAAGGCTGGGTGCGCATGATGAACGCCAAGGTGGTTATGATCACGGAAGAGATGAAGAGATTACAAGGGCAGATTGCTCGTGAGTCTTTAGCTCACGTCGTACTGTAGTCTGACGAGCCTTCCCCTTCTAGTTCAAGGCGCTCGAATGGAGGAAATTCGCGATACACACCGTCTAGAAGGCACATCTCAAGGCGAACTCATTGCCAAACTCCGTACGCAACTCTCTACTGCCGAGTCCAATCTCGCCGCAAGAGCTACCGAGTTATTGATGCTGTCCAACCTCAAGACCGAATTGAGTAAAGCACAGACATTAGCTAAAGAAGAGGAAGAGAAACGGACAAAGGCGATCTCACTGCTGAAAACAGTGCGGATGAAGCTTGTCAAGGTGGAAAAGGAAAAAGAGGAGATCGAAAGAGATCGAGCGGAGGAGAGAGCAGAGAGGAGCACAGCCAAGGACGAGTTGGAGAGATTCAGAGCGGACAGGGAACGCGAAGTGACGGCGTTGAGGAGAGGCTTCGAGAAAGAATTGACGATTGCGAGGGAGAGACACGAAAAGGATCTAGCGGCGAAACGTGCAGCCTGGGAGCTAGAGATGATCACGACAAAGGTGAGACATGGCTTTCATACAACAGGGTCTATACTGACGCCACCAGGCGGCACACGCGAAGGAGCTCTCCGGCAAGACTATCAAGGTCAATGGTCTCGAAGCGATTGTCAAGGAACTCAGCGCGACTAAGCAAGATCAATTCCAAGAGATTCAATCTCGTCAGGCGGAGGTTGAGATGAGCCGAGCAGAGCTAGAAACCTTGCGTTCTCGAACGAAAGATTTGGAATTTCAACTGCGCGAGGTCAATGAGCGATGTGCCATGTTGGAAGATGCCTCGGGATCTGGTGCCGGTCCTTCGGCCTCAATGGACAACGCTCCGGGTCGAGGTCGAAATCTGCGGGTTGCTTCGGATTCTTTCGGTGGCCGAAGTGCTACACCATCGCCCACGCGTGGCTCCCAATCCACTTCTTCTGTCGACGTTCAGCGCCTCTTGGCCGAAGCAGAAGCTCGATCGGAAACCAAGGTTGCTGATCTACGATCAAAGATTCGATCATTGGAGAGTGAACGCAATGATATAGAGGAAGAATGGGCCATCAAATTGTCGGAGAGGGTTCGGGAAGTTGAACGGTTAAAACGTGTCATTCAGGAGAAAGATGGAGAGTACGCAGAGAGTCTCCAAACGACCAAGGGGAAGGAAAAGGTCATTGAAGAAGGGATCGAAGCGAGGAAAGCCTTAGAAAAGGAAATCAGGGCATTGAAAGCTCAGCTAGAGGAATCAAGGGAAGAAGTGGAGGGTGCATTGGATGCAGAGGTGAGTTTTGAGAAGAATTTTGGGCGAGACGGGAGAGGTTTCGATCCATGTTCTGACGGGTCATTGGGACTTTCTTTCAGCGCCTGGTCAAGGAAGAGCTTGCTGCTATTCAAAGTCAAATCGCCGACCTAAAATCCCAATTGGAAGATTCGAAATCATATGGAGTCAACCTCAAAGCGCATAATAAGACGCTCCGTGAAGAACTACGCAAAGTTCAATCATCCGTTCAATTGTTAGAACGACAACGGAATCCTGGCGTAGGATACTGGAGCGCATCTACAGCAAGTTCGAACGCAAGTTCGAGTTCACCTTTGACGCATGGTCTTCCTGCGCCTCTGTCTCGCGGGATGACTGATGGAGCCGCTGGCGCATCGACACCTTTGTCGAAAGACAAGGTGAGACCTAGCTTGGAGAGCTCCAGGTCGGAAATCAGTAAAAGTACGACGACGGCGGCGGGTATGAGTGGACACTCAGATGGGGATGCCTCAGCCGGCTCCAACTTAAAGGCCACAAATGATCCAAGAAATCAAGATGAAGAAGAGGTCAACTTGGAAGTGAGTGGACTTCTTTGGTCCAAAGTCACCCAACCCCCCTTTACAACAAGACATGTCAAAATGAGCTGACTTTACACCTTTTTTTTTCTTCGCTTTCGCTCGCAGTATCTGCGTAATGTCATTCTTCAATTCCTTGAACACAAGGAAATGAGACCGAATCTCGTACGCGTTTTATCTGTCATTCTTCGGTTCACACCGCAAGAATTGCGTCGACTCAATGCCAAGCTCTTGACGTGAGGCTTAGAAGCATCTGCATCAATACAGCGCTCTGTCCAGCGCTTTGAGCGCAGCATAGACAGCATGCATGCATTCTTTCTTGCATTTCGTCACATGCTGGCGACCTGATTTGATCCGATCTGATCTGATCTGACGGGTCAGGGCGACGAGGCTACAGAAAGGTAGTGGTATAAAGTTTGGACTTGTACAGACTTATACTTTTTTGAGCTTCGACTCGCACTCTTTGCCCGGGTCTCGCCTGAACTCGCCTCGCCTCGGATTCCCCGGCCTACACGCCCCATCGCATGGCAAGACTACTCAAGACCACACTGACACTACTCAACGCCATCAATACTGCGCTCCAAACGGGTGTCAATCGGATTCCTCCGGCAGGGTAAAAGATACCGGCAGCGAAGGGTATACAGACCGTATTGAACATGATGGCCCAGAGGAGGTTGAGACGTTGACGGTTGTATACCTTTTTGGAGAGTTTGAAAAGGGTAGGTAGAGTCGAGAGGGTAGATGAGAGGAGCACAAAGTCTAAGAACGGTAAGTGAGCATCAAAGCAGAGCAGAGCAGAGCAGATTTGGCGAGACTGAGGATGGATAACTCACCAGATCCCGCTAAGACCGCTTGAGATCCATGTCCCATGGCGACAGATACGTCTGCAGCAGCCAACGCAACGGCGTCATTGAGACCGTCTAAAGACACAAGCCAGGCGAGCGTCAGCGACCTATTCGCGGATGCTCTCTCTCTCTCTCTCTCTTACGGCGGTGCCACTCACCACCGACAAACATGATTTTGGATCTCGGGACAATAGGTTGCTTTGACTTATTTCTCCCCTTCCCAGTCCAAGATACCACCCGTTCGACAAGTGATCGATTTGAAGGTTCCGCATATGGAGAACCACTAGATCCTTCTTGTAGCTCCTTGATCGTATTTGCCTTTTCGATTGGCCCGACACCTGCTCTCACATTTTCTTCAGGAATGCCTACCATCTTGGCGACTGCTCTCGCTGTCGAAGGAGCATCACCCGAGAGCATCATGATACGTATACCGCTCTTTTGAAGCTGAGACAGAATCGGTTGCGCAGATTGACGAGGCGGATCCGAGAGAGCGAAGCTGGAAGTGAGGACGAATTGAGCAGAGAGGGAGGAAGAAGATTTGATAGCGACAAGTACGACAGATTTGGCTTGTCTGAACCATTGTTCCATGTGTGATATTTGTTTTGTGCTCAGAACCAAATGGTGATCAGAGAGTAAGGCTGGATTCCCAATGAGGAGTTCGAACGATTGGACGCTGTGTTGGGGCTTGACAGTCGCGCGGATACCTCGTCCGGCGATCTCCTCGCTTGACAGTACTGCTGCAAAGCTGGACTGCGATCCAGTACTTTTATTTCCCTTTGACTCGAGAAACTCCACTAAGCCCTTAGCCAGAGGATGGGTCGATCCCCTTTCGATATCCAATATGACCTTCTCCAGATCATGTCTCGGTAGACTTTGCCATTCGTCATCCCCAAGCCAATGCCTCTCATCCGTCACTCGACTTTTCCCCTCTGTCAACGTGCCCGTTTTGTCCAGGACGACCGTGCCGACCTTGGTAGCGGCCAAAAAGGCTTCTCCACCACCACTGGCCAAGATGCCAGCTTTCGCCGCAAGTCCGTTCCCCACTGCGTTTGCACATGGGACAGCGAGACCTATGCCACACGGACAAGCCACAACCAACGTGGCAATGGCGAATTCAATGGCGTAAAATATAGCTCCTCCATTTCCATCTTGATGTTTGGAGAGATGACCAGTCAGGGCAAGGCTCAACCAGGTAATGAGGACGATGAGGGAGATATACACGATAACAGGGACGAATACGCCTGTGAGGCGTTCCGCCAACTTTTCGATGGGTGCTTTATGCGCCGAGGCGTTGGAGACGGCTCCGATGATATTATCTAGCATCGTTTCTGTCGGAAGGGACGTCACTCGAATAGTAATGGCGGAAGACAGATTCGTCGTTCCAGTGTAGATAGGGTCGCCAGGTTGTTTGGAGATAGGGTGCGATTCGCCAGTCAAGGACGATTCATCGAAAGTTGTGTTTCCAGAAACGACGATTCCATCCGTTGGAGGTAGAGATCCAGGAGGGACAAGTATGAGGTCGTCCTTTTCGAGATGATCCACAGAGATGTTCCGAGTCTGTCCCAGAGTCTCCTCATCTGATGGTGACTCCACAGACGCCTCATCCTTCTCATTCGCGCTCTCGTCGTTCGAGCCCGGAGCGTGTCCAGCCGGTGACCCACTGGTCTTTTCGCATTCTGCACCGCCAACCAATAATGTAGTATCAGGTCGAAGTTGACCCAGTAGACTGATCGCATCGGTCGTCCGACTCCTCGCATACGCTTCGAGCGTCCGACCGAGCAAGATGAACATGATCAAAAACACGCTCGAGTCAAAATATGTGCCGATCGATTTGGAAGTGCGGGACGATCGGACATCGATGATAAGCATGGCTATGGAGGAGAAGTAAGCGACAGAGGTCGACAGAGCCACGAGGAGATCTAAAGTTTGATTTGTCAATCACCTTATACTACACAGTGCGACTCACCCATGCTGCCGAAATTGAACAGTGATCGCCAAGACCAACGACCTGAGTGTGATTTACTGGACCTAAGAGATCCTTTAATTTTACGATAGATGGGAGTGAGAGATCTAGCGTAGAATAGCCTAAGTACGTACGGTCAGTGAGGGTCAGGACGGCGCCTCGATGGGCCTCCCGGATAGCTCGGAACTTGACCGCTCACCTTCCAACACCGAACTGAATGATCGTAGCCAGAGGCCATAGGATCAATGTCCCTGCGTTGGCTGCTCCCCATCTCGGGCTCATCAGCCATTCTTTGAAGTCATTTCCATGCGGGAGCAAGATCATTCCGACCACAGCCCTGCACAGCGTCAGAAAACGACGCGCTTCATGAGTCCGAGGGGTGCGGATCTTACTCACACGACAAACGTTGGGATTGCAAAGACGATAGCGGCGACCAGATGGGCCGCCAGTGTCCTGACTTCCCTAGCTTGGATATCTCTACTTCGTTCCGATATTGACCTAGGTTTGAGGATGTGGCTCTCAAACTCGGGGGCGAGGGTATCCAGAAAGGTCAAGATCTGCCTTATGGTGATAATCTTGGGATCATAAGTGATCTTCGATGATGGATCCTTGAGCGAGAATGGAGTCGAGCGAATGATAGGAAGGTTCACCATAGCAGTATTGAGCTGAGAGATACACTTGTGACAGTAGGTTCCTTCGACCATGATGTGAATCGTTCGCACCGTGGTATCGGCTTCGGGGGCGACGTCGATTCCTTTGAAAAGCGAGTCATCCGTAAGAAGACTTGACACTTCTTTCGCTTCGTATCCGAGATTTTCGATAGTCTCGATGAGTTGAGAGATGGGCAGGGATCCAGAATGAACAATGACGGCACTGTTGCCCATGACATCGATATTGACAGATTCGATACCTGATAAATCTCGGAGAGCCGTGGAAATGGCGTTGGAGCAAGAGGAGCAGGTCATCCCTTCGACGCTGAACGTGGTTCTGAATGAGGTGGATCGAGCATCGACATGATCACCATCCGTGTCCACGCCATCTTTTGCTGAATCCTTTTGTACCACTGACGGCTCCACGACGGTCGAAACGACTTCTGCTTCGTACCCTAGATCTTCAATCTCTTCTGCAATGTCCTCAGGTGCAAACTTTGCATAGTGTCGAATAGTCCCTGAGGAAGACAGCAGATCCACATCGACTGATATGATCCGACTGTCTGATCGGAGAGAGTTGCTGATCGTTTGGACGCAAGCCGCACAGGTCATTCCGGAGATAGAGAGAATCGTCTTGGTCACATCGACTCCACCAAAACTGCGTTGCGTAGATTCAGAGGCGTCCTGAACAGCAGCAACAGATGCAGATGTTGGGTTCCGCTCTTCCTCCTGGCAGACATCGCAATGCGCTAGATGTTTGGCCCGACGTTCTTCCTCTGCATCTTGCTTGGGTCGTCCTTTGGAGTTTGGCTTGAGCCAGCGGAGGATGTTTGAGCGAGTGAAGTCGGTGGTCGATCCTTTTTCGTTACGATCCGAGGATACCTCTTGACCCACTTGCTCCACGACAAAGCCTCCTTCAAGAACCAACAGCTCCTTAACTTTGGCGATGATGCCAGCCGCTGACTTTGGTTTGAGAGATCCCCCTATAGACGTATCGATGGAGAAGGTCACGGATCGAACGAGGAGGGAGACGTCAAGTTGCGATATCTGAGGGACGGACGATAAGATGGAGGTGATGCTTTCGACACAGGATGGACAGTGCATATTGGGTATGAGGAGTGTACATCGTGGCAGGTGGTAAGGGATGGAGTTTGGTGGTGACGACATCGTTTGGGGTGTGATATCAGCAAGAACAGCTGTGGTCCGGTTCGTCGTCACCGATGCACTGATTCCCAATCAGTTAGAAGTGTCTGCTCTGTAAGCAAGGTATCGACCCAGTGGCCAAATGATGAGTATGACTGAAGGACCACCACCCCCTACATCAACTATCTATATATATACATATGATTATGCATTCGACCCTGCGAGACTTTCGCGGTTCACCTCCACTTTGGTTCAAAAATCGCACAAATTGCTCACTTCAACGGAAGCAAAATACACGTGGCGAGGAAATGCTTCCGTTTTCCCCTAGGTGAGCACCCTTTGACAAGGCTAGTATGCTCATCGAGGTGATGACTTGGGGATCGTCGAGCTCAACTGAAAGAGGGGGGCGGGGGGGTCCCATCCAAGTCCAAGACCTCGGAAAGGGGGCTATGAGCTAGCCAACTCGAGCGTTTACGGGGATCGTTGGGACTGGGGACCACCTTGCTCTAACCGGATTAGCCAAAAAGGAAAAAATGTTTTACCGGAATAGGAAAGTGTGCGCTGTTTCATTCGGTTCAAACGCGTGAGGGGGGGGAAGTGGTGTGTGTGGGAGGGCCGCATATCTATTTGCAGCGATTGCCAAGTGTGTCAGGAGCCATTTACAGCATCACCGGGTGAAGTAGTGGCTAGGTATGCAGGGCAGGGCAGGGCAGGGCAGGGGGGCAAAGATGGGAGGGGAAAATGCACGCGTACCTGAAGCCGCCACAACCTGTCAATTGAGAAGGAGGGGGGGGGGGGGGTGTTGTTGAAGAGAGGGATACAGCCCTCGCCTCCCGCCAGCCAGCAAAGCCAGCCTGCCAGTGGTGCCACCACCTCCCCCTTCCTGCCGTCTTGTCTGTGTGGGCGGACCCAAAGATCGGGTCCTCTCTTCCGCTCTCTCTCTCTTTTTCTCTCTCTGTTTCCGGGGTGTCGAGATATTCAACAGGATCGGAACAGGAGTTCCGGTCACTGAGGTAAGTGAGGTGAGTGAGGCGTCGATCTCCTTGCTAGCACAGAAAAGGGAAAGACAGAGAGAGGGAGGCAGAGAGGAGGAAAAAACCTAACAAACAGGGTTTCAAAAGGAAAAAAGTGCGGAAACAGTAGTTAGCAGCATATAATACCCTGGGGGGGGGAATTTGGGGGAGGGAGCCTCGGTCAGTGTGTTAGACACACCAATCAAATAGAAACATCCCGTACCGTAGACCAACTTTCATCTCTTCTCTCTCTCTCTTCCGCATCTTCATAGACATTGACATTCATCCATATTCATTCCCTATTCCTGCTCTTCCCTTGGGACACATTCAGTGTGGCGAGGTCGAGTTGGACTGGATTCAACCCTCGCGTTTCTTTCGTGTGGACGGGCATTTTTGAGCATCTCCTTTCAACCGAACACACCCACACACCCACCCACACATACCATATATCAACAGGAACCATCCAACCTGGGAATCTTTTCGCGCCCCTCTTGTTGTTATTTCTGCATTCTCGCTGTATCGAGGAGAAAGGGATTCAAAAAGGAGTGAAGAAGAAGATCTCAACTCACCTTCATTTGCATTGGCATCATCGCATCACATCACATCACAACGATACCATACCATCTGCACCCAATCACTCTTGACGAACCTTCTACGCGATCCGACTACTTGCCTGCCAATTGACACGAACTCCCCAGTTTCCTGGACGAACTAGTTGATGACGAGCCTTTGCTCTTGACGATTCCCTCTTGTGTTTCAAAAGGTGAGTGTGTGTGTGTGTGGACGTGAAAAGCGTCATCCAACCTGAAACACCACTACAAATCCCCCCTTTTTACCCACATCTCTCTGCACTGATCGCTGTACCTCGGAACACACTCCTCTCTCGCCTCGAATGGGTGTCCCAAAGGGAGGTCGTTGCTGCTGCTGGATTTATTAGCGTGTTGCATGGTGCACAACACGTCTCTCTAGAACTCTTTTCTATCCTTATTCATGAAGATGAAAGACTGACATCTTCGCTTCCTATTCACTTAACTCCACACGTCGGGCCCTCTTCCTCTACAGCTGCTATCTTTTATCACAGTCTCAGCGACACCACCACCCTCTCCTTTCTCTCTTCTCTTTTCCCTAGGATCGTCGACCTTCCACGTCCAATCTCCCCTCCCTCTTCATCTCATTCCCTCTGTGTCTCCTTACAATCAACCCGAATCTCGACGACCTGGACAACTCTCAGTCTTCCCTCAGGAGGCGATCAGATTTGCAGAGCAAACATACGGCTCTCAACTGACCGTTGCGCGACGCGATCAAAGGGTCTTTGCCCCATTCCTCGAACATCATATCTCCTTTGGGACTCTTTTCCTGGAAAATCACCTCTTTTCACCTGGACCGTTGAAAGGATTTCGACCAACGTCTGCGCCGCTCAAGCCTACAATACATATATGGACGGATCGCCTCGCGTCCAACCCCTATAGATTATCGTTCACATTCAAACGGTTCTGGTAACCTTCTTGCAACGTCGAGCTGGACTCGTGGATTCAATTCGACCCATTTTTACCCTTTTCATCTATAGTATAAATCATACTCTTCCCTTCTTCCCGCGCCATGGCCCAATCTGTGTTTCTGCCTCGAACCAATCTGCCCACTTTTACACCTCAGTCGCCTGATCCCACACCCTTGAGGACCATTGCGTTCTCAGTCGCCGAGTCGGCGCTTCAATCCGATCCTAACTCGCCTGCCCTCGATTCGCTCGCATATACTGGTCCTCGTCCGTTCATTCGCGGTCAGTGGCTCGATCAATGGACAGTAGAAGACCTCGAGAATGTCCCGGTGCCCTTGGACCCGCACTACGGCGGCAAGCGAGCCGGAGAAGGACGAAAGTTGATGAATGTGGTGGAGAGAGCTAAAGAGAGGAGGGAGCGTGAGAATCGTGAGCTCTTTTGGAGTCTTCTCACTTTGCAATCCGCAGCTTACATGAAACAGTGCCACCCTTGCGTACCAAGTCTTCATACCCTGCCCCCGCCAGTCCACCCTTGTCGCCTTCCTACAACTTTGTACTGCCTTCCAACTCACCCCTCGCCGCATCGATCGCCGCCACGCCTCGCCAGAACGAGTCTCACTTCACCCAGCGCACTGATATCCCCACTCCCCCCAGTGCGCTGAGACGGACTAATGTCGCTCCTACCCCACCTCCGAACGTCACACGACCACGTCCGCCTATCCTTACCGTGACGCCGCCGAGCAAGAAGACTGTACCGCTGTACACTCGCTCTGTTGAGCCCAGCCCAACGAGACCCATGTTCGGAGTTCAAAGTCCCACAGCATTGACATTTGCAAGCATGGACAAGCGAAACCCTCCTCCAGACTTTGTTCCTCGACTTTCAGCGACCGAACTCTCTGCTCGACTCGGATTGAATGAGTCTGCTCGTACTCGTCGTGACCCAACAGGCGAGTCTCAACTCGCAGTTGCCAGACCCCACCGCACGCTCGTCAAGCTCCCATCTCTCGCTCAGATCCAAGCCAAGGTATCCAAAACTGAGGATGATGCCCAACGTGCCGCGAACCGAATGGTCATTCCTCCCACGCAGGGTGTTCAAGGCCAAGGCGATTCGAGAGCTCCTCGTTTCCCCATGGCTACGCCTTGGAAGTCATATCGAAACGATTCTCAAGGATCTCTCGAGATCCTTCAGACGCCGACAGACGAACTTCCGCCCCTGACTCAGCCGATGGTCTCTGCCCTCAGTAGGCCAGCTACACCCCCTTCGCCAACCCTTCAACAGATGGGCAAAGACTCGCCTGGACTGGCGATGTTCCTTCGGCAACGCACCAGTGGTCGACTCAATCGATCCCGACCGCTTTCTATGCCTCCTTTGGCCGCTGGTGAATCCCTCAACTTTGATGCCTTCCTCCCTCCCAAAGCATCGCTTCCCCTGCCTACGCGATCCAACTCAACATCCCCTACTCGTCCTTTCCTCGCATTGACCGAGAATAGACTCCATCAGACAATCGCCAATCGACGATCTGTATTCATCGGAGGTGACATTGCGACGCCACCACATCGATCCATGTCTCTCACTCCCTCGCTCATCTCACCCACGGACTCTACCCGATCGTATCGATCGTCCTCGAGTGGATCTCCCACGCTCCCAGTACCCATGATCACTTGCACACCTGCGCCTGTCCGCATGCTCAAGGACGGCGTGGAGCAAGATTCAGACGAGGAAGAAGGGGATGTAGTCTTGTTTGAACGTGAGGACGAGTGGAGTGATGATGTCGATGAGGAACAAGTGGAGGATATCCAAAGGGAGCAACTGGCCAGGATGATGAAGGCAAAGTTGGGTCTCAGGCGACCATCCCAGTGAGAGGGGTAAAGTAGCGCACATGGACATTTGGCAAAAACATCAACTATGGACAATCGAAAGAGAAGTAAATGTGGAGAAGAGAGGAACACAACAAGTATCGACATGGACACTTTGGACTTGGAATCTGAGATTCAAGCAGGCAAGAAGGTGAAGAAGAAGAAGAACAGAAGGAGGAGGAGATCAAGCAGAGACGGGTCATCGGAGAGGGATCGCTTTGCAAGCGCCGTTCTCATTCCTCATCTCCTCATTCTCATGGAGCGTGAGCAGTCCCACTTTTTCGTTCATTCAAACTCTCACACGTCTGGGAATCATATCTTTCTGCGCATGCTTGCTGCCTAGGTACAGCGCCTTTCTCGCTCATTATGTAGCTTTTGTGCAATAGCGATAGCAATAGCAATAGGATGCATGTCACGTTCATTGAGCCATGATTATAACGTTGAGAGGGAGGCGATTCAGCTGATGAATCTCCGCTCTGTCGGCTTTTGCAGCCAATCTTGGCCTAGGAAAATTATAATAATCAGATGAAATGTTGTTGAGGGGTTTTGAGTTTTGAACGATATTCTCCCTGCAGATTCACCGTGACGATGGCTAGACCGCGCCGTGTACCATGGGCTTCCAAGTCTGACCTTGTAGACATGTACGAACTTCTCTTCTCACCTGAGAGTGATGCGCCAACACGAGCTAGGGGAATGGCAAGAGTAAGTCGTGCAACCGAGCGAGTCAGCGTTAGAGAGCGACATCGAGGGAGAGGCTGCTCCAGCTATCATTCCCCTTTCGTTCGTTTGAATTGAACACTGACCTCTCCCTCAGATGTCAATCTATATCTCCAGTCCATCATGTCCGGCCTTTTTACCCCTCCTGCATTCTCTCATCTCCGCTGCCGAGACCCCGGAACCTCGGACCGCTGAAGAGCGACATCGAATGAGGTTAGTTTGCGCCATGGCCATCGTTCGATTCGTCAATGGTCTAGTCGACCCTTTGCAGACAGGTGAGCAGGATTTCAGTTGTGTATGAACGGTGTGTAGCGATGAGCTGATGAGCTGACGCTCTCGCTCTCTTCCTTTCATTCAGGACCATACGCTCGGCCTATAGCTCATCTTGCAATCTCTCTCCGTCTTCCTCCTTCACTCATCTCACTCCGACATCGAGCGACTCATGAGGATCTTCCACCCTTAGATACTCTTCTCGGAGCCGTCAAGCAGGCCATACAGTATTTGCACGATTCTTCCTTCGTCCCGTTGATCTCTCAAGATCCATCGTCGACCACCGCCCAGATGGCGCGAGGCGGAGGCGGGGACAGACCAGCGGATAAATTGATCAAGCGATGGAAACGAGTCAACAAATCTCGTCTGAGAGAGAAAGAAGTAGGAAGTGAGAATGCTTCAGGGAGAGAAATACAAAGTATCAAGAGGGATCTAGAGAGGATCGACAAGGCTGAATTGGTCGAGGCTCTCGTATCGCAAGGCGGTTTGGTCCCACTGGCCGAATCGAAGCGACCCAGTCAAGACGGAATGGCGCCAAGTGATGCTTCGTTGCAGATATGGTCCCCGCTTTTGTCATCTCTGGTGGAGCTGCACCCGGATTTTATCGACACACTTTCACATCGTATACTCGATGGAGTCTCACCAATTTCAGAGCCCCTGGAACCCAAAACAACAGAAACGCGAGATCGCGATGGATCGTATAGATGGGGGCTGGCAACTTGGCTCTTGCATCTATGGACAAAGGACGACGAAGCGGCTTTATCATTAGAAGCGAAACGGGATCTATGGAAGACGCTTCTGGGATGTCTGGTCACCAACGACCCACAGTGAGTCGAGCTTTTGCTGCGCCGCGATATCTGCTCCAGCTGACGAAAGAAAACTAGTCTGCGCAGATTGTATTCTCAGCTGCTCGTCCTAGATTCTACGCTGAAACCAATCGCCCTTGGAGAGCTCTTGCGATTCACTGGAGCGGGTGATGACATGCAATTGGACGGCGAGGAGAATCTGAAAGGCTTGGAAGAAGTCGATCAACCCCGGCCCCGAGTGTTGGAGAATGGGAATCTAGAAGCAAAACTCGCCGAGATGGATGATCGATTACGGCGTGTGAAGTCTTTGGTGAGTAGTCATTGGCTCTATTCCTGAAGACCTGCTGAGCTTCCGACATTCAGCGAGAGCAGGTCGACGATCGTCGCATACGGTCCGTGGTGGATGACGATTCTGTTGCTTCTTCTTCCGATCCACCAGGATGGCGCCGTTTGTCGAGACTTGAGTGGAGTAGCAGGCCAATCGGTCAGAGGATAACAGCATAATGCAACAACGTTGACGGGTGTCTCTCACAGAGATTCGCTATTCTGTTCACGCTCACTTGCGCAGCAGATGAAAGGATCCCCAACGTACTGCATCTCTACTGAACGGGCCTCAATACCTTAAGGCTGGTACCTGTGCCACTTTCCACTGACCACGGGGAATCACTTGGAAACTCTAACTCTGGCAGGTGATAACCCGTCCTTTCAATCCAAACCCCTTAGTCTTTTCGAGCAGCCCGACGTCATGGCGAGCTGCAAGCCACCTGTTGTAACGTCTTTCCTACAGCAAAGCGGCTCCCTTCGTCCTGACTCTTTACCGGTCACCACTGACGTGATTCTAACTAGCTGGGATTCATGATCCTTACCCTGGCAACGACTTTTAAAAACCCCATACACGCCCTATGAGCTCAAACTACTCGCAGTGGAATCCCGCGGCCGATGGTGAAGTGAGTGACCACGACTACATGAGCAGCGAGTTGCAGAACAACTTTCAAGTGAATGGACAGCCTCTCCCCTACTCGCGCCACTCCAATGAACTAAGATGTGTCCCTTGGCTCCTCCCGAACGAGGATCAATTCTTCGGCAGTGCTTGTCAGTGGCCCGGAGAACTTTGCGAGTCTTACGAGCCTTGCTGGGCCTTGAGCCAAGCAAATGCACAAACGAATGATCCTTTTGGGACAGCGCCACAATCATACTTGCAAAACGATGGCAATCCCCAGAACTGGCCGACGATGCTGCCTCAAGCTGCTCCATTGAACTCCGTCGCGGACTCATGCCTCGGCAGACCATCTACCTCACAGCTGTCTCACAGTTGTGAGTGCGATGCAGCGCGGCTCCAAGATCAAGCATTACATACCATGTCGTCTAGCGCGTCGCTAGGTGGAACGATTGTCTCTCGCCCTGGGGGATCACTGACCTTGAGCATGGCCACGGAAGCTGGGACACAGGCTCAGCACTGCTATGAGCACTACCATGCTTCATCGTATGCTCATCAAGGCGAGAACGAAGGCTTTGATCAAGCAATGACAGAGGTATCCTCGCCGCAATATCAGAGGAACCATGCTTTGTGGACTCAGTACCCTGAGCTTGGCACTCTACCACACCCGGCCGTTCCTAGCCCCAGCTCCCAAGACCACAGCGTTCTTTCATTCGAACAATGTGGCCCACGACCGGATTATATATCGGCAACACCCGTGCGGCTCCCACTGAGTGAAAATGGCCTTCCTCAAAGTGAAGTCAGACAGGTACACCAAACTTACGGCTCCGAGCTAAATGCGACGGCTTCGACCTCTGTGGCGGGATCAGGAGGCAAACAGGATACGATGGAAATGACGGACGAGTCGGATGGTCATGCTCCAGTCTCGGCAGCCTCAAAATCATCTGGGACAATCAAGCTCGTTTGGGCAGATCATCTGACTGCAGGTCAAAGAAGGAGTCATTCAATGCGTGCCTTCAAGTCGACGCAAAGAAGAGGACAGGGGCAGAAGGGCAGGAGTAAATCCAAGGTTGCAGGTCGGAAGAGTGCCACTTCCTGATCATTCCTTCACACTCACTTCAAGCCCTACTCTACACGCATCAGGGGCTGATCTGCCTTGCGTCATTCGCTTGAGCTCTATTGGGTGTGACTCGTGCGCGCTCCTTATCGTGCACTCCTTCGCTTCAATGCCGATTCTGACTTTGACAATCGAGCTTCCTTGTGATCCTAGAGTTCTCGACTGTCCTCGAATCGGACAGTGGTTTTAATGACGCATGCATGGCGGTGTGACAGTGACTGTTGCGGTCTGTATCAATGGAACACTTCGGATCGACGCAGATCCGGAGGAAACGTGAGCCTCTTCGATCGTACCTAGCATGATCAGACTGCGTAGACAACCTTCTCCGCGGAGATCTTTCCATCCCGATATAATTGGAAGCCATCGTGGATAGAATCCAGATCCATCAGCCGGACAGCATTCGGCTTGACTCTCCCCGTAGCCAGCCAGCTCGGTAGATGCTCGAAGAGCTCAATACCCAATTGACGGTCTTCGAAAGAGGCCTAGAGACGGTCATTCGAGTCACAAACACTGTATGTATCGCGTGTATCTCACTGGATATTTGAACTCTTTGTAGGCGTGATCTTTCAGAAAGACTGTCCATACGAGAACATCCGTGACCTTGACTCGCCTCTCAACATTGTCCGTATTTCCCTTCCCTGGTCGAACCGTACAGAGGCTACCCCCTTCTTGACGAACGGCTTTCGAGGCAGTAGCTGATGATGTTTCATTGCCAATGGTATCGAAGACGTATCGAAGATCAGATGCAGCCTCTCTGATTTTGTCCACGACTGATTCATCTTTGTAGTCAAAAACGTGATCGGCACCCAAAGACTTGAGTAGCTCGTGATTCTTTGAACTGGCGGTGGTGATGACTTTGAATCGTAGATGAGAGGCAAGTTGGATGGCATATTGGCCGACGCTCGCTGTGAGATTGACCAATTCAGCGGCGACTCAAAGGCAAGCCAAGTCACTAGGAACTCACAGCTTCCGCCCCAGATGAGTATCGAGGGATGAGATCCATCTCGAGGTATCGCCAAGCAGTCCTTTGACAGCATGGCCAGCCAGGCAGTCGTGCAGGCCAACGGTACGGTAGCTGCTTCTTCAGGTTTCACCTTGCTCGTCTCGACCTTGAAGCAGATACTCTCGTCGGCGTAGGTATGTGTCCCGTATCCTCCCAATCCTTTCTTCTCACCTAAGAAGAAGAAGAGTTCAGAACGCTGATGACGTGAGACGGCGAGAATCGCTCACCACCCCAAATCAGACCCGCAATCACGTCCCCCTTCTGAAGCCTCGTTGCGTTCCTACCGAATTCTTCTACAGCGCCTACAAAGTCACAGCCGAGGACTGTCCCATCTCCGAAGGCGCCGAGATCGAGAGACTGGACTGAGTTGTAAGTATCAGCGCAAAAAATCCAGCTTTCCAGCTTGCTCCTCCTCCTTTGTTCTTCACTCACCATCGGTAGGATTCTGAGCGACGTGACTGACTTTGACGAGGACCTCCTGGGGTTCGCGTTCGGGAAGCTGTACCTCCTTCTTGACGAGAGCCGGCTTTCCATTCTGTTCTTGCTGGACATACGCTAGACTCGAGACCATTTTTTGACCACAATGTATGAAAGTGAGTCGAATGAAAGGTCTGATGATGATGAAAGCAGACGACCAGCTTAATTTTGAGGGAGGATTGACATCATGAAAGTGGAGGTAGGATTACGACATCCCCCTTGCACGTGAGGGGAGCCGCTAAGGAACACGGCAGATGTACCTGTGGATCGTCAGAGTAAAGTCCATCTCGTCGAACGTATTCGAGTCATGAAGTTAGCTTCAGAGGCATCATGGCGAATCAGGTAGAGGGCAGTGACATTTGTGATCTCAAGCTTGAGCAAGTGGGGTGGTTCCAACCCGAGTGGGGTGGACTTTGGCGCGTCATTGGGATATATGAGATACTACGGGGGCGGAGGTCAAGGCTGCGATGGCATGTTCTCAGCCAATGACTAGCCTCGGCATAAGTGCGATCCATGTCTCCAGCAATGGCGTTCTGTCAATCTCCCTTGTCTCTCGTCGTGTTGTTCAGACAAGCGCTGCAGCTCCCATGATGGTCTGTCTGTATTTCCGGTATTTCCGCATGCCGGGAGGGACGGCCCGAACTTTGCCGGCGTACCAAGCCAGCTCCAACGCTGCAATGTATAATCAAGCATCCCCCAACTTCATACCATTCACCCTACAAACACCAGATAACACCCTGATTTACGATGTCTGTACCTACCGAGTTCAAACTTAACAATGGCATGACCATCCCTGCTGTGGGATTAGGGACGTGGAAAGCACAACCTGGAGAAGTGAGGAATGCCGTCGCTCATGCTTTGAAAGCCGGATACAGGCATATTGACTGTGCGGTCATGTATGGGGTAGGTGATTCGGTCGTTCTCATACGTATCATATCGCTGATCTCCTTTGCCTTTGCCTTAGAACCAAAATGAAGTAGCTCAAGGTATAGAAGATAGTGGAGTGAAGCGAGAAGATATCTTCATCACATCCAAGCTGTGAGCCCGGGGGAGGGGCCGGCCACGGGCCCGTGGATGGCTCCGAGCTCTATTGAGACTGATACGGTACAGCTGGTCCACCTATCACGACAGGGTAGAAGAGGATCTAGACAAGACCCTCAAACAACTCAACACAAGCTATCTTGATCTTTATCTCATCCATTGGCCTGTGTGAGTGTCGTGTCACAAAGCAGCAGATCGGGGGGGAAATGTCCATCTTCCCTCTGACTTGACCTGACCTGACCTCCCCTTAGCCGACTTGTTCCCGATGACAAAGGCACTCCTATCCCTCTCAAGGAAGATGGTAGCCGAGCGACTGACTGGGACTGGGACCAATCGAAAACTTGGGCTCAGATGGAAGATATGCTCGCTAAAGGCAAAGTCAAGGCGATCGGAGTGAGCAACTGCGGAATCCCCATCCTGGAACACTTGAAGAAAAGCTGGAAGACTGTTCCAGCCGTCAACCAGGTGAGCGAATGCCCCATCTCCCGCTCAGCTCACATGGGCATGGGCGGGGGCGGGGGCGGACGTACTCGCAGAGCTTGGCTCATCTCCGCCATAGGTCGAGATTCACCCTTACAACCCCTCGCACGAGCTAAAAGAATGGTGTGACAAGGAAGGTATCATCCTTGAAGCCTACTCGCCTCTAGGATCTACCGGGAGCCCGTTAGGCAAAGACGAGCAAGTCGCCAAGATTGCAGAGAAGCACAACGTCGCTCCAGCTACAGTCTTGATCTCGTACTGCGTCAACAAAGGAATCGTCGTCTTGCCAAAGAGTGTCACACCTGCTCGTGAATAGGCCGATCCAAGCTTTCATTCACTTCTAAGTCTGACCCCATGTACACAGGTATCGAGAGCAATCTCCAGGTCATCAAGCTTTCAGATGACGAGCTTGCAGTCTTTGACAAGCTCGCAGCTCAGGGCAAGCAGATGAGGATCAACTCGCCTTCGTGGATGTGCGACTTCGTGAGTTTTCTACCTGCCTGCCGTCAGTCACACATTCTGATGCCATCGTCATAGGGCTTCTCAGACTGGTACGGACCAGGGAACAAGGACGCACCCGAAGGCGCGAGACTCATTTCCAAAGCCTAAGCATGCAGTTGCGAGATCGATGCATTGATGATACATTGTCATGAGTGTAGAAGGGGCAAAGCACAAGAGGAAAACATTATACATTTTGGGGGGGTCCTGATTCGCCCATCTCTGCTTCTTCCCGAGAAAAAACTACCATACTAAAGAAAAACCTTCCATTGGGACCGCTCGACTTCACAACATACGAAATGAGTCCCGGTCCAAAAGGAGGGCTTTGAAAATGTCTGAAAGATATTATGTGCAGGGTGAAATGTCCAAACGATGTTCTGTACAACAATTCGAGCAAATGAGAACCGGCAGAGATAAGGAAGGCTTTTTCATCGTCGTCGAGCCGAATTGATAGCTCGAGACCACTGGAGGATCATCTCGGGCGATTCGCCGTTGAAGTAGTAGATAGACTAATTAAGAAGGGTGAGTGACTGATCTCAGCTGTTGATAGAGTATCTCTCACCTTGTTGTCTACCACGCGTAGGACATTGCCATGAACGATGCTCGCCGGCTCTCGCAACGTTCCCATTCGCAATACGTTGAACAGGTCAACAGGACCGTCCCAGCCGCCGGCTGCAGTCCGTTGTTGAACAAGCGCCAAAAGATCGGAGCACAGGATAAGCATAATGGGTCGATCCATGGGCTCTGGAGTAATATGCTCGACCGGTACAACCACCTTGCTCGGCGTGATGGTTTGCTCGATATCAGCTTTGCAGCTGACGCTGAAGTTTGCAACCGTGGTGTCCATCTCGACGAATGAAGACGCCTTTTTGACCAATCGGATCAATGTCAGTGCGCCGTCCATGATGAGCCGTCGGTGTGGTTGAACCAAAGGTGATGGTCCTCGCATGGTGATTCGCTTCTGCCAGTGAAGGAGTCGGAGTCGAGAATCCGCATCGCGCTTCTCTTCATTCATCAAGGAAGCAAGAGAGGCAATTTCGTTCAAGGCATCGTCGAGCGTGTCGCGTGGACCATCCGCTTGTGGCATGGTGCACATTGCAAGATCTTCAAGCTGGGAAACACATGAGTCAAGGTCCACAGAGACGATGATGCACTCACCAAGAGCTTGTACCGCGGCACCCTTTGGATCGGTAGCAACAAGTAGCTTTCCAAGTTGATCTGAGAGTGGAGAGGATGTTCACGGCATTTCTGGAGGCAAATCAGTAGCCGCTTGACTGACGAAATCACTCAAGCTTACTTTGAGGAAAGCCTTGACACGCTTCTTCTGACTCGATGACATCTGATTACCTGTGGAGGGCATTGCTTCCGCCAGGGGCAGACTGAGCGAGCTCAAACCCATTCCAACGCTGATAGCGGCACTCGATACACTTCCTGTATGAGCCGTAGAGCTTCGACCGAGAGATGGCCTGGAGGGGTAGGACGGAGTAGTCGGGACGGACGATGGAGCGCTCCAAGTCTTCATCCTGGATTGCGCATTGTCAAAGTTGTTGATGTAGCTCGAGTATTGCTTCATGTAGGCTATATATGTCCTGAAAACTTCTCCGACTGCATGGGCGGTGGTCGTCGACAGATCGCCGTCCTCGTCATCTTTGCCTTCGAGAAGAGGTCGGATTGCCTTTTCGAGAGCAGGCAGCAGATTGTCCCTGTGAATCGACAAGATCGATTCGATACCGCCAAAGACCACCTTCCGCTCGGGAGCAGGAATGATCGTTTCATTCGACTTGCCAGCATTGACCGGATGAGAAGAAGGCTTGACGTAGATTGTGACCAGTTCGCCTAGGCCTCGAACATATGTACGTTCCGTCTCCCAGATCTCTCGAAGCACTCGAGCTCTCTTCGCAGCGTCATTCTTGAATTTTTTCCCAGTCAAGACGCCACTCTCCGCCGTCTCACAGCTGACCACAGAGGCAGACGAGGCTGTGAGTGACCCCTCGGCGCCCGCCAAGGAGTTGACATCCATCGTAGGACGACGAGTCCGGCGAGCATCGGCGATGGAGCTTCTAGACTCCCGTGAGAGACCAGCGGAAGAGGTGTCCGGGCTTTCATGCCCATGCTCCACCGTCTGTACCACCTCGAAACTGCCGTATGGCTCGATCGGTGTGCGAGAGAGATCGAACAGGTCTCGAAGATAAGACTTGATGCTTTCCAGGCCTTGGGCATATCTCGCCTCAGGGTTGAGCTGCACCGGAGATCCAAGACCGTTTTGGAATGGCTCTGATCTGAGTGTCTGACTGGGAAATAAGCCTGTGCCTTGACCTGAAAGCTGAGGGTCTGGGGTCGAAAGGTCGATCTGATTCGGGGGATTCGGCGAAGGGTGTTCAAAGGTCGAATGGTCCACGAAAAATGGGGACCACGACGGAATGTTGACCGACAGGGAAGGCGCTTGATCCACCATCAAGTAGCTTCGTCTCTTGACAGCCCTGGGCAGACTGTTGGAGCCATGCGAAGTCGCAGGCAGCGTGTGAGGAACAGCAGCTATACTAGCAACCGACGGTGTCGATGGTAGAGATCCGAACTCCGACATGGCATTGCGATGGAGAGGCAAAGTCAATGACGACTGCGCAGTGCTAAAACTGGGCCGAGCGGATTGAGGTGACCTCGGACCCATATCTGAGTGAGCGTGGATTAAAGGCGGCACAGGTGAAACGTTGCCATCTGACGACCTGGGTGAAGAATCCTTGTCACCTCGGAGTCGATGCTTTGACATTTTCCGCAAGAAACCCCATTTACCACTTTTGCCCGTTGCTGACGAGGATGTCGAAGGACGAGGCTGTTTCGACGGGGACGTCGACCCTTCATAGTTGGGAAGGATAGAGGCGCCGATCCGGGCTCCTTCCTTCGCACCAAGACTACGCGCAAAGACGCTGTCGCTGTGATTGATGCCTGCACTGCTTTGAAGATCGTGACTGGGTCCTCGAACAGATGGCTTGGACGGCCCTGCGTTGTCGAGGCCGGCAAGGAGGTCACTGGCAGACTTCATCTTTCGAAGTCCACGGGGAGATTCGAGGATTGTGGACATCTTCTCTGGACTCGAGGGAGATGCTGAGAGTGGGTTAGCCGAATGAGGGACAATGTCGTTTGAGCTTGGAGGTGGGGCCGAACGTGGTGCATTCTCGTTGATCGAGTCGAGGTTCAGGCTTGATGTAGCCTGAGCGAGAGGACTCTGGCCATCTTCTGAACTCGAATTGAGAGAAATCGCAGCACTGGACGAGCGGGATCTGGCATACGTGGGTCTTCTCTGCACGGAGCTCGATCTTGGAGGAATTGCTCGAGCTGGCATGGTGGCTGACGACGAAGTCAGGATAGGGGAAACGATGGGAAGCCATTCTGGAGCAAAAGGATTCTCGTCCACCCTCAAGGTCTCCAAATGACTTAAGAGACAGAGCCAAGACGGGAGCGAGACCAGACGATTCCCTCGAAGGCACAGTGTGTGCAGTCTACCAAGAGCTGACAGGTCCTGAGGGATGCTCTGAAGCTGGCATCCGTCTACAGCCAACACTCGCATCTCGACCAATTCGGCCATCCACGTCGGCAAGACGCGTATCGGGTTGCCAGAAACGTTGAGCTCCTCCAGCAGAGTGCAGTGTCTGAGAGTTTCCGGGAGCAGCGGCAGGCCATTGGCTGAGATATCGAGGACGACGAGAGTTGACGCGACAACGGAGAGAAGCGCGGGCAGGACTTGCTCGAGGTTGGATCCAATGTTGTCAAGTAGCAAGTGGGTCGTACCTGAGGAGGGAGTCAGCTACGATTCCGGCCCCTTTGATATATGACCTACCTGCGAGGGATGCCAAGACGTCCCCCTCGAGAGACTCGACTCCACCGAGGCCTGCTATACGCGTTTTGTCGATCACCCTGCTCTTTCCGTCTTCGACTAGGGCAACGGCATCAGACGCAAGATCTTCCTTGTTTGCCCATGGCATATCAGGGAAGTCGATCCCATCCACCGCTAGGTCGACAGGCGGTGTATTAGCTGATTGATTCAGTTCTGAATCATAGTCGACGGCCGAAGACGCAGAATCGCTCCTCATCCTCTGAGAAGCAGGATCTCTTCTCCAAGGGCGATGAGCAAAGGAACCAGCTGGAGAGTTCGGGTCCGCAACACTGGGGCTGCTCTCGGCTTGGAATGTCGGAATGGCAAGGTCTGGCATGGAGAAGCCTAGACCAATCTGCTCGTTCTTGGTTTGACGCGGAACTGACGGCATCGGAGGTGGATGGGGATGGTAGAGGCTGCCGTCGGCGTAGGCGGAATAGGAATAAGCACCACTGGCCATGCTGGATTCAGCTGAAGAATAGGCAGTGGATCGTCCTGTATTTGTCCTGAGACGTATACGCGGCTCCCCCTCGGCCGGACGATGACCCTTGCTCGCACCGACGGACGAAGGTGTGTAGTGGGTCGAGTCGGTTGTGGAGGCAGTCCGAAAGCTGAGTGTGGGTTCGCAGTCCTCCAATACATCATCCTCAGTGTCATATTCTGTTGTGGAATAGGAATCGAGATCGACATCGAGGTGCTGGGATGAGAGCCGATTGTCGGCAAGGGCTGAATCGAGGCTGTCGTGAGAGGTGGAAGCCCTGGCCATGGGCTGTGGATACCCGCTGGCGGGTCGTCTGCGACGTTGTGGACGAGGTGGTAGCTGAGGTTCAGAGAAGGCGACAGAGGTGGAAGCTGAGGCGGAGGAGGTGTTGAAGGCTTCACCCTCCTGACCTTCTTCTTCAGCTTCTGGTGGAGTTGGTGGAAGCTCTTTCCGAGGCATGCTAGGACCGGGAAGAGACTCCATGGTGTCGCGCCTATCCGCGATCTTGACTCTGTGATCTGTCGAGATACTCAAGGTCGGTAACAATTTGTCGACGGATGCCTTCCTGTTCGGTGTGTGGATAGATGGTGATGGAGTGGGTGGGAAGAGTGTCAAGATGTTCATATTCATCTCGTCGTCGTGCAAAGATTGTACGACTGTGACGTCCAATGAGGATGGTGTGGCAGAATGCAACGGAACAGCAGGACCGAGTCGAAATGGGACAGATGGTAGGCGCGGGCCGGTATGACGGGAAGAGATACGACGTGGAGGATCAGTGAATGGTTTCCGCGGCCGAATGGTTGCCATGTAATCGATCGAATGATCGTAAGATTCCAGTCGAGGTGGTGGCGTAACGGGATCAAGTTGGAAAGGGTACGCCGTAGGGAAGATGAGAGAAAGGGGTGGAGTGTTGGGTCGTCGACGCGAGCGCACGGTTGACATGGAGGACGTGGGTCGTCGCGATAGTGAATCCGGCATGTTTTGATCCATGTTGTGTGGGAAGGACATGGTATGGGGGTCGGGTCGGGGAGGGGAGAGAGCCGGTAGTCGTCGAGTGGAATGGATGTGTCGTATGTAGCAGAGCAATGAGTGGACAAACAAGGTCAGCTGAGTGTTCAAAATGTGTGTGGTCGAAAGAGAGCTTGAAGAAAGTTTGGAAAGGAATGACCCAAGATATATCGACAAGTACTCACAGAAAAGAGAGGAAAGTGTGTGTGTCTCGTTGGTGACTTTTCTGATGAGCCTGTCGTCACCGCTCAAAGTGCAGCAAGGTACACGATCTGTTGAAGGGGTTTTTTTGATCACAGGGTGAAGTGTGTTGTGTTGTGAGCCAGTGTTGAGTGATGCTGCTCTGGAAGAGATCCAGACGTACGTTGATACGTTGATGGGTCCTAATGATAATGGGATCAGATGGGGACGCAAGATTGGGGAGAAGGCATCAGAGAGCTCTCACCTCGATGAGGTCAGCGAGCTTTGAGCGGATGTGACATCTCCACAAGCAAACGAGTCTTCTTCGTTCCTTGATACTTCAACCCCCTTTTGCCCCAAGGGCGATCAAGCGGGATGAGTTGAATGACTAGAACGAAGAAGAGGAGAGAGAGGGAGAGAAAGAGAGCAAGAGGAGAGAGCAGACCGTACACACAGAGGGCAGAGGTCGATCCAGAAGGAACACAAAGTGTTTGAGATTCTGCGACTTGATCAGCACCCGGTTTCTGATTCTGACAGAGGCATCCGAAGGGAATTGACAGTGTGATTGTAAAGGAGGCAGGCGCAATGTCTGACATGAACAGTGTTTTAAAAACCGGGACCTCATGAGGTCATGAAGGACACGAATGGTACTTGAGGTCGTGAGGATTGACCCGGGCGAGACCTCTTCGTACAAGATAGCTTGTCGGTCTACTCACATCGATGACACAACAATGTTGATGAAGCGATCATGTGTCAATTAGCGAGCGCTCTAGCTGTCTCGCCGCCGCCGGTCCAAGTGTTATATCCAGAGCGGCGATCACTTCTGTAGCCACGCTCTCCTCTCGAATGGTATGGATGTCCCACTTGCACGATGTACTCTCAAAGAGTTGCAGTCGAGGTTGGAGAGGGGGTTGGGATAGCGACCAGGAGACTTTGCCCAAAAGTTCCAGGCCCAAAAAATCACCAAAATTCGGGGGTTCGTTCCCGGAGATCCCTTTCGCCTCCTTCCTTTCCTTTTCCCGTCGTTGTCCCTTTTACAGCAGCGAGTTTCAAGTGGTTTTGTTCCGACACACACACTACCCCACAACTTCCCCTCTCAGCCAAATTCGTAACGTTTCTTGCAGTTGAATGATTGAATGAATGAGATGGTTGAAAGAAAGAAACAATGTTCTTCTCGTTCCAGGTCAATGTTGTAGCTTGTCCATCCACTAGCAGCCGACTGCACACTCAGATCTTCCTCGACCACAAGTCTACGTCGGCGGCTCTCGATGGACGTGTACCACTAGTCTACTGCGGCGGAAAAAAACGATATGCGACTTTGGTTGGGTAGGCGAATTTTTCCAGGGTACTGGATCCCTCCCCCCCTTCTTCTTTGGTTGCCTTCTGTTCTCTTCTACAAGACCCTCCCGTTCTTGATATTCTTGCTTTCCCTTGCGAACGAGAAGGTCGTGTGATGGAGGGGTGCACAAAAGGGGATCCTGAAAACACACACTGAAAAGTGACTTGGGGTGATATCACTATGTCGGAGACTTCTTTTGCGTTTGTTGTTATGTTATGATGTGGCTATGCATACAACGACTATCTTGCCCAAATCGTACCTTCGCAAATCTCTCGACGCCAGTTCGGAATGGCGCAACGAAAGCGGTAGTTGATCGACTGTTGATCTTGTTATTATGCCTACAAAAGGATCGACGGATGGTGGGCCGCTTGTTGTCTTCCTCTCTCTCTCTGCTTGCTATCCTCGAGCTGGAACTCTATCCTCGCCTCTCTTTTCAACTTTAGAGTTCTTGATTGATCGAGTATCGGCACTGCTGAAAGACAAGCATACACCGTCTAATGAATTGAGCTTGACATGCACGGATATGGAGTCTGTATCGATATAGAGTTTTTCTGACTAGAGACGCCACTGGAATACAGAATAACAGCTCGACTCGTATCGCTCAACTCAGCGTATTGGCGTTTCAGCTTGCGAGCTGGTTTCTCGCTTCTGAAATCATCCTCTCCCTGTCCTGCCTGTCACTCGCTAGCTCTCCGTCATGATGCACGCTGAAAGACCACCCATCAAGCTTGTGTCAACACAGAACCATCCATTGACGCCCCCTCTTCTGGATGAAAATTGAGATGCCACATTCCATCGGGCGTGGAGTAGAGAAGGTGGCTGGTTTTTATCTTTTGTGGCCCCCCCTTTCTCTTTTTCGCGAACAAACTCATGGCGATAGAATTCGCTTCCATGTGTTTGCCACGTCTATCTAGAATGGCGGGACCCGACCAAGGCGACTACTTCGTCAACTACATGCCGAAGAGCCCCACATCCATGCTGCTGCGGTCCTCTTGAGTACAGCTTTCAGGCAGAGGACACAGCGCGAACGGCCCTTAGAACGAGTGTCCCCCGTACACGGGTGTGGGCTGGTGGCAGGGGGCATCCGGCCGTGTTCGCCACCCGGACATGTCGAAAAGTCTGCAAAGTTGATATGTCACAGACGTCAGGTCTCTGACAGCTGTCCATCGAGACATGTAATTCTTGATGGTTTTCGGGATCAGACTGACTTCTTCAGCGACGTCATCGAGGTCAAGAGTAAACAAGACGACGACGCTGCAGAACAGGTGTTGCGCCACGATTTAGACGCTCATATTATGCTCTCGAAAAATCACTGGAAAGGATCGACCAGATGTTCTTTGTGAGTCAAATGGCGTCGGCCACGTTGCGAACTCGTGTGATGAGTACAGCTAGATATTTAGAAGCGGGAGTCACAAGCCGAGCATGGATGCATATGTAGTTATCTCTTGGCTTGGCAGATCAAACCCAACATTATAACATGCCAGACGATGTGTTATATCAGCATGGCAGCCAGGCTACTCTTTCCTCATCGATACGCCCGATCCGGTTTCACGACCTTTGAGTGTAAAGAATCTGTGACCTGAAATGAGATACACGCCGGCGCTTGATTTCTAGTCGTAGAAGTACATGAAGACTTGCTGTGTTTGGGGTCTGTCAGTCCTGGACTGCATCCACAGGTCGTGAATGGACCGAAGTGAGAGAACTCACCACGACCTCAGCGTTGGTGGCAGTATCCACAAGCACAAACTCTGACGAGCTACCCATAGACTCAATTCCATCGCTGTCGTGCACAAATTGATACAGAGCAAATGTAGGGGGTGCTGATCAACTATGGATCGACCATGGGGGTCCACGAACGATTCCTTTCAACTGGTTAAAGCCAAAAAAAGCAGTCGCCCAAGTGTCATTTCCGACGGAAAAACTGGAAATTGTAGGACAATCCTCCACCTGCTCATGAGATCTTTGATATATTGCTCTACTGAGCCGTTTGCCATCGCTATTCATCATGTCCAGCGGCGGATCCAAAGACGCCTCGGACCTTCTACCGGGTCAAAATCTGGCTCATATACTCCCTCCGAGCTGGCGATCGGAGGTACAGAGATGGTTTGATGAGGATACTCCTTCGTTTGACTGGGCTGGATTCGTCGTTGGCGAAGAGGAACAAGAGGCGATTCTATGGGGGAAAAGTGGAGTGAGTAGCGAGCGGCTTCAGAGAACGAAGATGCTAGTCCAGTCGTCAAAGTGCTAGCCTGCGGTACATCGGCATGATATCTCATGCTGCTGGCCGAAACTAGGATGGGAATCCGTGCTGACATGATTTGATGGCAGGGTGTTTTAGCGGGAGTGCCCTTCTTTGACGAAGTCTTCAAATATGCCGGATGCACGTGAGCTTACCCATATGTGATATGAACTGAGAGTCCTCAGAGTCGAATGGATTTTGCAAGAGGGATCTGCGATCCCTCCTGATTCAAAGACCAAAGTCGCCATCGTTCGAGGTCAAGCACGCCAATTGCTATTGGGTGAACGAGTTGCTTTGAATACCTTGTCAAGATGTTCAGGTATAGCAACGGTGTGAGTAACCGGTCTCTCGGATGGCTCCAGGCCCGTTTTAATGAAAGAGTATCGCAGATCTAGACGGTTCAGGGATTTGGCTAGAGAGGCGGGATGGAAAGGCACCATTGCGGGTGAGTCCGATAGAAGACGGCGATGCATGACATGCTGAGTAAGATATCAGGGACACGCAAGACGACCCCCGGCTTCAGGCTCGTCGAGAAATACGGGATGATGGTCGGCGGGGTGGATCCTCATCGACACGATCTGAGCAGTATGGTGATGCTGAAGGACAATCACATCTGGGCGACCGGTGAGAGGCAGAGTTTATCTCCTCAGATATGCTAAGCATTCCTCTTTTCCCTCCAGGATCAATCACTTCCGCCATTCATTCAGTTCGCCGAGTCGCCGGTTTCTCTCTCTTGATCAATGTGGAATGTCAGAACCTCGACGAAGCCCGCGAGGCGATCGAAGCGGGAGGCAACATTATCATGCTTGATAACCTTGTCGGCGATGAGCTTCACGACACGGCCAAGACGCTGAAAGATCAATTCAAAGGGAAGAGAGAGTTCTTGATTGAGGCTAGCGGAGGGATTACGGAGAATGGTCTGTCAGGAAGAATCGGACCGAGTGAGTAGACGAGATACTGGAAGGTGCCAAGGAGGTGTGGCTGATACAGTGCTTCAGATATAGACATTCTGTCGACATCTGCCGTTCATCAAGTATGTTGACGACTGGAGGCATCTTTGCATAGATGTGCAAAGCTGATCATTGGCTCAGGGCTGTCCTCACGTCGATTTCTCCCTCAAGATCCAGCCGAAGAAGAGATCTTAGCCTCGAAGACTGCATCAATGTATACTGTGCACAGTGTAATGCATACTACATGCCTGGAGCGTCACCTCGCTTGGGACAACGATGTATAACTACAATGGGGTTTGAGAGGGGAACACGAAATTCCAAGATGAGGGGAAGGGAGCTTCAGCGGTTTGAGGCGGCGCTGCCGGATGTATCAGGGTGTGGAATATAGAGCATGGCTGCGAACGTTCAGTACCATCTAGCGTACACGGAGCGATGCGCACCTCACTTATCTTCCTATTCCGCGCCTAGCATCTGATCGTGGCGCCTAATCCGGTGGTGGGGGTGAGAGGAGGTACAGGCTTGGGAGGAGGGTAAGCGGTATCTCCGGGTCGCATAGAGGATTGAGGGGTGAAGGTGGAGCTGGAAGACATGATTGACCTGAACTTCGACAGATGCTGTCTAGAGCAGGTGGGGGATGAAGTTGGTGTTTGAAGGAGAGGATACGCCACTGATTAAGCGCTCCCCGAGTGGGTGCCTCGAGGCTGGTTGATGCAAAGTTTGTTAACGAGTGTTCCCGTGCAGGAGTGTTGGGTGTAACGAGCGTGATCAGCAAGGTCCGAGGCAGATGAAGTGATGGGTCGAAGACTCACGATATCGATGTTGCGTCCTCAAACCGCGTCACAGCCTTTGCACTCTCCACGGGCTAATTGCGCCTCCCCCTGCCTTTGGGTACTGCATCCCCTGAGATGTTGAGAGAGGAACGGGAGGTAAGACGGACACTATGGACCCTGATGTTTCAACCAGTACAACACGCCAATTGTGGTGTGGTCGGCAAGAAGAGCAGGATCGAGGCTGCAGATATGTCCGGGTCAAAGTCTGGGACAGCTGTGACTTGAGTCGAACGCTGCTGAGGATTGGCTGTGATCGACCAATTGATCTTGATTCGAGAGAGTGGCCAGGGATGAGGAGAGGACAGGGATGGAAGGGGTTGGACGAGATGAAAGGGATACGTCTTGGCAGGTGATGGACCGTCTCGACTCGAAGAGAAACGTGCCGTAGGTTGCTCGCCAATGTCTGAACTTATGTACATATGCCAAGTGGCCAACGAGGGCTCCCCCATGCGGGGACACTTATTTCCAATACTGCTCCGCGGCGGCGAGGTACAAGGATTGATTCTCCGCAAGGAAGGACGGAGAACAGATGAGCATGAGGTTCAGAAGCTTGTAAAGCGCAGCCGCACATAGGACTGTATGTAGCGAGTTGTCTAGGACGTCGAAGCGAGCCATGAGGATAGCACTGAGACCAAGGTCCGAAGTGATCTGTCAGCCTTTAGGTCAAGATGTTGGCTGAAGTAAGCGAAGTCTTTTCGTCGGACAATGGGCAGCGGGACATATGCAAATGCTTCTGTTCGGAGCAAATACCTTAGCGTGTACTGAGAATACACATCGGAAGTCTTTATGTACATGGATGCATGTCTGTGTATCGCTATCTCTCTCGCCGACATTGCCAAGTGTGGTGGATGTGCCAGACCATCAACCTTAGGGAGTGTACAGTTTATTACTGTGTGATTTTTGAAACGCTGTGGCGCACGTCGTGTTTCAGAAGTTGATTGTATATGCGGGGTCATACATACGGCCGAAGTGCTTAAATCCTTCTGCACAGAGACGAGGGCAGTAGCGACGATCAATGTTCGCTGGTTCATTACATAGTTTATGTCCTCGCGTGCATCGTCGCTTCTCAGCCTCATGGTAATTGACACGATCCGAAAGGGTAACTCAGAACACTCGTCATCTGTCGGAGGTACTGTAGCTAATACTGGAATTCGCGATACAACGGGAATCTCGATTGGCCCTGCAAGAATGGATGATCGGATGGCGGCTCGTATTGGCCTTTCGTTGGATAAGGATGTTGATGTCTTTGGGGTGGATACAAATGAGCAGAGGATGGCGAAGCGGGGGAGGAGGGGAACAGAGGCGACATCGGTCGGAGTGGATAGCCATATTGGGCAGGCGCGGCTGCTGCCGCTGGTGGTGGTGTCATAAGCGATGAATGGTACGAAGCAGATGTTGGCGGTCGAGGGATGCTTGAAGCGTGGAATGGTGGGTCAAGTCTGAAGATCTGGTCAGTCACTATGAACTAGCTATTGTGAACTCGCTGCTTGCTTGTACAGCACCCCATCCTCCCTGCCGAAATCTACTGTCGCTGCGTCAACCACAATCTCCCCGCAGGGTCTTCTTCCCAGTCTTGAGCACTTCGCGGGCTCTACCGTCTGTGGGGAATGGCTTGAAGCTGACCAAGAGGCAATCGAACGAGGCTAGGATCGAAGAAGAAAGTAGACTCCCTCTCACGTTGTGTCAATTACTTTCCCTTAGGAAGGAACCATCATGATCATGGGGGAAAGTCCTGTACATGCCACACGCCGCCTCAAGGTAATCGTCCGTTGATGATCGTTAATTGTCTCAGGAACAACCAGGAGGCCAGCGCTGACAAGATTGAAACGTGATTGGCGTCGAGGAACACGCAACGACACACCTGTAAGCGAATTAGGCGACGCGATAGGACTCTCCCAGATACAGGAGACGAGAAATATATTCGTGGTGAAGGGATGTTGTTCTTCCCATCTATAGTCAGTCCCAAGCTACATTACTTCCCCAAGCACTCGGTACCGTTTGACTTGCAACCAGAGCTTCCCATGAAGTCCTTCCTTTGGTTGAGGTCGCTTGCGTTTCAAGACGGTCGTGCATCCCTTTGGATGACATTCGCGAGTCAGTATATCGGTGGAAGAAGCGAGAAACCAAACACCTGCTCTCGTCAGCTTTGTATACATGACATGATGTACACGATGTACACAGCCAGCACGTAAACGCGCTCGCATCCCTGCCTCATATGGCAAGAGATGAAGCAAGGCTGTGCTTCGATGCATGTCGTTCATTCCATTTAGTGATCCATCTAATGCTCTAAAATTGGTATCCTGTCTTCGGTGCCTGGCGACTCTCCCACATCCTTCTTCTGATCCAAGTCTTCCATCTCAGCGTCAGATGGGGAGACTGTCGTCCTGTATCCCTTGCGATCACCTGATCCGGTCTGCCCATTCAATCGGTTTTGTCCAGCTTTTGAAGCGTACCCAAAGAACGCAAACCGTCCTTCTTTCCATTTGAGGTAGATCAACGTGACAATAATGAGGAGCCAGTAAAAGACGTAACTGAGAATAGAGCCGAGTGTCGCCGTGTTTGTCCACCCCAAGACAGCATTGAACAGCTGATATCCTTGCTCGATGGTCAGTACATTTCCTGCGCCAAAGTCCGTGAGTCGCTCTGCTCACCTCCGTTCGTGCCTGGGCTTCCTGGCTGATGATCAAATCAGCGTCTGACCTTCTGGTACTGTGAGAGGCGCTGCTACTCACCTCTGGACTCCCATACGTCAAATGCCAGACATTTCCCTTGACCTGGAAACTTCCCGGTCCATCCCCTGTCTCCGCTACGTCCCCTCCGACGCCTCGCGCGAAGACATAGTATTCGAATAGACCGACACCCTTTGATGCGAGCCCAGCACCGATGAGGAAGAGGATAGTAGTCGAGCCGATGAGGAACCAATGGAGTGTCGAGGTGGATCCCGTCCGATAGATGAAGTAGCCTGTAGGAGGGGTTAGAGAACTAGACGACTGAGAAGAAGACGTCTTGTCTCACCGATGAGACCTCCTGCCAGGAGCCCAACGATAGCAGGGATGGGAATCGACTTGCCAGGTTGGTTCAGTGACACCTGAGTAGATGAGCACAGTCGCTGAAGCATTTCTGATGGACGGCTCACCCCGCCAACAAAGACAACCGCCTCCAGACCCTCTCGAAGCACAGTAATGAAAGGTAAAATGAACAATGCCCATTTCCCACTCTTGCCTTCACCACGGCGTGCTTCTTCAGTCTCACTGAGGCTCGCACCATTCTGCGCCGAGATGGCCCTTGAGTGACTTTTCTCGAATGCATCGGCAAGCTTGATCCTCCACTTGACTCTCGATCTGTCCATCTTGAGAAAGGCAATGCCCATGATGTATATGAGGATACACGCGATGATGGAGAACGTCCCTTCCCATAGCTCTTCCGTTTTGCCCCAGAGATCAGTCACCTTGGTGTAAAACTGAGGGACGATGAGAGCTGAAATAGGACAGAATGCCGAGGCTTTACTCACCACGGCAATGAAACCTGCTCCTATGCTCAAAGCGATGAAAAAGCCTGTCAAGGTTCCCGCCCAGATCTGTATCCTCATCCGCTTAATCAATTTTTGAGTCCTCTTAATATCATCGAGTGATTCAGCTGAGCCCGATCCAGTACTAGAGGGCGAGGGACTGCTTCCGTCCAATCGACCAGTCCTCATCAATTGCTCCACGAACGAGAGCAAGACAGAGACAATGATGGCGGCTTCTATCGTCTCTCTGAGAAAGCCAAGAGGGTTCATGAGCGTGTATTCAAAGGCGGCGCATGCTGATCCTCACCTCAGTACGATGAAGAAGATGGGGACGGAGAATAGATCCTGCCCCATCTTGAGTGATTAGATTTGGGCTGACAGAGTTGAGACAGTTGGAGAACGCTGTGGAAAGATATGAAATTTGAGGAGAGATTTGGCGACTTTCCCCTTCTCCAGCTCTTAAGTCGATGACATGGACTACTATGCCAGACCTTTCGGTCGAAACTTGATGCAGGGCGTCTCAGGATTGTGCCCAAATTTCGCCCTCCGGGACCTTTTTTTTCTTTATCTGATAAAAAAAAGGGAGAAGAGAAAGGCCAACAAGGGGGGTATCCTCACATTATTACTCAATGCGGAAATATCTTCTCGGCCGATTTTGATCCCGTCAAATTTAGCAGCAAAAACGTCTCCGAGGACTTGATTCATCATCTTGCATCCTCATCGGCCGATGACCCCCGGCATCACACCACTTTTTGGCGGATCTTGGACATCTATCACTCTATACACGAAGGTGGAATGGCCTTATCAGATTAGAAAACGTGTGATCCTTGGAGGCCGTCATTATTTACCGCTTTGAGAAGTCATTGAACGAATCTACTCTCGGGGACACTCGCTATATCGGGTCTCGGTCTCATGAGTCCTGCGAAACTGGGAACAGAGGTCATCGAGGGCTGCTGACAACGGATATACCTGTCGTACGGAAGGAATACATTCTGCGAGCTATTCTCGAAGCACAGTGATCGTAGAATCGGTTCAAGTCAAAGACACCGCTCCTCACTCCGACACGCATGCCGGTCATGGTCAACGGTCCCCAACGAGTCGCTGCAAAGCCCTTGGCAGTCATTAAAGATACATCGTCGAGCGCCGGAAAAGTTTTTGCAAAGCCTTCCAAGGAATGGGTTATCCCGGAGCGCACGAAGCCAGGTAGGAAGATCAGTGAGGATGAGCCGGATAATGTGAGTGTTTTCTTTTTTGTCTGTAGAGTCTTGCCAGAGACTTTTCCGCTGACCCGGTGCGCAGAAACGACAATCCCAGAATCGACTGTCACAGCGAGCTCATCGAGCTCGAAAAACAGACTACATCTCGACGTTGGAAGAAAAATTGAGGCAATACGAGGCTGATGAGATCCACTCAAATGTCCGACTACAGGAGGTGGCGAGGGCCCTCAAAGCCGATAATGAGAGGCTCAAAGTGGAGAATGGGGAGATGAGGGCGGAGGTGGAAGAGTTGAAACGACTCAACAAGGAGCTCAAAGCTCAGGCTGCCGAAAAGAGAGGAGAAATGAAGTTGTGGAAGACAGATTCGGCGTTGACTCCTCCTTTGGCGAGGTCTCCGGCTGCGGCGTCTAGTTCGGCGACTCGATTGGGTCGGACGTCTCGCACGAACAGCCAAGCATCGCCTGGTGACGTGCCTGCTCGCCGAGAGACGATAGCATGTCCTATTTGTCCGGACCCGGATCCCGATTGTCCCTGCCAGAAACCCTCAGCGATTGGCAGTACGTCGTCGGCTCCCCTTGCAGCGTTATCCATGGCGGCGAAGGTCGTGGAAGGACATGAACAAGCTCAATACCCACACGAGACCAGAATTGACAATCCCGGCCACTGTGGAGTCTGTCGCACAGATGCCGAGTGTCTGTGCCGGGTCCTGGATGATAATCGACAAGATAACGAGGTCCAGATAGTCGAGAACAGTATCGAAGGGGTGGAAAGGCACAACGATGCCTGTGGCCTCTGTACTTCAGCTTCATTCTGCGCCTGCAAAGTCGAAACGAGTCCGCAAACTTTACCCAATGAAACCTTGTCTCATCATCGACCCGCTCAACATTCATCAGTCGTTATTCGCACTTCTACACAAGCCGTCAGCCTCCCTCTCAAGAAGAACAAAGCTGGACACGGTATCAAAGCCAAAATCTGGGACTTTGTTCCAAGTCCCATGGCATCTGGTCTTAGCACTTCCGATGATGGATTCGCTTCTCGAGCCACCGCCGAATGTAGTGGCGATCCCTCCAACTGTGAAGTATGCAAAGATGACTCTTTCGGTGAGCTCTCTCAATCCTGCCATTCTGAATATCATGAGCTGACATCCATGCTTCAGGCCAAGAATTCTGCGCCCAACTTTATGCAGATCCTACGATCACAAAGCCATGTGATGATTGCCCGGGAAATTGCATGAGCATCTCTGCACTCTTGTGCAGCGATGGTGGCGAAGGCTCCAGCGAATCCAGTATGACGGCTGATCAGGCATGGAAAACATTAAAGGTGGGTCAGCATATATCACGGAATTGCTGACCATGGCTTTAGGCGCATCCGAATTCTCGATTCGCCCCGCTCGCTCTGCTGGCAGATGTCGTAGCGAAGCATACGACTTGTGTGGGACACGAAGCCGGCCCTTCTTTTAGCGGACAATCGATTTCAAGCACTGCTCCTTCGCAAATGGCTAGTCGCGATTTTGGGTCCAGTCCCACATTTGGTCTATCTCGTGGTTCTAGAAGGAGACTCAAGGTCGAGACGAGCGGCGTGAGAGATGCTTTGAGGATGCTTGACGAGGTCATGCCGTCGAATCAAGGGGACGAGCCGGAAGGGTTCAATGTAAAGCGGCGGAAATTGAGTAATGGCTCGTGATGGCCGATCTTCATCCACTGTATTCCTAGATGAGAGACGAGGTTTGATGTGCCGAGGAGCAATCAATGTGTTATAGCCCTTGCATCATTTTATGTACAACAATATCATATCACGCCGGTTCTGGGAATGACCTATCCAGTCCCCGCCAGTCGTTCGTACACCCATTTCATGACAGCTTGACGAATCTGAGCGTGGAGCATCAGCACATCTGTGCGAGCCTCTATCGCAATCAGTGACATGACTTACGTCGCGTCGATCTGCTTGACTTGGGGCAGTGCCAAGATGACCTTTCGACGATAGCCGGTCATATCTTTCATCTGACATGGGTTGCCTTCGAGATAGACCGTTTCGAGGTGTTCAAGATGAGCCAATTGAGTATCAAGAGCCCGTAAGTCGGCGATCTCGTTGTAGCTTGCCTGACAAGTGGTATTTCAGCAAACGGAACACAGACCAGTATAGATATATGCGAACGTACCCAGAACTCCTCCAGAGCGGACAAATGAGAGATATTCTCAATTGTGGATATCATATTATTCCCCACGTCCAAAGTCCGTAGTTTCACCTTCAGAATCGAGTAAGCCTGGGCATCGGGGAGAAAGGCATGGAACATTCACATTCTTCTCGAGGTTCTCAATCTTCTTGAGCCCGTTATGTGAGAGATAGAGTTCCTCAAGATTGACGAGACCCTCCAAGTTTTCGATGCGGGTGATTCGATTTGATTGAATGGAGAGGATCTTGAGATTTGCAAAGGTTGAGAGGCACTGGCGTAGTGATGAGCTTGACGATCGACTCGCTAGAGATCAGAAAAAGGGACCCCACCTCGAGAGATCTGATCTTGTTTTTTCCCAACCATAGCTCCTCCAGGCGGATTAAATGCTCAACGTTCTCGATGGCCTTTAGAGAGTCATGTCAGCTGGGAGTCGAAGAGGGGCCCAGGCAACATTGACACACTCGTATTCTGTTGCCTCCCAATTCCAAGCTCTTCAACGTGTCTTTTGCCCAGTCCAAATCGCCGGACTCGACAGCTTTGATCTTGTTCTGTACGAGGTAGAGCGTCTCAACTTTCGTCATGGAAGGGAGATTGGGGACATGACGGATATTGTTGAATGACAGATCGAGGGATCTATCGGGTTGGTCAATCATGAGTTTGACGCTGTATTGTGTCATGTAAAGAGACACCCACGTCACATTCGAACAACCTGCCAGTTCTTCATCTTCTACACTTGGACCCAGACGATTGTCGTATAAATCCAACTCGACGAGGTTTTCCAACCCTTGGAATGCCTCGGGAGGGATTGGCGAACTGATTTCATTCTGTCTCAAACAGATTGTCTTCAACGACTTGTATTGAGACAAATCGAAATCGCACAACGTAGGAGTCTTTAATCGAAGATGTTGAAGTTGAAGGTCCTGTCGAAAAAAAATGTTATCTTAGCGGCATTCCTCCGGATCCAGCGTCGACAGCCTTGGGGGCCGCTGCGAGCTCACCTCGATATCCGACGCAAAGCTTTTCGGTGCACTCTGAACCTCGCCATCGTGGTACTGTCCCTCTTCTCCATCCTCTTCGTCGTCTTCCGAGTCCGAATTCGGGAGAATGACCACCTGAGTCTCGCCTAGACGAGCTCGAGGCTTGGAGGGCTTCGATGACGAAGCTTGGCCATTATGTTCCTGCTGTTCATTGCTCATGTTCCCCGCCTGCACTTCAGAGGTTGATGCGGGCTGCTCGTGACTCATACTCGCTGTCCAGGTCCCAAATGTCGCAGGGGCTGTGAAAGTCTCCAGAACCACAGTGAGCAAGCGAAAGGACAATGGAGATGACTGGAGAAATATCAGAATCCGCACCGACTTCTCTCGCGCGGCAGCCATGTATTATGCACAAAGATCAATCATTATTCGTAGACCTGCGACAGACTCGTGAGAAACAGTCACTAGGTCACTACAAGTAGATCGTAGATCTATAACTCGTATCATCATTTCAGTTATGCGCGCCGCCGCCGTTCGCATGCTGCTGTCCATCTTCCGCCGACTCGTCATCTGCCAATAATCTGCTCGAATCATCTTCGACCCATTTTCCATCCGCGCCTACTTCTCCCTTTGCTCCCAGACCGAGCCTCTCTCGCACTCGCTCGACAGCTCGATGCCAGTCTGCTCGCCAGACTAACATGAAACTGACGACGCTGGCGTAGCCCAATGCAAAGCTCAAACCGAGCCAGATTCCAATGAGACCCAAGTGAGCCTCTGGAGCGAATGTCAACCAAAGACCAAGCGGAAGTCCAATGATATAGTAGCAAGTCAAGTTGATCAGGGCGCCCGTCGTGTGCAGACCTAGAGCTCGAAGAATGGCTCCAGCGGTGGCGGCGATTCCGTCTGTAAGCTGGAAAGGACTATCAACCCCGTTCTAAAGCGACATGGTCGATCTCACCTGGAACAGAGCGATAAAAGGCAATACCGATGCCACGATGCCGACAACTTCGGGATCAGAGTTGAATAGATAGCCCCAACTATTCCGAGATGCGACCAAGATAGCCCTGACATAAAGTCAATACCGACGCAAATGTGTTCGAGCGGGTGCTCACGTGTTGATCAAAGCAAACACGATACTCAGGATAAGACATGCCCGACTTGACCAGCACGCCTCCCAGGCTCTGCCGGCGCCCAACAAATTTCCGCATCGCACTGCCGATGCCACACCAAGGGCAGCAGGGACCTGGAAGAAGGTGGAGGCGGTCGAAAGGAGAACCGACTGAGCGGCCAGCGGAGTAGGGCCTAGCAAAGATGCAGCGAGAGCGCAACACTCCCATGCCCACCATTCGGATGAGACCTAAAAGGGGATATGAGTGGCTCTCAGACTCCGACAAACTCACCATGATGGTACCACTGAGCCCCAGCGTGGTGATCGTGCCGAGTTTAGAAAAGACGTGCTGAAACTTGAGAGGGTGGAACGCCTCACGCGGTCCCAGGAATAGCGCCCAAAACAGGTTCAGGAGGAACTGAGCAGGAGTGAGCAAGGCCTTCGTACTTCACGATCTCGCTCACAGCAAAGTTGTAACTGATCGCGGTCGCCAAAGCACCCCCAACGAAACCGAGACGGACACTGTTGGGACCCCAAACCTGTTGTACATCAGCACGGCTGGGAGAGTCTACGCACCAAGAGATAGTTTAAGAGGATGTTGAATGGTGCAACAATAAATAAGACATATGTCGGGACTTGCATTAGGTTCTGCGCTTGGAGATATCTGCAGAGTGTGAGCTCTCGGCGCTATGAGGAGGCTCACTTTTTCATCACGACATTGCCCCCGTAACCTGGAATTCCAAACGAAAGATAACGCAGGTATTGCGAAGCGGCATGGGCAACATCCTTTTCTGAGGGCAAGTGAGCATCTAATCTTTAAGGCCTGCATATGACTGACCCTGGCCGAGGACCAGAAGAATACCCTCCACATTCCACCAAAGCACAAACATGGGGATCTGTTGCTCATCAGCATACCTCAGAGAGTATGTTGCCAGACTGACCATAGTCATAGCCGTCACGACCGCCCTATACTGCATCAATATGTAGTCTTGGAGGTCGCAGGCAGTCCTGACTCACTGTCTCTGTGTCCACAAACCGACTCGAGATGGATCTGATGACGTCCACGCGGCGGGAAGCAATGTATCAACTGAAAACATGATCAGTGGTGTCGAGGGATTAGGACTCACGAGATGTTGCCATGCCTTGAAGGATGGAGAAGGATGAGACGGATGCTGTCATGCTGGCGAGGCTGGAGTACATGTCAGCCATATTATGTGGAGTACACCTACGATGACGCTGCTAATTCTGTGGTTCCGAGATGACCTATCGACACAACTGATGCGAGGACCAAGGACCATTCTGCCATTTGGGTAAAGAACACCGGGACAGATGAACGCAGCAGGATTGGAATCTCAACCTATGTGCACGCAAGTCAGCGCTGCCCGAGTAGAGGAGATCGAGATCTACCTTCAGGGCTTCCGTCCATACTCTCGCTTCCTTGCCATCTTCGGTAACTGGCAACTGCAGATCCTCGGCGTCCAACTCTTCAGCGGGATCGAAGTCGAGTCCCAGCCCGCCCATGTTCCCACCGTTCACTGACTGGGCTGGACCTGGTCCAGGTGCGGAAGGTGTCAATCCGAATCCCGATCTCCCCAACATTGCTCCCCCTCCCGAGCCCAGCAGACCACGAACAACGTCCCCGCCTTCATCTCCTGATGAATCATCTGCGAAACGAGCGTGCGACATGCGCCTAGAATGCGTCACAGAGTTGACATCGGAAGCTCGGGTGGACACGGGCGAAAGGGGTCTCGATTCGACGGCTCGACCTCTTGATACTTGATCGAGATCATCATCCAATTTGTCTTCTCCATCTGAATCGGACAGATCGGTAGTCATTTTCATTCTCCCGTGTAAGAGACCCTTGCGAGGAGGCGTCCGAGCTTTGGATCGGCTGCGCGAATTCCCACTGACTCCACTCGAGCTAGACCTTCGTTTCCCTTGAGATTTGCCTACTGGCTCTGAGGTCGCGCCGTAGGATCTGCGACGAGCCTTTGACTCTTGCTGCCTCTTCAAGAGACCCGTACGTTCAGATCGGGCCGTATCGGGATCCTCAGAATCGTCTCCGAGGAGTATCGCAGCTCCATCGTCATAGGAGGCTTCTCTAATCGTCGAAATGACAGGTCGGCGAGAATAGGCTGACGATCGGCGAGCAGATCGGTTGTCGGAAGAAGACGTAGGAAGCGTATCGTTGGCCGTCAATGGAGTGAGCTGAGATACATGAATCGTGGGTGATTCAGGGACAGAGTTCCGTCGAGCATGAGGGTGCTTTTTCGCTTCAGTGATGAGGTTCTCAAGATTGCCTTGGACAGCTGCGAGAGGTATCAGTGTTGGCAAATCAACGTGGAAGCGAGGGACCTGCTCACTATATGAGGATGCAGAGAGCGAATATGCATGACCTGTCGAGTGTGGAAAGTTTGACATGGTCAGCGGCGAGAGCTCCTACCGTAAAGTTGTCGGAGGAATGGAGCCGAATACAATGTCAGGGAGGCGGCGAGAAAGAGAGGGGGATGGCAAAGCCCAAAGCGACGATGACAATGCGATGCTCTGCGCAGGGGAACAGCTCCAGTATCCACTAGCTTCCTCTTCGACTAGTTTAAGACAGGTATCGAGAATGCTATCTGATCCAAGTATGTAACAGATGAAGAAGCAGAGTGACCCACCAGATCGACTGCCGAGAAAGTTGACAGACACCAAGGAAAAAATAGGCTGACGTGCCTGAAATCCCGTGTTTTCGTTCTGTGGCATTGACGTAGGTGGAATTTCGTGGCGAACGTCTGGGCCCACAGGTCACCATTGTAGCGAGAGTGAGGTGGTCTGCACTTTGCAGACAGCAATAGTTCAGGCCATTCCATGTGATTGAAAGAGCCCCGCACATTCAGCACCATCTTTCCCTCTCAGAGACTCAAGTCCATGATTGCTAGGATGAGTGGCACCGGCGTGGCAGTCTGAGACACCGATTGGCGAGAAACCTGATCTTGCCTCATTGCACCCTTTCCACTTGTGTCCAATATGCAAAGTAGAGGAAATCACTCTCGACAGACACCTTGTCACTTTGACAGAAAGAAGGAGAGCTCTCAAAAGGGTAGCGTCCATTCATTATGTGAAGACTACCCAAAGTTTGTGAAAGGAGCGGCTAAATTTGCCAGAACCAATTGGGAAGACTGATTTGCAAGTTTCCTCCTCCTTCTTCACCACTATCTTGCTCGCTTCTCACTCTGACACATCCACCACAAGCCACGACTTGATTGACTGACAATGAGCTCGCAAGTTGATAAAATTCAACCGTCCGGTAAGCAGAGACGTTTCTCAAATGCCCATGGACTGGCAGTATCTTGCGCGCGCTCACGCTCTATCTCTCTCTCCTGCAGAGGCTGCGTCCTTGGAGACCTCGGCCAGGAAGTTCCAGGCTGCTGTTGCGGCATTCACGTCCGGTACAAGTCAAGCATACAACGAGTCCTTAAAAGGGCAGACCTACGAGGAGTTGAGCAGCCTTCACGATCGGATTCGGGAGCTCGATGAAAACTCGATCCCTTACTACCATGATCGTTTTAGCCATCTGCGCAGGATCCTCCGGAGACCAAACAATAGCTCAAACACGACAGAGCAGCCCACCAATGGTCAATCCTGAAGACCCCGGTGCTGGGGTAGGCATGAGACAGAGGCGTATTTAGCTGTGGCGTGTTTCGATCGAACGAGAGTTTGCATGCAACTGAAATCGAGCACGAACTACTGACTCCCAACGCAAGGTGTGAAAGGAGGGTCCGCTGACGTCTTGTCCTCCGCCATCGGACCCAACATTAGATGAAAGACGTAGCTAAGGAGCGACTACTATTACCATTTTTATGAGAATTAAGACACGGACAGGATCTTCACCTGTCGCTTTCTCCAGATGAGCTTGATACCTTTTCTAGCCATAGACAAACCGAGCTGTATATCTACATGAGCAACTCGAGGAGGACTTCCGGGGTTATAACATTGAGACATCCAAACTTCAGCACACAGAGGGAAGCCGTACCTGCCGTACAGGTACGGTACGATGCCTCGGCGAAAGCGACTGGTCGCCAGACCAGTCGAAAGTCTTGGAGCAGCTCCTTGGCAATCGGGCGAGCCCTTCGACGCAGGAACCTCAGACCCAGCGGGGCAGCAGGGCAAGCAGACCCTCCGCACGGGTCAGAGGGCGGAACAGACCGGCGCTCGTGCTCAACTCCGTGTACGATATCATGAATACTTTGCGTCTCTGAACACACACCCATACTATCTGAATTACACAAGCAGCGCTCGGTCATCATGTGCATACAACTTTTTCGCTTGCCTCGAAAGCCCATGGTTAAAGCAAAGCATCGACATGGCGAAAAGGTAAAAGAGGGGTATATAAGGAGCATCCCATATGTCTTCAGCGACACCCATGACCGGTTTCTCTCGTCTCATATCCTCCCCGGCACGTTCCATTTACCAGATCCAAAAGCCATAGACAGAAAATCGACCAAATGAAATAAGACACCCTCGAGAGGCGTTTACTTCTTGTTCTTCTGCAAGGGGGAGATGCGTCAGTGATCGGGGACAGGTCAATGCAGAAGGAGAGAACGAACGGGGTTCTCAGGACTGCGGGATGGCGTCAGCGAGCCTCGAGGCGATGCAGAACGATTTTACTCACGCCTTGGCCCACATTTGCGCGACGGTCTTGAAGTTGGTCTTGTAGGACATGAGCTGCTTATCGTTCAAGGGATGATCCCAGCTCACCTTGTGGTCAGCCTTCTTGCCAGACTTCTCCTGCTCAGCCTTGAGCTTGGCGAGTTGGACCTTCATGAACTCATTGCTGTAGACGAGGTCAGTACGTGAAGTACGTCAGGATAGTTCAGAAGAAGATGAGGTGTGATCGTATAGCGATAAATGTATTTGAAGACCAGCAGGGAGACACTACTCACTAAGCAGAGGGCTTCGCCTTTCCTCCAGTCTTTCCAGCGGCGGCTGTTGGGGGTTGAAAGAGGCGCGGTTCGAAAGGATGCGTCGGATCGAAACGGAGACGGAAGGGTGATGAGGTCGTGTTGAGGTGAGATGGAATGAGATGGAATGAGATGAGACAGTCAAATGGACGAGTAGACGAAGAAAACACGTCGCGTCAGCAAGGAGCCACATAAAACTCATGTTCGGGGTGGCTGGCGTGTCGCTGAGGTTGACAGACGCGACGACGGCGAGATAGTGGGTCGATGGATGGTCAGACTCACTCTTCTTGGCTGTTGAGAGTGATTAGAATCGATAGAGAAGAGGAAGAAGACTCGTCAGCACGGCTCATGTCATATAGATGATGTGGTGAGTTTGGTGTAAACAATGGGTTGGGGTCCTACAGCAGTGTGGAGGATGGATGATGACGGGGGAGGGAAAGCCTGTCTTGACTTACGAGGCATTTTGATCTGAGTAAAGTCCGAGGGGTAGGTCACAGAAATGTGTTTGGTAGAATGAAGAAGGGTGAATGTATAAGATGAGAGAGATGGTCAAATGGCAGAAATAACAAGTTGAATGAGGGGGGGAAGAAGCCTCTCCATCGGTCTGAAAGGGGGTCGGTTCTTTAAACTCTCCCGGTAGATTGGGACCGACCAGGGGGCTTTGGGCAATTACGGCATTTCACGTGGCATTTAAACATATTTTTCAAAAAAAGACAGCGCGCGCGTCGATTGTTTTTATTGCTTGCTGCTGCTTCTGCTGCTGCTGCTTCTGCTGGGGTTGCTGCTGCTGCTGCTGCTGCTGTGACCCGGTCCACGGTGAGGCGTCCATGGCGATTCTCTCTCTCTCTCTCTCCCGACAAGGGAAAGGGTACTTTGCGTGGCGCAGATGGATCACAATAGACACACTGTCCCTTCCTCGTCGATCAAACGAGTAAACATTGTCTTGAGGTATAACAAAGCACACAACACACACACACTCGGTATGCATACCTAGACCATGGCCACATCATCGTCATCGGGACGAGGAGCTCCTCTTTCAACACTGTTGATAATCTCCCTTCTGATCTCAGGGCTGATAGACGCGTGTGGTCGAACACGGATGACATCGAGGAGAGCGTCCTTTTGATCAGGCGTCAAATCCGAGCCGTACCTGGTAGAGGGCGTGAAGTGAGCCAAGACGAAGGGGTTCTCGCCTGCATCGACTCACCGCTGCACGAATACGAGCAAACTTTGATGCCACAGTACTGGCAGTTTATCGTCTCCATCTTTACTACGAGAGGAATTGGCCAAACGGATAAAGTGGAAGACCAGCGCGTCGACAACCTTGTACGGCAGGGCGTATTTCTTGTCCAGTAATATGCGGATGAAGAGCGAGTTTGGGCCTGAAACACACATCAGTCTGGCGCAGCAGTCAAGAGAGAGATGCTCGGCCCACCGCTGTAGTCCATTGACGCGAGCCGCAGCAATGCAGCAGCCGAGTGCAAAACAGGTACTGAGACCTTTGCAAGGACAGAAGCGACGACGGCAGCTTCTTTGAGGGAGCAAGCGGTCTATGGTCCGTTAATACAAGGTGATGGTGAGGGCGTCAAAGCTGGCTTACCTCGCACAAGGGGAACAAGATCCCCTTGAAGAACGCCGCTGGCTTATAGAGACTCTTCTTCAATGCTTCGTACAAGTGGACATTGAGTTTTCCGTTGTTCATCCGCATGTCCTCTCTACACTGATCCAATAAGACTCCCTCAAGGTAGACTCGGACGTCGGAAGGCTTGAGATTAGACACAAAGATCTTCGTACAAGCAAATGTGGCATGTGGGGTCCATTGAGTGGGGCCAGTGAGGGCCAGTAGCTGGGCCCAGTGAGGAAGAGAGGGTAAAATCTTGAGTGCTTTGGGAAGAGGCCCGGATTTGTATCGCGACAGGAGAAATCCGACTCTTGGGTAGTATGCGCATCAGCATAGTCTTTCCCATCTCTTCTTTCTTGATCCGACTCACTTTGTGTACACCTCGACGACTTTAGGGTTCAGGCCCTTTCTAGGATCCGGAGGGCCCTCATCTACGCAGTCTCTCAGCTCCGACCAGATATGCACAGTGGAAATTACTCACCCTCCTCTTCAGCAGCTGCTCCCTGAGAGACTGCGCCTCCGGCCATCTTATTGAAGATGATATCCGCCAGTGTGCGGCCATTCTGCTCAGGAGCCAGCGCATCGAGCGTAGCATGATCCTCTGGGTCGATATCCTAATTGATGGAGTTGAGCCAGAGCGTTCGCCCGAGTAACACTATCCGCTCACCAGCTCGACATCGCTATCTTCTGCATCCTCATCTTTCTCCTCATCATCTGATGGCATCTCCATAGGCCGAGGTCGTGTAGATCTGGTCGCAGAGTGAGACGTAGCTCCACGAACATGTCAATACTCACGGTCCAGGCGTATCATCATCTTCAAGATCATCGTCCTCTTCATCGTCATTCAGGGCAATCTCCCTCGCAATCTCAGCTTGCTGATCCCTTGCGAGGTCCAAGATCTTCTTTGACATTCGGGCGTCCTCTCCGACCTGCTGCGAGACGATTGTCAGCTTCGATAACATTTTGAGTCAGTCCGGATCTACCTCTTCATCCTCCTCTTCGACCACTTTGGCCTTCTTCTTGCCATTCACAGCTGATCGACCAAATTTCCTATAGGTATCATCTTGAGCCAACTCGACGTGCAAAGGGTCGTGCCGCGGTTTGCTGGATTTCAAAGCTTTGGGCATCGCTTGATATGAGCTCTGGTAGATAGGTCTTGATCTTCAGTTCGAAGGACAGTGCTATACAGCTGCTGACTCGTAAAGGGATTGACTGACGTTGTGATCAAGCTGCATGCTGCGGCAGCGTTTGTGGACGGTCAAAATTCCAAAAATCTTTTAAATCTGCCACGTGCTCTTCGGTTTCTACGTCACGGGGGCGGATCGATACGAGTCCCAAAAAAGTCAACCAGCTGCATTGCAATCGACGAGCAACACAGACAGTGGGACCTCGGATAACTGAGCAAGATGGCAGCTTCAGTGAGATAGAAGCAGAACGAAAGTCTTCCTCTCCAGTGCGCCTCATCGGCCATGACGAAAAAGCGTCGAGGAGCTCGAGAAGGCATCAAGCCCTCAATGGGTGTAGATTCGAGACATCATGCTGGTCAAACGCCTGACGCAGAACATCTGGTAGATTGTCTCTCTGTAAGTCAGACTTTCTTGCACCCCGGCTAAGTCATGACCAGGTCGAATACCCCTTGTTAGACGTTGCTCTCATCCACAGTCTCATCTCGGACCATGAAGAGCCACTTACACGTCTCGAAGAGATCCGCGATCAATTAGGAATCCTCGAGGCTACCCTGGTTCCGGATCTGGATGGGCCAAGATCTTCGAGCGTTGATCACAGCTCTGTGGGCGAAGGCTCGACGCGAGACTTGGAAGATGGGGTACGATCGTTGACAGTTGGTTCTGATGCCGGCGATGCTAGTTCTGCAAGAGGATCCGGAAGTGGAAGTACTCGATATCCCAGCTCCAAGACTCAGCCTACTTCCCTTTCAATGTCGATATCGACTTCATCATCGTCTCTGGCATCTGACCATCCCGGACTTGAATCCGCGACAGAGCTCTCAGCACAGATCGACTTATTGAAGACGCTGTTCTCCGACGCGTGAGTTATTATGCAGCCCCTGTCCGTTTGGGGCTCAGCCTGCACCTTCTAGCTCTACCAAAACCATTCGTAATGCCATTTTGGCGGAACCTTCACTCCCCGCCGCCATTGATCATTTACTCTCACTCGAGTTGATCCGCCAGGTCGAGCGCGAAGGCGCTTGGCCTGACTCAGAAATGTCCAGTGGGACAGAAGGGGACGGCTTCGTGCACGCTGCCAAGAGTAATCAACCAGCTTCAAGTCGAAAGAAGCGAGCTCCAAGGGGTATCACCGTCCCATTGGTTGACTCGCTCCAACGTAGACCGGCACCCATCAATCGCTCTTCATCTCGTACCATCATCCCTGCCGGTCCTTCATCAAATGCTTGGGGCACAGTCTCCTCATTGTCTGCTTACCTATCAGACCTCTTGTCCGCACCGTCGAGCTACTTCCTCAGCTATTTTCACTCACCAAATTACCATTCAGCCCTGTCGGCGATTCGCGCCGCCCTCAATGCTCTTCCTGCAAATACGCAGTCTGGCGACCCCAAACCGGTCCTGGAGGATCTGTACGGTGTGCAACTATCTGAGGAACCGGGAACCGCAGACGACCTGGCCATGTGTGCACGAGTGACGGACGACGTATCGATCATCATGGATCTCATGGATCTCTTGGCCGAAGTGTCATACTGGCCAGGTGACAATGATGTATTGGCCTCGGCGCTGAACAGCACAGGCGCTTCCAGACCGTCAACGGCGCCGCCCACACCGCGACTGGCGTCGACACCTATGACTCCGTCCTCCTCGCAAGATAGCGTCACGAGTCACAAATCGCGAGCAGGGCCTCACCCTGGCCGCTTGTTGACCCGGCCAATATCACAGAAGCCAACAGCAGAAGCACCGGAAGTGAAGGTAATTCCAGGCTCTCAAGCTCCGCCATCTGCCGCGTTCCATCAAATGGCGATGGACAATTTTGGACAGCCATCCTCATACGCTCGCCACACTTCCAAGTCAAGTAAAGGCAAATCCAATGGGTCCGTCAGGCAGGTCCATCCTCTCAATTGGCGCACGGTGGACCATGCCCGACATCATCCCGCTCGGACATTGCATCCATTGGCATCGAATATCCCATCTTACGCACGCGGCGCAACACCCCACGATCCATCTCCTGGATCTCTGTACCGGCATCCGCGGTCTTCAGAAGTGGACCTTTACTATGTCAATGCCAACAAGGAACGCGAGAAACGTGCAGATGCCATTCGAGCAGCTGCGAATCATTTCTCTGGATCAGCTCTCTCAGGCGGAAAGAGCGTCAATGTGATGGTTGCTGGGCACTACGCTTCTCAAGCTAGAGAAGCTGAACAGAGGGCCAGAGATTGGGAAATGAAGGCTGCTCAGCGTATTGTCTCGGATCAACTTGCCCTCACGGGAAATGGCATTGATCTACATCATCTCACAGTCGAAGAAGGCACGTTGGTGGCGCTGGAAATGACCAGAAAGTGGTATGATGCGCAAAAAGCCGCAAATTATGCAGGGACGACAGACGAGTCTCGCAGAAGGATCGCAAACTTCACGCCGAGTTCCGGTCTCGTCGTGGTCACAGGGAAGGGAAGACATTCGAAAGGCCAACGCGGTGTGCTCGGGCCAAGCGTCGCGAGTGCTTTGAGGAGAGATGGGTGGCGGGTCGAAGAGGGGATGGATAGGGGCTATCTTGTGGTCAAGGGAAGGGCTTGAAGGAATCTGAATACCGGTATATAACTCTCTTGCTAGCTTGCAGCTGTCACTAGATCGACATGCATGACAAGACATCTTGTTCTCCCCGCAGCCATCAGGCGGCGATGGCCTTCTTCGCCATCTCCAACACACCTTCATACGTCTCTGCACCCGCCGTGAACCCTGAGGCATGACAAAAGACACATCCGTCTATCCCTGATACCTTGCTGAGGTCTTGATCTCTCACACCTCGCCATGCTTCAGGTAGAGATTTTCGGTTCTCAAACGAGTCGGGGTTGACGGGTACGCATTGGATACGCCATTTGGAATTGGGAGCTTCGGATTCAGGATACAGTACGTATAGGATCTGGGATGGGGCAGAAGGGAGTGATGGTTCCAGTAGGAACAAGTGGTCTTTCCACGGTGCAGCCTGTGGAAGTATCAGTTGCTGTCCACCACCAAATGATATGCGGCGCGTACCTCGCCACGTACCTTGTCAAATCGAACAACTGCTCCACTCGGATCGATTTCTAATCGCTTCTCCATAGCTTCTCGGACAATATCTCTGGCCGGGAGCCAAGCTTTGATATAGTATTCCAATTGCGACATGAATTCGTCTCCAGTCACTGCAGAGGCTTTTTGAAAGAGGTTCTGGAATTATTCAATGTGAGGACCCGGGACATCACGCTGACAGCTCACATCATAAGTCTCGTCAGTCGTCGATTCGTTCCAATTTGGATTTATGCGCTTGACTCTTGAGCTGAGATCAGAATTGACAGAGTAATTGGTAGGACCAGTAGCGATGTTCACTCCGTTGTCGATCCTTGAAAAGCTTTGAGCTGATTGCCTCCAAATGATAGGAGATAAAGCTTACGCATCGACGGACTCAATAAATCCCTAGCGTTCGTCAGCATGAACGAGGACCCTTTATGGAACAAGCTCACAGAGTATAATCTCAACCAAAGCAGCTCCACAGTAGGATCACTCTCCTCCACACCACCGAGCTGCTGAGCGATAATCTGTTTTCCGAAATGTCTAAAGGTTCAGGCGCGAACCGTAGACGACTCACTTGTATACCAAGCCTGCAGAGCTCAACTTGATCTTGTCGAAGCCTCCGTGCCCAAAGACCTCTGTGAAACCTCTTTGATGGTGGTCGTACCGATGTCTAGAGGGATCGTAGACTCCACCGACATCGACGACAATGTCCAGTGGTTCCACTGAGGCGATGAGCTCTCCTGGGTAGCTGATTTCATCTGCAGCTCACACTTGGCCGGATCTCTCGTTCGAACCACGTCTGTCGGGGTGTTAGCCGCTTCGTGCGTGCGTTCGAAGGTAGCTCACCTGCATCCCTGAATTCGTCTGTTAATCGGAGCATGTACACTGCCAGAGCTTCTATGGGTCTGTCAGACAAGGTCTAGATGCTCCCCCCGTAAGATCAACTCGCCATCGCAGTGAAAGGTTCCAGAATGTGTTCCAATGACCTGTGGGACATCAGGCGAGGCCGACCGCGGAGCCTGAAGGCAAGCTCGCTCACTTTGGTGGACTTGAGCTTCTTCGTGGCTGGAGCACTCGACATCTTGTATCGGGCGATGAAGGGGTTGGGAGATACAGGAGCTGACGTTGGCGAAAAGATAGACTTTCTAACTCTGCAGCGTGTGACAGCTGTGAGAACACCAGTCAGCATCCACTGATGTACCAGCTGGTCAATGACTCTGGAGGATTATTATCATAGCAGTTCAAAAATCTAGCTCTGAGGTCAAATCTCCCACGCTCGTCAGAGTAAGTTTCCCACGATGGCTTCCTATTCATTTAGCCTTTTGCCGGTGGTGCATCATCTACCTGCAACTCTTAGTCAATAGTGTCCATCTCGATAGCAAACGCAGATAAACCCAACAGAGAAGGCGAATGGTTGGCTCAGGGGACAACGAAACTTCACTTGCAACGTTTCATTGACCCCTATTGTCTCCTGTAGAGCGTTGCGGAGGTCAACCTACGCGCTCGCTCAGTCTCACTCTTCTCCAGTGGGATCCCGGAACGTCTTTGACCCACCAAGACGAGCTGCTGAGAGCGCCCCTGAAACCGATGCATAACATGCGGTCCACTCGTCAAAGTAGTGTAACCTCGATGGACGATGATGATGGTGAGTCTTGCCTGACAGCTCTTCAGCTAGTCTTTTCGCCTACCTCATTGCCGAGCTGGGGGTCGAGCTGCTTTCGCCTTGGAGGCTTATCGCTGACATAACCTATTCAACCTCTCCAGACGTCCCGCGACGCTCCACTCGAGGTCGTAATCCCCTGCCTCCCACCTCTGGTCCACTGTTCCCTCCTCTTCCTCCCAAAGCTCCAAAGCAAGCTAAAAACTCTCCCAAATCGCGACCCTCGCCCGCTTCAAAATCCCCCAGTATCACCTCTAGACTCCCCACAAACCACAATGGCGATCTAGATCTCAAGACTGAGGTCGTCGATCACGTTGAGCTGGATGATCAGCTGGATGATCAGAACCTCCGCGCTGGATCACCTTCTAAACCCCTTGCATTGAGCTCTGTCAATAGCTTGACACCACCTCCACCAACCAGTGAGGATCCGGCGAATGGCGATGAAGAGATCGGAGAAGGGGATCAAGTCATGGATGGAGACGAACCGGACGTCCAGCAGAGTAACAAAGATACGGGGCCGACGGATGGAGAATCAGACGTATGGGAGACCTATCGACGTCAACGTCGAGCTGGTGTCAGAGGGTTTGGAGGATCCGCCAATGGTGGCCAAGAAGTGACTCAAGGAGACAACGTGGAGGTGGTAGAAATGGATGAAGAGGAAACGCCTAGGAAGAAACGAACGTCTGCTCGGAAATCTTCACAGGTCAAAGATGATCCTCCGGAACCTGCATCGGCCTCGGATGCGGGGGGATCCAGTAGCCGTGGCGCTGCAAGAAGGAGACGGGGCGAGGAGCAGATTCTGATGGATGATCACCTTTTACCTGCCGAGCTGAAGCGTAGTGGGGGTTTGACGGGAAGACGAGGTCAAGCTCAGTCGGTCAAGCCGGAGAGTCAGGCAGAGGAAGCCGGTGAGGAGTCTCGGGGTGGGGATGGTGAGGAGGAAGATGCGGGGGCTGTGGAGGCTGGAGAAGATGCAGATGTCGATGAAGAAGCTCTGGCAGATGACGATTACAAAGAGGACGTGACGAGGTGTATCTGCAAGCGAGACGGTGAGTTGAAGCGCCTTTTCACGCTAGTCATGAACTCACCGTGTGTCAGATCTCGATGTCATGATGATCCAGTGCGACAGTTGCAACGTGTGGCAGCATGGACCTTGTATGGGGATCTGGGGGGATGAGGAAGCCCCAGATGGTGAGCTTGGGACTGAAGCAATCATACTGATTCCACAGAATACTTTTGCGAGGAATGCCGACCAGATTTGCATGGACCCCTTCGCAAGTGGGTCAAAAGCAAAGATAGCGGATCATCGTGAGCGATTCCATCGTCGCCTGATGCTCATAACCTCCTTCAGCTGGATGTACATTCCTCCCACGCCGAGCGACCTCGAAAGATACCACTCATATCACGATAGATATCCTCCATCCCAGTCCACCATGTGGCCCACACGTCATCCCAACAGTCCAGCTGGCAAACCGTCCTCTCGCTCACATCACCGGAGAAATACCGGTAGTCCGGTCGACGACAAGCGTTTACGAGGGGCCAGACCTACAGTCGTGCCGCCAAAGACCGAGATCAAGCAGACTGCACGTCGTCAATCTCGAGACGACGGACGGAGAAATCCAATGGGTCACGCTCGACGTGTGTCTCATGGAGCAGCCAGGTCACCATCACCTGTCGATTCGCCATCACCGGGAAATTCGAATGCGCCAACCAAGAGGAGGGTGACGATGAATTCAAGGGATGCCGCGTACGAGGAGGAGCAGTTTAAAGCTGTGTTGGAGGCTAGTCGAAAGGAGCTCTTGGACAAGCAATCCAAGCGGCCGGAGGAGGACGACACGGAGAGTGTTGCGACGGAGAGACCTTTGGCGTCCCGCAAAGGCAAGCGGAAACAGGAGGATGATGAGGGTAAGCTCAGCCCGATGACCGCTCGGGCGAACCAACTGACCCCTTGCAGCGTCAGTGGATGCCAACGGCTCTGGCTCTTCAAAGCCCAAGCATCCGAATCAATACACGTATCGCCCGAAGCCCGCCATGGCGCCTGCCGAAAGACCACCCGTACATCGTCATACACCGACTCCAGCCCTTCCACCCCCTGCTCAGCATGATCATGGCACTCGACGTGCGGGCGCCATCGCCAACGGCATCATTCCTCCTCCACCTAATGCAGTCTCGGTGCACAACCTACACTGGCATCTGCCAGATCACTTGTCACTCTTCTCCGACCTCCTACCGAACCCCAAACCGATTGCTCTGGAGTCACGCGCGCCTCGAACCATGACTTACCAGAGCAAAAACTTCTACTACAACCAAAAGTACGGTCCATTTCATCGCGATCAGCGTGACGAGTCTGGCAATTTGATCCTCCCGGAAGATTTGCCACCTCGAGAACCCGCTGGCGGGCCGTTGACTCAACTTGAACCTCCCGCTCGCGTGCGTTATCCACCTCGACGTATCACCGCCGCGGAAATCAAAAAGCGAGTTCGGAATGTATTCGAGTACGTTTCCCGCATTCAAGTCGAAGAAGGAAAACGCAAAGACAGGGCGAAACGCATCGGTATACCTGATTCTTCGACGCTGGCTCCGGCTCAACGGGTCGACAAGGACGGTGATGCGGTAATGAATGGCGAAGCTGGAGCTCAAGAGAGTCTGACGTATTCCACTGGTCTTGCATCGACAGAATTGATGGATGGTTTGATGAGGGATCTCATCACCTTTCAAGAGACGTTCGCCAATGGCGGCTTCGCTACTCCTTTGATACCTTCGAGCAGTGTCCCAGTAACGCCAGCGCTGGCTCAAGGGGAAGAAGGGACTTTGGAGACCCCGAATGGTATGGGAATCGCCGAAGCGGATTCGGGTGAGGTGGAGCAGAGTCCAGCGGTCGACGTCAAGCTCGAGGCGGATCCCGGAGCTGTTCTCGCCTCCGAGGTACCTATCGACTCTGTGGACATTAAGATGTCTGAAGAGGGAAAGATTGAAGATGCCAGCGAGACTGTGGAGGTATATCGACAAGGAACGGTCGGAAAAGTCATTGCGGACGCGCAAGAGGCGCAAGTGGCCAAGGACGTGGAGGAGGCTGTGAATGGCGTAGAGGTGGAGTCTGTAAGCTGAGTTGATGGAGGGGGAGTCAGTGTTGTATAGGTAGTCTCTAGGGTACATGAGCCCTCCCACCCCTTCACGTGGCCAGTGTCATTTCTTGTCAATGCGATTGGATGTTGTCCATCGATGAAATCCGAAAAATAAGTCAATCGCGTTAGGCCGGAGGATGATTTTATTTCATTCAAACATTTTTGGAGTCGACATGTCGATTAATTATTATTGACAGTCTGTCTCTACGACCTTCCATTCAGCCGTATCGACACCATGGCGGCTGCGTTGAAGCGATCCACCTTGAGGCTGGGTATGATCCCTGCTGATGGGATAGGCAAGGAAGTCTTACCGGTGAGTGCTAATACTCCGCACACGGGAGGTCGAATATGACTTACTCTCGGATAGGCCGCTCAACGAGTGCTCGAAGCTCTCGGTTCAGCTATACCCAGAGTCGAGTTCGTGCCGCTGCTTGCGGGCTGGGAAGAATTCAACAAGAATGGTAAAGCATTACCTGAAGCCACCATTGAGTAGGTTCAGCCATTCAGTCCTCTCTCCTCTCGCCCCCCCTCCTCCCGCCCCTTCCAATGGGGTGGTTCTGGACATTCCTTTGATTGATGATATATCATCCTTACAGGACGCTGAAGATCGAATGCGATGCTGCAATGTTCGGATCTGTCTCTTCTCCATCACACAAAGTCCCGGGGTACAGCTCACCTATCGTCGCGCTTCGCAAACATTTGGACCTCTATGCGAATATCAGGCCGGTGAAGAGTGTTCAGGGTGTAGATGGGAAACCGGTGGACATGGTCATCGTCAGGGAGAATACAGAGTGCTTGGTGAGAGACGCTCTATCGAGTAAATGACGGCTAAGCATACGACTACAGTATATCAAAAAGGAGGAGATTCACGATAATGCCGATGGATCAAAGGTCGCCTATGCCACGAGACAAATCACTTCCTACGCTTCGTCAAGGATCGGAAGAATGGCGTACGAGTTGGCACTACGTCGTCAAGCTGAGCGCGAGGCGGGTGAGTCCCAACTCGCTCGGGGGCGGCAGGCGCATCGCCGAATCAATCAGTTGTATCTTTTACTGATTTCACTATGATCAACTCGTTCAGGAGCCAGCTCGTCAGTTCACCACTCTCAACCCAAAGTCACGATCGTGCACAAATCCAACGTCTTGAGCGTTACGGATGGTCTCTTCAGAGAGACTGTTCGTGCTGTGAGCCAGGAAGACAAATACAAGAGTGTCAAGACAGAGGAGCAGCTTGTCGATTCAATGGTCTACAGAATGTTTAGAGAGCCAGAGTGAGTGGCCGGGTGCGACTCTCAAAGCGAAGCACAGGATGTTCCAACTAAGCGACTCTTATCTGCAGAATCTTCGATGTTTCCGTCGCACCAAACCTGTATGGCGATATCATCTCGTACGTCTGCTGTCTACTCTCATCATCTTCAGAGACCATCGATGATGTTGCTCACCATTTCGCCTCCACAGGGATGGCGCAGCCGCTCTCGTCGGATCCCTTGGAGTCGTACCGTCCGTCAATGCAGGTGACAACTTTGTCATGGGAGAGCCGTGAGTTGCCCTCTGCTCATTTGCCATTGTTTTTTTTACTCTTCTTTCGGTTCCTAAGCTGATCGGACCTGACAGGGTACACGGGTCTGCACCTGATATCGAAGGGAAAGGTATCGCCAACCCTATCGCCTCTATCCGCTCGGCTGCTTTGCTCCTGTCTCATTTGGGGTACACCGATGCAGCTGCAAAGATCGATACGGCTGTAGACAACGTCTTGCGAGAGGGCAAGTATCGTACGCCGGATTTGCACGGAAAATCCACAACCGAAGAGGTGACCAATGCCATTCTCAAAGCCTTGTAGGTAGGTAGGAAGGAAGAGCGATTTAAAGTGCCATTGTGTCCTGGAGTTTCCCTATAGATCTGCTCCTCGCTATCATGGTCTAAGTTAATATGCATGCGATTTCTATTTTGATGATGATTAGACGATTCTGATTGAACACATGTTATTTGCACCAAAAGTTCTTTCTTCCTTCCCTTTCTGTGCTCTATGACCCCACCATCCATCAAGTCATGCCCCAGGTCTCAGGACACAACTAATTTCCCCCTTACATCTCCCTGATTCGCAAGATGAGATTGACCAAGACACTCGCCACAAGGGCGAGACACAAGACAGTCGGACCGTACTTGTCGTGATATTCAATGGCCATGCGCTTCCGAAGTTTTGCAATTCGATAGACAAACATGCCTCCCGAGTATGTGATGGCGAGCAGGGCAGTGAATGTAAAGCATGAAGCGGCGTACATTCCTACAGGATCCGTAGCGGGGACAAAGTTGAGCAAACCAATAGAGACTGCACTGAGAAGAACTGCAAAATGAGTCCACTGATGGTGACGGTCAGTCTAAATCACAACACCGGGGTGTTATCGGAGTCGACTTACCTTGAGGAACGTTCTTTCAGCCGCAAAGACGACTTTAGGTTCGACTCTGACAGGGACGGCGATGCGTTTCCCTGGTGGTGCTCGGAAAGAATCGACATAGACCACTTCGTTGCCCTCTTCTCCTACTAAATCTTCGTCGTCTGATAATGGTCGCGCAGAAGAATCGGTAGCACCGTAATTCCTGGGCTCGCCATTCGCCTTTGTAACGGCGTCTAATTTTCTCAAAGCTTCCGCATCGAGTAACGAGACGTTCTTGTCGAATCTGTCGGACGGAGCCAGTGGGTCTATCCGAAGACTTGGGTCATACGGCTTTGATCGGCTCTTGGGTAGTCCGTCCACCTGGGCGTTGGACTTTTGCTTTGACGAAGCTGCTTGAGCTGCAGCTTCTTCCCTCAACTTTTTCTCTCTAAAGTCCCTGGCAGCTCGAGCTTGAGCAGCCGCATCGGGAGGGAGTCGAAGATGTTGATCCTCGTTTCGCTCAGCTTGAACGAGATACTCTTCGTCCTCTTCTCCTTCAGACACAGGTTCATGATATGTCGGTCGAGATTGCGAAGGTGACAACAGGTTCGGAGATGTACTGCCTCCAGATGCTGACGAATGGGTGTTCGAATGCGGTCGTTCGATGAGGACTCTGGATCGGGATGAAATGGGTTTACGAATATCTTGATCCATCTGTGGAAGCCAGAATGGCACGAGGTCCACGCGTTCAGGTAAGAGGGTCGCGCAACCATGGATGAATTTGGAGAATTTGGGCACAGCCTCGACGAGATGTGAATCGATGAGATCTCGAATCCATTGAGGTGGCTCTTCACCGACTTTGGTAGCGAGCTTTACTTCAAGTACACCATGCGGGAAGAGCTCTTTTTCGGAATCTCTGACTGTGGGGAAAGGATAGTCTGTTCCGAAATCGGTCCGTCGCCAATTTCCATGCGTTCGATCATTGCCGTCAAAGTTGTCTTCTCGAACCATGGTGAGTTCAGTATCGAGAGAGATTCGGACGGTAGCGTTTCCGGGAAGCTGAAACGCTGTTCGATTGTAGAAACTTCGCATGACTGAAGGCAAGCAATGAGCATGGACGGGCACACCACAGCGATAAGTATGACCCACCTGGTCTCAATTTTCGCGTGACGATGGCATATTGAATCTCGCTTGCCAATTGCTTCATTCCCTCGGCTTCCTTTTGTGTCTTCTTTCCCTTTTTCACCAAAACGTCAAACTCTTCGTCCATCGTGTACCGACCAGCACAGAATTCATTGAGCTTCTCCATTTTGATGGTGAAACGCTCCTTGACGGACTTCTCTCCCGTCCAATCTTCACGATGTGTCTTTCGCTCCACAAAGATCTGCATACAGAGATCAGTTGACGACCATATCGTATGTAGTAGGAGACGTTTGACTCACCGGTGTCTTGTTGGTCGAATCGTATGCTCCGTACCATCGCATTCGGATCGCTTCCGCCCCTTCGGTCTTTTCCAATCGACCGAGATAGAGTTCGAGATCGGGATTATCGTAGTAGATGGAAGTGATGGCCGAATCGCTGATGTCAAATTCCTTTTTCGTGTCAAAGACCATGACGGGCAAATGCTTCATGATGGCAAGTTTGAGTGGAACAATGTTCTCGTCGTGAACCTTAAGATTGAGCCGGCGTCAGCAGACAGAGTGCTCGAGCGGGATCACGGCTCACCCAGTATTTTGTGGTACTTCTGACGAAAGCATTCTGATTTCCTCCGGCGCTCGAGTCACCTTCGATAGGATGACCTCGAGTTCTGACCAAATCGAAGAGCTTGGAAAGCTTGACGATGAGATGATCATAGTTCATCCGATAGAAAGGGTGAGATTCGAGAAACTCCTTGTTGAACGTTTCTTTGAGGGAGAAGCCAGTCATTTTCTGATGTGTCCGATCAGTTGGTATTCCCCCCTCCCTTCAGCACCTCGTCATGGCCCTTGAACTGTGACTCACATCGTGCTTCTTGACAATCTTGACGAACCCTGTAAAATTGAGTTTTGTAAAGAGTGATAGGTCGTGGACATCTGCAACGAGGACAGCGACTTCTTCTTCAAGTTCCCTGAATTGCTCTTCGATGGAATCTTCCGAGTGTCCTCCATCCGAATCGACATCTCCATCGAGATCGTCATCATCCGATCCAGCATCGTCGTCCCTCATCGACTGGACATTTCGCTCAACATCACCAGCTGTCCGATCATGATTCCCATGACCATTTGAATGATGATGATGGGGGTGGTGGTTGTGGTGATGATGATGATGCGTATGATCCTCATCGTCGTCTGATGAATCCTGAGCATCGGCAGCCTTGACGAGTTCTTCGACTTGTTTCTCCAAGACTTGAATCTTTGACAAGAGTTCCTCTGCTTTCTGCTGTTGGAATCGCTCGCACTTTTCCAGTTCAGAATTGAGGGACGAGATGAAATCCGCTTCGGCAGTATCTGTCCAAGGGTTTGAAGCTTTGATCTGCTTCTTCAAAGCGCCGTACGCGACGTAGTAATCTGCCCATTCGGCATACAACGAGTCCTAAAGGGTAAAGAGGGGTAAACGGAGTGATCTCTCTGAGCCGCTTTGGGGACAGCGGCGATTATCATGATACTCACTTTGATTCGACGACCGAACTTCATGTTGAGATGCTCACCGCCTTGTCTCAATCAGAGAGGCAAGATTGAGGAAGGTGTTCCAAGTTCGAAAAGAAGTCGATGAAAGAGGGACCTTCTTGAAAGGTCGACGTGTGAAGATCTCTCTCGCAAGAGAAGCGGTAAAGGCGGCTAGTGCGTTCGACCGGAAATGGATGTGCCTAATTGTCCGTTGCTCCGCCTTGACGACTGGACTATGCACAGAATGTTGGACAGAAGTAAAGAATTCAAAGTTGAAGTGGGAGGAGTAGGTAGGTATAGGTAGGTAGAGACCCGGCCCCTCACAGTTGAGCTCTGCAGTCCTGACACCTCGTGACCGGTGACTACGGCGGTGAAAAAAGATATGAGCCAGACACAAACGTGCGTTAAAATCCAAAAAAACCTAGTACCGTAACAAGCAGCGGGCACGACGGCACTGACGACATCCACCAGGAATATCTACGGGCAAAACCCGTATGGCATACATTTCCGTGGCAGACGACGACGACGACGACGACGACGACGACGATGATGTCCAGGAGAATGCATGCACAATGCCAAGAGTCATCGGAAGACCAGGAGGGTATGAGAGCAATACAGAGCGAGGCGATCTAACCATCCGTCCATCAGATGGTTCTAATCGTATTACTGAAGAGAGGGGTCGTTAAAAAGAAGGCTACTGACATATACACGGTAATTTTTGTTTCTCGTTCGGCGAAAGGTCGTCAAGATGATCGTTGGAGGCGTTGAGCCTCTCCGGGACCGATCATGACCAGATCTGCCGCAACGTGTCAGCATGTTGACCCTGTAGTCGCCGAGCTTGTATTCACCTTGAGCAAGCTGTCCCAGCTTCCAGTACAGAGAGCTATGCCATCTCCCGACACACCCAGACAGCTGACCCGGTTGTCGTGACCTGCAAGTACACCGACACGTTCGCCCTTGAGCGTGTCCCAGACGTTACAATTGTAGTCATCGTATCCGGCAAACAACAATCGGCCAGAGAGTGAGAAAGCGACGGACGTGATGCCACAAGTGATGTCTTGGTATCCGTACGTGATGAGCTCGCGGTCTGCTCGGAGATCAAATAGCTTGCACGTCGCATCGTCGGATCCAGTCGCAAAAGCGTCACCGTTCGGGAAGAACCTGGCAGTAGTGCGTCAACACTGAAGGGGGAGCCGTGTCCGCCACGACTCACTGAACCGCATTGATATCCGATTCGTGTCCCGTGAATGTCTGTACAGCCTTGCCAGTCCTGATGTCCCAGACTTTGGCAGTCGAGTCACAAGCTCCAGACACAAAGAGATTGGCATTGGGCGCGAGCGATATACTGGGAGCGGGTCAGCATCTTCACTTATACCTTGTGCTCTGTGCTCACCTCATAACATCCCCGGTGTGATCGTTAAACTCCATTGTCCGGACGCCCTGCTCTATATCCCACAACATGCAGGTCATGTCTCCACTGGAGGTGATGATCTGTCTATCGTTGAGGAAGCGACAACAACTCAGATAGCCCGAGTGCGCACTGAGCTCTCGAGCGACTTTGGCTTGACCGGGCGGAGCACCTGGTCCAGCACCCCGTAACGAGTAGATGGAGCATATGTTGTCGAGACCACCACAGGCGACAAAGTTTCCAGACGGAGCATAGGCACACGTCATGACCCATGATGAGCGGAGTGGAATAGCGTGGACTTTGTTGGTCGTATAAGCGTCCCATACGATCAATTTGCCATCTTGAGATGCAGAGACAATGTGTCGTTTGTCGGCTGCCCAATGGAGGGCATAAATCTTGGCCAGGTGACCTTTCAGAGTCCGTCTTGGCTTCATAGTGATGCGTGGGATGGGTGGGGTGTCATTAGCCATGGCTCGGACTATGAGCAGCGAGCGCAAGCGGGTGATGACGAGGACGAGCAGCCAGCGCAGAAGGCAATGTCAGGAAGATAGAAATACGAGGATGGAACCGGGGGCAACGTGATTGTCAGCGGTCGTCACAACGCTCTCCCATCATCACTCACGACTCGTATCTCCCGTTTGATCCTTCGCCGCTCTGATCCTGTCTTTGAGTCCATCCGCCTCTCTTCTCGCCGCTGAGATCCTCTCCTGGATGTCAGCCTGAGAGACGGTCGCCATTGGTGCGGGGGTGTGAGGGATACTTGTGGTGGTCGAGGGTCGAAGAAGATGGTCTCAGAAAGGAGGGGTTGGGTTCGTGAAGAGGAGAAGAAGTGAGGGGATGTTGATGGATCGGGGTTTCCACCACAAGGTGTCTGTGACTCTTTTCCGCTGAGTAACGTGTATTGAAGAATGGACGAGACTATGAAGGGAACAGGGAAAACGGATTCTGACTGGCGTCAGCATGGACCTCTTCTCGGGATGTTAAAACCAAGCTCACCTCGCCTAAGAGCTATGAACTGATCCGATACAAAAAGTCGTTGGACGGTGACCAGCGGTCTCCTCTTCGTTCTGTGGTTGGGATATCTGTTCAGAATGGTGAATGGATACACAAAGAACAGCAGCGAGTATGATTCCCGCCCTCAGAGTGTCCGAGTGTCTGAGTGTGAAGGAGGGACCGTGCGAGCAAAAGGTGAAAGTCCAAAGTCCCAGAAGGAGAGAAAAAAGAAAGGGGGGGGAAGGCTGAAAGAGCCAATGTGGAGATGAATCCAGCTTTCGGAGGGAGAGAGACGCAGTGTTCAAGAGTTCGGGCGACCCGGAGACCTATGTCGGAATGTTGAGAGGTTGTGCCCAAGTGAATCGAACAGAGTAAAAGGAGCTGATGCGATGTGGGAGTTGGCCTGCACCCAGAGTCCAAAGGAATGTCCTCGATGCTATTCGAAACTGTTTTTTTGGGACGTCAATGGAGAGAGGATATGAGGTGTGTCCCCGTGCGATATTGTGATGGAGTAAGAGGGTTCAAGAGGCTTTTTGTGGGTGACCAGCTGATTGTTCAGACAGGTATGATTGGAATGTGTTTGACACCTTTTCTGCCCCCCTCCAGGTCAAAAAGACGGCAAAGCGAGGATGATATATGAGTGTATGAATGAGCAGGATGGTCCATCCCCCCGGCCCGGCAGTGTCGACACTTCCCTCTCTCCTCTTCTTCTTTTGATTTGGACAATGAGCTTCAATATCCCCCCCGCCGCGGTCCTTTTGTCTCTTTTGCTGCTGCTGCTGCTCAAGATTCCAGGTGTGATTGTAAATTGAATCCGTGCCTTGGCGCCCCCCGGTGCTCTGACTGGCCTCGGCGTATGGTAGGAGATGTTGCAAGTCGCTTATTGTTCTCTCAAAAGCTAATGATTTTCTTTCGAGCTAATGGTGTGGTAATGCAGACCGCTGGTTTGATTATCAATCTTGACGGTGTAATCGATCGCCATTAAATGCATTCAACCTCACATCCCACCTTATGGTACATCAGTCCACAGCATGGCGTGACAATATAGTTTAAACGTGAGATCCAATCAACTCCGTATCCCCTTACAAGCCCACTCGATAGACCTGGGTGTGCCGAATTCATCAGTTCCACTGAGTCTCCGCTCAAACGAGCAGACTCACCTTCATCCGACCGCTCTTGAGATCATCACATCGATAACTGACTTCCCCGGGGACCTAAAAGAAGAGAAGAAAAAGAAGACCACATCGTCAGCTTGAATTGGTCATCTTCATCCCCCCACCCGACTCACCCCGCGCTCCACTTGCAACACCTTGACCTTGTGTTTCCCTTTCTGATCAAAGTCCACGACGATACCGAGTAAAGGATCTTCGACCGATCCGACGTGTTGTTCATACGATGACAAACCCTTACGTCCTTTGAATCGGGCATCGTGGAAAGCAGCGATATCTCCAGCTCGCGGCTGCGTGCGAACGTTAACGAGTGAGACTTCAAAATCATCCATCACCAAGCCCAAAAATCTACTCACCTCATCGTATCGCTTGAGGATTGAACCCGCCTCTTGCTCGTACACTACCTGACCCCAGTTCTGTCCTCGTGGAATCTGCGCTCCATCCATAGCCACGCCAATGAATCCAGCAGGGCTACCGTCCTGGGAGAGAACATCAATAAAAACGTCTGCAAGGCATGCCTCAGTGCTCACTCCATAGTACCCCTTTTTACCCTGTTTGAACACTCCCTCGGCGCTCTTTGCCAATCTCGCCCCGGTGTCCCTACTTGCAGCTTGGAGCTGGTCGAAACCAGGTCGTCCAGAGGTATCTGTCGATCCACGTTGATCGGCCTGAGACATCCGGAATGAGCGGGACGATACGGGTGACGGAGGTACTTCGGCAGTGGAGGATCGTGACTGTTGTCTCGCAGCGGGTGAGAATCCAGGTCTAGGTCCGGTAGGTGGAGGCGTTCCAGGAGGCACACCTGGAGTCGACGCTGGCGAGCCTTGATTCATCATCATGATTGCAGGCTCATTGGCGAGGTCTCCTGATTGACCTCTGACATGGGATGTCTCCGATGGGACAGGAGGTAAAGGCGAATTGTAGCCTGTAGATGACCTCTGACTCGCTCGTCTGTCGACACCGACTGGAACAGGCGGTCGCGACGAGTTGGACCGAGCTGGAGAGGGGGGTACTTCCACAGAAGGAGACCGGACCACCTGTCGGGGACGAGAAGCCCCTTCGTCTTCTTCCTCGGGTGGAGGAGGAAGATCACGAGTCGCCTGACGAGACGGACGTCCCAGAGGCGGTGGAGGGGGTGGCACGTCGTCGTCTTCTTCCACTCCCTTGTCAGCGTCTTTCATCTGAAGGGTCCCTCCAGGTCGACCGGATGGAACAGGTGGAGGAGCTGCGCCTTCTTCTTCTTCCTCGGGCTCATCCTGCAATCCTCTTGGATCCTCCGTCTTTGCCTCTGGCTCTGCGGCAGACTCCTGTCCTTGACCGTGGTGGAACATGCCAAAGCCCAGCGTACCCTGACCTCGGAGTCGAGCGAGGATGGCCCGTTTTCTCGCTGCTTCAGCTTCGGGCGAATCGTCATCTTCTGCAGGAGCCGCGACCGGCTCTTCAACGACATTTTCTTGCCCACCGGTCAATGGCGATGCGGGACCCTGCTCGGATTTAGGCGAAGAGATCGAAGATTGCTTTCGCAATGGAGGTGGTGCTCCAAACTTGACTCCTCCAAGTTTGGCCATTCGAGCGGCGATCCCGGACCTACGAGACTTCTCTTCGTCCTCTTCCGTATCTGCGTTTGCTTCGTCGCCTTCTGCAATTGGGTCTCGGCGAGGCACGGTAGGTGATGTGGCCTCTTGGGAAGTTGCCGGTGGGAGACCAGGGGACATACTAGCAGTCGGGACCCGAGGGACACTAGGTCGGCTAGGTGGCGGCGGTGGAACATCCTCCTCCTCCTCCGCCTGATCTTGCACCTCGCCATCATCAACTTGCTCTGGCTCTGCTTGTCGTTGAGACTGCGGCGGCGGAGGAGGTATAGCATCACTCGACATCGTCCTCGAGCGTTCATGTCCTCCCACAGGCCTTCCAGCGGGGACTGGAGGCGGTACATCATCTTCCTCCTCTTCTTCCTCTTGGCCCCATTCCTCAGCATCCTGCGCATCCTGATCGTGCTTCAATTCGACCTCGTCTTTCGGAAGTCCAGTCATGCGAGGTGGTGGAGGCGGCGGAGCCTCTTCGTCGTCTTCCTCATCGTCATCTCCTCCCTCGTGATGTGGACCAGACTCTGCTGGTGAATGCAACGGAACCATCCCGATGGGCTGGAGTACCGATCCAGATGCAGGATCTAAGTCCTCTTCTTCGTGTTGCTCTTGAGACGTCTCATGCTCTGCCAGGGCGATTCCAGCTGCTGCCGCGCCGGCTGCACCCGCAGCTCCAGCACCGATCTCTTCCGCTTTGCGTTCATGCTCCATCTGCTCCTCTGTCTTCTCCATTGGATTCTCTTCACCCGCAACCATGACTTGAGGCGGAGGAGAGATGGTACCATCATCATGGACCTTCTCAACCCGTTGGTCCTCGTTGCCAGCAGCTGGTATCGTTTTGGCAGCAGTGGCTGGCGCGCCTCCGCGACGACGAGGTGGAGCCGCTCGCCTTGGAACCGCAGCGATCGGTACAGAAGTGGGGGTGGCGCTGGAAGCACCAGGACTCGTGGCGATCGCAGCCTCATCTTTCGCACTATCTGGCTCGCCGGCCACGTCATCCGATCTAATCTCGGTAGTCTTCTCAACCACCGGAGAGGTCGGCTCGGAGGGGACGGAGTCTCGAGTTGGTTTCCTCGCCGGAACAGGTTTAGGCGGTAATGCGATTCCCATGGGACCCCTTGCGCCAATCTTGGCCATCCTAGCGGCTATAGCGGCTTTCCTTGCCTTCTCCTTGGCTTCTTCGTCTTCTTCCTCCTCTGCTGCCTCAGTTGCGTGTTCTTCACCTCGGTCCAGTGCATCAGGCTGATCGGATAGAGGTGACTGGACTCTCTCGATGGTGGGGCTGCCACTTTGTTCTCCAGCTTCATCATCTTCTCCTTCCGGTTGAGGTGGAGCTGCAGGTCTGGACCAGACCTTTCCAGACGGCTTTGGAGCGGCGGGCTTCTCCTCTTGCTGTTGTCTAAAGGCACCTGCGTTCCGCAACGCTGCCATGCGTTCTTTCAGAGATCCAGCGGCACCGATGGAAGACGCCGCATCGGCGGAAGACATGGCTCCACGGTCTGCCACTCCAGGTGAGGCGGGAGGTGGGGAGGTAGCAGCTGGCGCGGTCGGTTCCGACGTAGATTCAGCTCCAGAAGGTGTGGCAGCTGCAGAGTCGCTTGTTCCACCCTCCGCTTTCTCTTTTGCCTCCTGTTCCTGCCTCAATTTTTGCCTTTGGCTCCAGGTGAGACCACCCTGAGCGGCAGGTTTGGGCTTGATAGGTGGAGGCGCAGGCTTGTTTTGAGCCGCTGCGAAGAATGCCAGACGTTCTTTCATGGACATGTTGGCAGGGTCGACTTCTTTGGCAGGAGAAGCCGGCCCGGCGGCAGGTGCCGGACTCTGCGCGGGGGGTGACATGGGTGCAGGGGGAGCAGCTGGAGCTGGAGAAGCGGTAGAAGAGGGTGGAAGTTCAGCAGGTTGTGGTTTCGGGGATGGTGGTGGCGAGGCATCTCGAGGGATAGAGGATTGTTCCGCAGGCTCTTTCTCCTCTGCTGGTGTTTGAGGTTCTGGAATAGCCCCGGGAGCCGGGACGGCGGTAGGCTCAGAAGCCGCTGATTCACCTTGGCCTTTCTCGTCAACTGGCTGGACAAAGTCCTACATGATATCAGCGCTTTGTATGGCCAATCACACGTCAGCTAACCTTTGGGAAACCTCCCGTTTTTGAACCGTCTAAAGACTCGCCTACTAGCCAATCTTCATCATCTGGGGAAGGTCCAGTCACTCGGATCCTGGGGGACATAAGCATGGCGTGAGGTCGGGGGTTGAGATGCGAGTCAAGTTGCGCTCGTCTCTTTCTCGTCTCACTCACGTCTCTCCTTTGGCGAAAGACAGATCTGTCGCATGAGGTGACTTGTACTTGAGTCTGCGGGGGAACTCAGGGATCAGCCCGCCGCGGGGTAGTGACTGAAAGGGAAGGGGGGGCTTGGAACTCACGTCGATCTGGCGAGGTAAGGGAAGGACATGATCGTCTTGCTATCAGAACCGAGCTCTAGGACATTCAAGAGCAACGACGCTGCTACAACCTCTTTCTTTGTCGAGCTTTCCAGAGAGGGTGTCAATGCAACAAGGTGTAGAGTACAGTACTGAAGAGGCGTTCATTATTGCACCGGTGACGTCGTTTTGTTGCAGGAGATCTTGAATGTGGCAGATTGGGCTGGGCCCCGAAAAGGCGTGGAGTCGATGAAACCTGCAGGATGCATAGCAGGAGCATACATGGACAGGCCGGAGATACAGCCGACTTTAGCTCTTGCTGCTGATCTGAATTGACCTGAGGGCTCGCTCAGGAGGGTCCTCGCTCTGAAGATCATTTGTCAAGCCATAGTTCAGACACATCAGACGGAATCAGAAAACCGCCTCAAGTCGCGTGCTGATTGCATCTTTTTGTTTTGGGTCTTCCATTCATCTTTCTCGCACTAGGTCACCTCTATGGCTCGACCGCCAGCGTTCGCTCTCAGAGCATGTCAAGAGATCACCGCTGGACCATCCCGGATCGTCAGGCAACCAACACCTGCGAAATGGATACGTGCCAAGCGGTTCAAATCGACAGAAACCAATCCATCTGGTACAACATCCTATGGGAAGCGCTATGACATATCAGACTCCTCGGCCGCTGGCCAGAGTCCTCTCCCCTCCCCATCTTCAGCTTCCAAGCCCCCTTCTACCCTTGTTCCTTCTATCCCGCATGCTCATCCTGCATTCACTGAGCTCGCCAATACGCTCTGTGGGACTTTACCTTGTTTCGGCGCGAGAGGTGATGAGATCCACCTGTTGTCCTCCCCTGAAGAGTTCAAGACGCTCCTGCTTGATATGATCAAAAGGGCAAAGAGGAGAATCCTGATCAGCAGTCTGTATATCGGCGTGGAGGAGACGGAGCTGGTGAGGTCATTACTGCCGCCGTTTTGTGATCATGTCTTAATTGTCTTGCCTCGCGGCGCGCCCCTACCAGGTCGAAGCGATTCGAGAAGCTTTAGAGCGCCGACCGCAACTTCGAGTCACCATCATATTAGATTATCATCGAGCTACACGTCTATCCAATTCCGGCAAATACGCGCCTTCTACTGCTCATCTCCTCTTACCCCTCCTGGCCAAATTCGGTGATCGTTGTGATGTCTGGCTCTTTCGAAGTCCAAAATTGAGAGGACTTTTGGAGAAAATCGTCCCTGAGCGATACGACGAAGGCTGGGGAACATGGCACGGGAAATGGTATGGCGTGGATGATGAAGTTGTGATCAGCGGGCAAGTCTCACCGTAAGCTTTGGGCAGCGGCCCCTGACGTTTCTCACAGGGCGAACCTCGCTGGATCCTATTTCACGAATCGTCAAGATCGTTATATCCACTTTACTTCTCATCCATCCCTTCTGTCCTACCTGACGACTCTGACCAGGCTGTTCAGTCATTACAGCTATTATCTCACTGCGTCCCCGCTCCCCTCAGTATCGAGAAACCATTTGGTCTCGTTACCCTCCCCGCCTTCCTCCCTACAATTCTTCGGATCCGCTTCGCTAGTCTGGCCACAGCCTTCCATCCATCCTAGAGGATTTGGTCGACATGCTAAAGCGACCCTCACAGCGTTTCAGAGGAACTGGCGGGAATCCAATCCCAGTCGACTGAGGCGAGTCGACGTGGACACGTGGTTCTGGCCGGTCATTCAGGCGGGTGTCTTGGGAATGAAAGAGGAAGAGACCGCTCTCGGACGAGTATTCGATACCGTCAAGACGGCTCATCAGACGGCGTTGACGGAAGAGTCACCTGCAAGCAATGAAAAGGGCAAAGGGAAAGAAGGTGTAGCAGTGGATCTGACGAGCGGATATTTTGGCCTATACAAGGCGTACAAGAGGGCGGTGGTAGAGTCACCAGCTCCGTTCAGGTTGATCGCGGCTTCTCCAAAGGTGTGTGTATAGAGGAGCTCTGCGACATCCGCTGAACACGATCTAGGCGAACGGTTTCTACGGCTCCGCAGGGTTATCTCGACTCATACCGGAAGGCTACACACTCTTAGAAAGCCGATTCTGGGCGGATTTAGTGTCTCGAGGACGTACCTGGCAAGCAATAACGAGTCGAGGTGTGAGATTGCGCGAATGGGAAAAGGAAGGATGGACGTACCATGCCAAAGGTGCGTTCAACTGGATGGATGTCACAAGCCTGACACTTTTTCCAGGGATCTGGTTGTCACCTGCTGAGCCCATCGGACATCCTTTCATGACGTTTATCGGGTCGTCAAATCTATCTACACGATCCTTACAGCTCGACACAGAGCTCTCACTCTTGCTATCTACCAGTTCACCATCCCTTCGCCGAGCACTAGGCAACGAAGTCAAGTCGCTAGATAAGCACGCTACTGACGTGAGCGGTGAAACGTGGCAAAGTGAAGATCGCAGAGTGTCCTTCTTGGCAAAAGTATTAGTGGCTCTGGGCGTAGAGGGGATGCTATGACATGCGTTGTCCTGAGTCTGGGAGCCTGGGCTTTATGCATCCTTGCCCCATGTGCTGCTTTTTTTGATTCCAGTACCTTGCATGTGCTTGCGTCCTGCCCTTTGGTCGATGCATCGGTACAGAGCCCCACCCATCAGGGTTTAAGCAGTTTAGCCGTGTTCACCTCCACACCGCGGAGAGGATATTTTTTGAAAAAGTCATTCGGTGACTGACGTTTTTCTCTCTCCGACGACTGGGCTGGAAGGACCTTGACGAAGTGAGCATCGTGGAGCACAGGACGCAGCGCAGTAGACGTGGTCCGTCAAAAACTGTGCGATATACATCATAAGAGATCGCTCGCCTGTTTGACTTGGTCTTCCTCAGAATATTCTCGTGCAAACCCCCTTCCTCCCGACCAACCGCAGGACAACATGGGACACAAGTCCGAGACCACGGCGAAATGCCTGCTGTTCGACATGGACGGGACGCTGATAGGTAAGTCGATGAGCTAGCTCTGTTGGCTGTGCTAAGAAAGAAAAAATAGATTCTACACCTGCTGTTGATTCTGTCTGGGAAGCTATAGCCAAGAAATATGACCTAGATTTGAAAGAAGTCTTGAAAAGTCAGTTTCATCAGCCTTTGCTCGAAGTGACGCACGCTGAAGCCAGTTGTAGCGTGCCACGGTAGACGGACAGTGGACAGCTTGAAAAAGTGGTGTGGCATAACGGATCCTGAGGAGCTAGAGGTAGGATTTGGCTGCCGGGGAGGGGTTGTTGCTGTGAGCTCGACTCGACTGACTCTCTCGCCCAGAAAGAAGTGAACCATTTCGAATCTATGATTGTGACAAGATCAAAGGAACTCAAAGATGAAGGCAAGAGAGGTTTAGAGATTCTTCCTGGAGTCAAGGAGATGCTGGAGACCGTGAGTGCCTTTTTTTCTTTTGGCACACTTTCATGAGGGGGATGGAGACAGCTGCTGAACGTTCGGTTGACAGCTCAACGACTCGCATAAGCCGATATGGGCAATCTGCACGTCAGCGACGTCGGCTTACGCTGGCGATGCCATACCATCCACTGGTCTGCCAAAACCGCCACATCTCATCACGGCCGAGGACGTCCACGAGGGCAAACCTGATCCTGCCCCTTACATAGCCGGCGCAAAGGCCCTAGACGTGGAATGCAAGGACTGTGGGTGAAAATCCCAGGATGAACCTCTGCTGACGACCTTCCAGGTATCGTCTTCGAGGACGCGCCGTCAGGGATCAAATCGGGTGTGAATTCTGGTGCAAGGGTCTTGGCCGTTTGTACCTCGCACAAGAGAGATCAAATTGAGAATCTGGGAGCAGAATGGATCGTGACGGATCTGACCAAGTGCGTGACCCGCTCGATCCATCCATCGTTGCAAACCGCTGACCAGACATAGGGTCAAAATCCGTGTCGAAGATAGCATAGTTCATCTGGAGATTGACGAGACGCCATAAGATTCGCTCCGTTTTCCAGATTGACGCCAACACCAATATGACCAGTTTACATTGACATTGCATGTATAAATCCAAGATACATGAAGACCAGCGCCAGCACTCATTGCATACTACCGAGAACTTTGAAAGCGAGAGCACGGAGGATCTGCACGGCTTCAGTACACGCAACCTTTGCCCGGTCCATACCTCTGCTTTCTGACTGTGACCGAGACCTGCAAACACCTGCGCGACACTCTTCCCTTTGGCATCCCGTATAGAGCCGAGTCGATTTCCGGCAAATCCTGAACCATTAGTCGCTCTCCATTGATAGACATTACCTCCTGCAATCGCGCCTGGGACGTTGGCCACAATGTACCCCATAACAGCGCCACTGGCACCGCCAAGGTATCCCCACCACGGTCTAACATTGGCCACTTCAGGTGCCAACCTATTCACACGTCAGGGGTTATCCGCGATATCGATATCTATCACTGACATCTCCTCAAAGACATCCCCAAAGACTCCATTTGGATCTGGTCTAGCTTGACCAGTACCGGCGTTTCCCGTAGCATTCGTACTGTTCCCAAAGTACTGAGAGAAGTTTTGGAAAAAGCTCGAGGACGCCTGATCCTGCTCGTATTCTGACGCTCCATCATCTGTGAAGGCACCTGGTGGTCTCGAGTGGAACAGCGAGTCGTATTCGGCGCGTCTGGCCGGATCGGAGAGAACATAGTAGGCGTCCGCGACAGCTTGCTAACACCAGGATGAGCCCGAAGTTCTCGCTAGACAACGATGGAAAAAACAACTTGCAAACTTTTCCGTAGCTTTCCTCTTCTGCTGTGCTGTTGCATTTCCCGGTAATCGATCTGGATGAGTCCTCAATGATTCCCGTTTGTATGCTGCTCGGATCTCGTCCCTGGAGTCTCGTCAATAAGCAGTCATGGTGATTATAGGCTCACGCTGTGGCAGTAGGGCTGACATTCTGGACTGATCAGCACAAGTCTAGAGATGCCGCTAATGTCATGCTCACGAGTATGTTGTAGTACTGCGTCAGTGTCAGTGGCGATAGACGTGACACGCTGGAACGGACTGACCTGAGGTAGACTGGCCATGTTGGCTAGAGATGGGGCGATTCGAGCGAATGAATTTTGCTCAAGGTGGTACCTCTACCGGCCCCAAATGTGCAGATCACTGTCAAAATGTTCAGAGAGATGCAGGATCGCGCTAAACCAGCAACATCTAGGTGCTGGAACGTTGATGATATTACGTCATATTTACAACCCCTCCGAGCGGGCCCAAAAATCTCATCCCGGCAATGGAAATGCAGCCCTTCATTCAACCCATAAAGCCGACACTCTGGACATCTAAGCCACTGTAACGACGATGGCAGACACATCATTCCCCACCAGTGGGGATACCACACGAGTCGATCCATTACCTCAATTCGATATGAGCTTCTCAGCCGGCGCATGGGATGACAGAGAGCTCGTAAGGGCTTACGACAGTGCTTTGGAAGAATTTCACGTGAGTCTTGTCATTGGGTCCAATCGAGCGAAACGAGCGCGGCTCACAACTATGTGACAGGTACATCACCCAGGTCCTGGCTCATGGTTGGACAAGACGACAGCCCTTCTGGCGAAGGGTCATCCTATGTACGGAATCCAAGATAAAGAGGCAGGGTAAGTCCGTTCAGGTTTGATATTGGATCTCAATGTCTAATTGACGGCGTTCGGAACAGGTGGTATGCTGCGTCCAAAGATAAAACCTTGGACGCCAGCTCTACTTCCGACCCTCAATCTAGTAAGCGGCGTAAAGTCAGCTCGACGCCCAATGGTAAAGCGTCTACCACAACAGTTGTCAACCCGTCACCATTGACAACAGCCATCAACCCTTATGATCTTCCTGTCGACCAGACAACTGAAGCTGGGCATGTGAACCCGTACGGAGGAGCATTCCTCCCACCCCGTCGGCAAAGAGGTTCGCCCGTGTATGAGCCGTCGTCGCCTCCGGCGGTATCAGTCCCATTGCCGAATGGAGCGGATCCTCAGCATTCAGGGCAGGCCCTTTCGATCCCTCGCTCGGATCATCGCGCCGGGCCATCTCGTCGGACCCGAGCTGCTCGGACTGAGCAGAGGCCCGAGACGGTCCCCGCTGGCCCGTCCCACGAGCATGGACCGATACTTGGTGTTCAAGCTACCGCAGGCACGACGCATGAACAAGCTTTAGGGTATGCGATGACCGCGCAGTATTGGGCTGGATACTGGATGGGTGTGGCTCAGAGCAGGAGCGAGACTTTATATACCGTGGCACAGCCGGTACCGGTGGAACTTCCTGTGAACGTTTCGGGACCAGCAGGAGAAGCTGCCTCCGAGGAGACGACCTCAAGCTCGGAAGAAGAGTCGAGCTCGGAGGAGGAGACCGAAGATGCGGCGGCCAATGGGCAAAATGTATCAACAAACAATGTCTTTGTCACTCGAAAGCAATTTACGAGACCAGCAGTCGGTCAAGCGCTGAAGAGGTAGCACGTTTGGCCGTTTGTATACTGTACTGCATGTCTTTTGGGTTCGTTGTCGGGTCTACTCAACCCAACATCTTGCCCAAGCTGTTGCGCACCATACCTCCTACCAATTGTCCGCCGATTCCACCCATGCCGAATCCGAGAATGTTGCCAGTGGACATGGCAGATGAAGCCCAGCGGCGCTGTTGATCCCGATCGGCGTAGCTGGAGGAACTGTCAGCTGAAAACGACCATGAGGATCAGCTCACGTGAAGCCAAGCAGGTTTGATAGGTTGAACACTAGGGCCAGCAGAACGATTGGGAGGAACCTGGTTTCACATGTTATTAGCTGGGAGTGCAGTTTCTTTCGGCCGGAGGCGTACGAGACGTTGAATTTCAACACTGAAACAATGAGAAGAGCTAGCCAGCCAACAGGGTAGGCATAGAGAGCAATCTATGCGATGTTAGGCAGCCAGGACTGTGACTGGACAAATAGGCCTACCCAAAACATCCTGCGACTTGTCAGCGACTACACAAGTTGAAATGTGCTCAGCTCACTTTGCATCAATTGCATTGGCCGGACGAGAAGGCTAAGCAGTTCAGCAAGATTCGCAAAGGACAGGTTCGACGTACATCTCTCGATTCGAAGACCCAAGAGCTTTCGCCTTCCTCGTTGACCTCGTTCCAGTATCTCAGTCCGACGAGCGTTCTACCCGCGACATTCTGACGACGTGATATGAGCTCCAACGAAAATGGACAAACGACAAGCTCACCCTAGTGTTCCAAAAGTCAACCGAGAGGAGGACGACAACCACCACAATCTGTGAGTGGATTATCAGTCATTGCTATTCTGGATCGGCCACCGGTACTGACGCTCAAGACATAGTTGTCCGTGACTACACTCATGTCAGCCAATGTCACAAGGCTTTCTTAGTATGGACTCACACAATCCACACAGGACGTAAACCGCTATGGCAGCGGAGCGAAAGAAATACAACATGGCCAAGGATAACGGATGTGCAGATTGTTTGAGGATTCCAGTCTGGGTACCGGTCAAGGCATCAGCATCTGTATCACACCTTCGGAGATTTGGGCGGAAGCTCCCTGTTTCATCAGCACGGTCACTCACTATGCCGCCCTCCTCCAACTGCCTCGCAGGAATCGATCCGTCCGCCTGAGTTCCAGGGACCAACACCACCGGCTCTTGTCTCGGCCTACTCGGGGCCATAGAGCCTTGAACTCGAGATGGAAGAGGCGTATCATCATCTGCTTCTATCGTTCCTGACAGAAGGGGAGCTGACGAAGCCATTATATCAGACTCGAACAGAGTTGGAAGAAAGGTCAATGAGGAAGAGATATACACACATGCAGCATTCCAGTCGTGACCTTTCATGGCGAATAAATTTCATGTGTGGCAGAATCAATAATGGTGCTGGCCCAAAGCCATACATGTATTTCAATACGGCTTGAGCTCCTCCCGATCCCTCAGGAATCCCAGCTCGTCATCGTACAGCTCCTCGTCCTCGGGCAAGACGATCGCCGCCTCGGTCTCGTTGACATCAAAGAACTCCTCGAACGGTACCCTCAATCTCAATCCCCTCTCTATCATCAAGTCCGCCCAATCTCTTAGTTCTTGAGGTGTGAAGTGTGGTCGGAGAGATGAACCGAAAGGCAAGAGATACAGGGCTTTACAGCCTCCTAGTGCTGCGACTGCTCGATAGCAAAGCTGTTTTGCAGCGGCATGACAGCCCATCAGGGAGTCGAATTCGATGTATAGGATCCACATGGGTGCGGACCTTTTACCCCTGAGACACAGTGAGCGCTGAATTCAAAATAATGTCGACAACGCACCATCTCGAATTGATGCTCTTGTCGAGAGCTTGACGAACACGTTCCGCGCCATTTCCACCCTTGTCCCAAAATGTCCGATGGGCAGACATGGCCTCCGCCCAAACGCTCCACAACTGTCCCGAGATGCCGCTGGTCTCACTAGCGAGCAGCTGGGAGACGAGTCTCTGCAGTCGTCCATGGACGCGAGCCCCGAGCTCGCCAAACATGTAGAAGGACAAGAACTGGGTGTTGTTGGGGAAGGTGGCGATTGCAAGCTCCAGTGTATCACGGGATAGGGCTGCGGGTGAGGCATTTCGAGATGTGTGCACGTAAATCATACGGCATAGGAGCTGAAATACCTCTTCTGCTTCTGGACCGGCAGGTCGGAGTAGAGCAAGATGACGTGTGAGAATGTCTCGGGCGGCGTCGATGCCCGCTGTGAGATACGCATACAGTGAGGCGAGCACGAGCTGAGCATAGGAGCAGGGAAGTGGGACGGAAGAGTAGTGCTGCGAAAAGTAAGCATTGATACTTGCGCAAGCCCTCACCTGTTTCGCCTTCAGGAGCGAGATAGCTGTAGGTTTGGAAACCTCACGAGAGAGATCCAGCAGTTTAGTGTTACCTGCGCCAGAAGCCAACACGAGGACCTCCAATGCCCGCCCCTCTTCACCGGCGTCCCATTCCATCCTGGCCCAAGCTGCATACAGGCCCAGCCTTTCATCATTGTCGATCTTATCCGACTGCAAGACCGTCGAATATACGCCTCTCGCCGCCGCCAGATTACCTCTTTGATATTCGAGTCTGGCATATCCGTCCCATATGGCCGCATTGTCACGATCGACAGAGAGAATCGTTTTAGCGAGCTTGACAGAGGACTTGGGCGAGACGGAAGCTTCGAATGCCATGTACATGGCGGTGAAAGAGGGATCCGGAACGAGAGGTTGTAGCAGTTTAAACACGTTGCGGGCGAATGTGAGATCAACATGTGCAAGATCGATGGCCGTAGCGTCTCTAAACCACCTGTCAGATCCACCGAAGAAAGTGTCAGCGGTCGAGAGCCAGCTCTTGACAGGTGAGGCGAATGGCGTGGACATTGCCCTCTGTGATTCGGGCTCCATAGGTTCACCGCCCACAGTCTGCCAAGGGAGGGATTTCTGTCTTAGTTTTGGAGGCCAGAAGCACGCACGCAGCTGATTATTGTAGGTAAGGGACCAATGCAGATGAGGGTCCAAGTTTGACGCTGCTCCAGTGGATACATCGGGCGGTCTGAAAGGCAATCCGATGAAGGACAAGAAGGTGTATACTAGTTCCAATCGCACTCGACCAGATCGGATCGGAAAGAGGAACGGCTCGATATCGTGGAACAAGACGACGCGGTAAGGATCCTCATCATCTGCAGCATAGAGATCCGTGGCTCTGCCAGGAAGAAAACCTCGACTCTCGGCGAAGGATTCAGCCTCGGACCACCGCTCGAACGGGTCAGATGATTGATGCTCAACGGCTTCTTGCGAGGCACCACTTTCAGGCGTCTCTGTCGTTTCTGTGGAGGAGTTTTTCCATCCTTTCGCACCATGCTCGCCGATACGGGCAGTCTCCGAGTCCCAGAAGACTTCGTACTCCGCAAGGAGATCTCTGAACCAAGCAGGCGACGGCTGCGAAGGAGGACGAAGTCGATCTGGCTTGAAAAGGGTACTACGCTGATAAGCCAGGCGTACAGGTTAGAGAACTCACATTTCCATCAAGGACTGAAAGCAGGCAAATGCCCTCTCGACGAATCCAGCTTGTCTCATGAACAGACAGGCGCGGACGAACAGATATAGCTGGTTCTCCTCTCGTATGGATAGATCGCCTTCGAATTCTCCAAGTCGCCGCAGACAGTCGCTGTAGACTTCCAACACCTCATCGACCCCTCCAGCGCCTTTGCGCCCTTCATCTTGCTTTCCAAACCCTTGACCCTCTCGCCATTCGATGTAGCCCCTCCATATATCCATCATGCCTGCTTCGAGGGCGGGATCTCCCCGGGATCGCTCGCCGAGTTCGCGGAGCACGTTTCTCCATCTGCCTGTAACTTTTTCCGGTGGCCAGAACGCCTCGGCCGCACGGATGTAGGCGAGATGGAGAGTGACGGACGTGAAGTTTGGCGGGTGGTTCAGGGCCTTACTGAGAACGGACAGAGTCACCTCAGCGCTGGCTCGAGTCTGAGGTAATGTAGAAGGATCCGTGCCAGGCTTGCTTGCGCTTTCCGAAGATAGTCTCATATGCAACTTGGAGTAAGCAATCCAAGCTTTGATATCGTCAGGGTGAGCGCGGAGATGTCGATCAAGTTCTGCTGTCCGGCTCTGCACCTCTTGCTCGAGTGACGAGAATCCTATGAGCGTCTCTTCGATGACGGCAGTATCGTCATCTTCCTCTTCTTCCTCCTTGTTGATAGATCGATAATCTGGTTGTTCGTCTCGGTCCGCTCGCTTAGCTTTGATGCCGAAAGATACGAACGAAATGTCTGGATCGAATGGATCATGGTTGGTAGGTTGGAGTAAGAGACGTCTAGCGTTCCGAGATGATCCATCTAGCACGCGAGCAGAATATCGGGGGATGTACGGTCTGCCTCGCGGCGCCAATTCTAGACCTTTCTCAGTACGATGTTGCGACCGCACGATCCGGAGACCTTCGTTGCAGCCTAGCACTCTTCCATGTCCATCGCGGTGATAGCGAGGTGGATGATAAGAGGATGATTGACCGTAGCGAAGCGCATCCCGGTCGCCGATTATGTCGCTGAAGAATGGCTCGCCAGAGACCTCGAAGGCGTCAGCTCAAATGTTGCGTCGACGACCCACTTCTGCTTCGTGATACAGTTCTCGAGACTTCCCTTTGCCACCAGCTTCGTACCAGGCGACTCCCTGATCATCTCCCGACCACTTGCCATCATGTCGATCACGGACAACCCGATGGTCCTCTTCAGTGCGAGAATGGCCTGGCGTACCATCAAGAGCGAGTTTCTCTGCTTCCCGCCGCTCTCGCTTTCGCCTCTTCTCCTTTTCCTCTCGAGCCTTTCGACGCTCCTCGCTATGAGAACGCTTCGTTATTCTCTCCGCATACCTGCTTCCTCTCTCTTCACGATGAACCGGAGTGTGACGGGGCTCACGACCATCTTGTCGGTGATGGTTAGAGGAGCTCGATTTCGACAGCTCTGGTAGCTCGGGGAAGGAGCTGAAAGATGGCGCTCCAGACATGAAGATTCGATTCCATCAGCTGTAGCTTCTCGCCTGTGCCCGACACGGTTCTCGACACTCCTTGAATACTTCGATAAATAGATGCATGAACATGTTCGATTTTGTGGCGATTATCGCGAGTGGCGGCCGCCGTTTCGCACATAATCAGTCTTTAGGACGCATCTTTGCGTGCATACAGAGGATTAGTTGATACGCTAGTGGACGAAATGCTATGCATCTGTCATGATTGCAGTCTCGTATAACAAAGCGAAATGAATGGGATTGTAGGCGAGGGAATACTAGCATGTATGAAGAAAAGGAATAATGATCCGTCCTTTACTTCTTTCCCTTGGAGGCCTTCTCGGCAGCCTTGGTGACCTTGCCTCCCTTTCCATCGGTCTTCTCTACGCTCTTGATGACACCGACAGCGACGGTTTGTCGCATGTCTCGGACGGCGAATCGTCCAAGAGGGGGGTACTCAGTGTAGGACTCGACACAGATGGGCTTCTGGGAAACGAGCTTGACAATGGCAGCGTCACCAGACTTGACGAACTTGGGGGCGGCTTCGAGGACCTTTCCGTTTCGTCGGTCGATCTTCTCGATCAACTCCTCAAACTTGCAGGCAATGTGGGCAGTGTGGCAATCGAGGACGGGGGTGTATCCAGCACCGATCTGTCCGGGGTGGTTGAGAACGATGACCTGAGCGGTGAAAGAAGCGGCCTCCTTGGCGGGGTCGTTCTTAGAGTCGGAGCAGACGTTTCCTCGTCGGATGTCCTTGATGGAGACGTTCTTGACGTTGAATCCGACGTTGTCACCTGGGAGACCCTCAGGGATCTGTTCGTGGTGCATTTCGACGGATTTCTACGCGAATGGTGAGCTCTGGAAACAGACATCTTGTCAGAGAAAGAACTCACAACTTCAGTTGTGACGTTGGAAGGAGCGAAGTTGACAACCATACCGGCCTTGATGACACCAGTCTCGACTCGGCCGACGGGAACAGTTCCAATACCTCCGATCTTGTACACATCCTGGAGGGGGAGTCGGAGAGGCTTGTCGGTGGGTCGGGTAGGGGGCTCAATGGCATCGATGGCGTCAAGCAAGGTCTTTCCAGTGACCTTGGCTCCACCCTTGCCCTCCTTCTCCCATCCCTTGTACCAAGGCATGTTGTTGGTGGCCTCAATCATGCTAAAATTTGTTAGTAAAAGAATGTGATTTTTCTACTCACTTGTCTCCGTGCCATCCAGAGATGGGGACGAAGGCGACAGTCTTGGGGTTGTATCCAACCTTCTTGATGAAACCGGAAGTCTCCTTGACGATTTCGTTGAATCGGGCCTCGGACCACTTGGCAGTGTCCATCTTGTTGCAAGCAACAATGAGTTGCCTGACTCCGAGGGTGAAGGCCAAAAGAGCGTGCTCTCGGGTCTGTCCGTCCTTGGAGATACCAGCCTCGAACTCTCCGGTACCGGAGGCAATGATGAGAATGGCGCAGTCGGCTTGAGAAGTACCAGTGATCATGTTCTTGATGAAGTCTCGGTGTCCGGGAGCGTCAATGACAGTGACCATGTACTTGGGAGTCTCGAACTTCCACAAGGCAATGTCGATGGTGATACCTCGCTCTCGCTCGGCCTTGAGTTTGTCCAAAACCCAGGCATACTTGAAGGAGGACTTTCCGAGTTCGGCAGCTTCCTTCTCGAACTTCTCAATGGTTCGCTTGTCGATACCACCGCCTGATGAGAGGGTTTAGTGGCGAATTGAATGTGGCATAGGCAACTCACACTTGTAGATCAAGTGTCCGGTGGTGGTAGATTTACCAGAATCGACGTGTCCGATAACGACAACGTTCTAGAAGGAAAAGTCAATTAGACATTCAAAATGACGACGGAAGGAGGCAAAAACCACTCACGACGTGAAGCTTGTCCTATAATAGTGAATAGATGGTCAGCAAGTGGTCTGAAACCTTCAGAAAACAGATAGAAGCGATCCGGTGCGTCATGGTCGCCAGAAGATGATGGTCCTCAAAGTGCCACATTCACCACGCCCCGCGCGAATTAAAATTTTCTGCCGGACTCACTTTTCCCATTTTGCGTGGAGTTTTTGTTCTACGAAGGAGGTAGGGAGTCAGCTTTCCTGTCAAGAACGAAATGATGTCCATGGCTCTTGAAAGAAGATGAGATGAAAATGATGCAAATTGGAAGGGAAATGGTGTTGTGGCGGCAAACAAAATTTTTTTGATGGGCCAGGTGGAGCAGCGGCGACAGCAGTCGTCACGAGCTCGTAGAGTGCTCTCTAGCTCATCGACAATGGAGGCTGGTGTATGGAAAGGTCACAACGTAAAGAAAGGGCTGAGAATGTGAGAGGGATGACGGGCCCCATCGATGAGGTGGCGCGCAAGCTCCACCTCCAACCCTTTTGACGTGGAGGGCTCCCTAACAGCATCAACGCTGCTGAAGACCGACACAATCTCTTCCCATCCGAGCTTTAGACGTAACAAGAGCCATACACACCGGTCACAGACGAGCTGTACTCACTTTCAGATGAAAGAATGTATTAGGGTGTGATAGGGAAGATGGGGATGAGAACGAAAAGGGGCGAGAAAGAACGGGGGGAAGGAAGATTTTTTTTGAACGGGTCAGGACTTTTCGGCGTTATCTCGAGCATAAAATTGACTATCTAAAGTGGCACATTGGATCGAATCGGGACAGGCCTGGGTGTGTGACCTGGTTTACTTAATTGGAATTATGGCTTTTGTGGACGGGGCCATACAGCTCGTTCAGCAACTTTCCAGCGGATTCCTGACCATATACGAGGAACGATGAGCTCGATAGTCCTTCATGATATGCTCACATGAGTTTGTCTTTGACCCTGAACAGCCCATACAGGGCACTCATTCGTGCTCCAAGTCCGCAAAAATCCTACGGGCGGGTGGAAATTGCCGCACGGACAAGAGTGCCACATTGGCGCCACATTCCTGCTACTTTGGTTACATGGGACTGGTCGACAGCTCAAAGCTGGCTTTCTATGAGGCTCAGAGGATCTGGCGTATCGGCATCCGGGCTACATGGTCCACTCGAAACCCTCAGTCAGCCTCCGATTGACACTCTCAAGAGGTTGACCGTCTACCACGCGATAGGTACTTTGCCCAATTTTTGCTTCCGTGTTCGCCACAACCTGAAACTGTTACGCGCGTGAATCAATCAACAGCGCTCACGCCGCTAACTGCATTTTGGATCTTTCTCTTTATCCGCCGCACATCCTTCTCTGAGATCTGACTCATCTGGAAGCATCTTGAGCAGGACTCGATCGAACCTACATCTTCAGATATCCGATCATCTCGTGGAGAGATAGGTCATCTCCTTGAGTCTCTTTTGACAGCTTCAGCTCCCCCGCCTTGGCAACGCTTGGTGAGTCTTTTTGTTTTCCCCTTGCCGGCAGGAGGAAGTCAACAACCAGAGCCTGCAAGAGGGGCTTGATGATTCAGGCCGGAGTGTACACGCACGGCTGTGGGTCTCGAGCGCTTGAGCCAGAATATCTCTGCCCAGAATACATCTCTTCTCGCTCAGCCCGTTGCCTTGCTGACATTTACTAGGTGCAGGCCCGAATTCATACATTCGGCTGGACACCATAACGACCTCTGCGTTTACGATTTTGAACGATTAACATGGCATCTCAAACGCTTCGACCGCATCGATCCCCCTCACCAGCTCCGGTCCCTTCCATGCCATCGGTGAACCAGAGCAACCCAGCCAAACTCACCCGCCAGAGTCTTGGACCTCCATCCACTTCGACCGGTGCCGCTAAAGGCTTTACCGGTCTGGGAATCACTTCGCCTTCCTTTGGTGCTCACCCTCGCCATGTCTCTTCCAGTGTCGCACAGGGTACCTTGAACAGTGGTACGGGGAGAGAGTCGCTATCTCCTCATCCTGGTATGACCGCAGGGAGAACCGTTTCGGGCAGCGCAACAAATCTCGGCGGAAGACCGAGCTCGGAGTACATCCCTTCTGGCATGGGTATCCGGGGCGAGGCAAAGACCCCAGAAGGTGAGGCGAAAACCAAGAATATGACTAACATCTAAGCTGAACAAATCGACCAATGGTTCAAGCATCTCGCTAGCTGGGAGCAGACCCTTGAAGAGATGGCAGCGGCATCGACAGATCAGAATTTCACCGAGGAACTCGGTGCCATTGAGCAATGTGGGAAGCTCACTTGGACAACGCTGACTTTGTTCAGGGTTCAGAGTCTTGTCCGAGGCAGAGCGAACCGCAGCGCTTTACTCACTTTTGCAGCACTCAACTCCCGTTCAGATACGTTTTTTCCTCAGTGTACTTCAACACATGGCGCAGTCTGACCCCATGACGGCTCTCCTGTCGCCTACTCCCACCAACACGGCTACTATACAGTCGAGACTGGACAGTCTTGGCCTCAAGTCGCCAAGCGCCGGGGGTGGAGCTGGTTTCCCCGGTTCACCGACTGTCGGACACTTCCTCGCTCCTGAATCAGCGCTCGACTCGACGTCGGGCGCCAACAAGGCCAACATGGCGTCCAGTCGATCGCGTCAGAATCGAATCAGCGCACCGGGGACACTCCAGCCAAGTGATAGATGGCAGAGTAACCTCGATCTGGTGACAGAGCGTGGAACATCACCCGGAGTCGACTCGAACGCGTCTACTCGATCCAAATCGCCCGACTTGAGGCCAAAATCCACCGATTTTGCAGGCAAGGACGGTCGATCACCTCGACTTTCTGGACTGGCCCATCCGAAACCGGAGGCTGCGGCTGCATCGCCTGTTCTCTCGCCATTCCTCAACAACGCCTCATGGGCCAGCATGAGCAACACACCGCTCGTGCCCATGTTCACCGACCCCAAGATCGACCAGATGGCATCTGCACTGAATCTGGCCAACTTGTCCTTGAACCAGAGTCGAGTGAACTTTGACGATGCCCGCAAGTATAGACGAGGAACGACTCGAAACGTTTCGGGACAATACAACGACGACGGAGACCTCGTCCAGCCCCAAGGCCAACAACCTGGCCGCGCGACTTCGCCATTGGTTGGACAAGGTGGATGGGCATCCGCAAGGTCACCTGTCCTCGATCAATTTGGACTTGGAAGTCTCGGACTCGGTGGTGATCCCAGTGCATTGTCTGGGCTTGGGGTGAATCTCGCCTCATTGGGAATCAACAACGCAAATGCCGCTCAGATGCTGGCGTTGGCACAAGCCCAAGCTCAGTTCAGTCCTATCCCAGGTGGAAACGGCTTCCCTGCGGCATATCCTGGACGTGGCAATGTCCGTGGACCACCAGGGCGTCGCTCACCTCTATTGGCTCAACGGAATAGTCCCAATCCAGACAAGTCCGCAGGCACAGGAGGTGGCGCCGGAGGCGGAGCCGGCGTGGCCGGTCCAGACGATGTCGACATGAAGGTGCTAGGTGATATCTCGGGCTGGTTGAGGATCCTCAGATTGCACGTGAGTTGAGAAAGATGGCTTCCCACGCTGATGCATACCAGAAATACACGACCAACTTTGAGAAGTCCTCCTGGAAGGACATGGTCATGATGACAGATGCCGACCTGCAGAGCCACGGTGTGTCTGCCCAAGGAGCGAGAACAAAGGTGAGGTCATTGGAAACACTTGTCAGCTGATCCGTCCAGTTCCTAAAAGTCTTTTACAATGTCCGAGAGAAGGAGGGCATCCCTCATCCTCCTGGACAGGAAGAGTTTGCCCCTACGGCTGAGAAGAAGGACGTCAAGGTGTAGAAAAACATGACGGTATACGGACAATGACCAACATTCATGATCATACGTTTTCAAGATAAGAATCTCTACACTCCTCTTGACGATCTTTTATGCTTTTGCTCCCTCACCTTTATTCGCATTGTGCATGTCAGTTTGATCCATCCCATCCCAGATTGCCACGATCACCTGAAACACGGTGGCATTCGGCGTTAACACTCATGTGGCACTTTTTGACCCATCCCTGAAACATGCTCATGTACACAATTTGGACCAGCGCATTTCTCTTCTTCTCAACCCTCCGGCAGTCTCAAGGACACAATGCTTGCCAACGAACAAAGAGACGATATGATTCAGTATCGCTCTCTCTACCTTGCAAGCGGGTTAAGGTCCTGGAATTTCAACTCTTCCCGATGGTGCGACCTTTGGGTCGTCCACGGACCGATCCTAGCTGGATCCTAGTGTTAATCATCTTTTACACCTAGAACCGCTCGACAAGAAATGCGTTGGCCCCATATGACCACTCAACCCGACCTGAGAAGTCATCGAGTGCCCATTTTGGGCACCTAGTGATGGAGGTATAGTATGGGGATACAACATGGTATGAGCGGGGAAGAGTCGCTTTTGGTCTTTTGGCCCAGTGTTTGGGCTCTGGCCCGAAACTGCGGCTACGTTGCGCATGGCGTGGCGGGAGACAGCAGAGGCTTTAGTGCAATTTGGTGACGTCCCTTTTCATAAGCTGTCTGCTCTGGCAACAGTGGGATAACTCGATCAGGACTACTCTGAGACTGCCCGAGGTATGGCCAGTTTGGCCTAGATTTTTGGTTATGGAACGCAATAGTGTCAATGCAACATCAAATTCCTTCTCATAACGGTCTTCGCTGCATTCATAGAATCTATTATTTGGAGCTAATAGTGCCTTCCGTCCCCATCCTATCATTCATCATCTACCGTGAGCCAAGCAAGCAACCTTCAGTCCTTTCATCTAGGCCTTAGGGTCCGAAGTGGCCGCAGTGGTAGAGATCGGAGCAGTGGTGGTGGCAGCGGTAACGGGAGCAGCTTCAGTGGTGGAAGTAGCAGTGGCCGAGGGAGTAGCGACTCCGCTAGCACGCTTCTTCTCCTCCTATATCGTCAGCAAAATTTAAGATGACATCAACTCACGGCAATCCTCTTGGCCTCCTCGTGCACATCCAATACCTGCTTCTGGGTGGTGGTGTAGAAGGCATGAACCCTGTCAGAAGTCCTATATCAGTGTCAATGTATTCCTGCGTCAGATCATCTTAAGTGACTCACTTTTGACCGACAGGTGTGCTGACGATCCGGTTGTAGTAGTCTTGGAACTTTGCGCTGACTCCTCGGTTCTGGTCGACTTCCCGAGTTTTAGCGACGACAGCCGCGGCGCCCTCGTTGATCTTTCCTGAGACAGTCTTGTCCTCTCCAACGACCTTGTTGCCAACAGTCTTGTCAAGGTTGTTGAAGAACGACAGGAATCGGTTAGAGATTCCCTTTTCGTCTGACTCGGTCAGCGCGAAGCATAAACGTCCCAACCCACGGTCAAAGTCAATGGCTCGCTGAATGACGTGGTCTCCCATCACGTAGCCGTGAGCAAGGTACTCTGCAACGATAGCGGCCTGTGACCCATGAGCGAAGGGACCATGAAGGCCAACTCACCTTTGGCTTGTCTTCCTGAGAGATCTCTCCGTGTGTAGCGGCGTGGGTGCTTTCGGTAGGCAGAACAGAGGATTTGGTCTCCTCGGTTGTGGAAGTGACCTCGAGGTGGGCTCCATCAAGCTATGAACATAAGTAGGCGTTCCATCAACAATACAAAGCACTAACTGTTCCGCCGTTGAGCATCCTTGTCGACATTGATCAGCTCCACATTCCTCATCTATCTCATTGACCAACTCCTTCCACTCACAAAGAGGTTCTCATCGCACTGAGCTTCTCAAAGGTGATGTCGGCTGTGCTTCCGTTCTTCTTGACAGAAACCAACTTGCCGCAGAATGAGAAGAAATCGTGCAATTTCTCTTCAGAGGTCTCTGGAGCCAGACCGGCGACGTGGATGGTGTATCCTGACGAGGCGGCGCCTCCAGCATTAGCAGCTGGGACGGCGGTAGGAGCAGCAGCGGGAGGAACGGAAGTCATTGTGAGTGAAGTGATGTGATGGGCTGGTAGTGGTAGTGGAAAGCTGGAAGTAAGTGTGTCTTGAGTGTAATGTGAGGTAGTTGAGAATGAATGATGTTGAGAGTTTTTGTGTTGGAGCGGAGGTTTAGGAAATTGCAGTGAAAAAAGGTACGTCATCGAAGGGGGAAGGATGTGGCAATTAGAGAAAGAGAGAGAGAGACTGGGGGACTGCGAGAATGTTCTCACAGAGGCGAGAGAATGAGTCACGGCTAGCTACTGGCTGAAGCCTGATGCTGAGCTGAGGACAACCGACAGCTTGTATGACTATGACACGCCCCATCAAGCCACGCATTATTAGGCTCGTGGGCATGAAGGACTACCGAGCGCATTGAAGCTCGCCCAGCCATGGCCGGCTGCCTCATTGCGCGAAATTTGTCCATAGTCGCGACTTGAAAACATATGCTCGATCCATTTCTGACCACTTTCGTGTCAACCATGGCCGACGCATCAGAGCTAGCTAATACGCTCTTTCCACCTCCTCCACCGTTCTACAAGGAGTTTACAGATGCGAACCTTGCGAGGTATGCAGAGTTGAGAGGGGAGCCTAGCGGGACTTCCAAAAACAGGGCTTCTTCACCAATCTCAGCAGATACGCCTGAACTAAGGGATCTCGAAAGCAAGCTTGAGAGACCAAGAGCTGATTGGATAGTCGAAGAAGGTAGATGGATGTGTTTTGGACAGCAGTATGATGTGAGTGAGCCAGGGGTCCCGCGATGAAGCAGCTTCTCAATTGGTCCAGGTCGAACCCAGAATCCCATCCCTCGAACAAATAGGATTAACGAGATGGATTGATCCCAATGAGCCCCCTCACACGTCCTTGCCTCCTCTGCTCCATTCCTTCCTTCACACCTTCCTCCTATTACTGGATACCTTGACTAACACTGCGAGGATACCGGGAGAGTTGGAGGAAAAGGGATGGCAGCATGAGGGTGATCAGGCAAGTTCTATCTTGAGCCATGAGGGACGGAAGCTCCGTACTTATTCTTCACCCAGTACATTCAGCACATGTCAAATTTAGCTGCGACCATGATGGTAGCGTCGAATCAGCTGAGAGATGTCCAAGTGAGAAAGACGTCCCGGTTGAACTAACATGTTCAGGCCGAAGCGACGCTGGTCATGTTGATGGAGAAGCAGTTGTCGGTCAGGCAGCAACAGACAGAGGAGCTCAGAAGGTCCGTCGAGTTGAATATGGGGACGAGTTCGCTGACAGTATGCAGCAAGAGCAGAAGTATCGCCGAGATGCTGGCAAAGTTGCGCCAAAATGCAGCTCAGGCTGCCGGAGACATGAGTTCCGATACTGGCGACAAAGACGTGCACATGACGACGCCTAGCGTGGCATGAGACCCGGAGTCAATCTGACATCGTGTGTATATCGTACGGATCCAAAGGTCATGCACATGCCAAAAGTCGTCTATTGATACAACATGAGAGCCCGAGTACAGAGATGCCTCGCCTAGATGTACTTCTATCCAGATTAGACCAACAGAATAGAGTTGATGCAGCCATCGTTCTCTGAGAATGGTGTCAGCTGATGATCAGACACTCAAACGACAGCTTACCAGGATTGTTGGTAATTTGAGCATACTCTGCAGGGAATGCTTGTCAGACCATCACCTCACAATGCGTTGCATGACTCACTTGACCATACAACTTTGCCTCCTGTGGTGACCATTCCCAGCTCGCTGACGTTGACTTCTAGTATGGTTCCTTTGGTCAAGACGCCTAGCGAGGTGTAGAGCGGGGACTGAGGGTTCTTTTTGACGCCGAGGATGGGCAGTTGGAAAGTGGTTTTGAGCTCGGCTAAGAAGACGTCAGCAATGTCCGATATCACTATCAGGTTGATCCCACGATGTGTCACATTAGCCTTGTTCATACGCTGCGAAAAGTCAGCCCGAACAGTCATCAGTCAAGCTAGATACTCACCAAGCCCATGGGTCGAATGAAGCGCTTCCTAGTATGAGCTTCTGGTCACCGACATGATATGCCAGACTCACCTCCAGCTTCACCGGCTTTCTCGTGAAGTTCTCCCCGACAAATGTTGGCTTGCTGACCATTCGCTTCCAGCTCTTTCCCTTGTGTTTCCCCGTCTTGATCACCTTGAACATTTCCTCTTCGGCGATACCTCGGACTTTGGGTAAAGGAACAGCGTACTTTGCAGCCTTGTCTTTCCGTCTGTCTTTGACGGCTGAACTAAGCGCCTTGGCGTCCTTTTGCCCTTCCCTATCCAACAAGTACGTTGGCAATGCTCCTTCTTTTACGGCGCCGTCATCCTTCTGCTTGACATTGCGCTCATCATGGGCCTTCAGCGTCTTCTTCATTTGGACCTTTTCGGCGTGCCGTTTAGCGTGGTGGATCTTGGCTTTTAGACCGAACAGCTTTTGGTTCTCAGCTGAGGATCGGTGAACTGATCGTGCCTCCTTCTTGCGTCTGGTCGATAGGATGAGCGAATCGAACTCGCAAGCTGATGGCCACTCACTTTCTCTCCTCGTAATCCAACCGACGACCATGTCGCCGGCGGTGCTCGTCCATATAATCATTCTGAGGCTACAAGCGGATCAGCACGTCTTACCGCCATATTGCTGACGGCTTACCATGATGTCCAGCTACGAGATGAGAGTCCAAGTGATGTATAGTGTAGAAGCATATTTAGCAGACCTCAAGTAATGATTGGCTTTCAAAATTTTGCTTCCGTCGGACGGACCGGTCAAAAAAATTTCAGCTGAAATGCTGCAACCAGCATCCTTAAGACCACAGAGCTTTGAGCGACCATGGGGCTCTCCGAAAGGAAGAACAAGCGTGGGTCAGCAGCTGCACGAGATCTGCTGATGTATATCAGAAAGGATCGGGCTCGATCCTCGGAATCTGACATGGTCAAATGACACGTCGAGATTTTCATACCAGCATCTCAAATCTCTCGGGTGGTCTTCGTCGTCCGGGATCGGCGGCTCAGGCCTAGACGGGAACCCAAATCACATTGCAGTCGTCAAGAAGCTCGACAATGGAGGTATTGGAATGGCTCGAGCGAGGAAAGAAGGTGACGACAATGCTGCTGGTGCTGGGCCAGCGGGAAGAAATTTTGAAGACGTCCTCAAGCGATTGGCTGGGAACAGTCCGAGCGAGAGTCCATCTGGAGCCAGTACGCCAGTAGAGCAGGCAGTAGAGAAGAAGAGAAACAAGATTGCGTGAGTCTCTGGTTTATCGAAGTCGACGGTACCATTGACCTGACTCTCGATAGCTCCCGTCAAAAGCATCTGCAATCGAAACGCTTGGCCAGCTCGTCCCCAGCAGCTCTAGCTGAGATACTCGGTGTGCCCGTCTCCTCACTCCCGGCCAGTCCGCTGCAATCGACGCCTACAACCCCGGCTCCTGTCGACACCCCGTCGCCAGCGACGCCTTCCGATCCCACCGAGCCCGAACGCACAGTTGAAGAGGGTATTTCCAAATCCACACTTTCCGTTTCAGACTACTTTAGACAGAAGATGAGGGATAAAATGAAGGCAAGGCAAGGCATGAGCGGGGACTCTCCGGGCCCACCCGCTGAGCCCTTGGCTCTTAAAGGAACCGATCCGTGGGAGGGATCCAGAACAACCTTTGAAGAGACGGAAAGTGGAGAGGGCAGCAGCTCCAGTCCAGCGGTGAATCCTACTGCTACCACTGTGACCGCCGACGATGAAAAGGCCGCTAAGAAGGCGAAGAAGGAAGCGAGGAGACAGAAGAAGATGGCGAAAACGAGCGATGAAGGCGTCACTGCAAACGCCAACGCGGGCACGAGCGACAATCTGCCCGCTTTACCAGCAGTCGTTGAGGGCCCATCGAAAAAGGACAAGAAGGAGAAGAAGAAGCGGAAGCTTGAGACAGAACAGGACGTGACCGAAGTCGTTGAATCATCGTCAGATCGGGACGAGAAAAAGAAGAAGAAGAAGAGCAAGAAGAAGTAGAGCCCAGGCGTTTCACAACTATCACTACTTTCCTGTTTCTGTACATATTCGCTGTTGTCTGCATTTTCACCTGCTTCAGAACCCGTCCAGTGCTCAATCTGGCTTCTGCTCTCTATCTCAATAGTTCTCGCGAACGCAAAGTCTAGCGTCAACTCGATCCGATGGTCTCCGACTTTGCTCATTAATCCATTGCGCATGCCATCTATGTCAGGAAAAGGGTATATATGTATACAGAACGTATCCTAATGCAAATATCTCGAGTTCGGGTGTCCAGCTTTGCTATCAAATTGTCCGAGCGAGATCCAATTTTATTTTGCGGTACCGATGCTGTAAGCAGCGTGAGCAGACCATCTGGAAAGCGCTTATGAGCAACTCACGCAGCCCTCACGTAATCCGCGAACGATACCATACAAATGGTTTGCCATGCACCTATATGGATCAGCGCGTTTCAAGTCTGGATACTCACCCAAAGCGATTCGAGGCGAGATACCACGGTAAAGACCTTTCAGTCCATTATTCTTGTAGATGTATTGGAATGTGTTGAGGATTGTCTTTTTGGCGGGACGGTTCGGGTCTTGAGATTTAATAGCTGATTGCATCTATGAGGAGGTCAGAGCGAGATCTAGGGATATGTTTTAGGTTGCTCGCCTCGACACGAATGACTTCAAGCGGTTGGTTCCAAGTGGCGAGAGCACCTCCGACTGAACTGGCGAGGATCTTGTCTCCTGCACTCAACCTCTCTCCTTCCTTGATGCCCTGAGATGCAAGTCAGTAGATATCAAGAATTGCCTGTCAGAGTTTGCCCACCTTGAAGTTTCTCAGAGTAGTCTCGGCCAGTCTTGCGAATCCCATTCTGGATCCCCAGTTGGTAGCTTGACGCAAGGCAACCGCATTGACACCTTTGTTGATGCCTGCGATTCCTTCCCGACGATATATGTCCGCAAAAACTTTGAAGGTGGATTCAGCGCTTCCCCCAGCTTCAATCTGCTTGTGTCGCGTGATCTCAACCGTCTTCATGCATGTGCAGAAACCTAGCCTCGCGTCAGCAAATTCTCCCTAGCGAGATAAAGACTTACCCATCGTGGCGTAAGCCTGAGCGATACCACCTCCAACACCTCCGAGCATTCCGGCTGCTGAAGGTCCGAGACCGAAGGCTTTCCTGGAGTACTGATCAATCTCTGCAGATGCGAACAGGAGGACAGCTCCTTTGGTTGAAGCTTCAATCCAGGCCTAATGAATGAGCTCGAGGTTTTATCATGAGACACTCACCCATGGGATCAGGCCCTGGTAGAATCCGAAGAATCCTCCTCTTGACCAGACGTTTCGGAAAGCCTGGGGCATTGTCTGAGAGCGGTTCGCAGCCATCTGAGTCTTGAGGACTTCAAGAGGCTGACCAAGAGTGGTGACTTCAAACATGTTCATGGTGGCACCTGGAACTAAGTTCGGTTCTTCAGTCATGAACTTACCAACTGCAATGTTGGACCATGAGAAACCGCCCTGCTGGGGAGCCATGATGCTTCGAGTGTCAAGTGAAAGGTAGAGAGTTGGATCAACGAACGAGATTGATTTTTTTGGGGAAAGGTTCAAATTCGCCGTGAGTCTCGGCGACTATCGTATGTTGATCGGTGTGGAATGTACGCTCGCTCGCTCGCTCTGAGCTGATGGGCAGAGTCGTACGGACTGTAAGTAGATGTAGGAATATGAAGCGACAACACGCTACCTTCTTAATGCAACCTCAATCCTCATGCGCCCGCCCCAATGACTGGCGTTTCAAGTCCGGACATCCGATAAAATCATGATTTGGGGATGGAGCCCCAGCCACCAGTCAAACGGGCGCAACCGATTGAGCGTCAGAGATCTCTTCAGTCATACATTGTTCGGCAGAAAGACTCAGGCCAGTCGAACATACTTTAGAACCTGGATTCAGAGCACCACTCAGAAGGCGCCCGAACCGCCCTGCACCTCCGGCGAACGACTTTTTGCAACCAGACTCATCTGACAGAGCCTTATGCTCGTCCCGGTTCCACTCTGTCGGCAAGAAACCCATCCTGTGTAGATACGACACCTCAAAAGACACCTCTCGCCTCGCGACGTATACCAGTCTCGCCTGTGTCGGTGCCATATCGTGCATGCAACATGTCCACGACCCTCGATATGAAGAGTACATGCCCATCTCTTCCCCCGTCTCTCGTGATACAAAGTAGAGCGTTGCACTCTACTTCTTGTTCTCTGCCTCGATACGAGCAGCCTCTTCCCTCTTGAGCTTGGCTCCAAGGTTGCGCTTCTCTGCTCGGGCGTTTCGGAGAGTCTGGAAGGCCTCGACCTCCTTCTCAGAGTCCTCGATGGCACGAGGCTTCTCGGCAGTGTAGCCGGTGGGGAGAGGAAGGGCAGTTCGGGTGATGTGAGCGGTGAGGTCGTCTCCCTGTTAATTTTTGAAATGTCAGTCCAGGCTTCCTCAAGATACTTTTTTTCGACCCACAGTAGCATCGCCCTTCTTGGCCTTGCCGGCCTTTCGGGGGTAGACAACCAATCTCGTCTTGTACTCCTTCAGTCGGTCAACGTTCAATTGTTGTCCCTCCTCGCTCTTGTTTCTCCTGCGGTGGTCGACGGAAATTCCAATGCTCTTGGCCTCCTTCTTCCTGATTCCAGCAAGCTTGAGTTCAGCAATGGTGAATCCTCTTCCGCCTGGGTGCTGTCAGCTTGGAGCCATGTAAGCTTCACTCACCCCTGATTCGGATGTTGTACCGTTGAGATGGGCATCTGACAGCAGGTCGGAGTCTCTCAAGGGGTTGAGCTCCAACGGCAAGTGCCTTCTTGGTTCGTGCAACTCGTCGAGACTTCTTCTTTCCGGGTTGGTCAAACTGAACGACCAAATCAGCAAGCGCTCCTAGAATTCCCAGATACATCCACGCACCCAAGTCTTGACCCGCCTCTGCCAGTCCTTGTGGAAGTGGTTCTTCGGCAACTGGTTGTTGTGCTTGACCTAGAAAACGTGTGAGCTGGCGCATGGATATCTTGTTTCGGACAACTCACCATTTTGCCGGATTGTGTCGATCTGAGTAGGCAGAAAGCGACGCTGATCAGTGAACAGAGTCTCCAAGACCTCGATTCTATCTCACCAAGTGGGTCCAAAGAGAAGAGTATACAGCACAAAATCACCTTTACCAGCTCTGCAAATGGCGATTCTGTCAAATTCGACGGGAGGATACAAGAGAATCGGAAATTTCGTCGGCGTTATAGAATCAATGGGGAAAAGGTGATAACGATGTGGCACAATTTCAGATCAAATATTAAAAACACGTCAGACTCTCAGTCGCTGCTATAAATTTCTGTCGAGCGAGCATCCTGGTTCTGTAACGCAAAACCAATTCTACTATAAAAGCAGCCCTAGAACCTCCATCTTTTCCTCGGTACTTATCGAGTCGACGAAGAATCATGGTCTGGTGGCCCGTCATAAGGTAGAAGAGAAGGACGAATTTCATCGGAAACGGGTTACTGGGTGGACCGTCTATTTTGTGCCTCTTCAAAAGTAGGAGGTCGCAGAGTGGTAGGGGGTCCAAGACTTGTTTGACACTTGATAGACATGAATGGAGCAGCTGGAGACACTCCTAGCTTGAAACTGGGCATTATGGCACTAGCCATTTAATCAAAGTATTCACAGCATTTTGGTTTTGCGATGGAACTTGGAACTTGGATCAGAAGCCGCCCGCCGAGCTGGTCCATGCTTAATCATCACCTGACTTGCAGCAGCACACGCCGAGATCGCGCAGCGTATGCGAGTCTCGTCTCACGGAATCTCTTCTGGCGATCCTTTCTACGATCTTATCATCCCTCTCCTTTCACAGAACTGAGTCACGTCCACACTCTCGTAACCCTTGTCCTTCTTTCCTCCCCTCAGCAGATTGTCGTGGCTCATGTCTTTTAACAACGCTCACCTCAACTTCGAGCCGCACATCACATCTGTCATACTGCACTGACTACAGCACTGATTGCAGGGGCCGCTAATCATCACGTACCAGGATGCGTCAGTCGTTCGTCGACGTGGAGCAGGCGACGGCCTCAGAAAAGACCTCTCTCTTGGGCCAAGCCGGGATATCCCGTGATCCTGTCTCGACCTATGGTGCGGATGATAACTTATCAAGTCTCGAGTGGTTCAGGAGTCAGAGGTGGAAGAGCATCCTCCATACCACAGTCAGCGTATCCCTTGCTACGGCAGCAATTTCCACTGCGTACGGTCTCTGGAGCCACTATGACGGCGAGGTAGGCGGACAATTGCCTAGTCGTGGAGTTACTTGGGAGGATCTGGAGAGATCTCATCATGATCGAGAGCGATGGAGGTGGGAAATGAGGAGAAAGGCTCGACGTGTGTCAGTGATGCCTGGCATGTCCACCGATGATGACAATTGATGCACATCTCTCGGTTCAGACCAGTTCCAACAGGCATGTGGGAGATATGATCAGCTTTCGTGATGCTGAGCTTGCCGCGTTGCTCCTTCCGTGCCCAATAACATGAGAGTTCCGCAAGAGGCGGCGCCAACCTATGCAACTGTTGACGTAAGCTGTTTTCTTTTTTTTTTTCGGCTGGAATCCTGATCGGCGTCTGACGTAGTCGCCGCCCTACTGTCTGTCTGTCTGTCAGCCAAAGTTAACCAGTCATCCCATATTCATCTTGACAACTGACATTCAGCATGAGTTCAAGCCGAGATCAGCCTGGTCTCTTGAGGCTGTCTGCTCATCCGAACAACTATGAATGTGAGTGATCGTGTCAGAGCAGTCTCCTGCTCACTACCAAGGGGGAAAAGTAGGGAGCGATTCTCTCGCCGCCAAGGTGGCTCCAGCGGCCGAAGGCAGTGGATTTGAACTGGACGAGCAGAAACCTTATGCGGAGGTGGGCTTGTTCGCTCACATACTCGCTTATCCTACCAAAGCTATGGATGGGAACGCACCCAAACAATCCATCTCATCTCTACGGCAAGGAGATCTTACTCAGTGACTACCTCAGAGGTCGTCCCAAGCTCCTCGGAGACGCCGTCAAGTTTCCAGCTCGATATCCTGGATCAGGCCCTAAAGAGAACGCAGACGGCCATGTGCCCTTCCTGTTCAAGATTCTAACGTGCAAACAAGGTGAGGTGCACATAGCAGGTCCGTCAGCTGAAGACATCAGCCCTGCCCCTACAAATACACCCCGATGTGGAGCTAGCGAAGAAGCTGCACAGTGATGATCCTGACAAATTTCCTGAGTAAGATTTCGTCGTTTTTCAATCGTACTCACACCCACAGTACCAATCACAAACCCGAAATCGCAGTTTGCTTGAGCGATTCCTTCTACGGCTTTGCACATTTCAGACCCCTGAAAGAGATCCAGGGGTTGATTGACACAGTGCCGGAGCTGGACGACCTCTCTGAATCTGTCAAGAAATCCCTGTCGACTCTGAAAGATGGACATGGATCGTCCAACAGTGCCATTAAGGATGCTTGGCAGGCTATCCTGAATCTTTTCGGCCAGGATAAATACTCGAAAGTCGTCAATGGGTTCACAAAACGTGTCAAGTCGGAAGGTCCATCAGCTTTCAAAGATGCGGTCTCTTCAAACGGCGCAGAAGACTTGGCGCATGCGTGCAAAATACTCGATGAGTACAATCATGGGGACGTATCTATCTTCGCGACATTGTAGGTGGACGATGAAGGCGGTGCTGAGGCATAGGCTATTCATGAATCTCGTCAAGTTGAAGAAGGGGGAAGGGATATACGTCGGTGCGGATGGACCGCATGCTTGGCTCCAAGGGGGTGAGCTCAAGGCTTTTTTAATCCCTGATGCTGACAACGAACGCGCCTCAGAAATCGTTGAGCTCATGGCAGCTAGCGACAATGTTCTGAACGTGGGATTCACACCTGAGCAAGACAATGTCCAGACTGTCATCAGGGCTATCACTGGCAAATCATTCAGTGTATCTGACATCAGCCTCAATTCGACCACCTTCTCCAAATCGTCAAAAGGCAATACTCGAGTCTATTCAGTTCCGTTTGAAGAATTCTCCATCATGCACATCACTGGTCCGGACACGTTGGAAGCTCTTTCAGGGCCTGGGATCGCCATCGCCCTGAAAGCGACGCGGCTTCAGGGCGAAGGGGTACCTATGGGCAGTGTTTGGTTCGTACCTGCTGGAACGGAACTATCTATAGAGGGCGATGGGGAGGTCTGGATGGCGTTCTACGACAGCAAGAGTGATCAGAAGGAGGTTGGGAAGAATTAGATCAAGTCTGTATCTGTAGAGACCATGCATCCGAGTCGCAGTTAGACGTCGGCGAACCTGTCACGGCAAATAGCCACTCTGCCACCATCGCTTTCGACCAGCCGATAATATTTCAACTTTTGCTACTACTCATCTCAACCTACAATGTCTGCCGAAGCCGAGTCATCCTCTCAAGCCCTAGAGCGGTATCTCAGCGAGAAGTTATCCTCACTGTCTCTGCAAGTCCCTGATGACGATGCAAGTTACTATGCGTCGCTCTTGCCCTGACTTTATCGCAGGTCGAATACATGGCCAGGTTCGTTGAAGAGGAGGGCCTTGAAAGGGACGAGAAGATTGAAGGTGTAAGAGGCATGCTAGAGGGTGTCGTCGAAGAGGCAGGTGATGGGATCATATTCGTGGCTGATCCATCCCAGGGATCTCTCCCGGAGTCAGGCATAGACGAAGCATTGGGTCATGTCGTCGATGAATGGTCAAGGCTGAAAGAAGAGGAAGAAACAAAGAGAGCTGAAGCAGAGGAACGTGAGTCATACGTGGTTCAATGTTTTGGCTAATATGATATAGGTGAGAAGCTCGCCGAGCCTCCAGATCTCAAGAGCATCCTCGCAAGCATGACGCCTGAAGAGCATGCAGCTGCACAACGGGCTGCACTCCTTCGAGAATACGGATACGTCGATGACGCAGATGCGCTAGGTGGATCAGGAGAAAGAGATGGCAATGCTCCTCCGAAAGGAGAATCAGCTCGCGCAGCTCATGAAAAGGCAGCAGCGGACGAGAGGAAAGCTTTGATAGAAAAGGCTCTGGCCCTAGATGGCAAGAAGAAGAAATATAAAAAGCAACAAGAAGGTGAGTCTGGTTTGACCCTTTGGCTATCGTTGACCGGGACCTAGTCGATCTCATGGCGCCTAATTTGAATCGCGACAAAGTCGCTTACAGGGCTCAGATGGAGCGTGAGGCGGCGAAGAATGCAGCGCAGCAGAAGCGAGACAGGGACAAGGCTGCGCTCGACAAGCAGAGGTGAGAGCTGCTCCGAATGCAGAAGGCTGAATCGACCTCAGGAACGATGCTGCGAAAGCCAAAGCAGATAAGCAGAAGAAGGCTGCCAAACAGGAACGAAGAGCCTAATCAGCATAACTTCCAAGACCAAAATGCATGATGGCAGGCGTATAGCCAACGAAAGATTATGATACAGTCGTCTCAGTGTCATTAGATGTCGTTGCGTCGTTCAAAGATATCCGTCTAGGCTCGCGCATCAAGCGTCGTAGCCTGTTCAGTTCAGCGGCCAGGTCGCTGGACTGTCAGCTAAGAAGGACATTCTCGATCCCACCTAGCCGTCGTGTTCGCCTCCTTATTCTCCCTCGCTGTCCGATCGAGCTCGGCACGAAGCTCTGCAATTTGCGTCTGAAACTTGACATTCGCAGCTTCAGTCTGCTGAGCAGATTCAGCAGCAAGACGCTGTATATTGGCTCGTTCGCCACTGCCGCATCGTCAGTGAGCAGAGATGGTATGCAACTCACGACTGCGCCTTGACAGTCCGGACCAAGGCTTGACGCTTTTGCATCTGTGATGTCAAAACCAACGAAGACCCTCGGCACTCACAGCTTCCTCTCGCTCCTTTCTTCCCGCCTCTTCGACCGCTCGCATCTCCTCCTTAACCGCTTTCAGCTCCCGAGCCCAAGCCTCCTTCAGACTCTTTATGCCGTCTCGCAAACTTGATGAGTCTGACTCGGCCCTGCCTCTCGCCAATGTCGCCTCCTTGACCTGCGCCGTCATCTCGTTGATAAACTTTTTCGTCGAGTCCTCCATAGCTTTCTTATGACCCAAGTGTTCCGCGAGAGACGATTCGGCACTCCGTGCACGTTCCAGAACCTCTGCAGGGTTTTTCAGCTGGCATGTCACAAGTTCGAGATTGACTGACTGACCCTGTAATAATCGCTCTTTCCTTGAAATCACGTTATTCAACCCCTCGACTTCTACTCTCATTCGCTCCTTGGTCTCCTTCAGATCTTCATTTTGGCGTGTAAGCTACTACAGTCAGCAGACTCCAGCGCGACGCTTTACTGACCGATCCTATCAAGCGCTGATTACTTCTCATCTCCTGTTTGAGCTTTTCCACATGACCTTTGGTGTTGATGAGATCCGTCTGTAAGCCATCAATGACTTTTGTGCTGGCGACTGAGCCCATCAGCGGTGAGCGTTTGAGGCCTGGATGTGGGCTCAGGCGTCCATCCATAGACGTAGCAGGAGAATAGGGAGAGTCTAGTTGTGCACTGAATGGAGATTTCAGATGGGTGGAGGCGATGGGTGAATGTGAGGGATGGGAGAGACCGTTCGCAGGCCGAGGTTCGGCAGGTGTTCCTCCTGGCGAAGCGTCGTGCATCAATCTGGCATGAGCCACAGATGCTCGAGGTATCCCTGACGTCAGTACGAGGTTCCGGTCGGACTGCTTACGGCTTATTCCTGGTCCATCACTGGTCTTTCGAGATCCGGGTTGAACCTCCCTACCTGGTGTAGCTGCATCTCTCGATAAATCATAGTTGGATTTGGATTTCGGTAATGACGACAGACCGATTGGCTGTGGGGAATCAAGCTCATCTTCTTCTGCCAAGATGTGACTGGCATCCGTCATGGGTGTGAAGACTTCGTGATCTGTTCCATTCATCGGTGTATAAGGTCTCAAATTCGTGGTGGACGGCGAGGCGGTGAGAGAGGTGTCCAGGTTCATATCGGCAGTAAGATCCATTATCCGCTGATGAGAGGCATATAGTGATGATTGGAGAAGTGCAATTTGTGCTTTAAGATGTGCTGAACTGTCAGACGACCTTCGTCAGGCCAACCCTCACCTGGATCCTCCTGACCGATATCTAACGGAGCAGCATTTGCGTTCTTGCGAATGGACCCTGTTGATGACCCACCAGCCAGGCTGTTCCGCTTTGTTATCCTCGGACTCTTTTTGCCAGGTGGTACAGGTCCAATCACAGTCGGTGATGTTTTAGGTGACGACACAGCGTTTAGGTTGGATTGCTGAAGCACCGAAGTGAGACTCATTGATGAACGCTTGTTGGTCGGTAATGGTATCTGAGACGTTCTACGTTCTGCCGACGAGGCAGAAGACGGTCTGTCAACCATCTTGACCACCTTTCGAAGACAGTATAAAGGAGCGTCAGTCACCGTTATCGCTATCGTCGCCTTTCAAACGCTGATCAAGAGAGTTGTGCATATACGTCCAAGACGCAGCCATATCTCTTAACGCGTCTTGAAACGCACGTGGAAATGCCGTAAAGAACGATGCATCATTCCAAAATTTCAAGCGGCGGCAGCGACAGACTGTCAATGTTGTAGCATCGATCATGCCACCGCATAGGAATAGAGGGGGTCATGGGTTCCGCGGAGGTCGCGGAAGGGGCCCGAAGCTGCCCTCAGGACTCTTAAGTCAAGTTGGTGGAGATCGTAGTGAGTGATGTTGTCCTGGAATCGGCTGACCGATATAGGTTCACACAAATCCAGAGGCGCAACGGGAAACAACCATGGACGATCAGGACAAGGAAAGGATACATATCGAGACAAACAGGTCCATAATGAAGAGAGCGTCTCTGGCCCGTCAAAAGGTCAAGCTCGAGCTGGTCCGGTACCGGTGTCAGCGAGGCGGATGGGTGATGAACCCATCATGAAGAAGCGTAAGAAGCTGCCTAAACTCAGCTTGCCGAAGTCTGGAGGAGATAAAGAGGACGATGCGGAGATTGAATGGCTAGAGTACATGATGAGAAAGGACAAGTCCTCAGACCCGATGGACCTGGATGATGGTCTGGATGGTAAGAGATCATTAATACTTATCTACGTAGCTGACGTAGGGGGCTAGATCTGATGGATCTGGCGGATACAATTGGACCTGGCGGCAGCGGGCTGGTCGACGCTAGCCGGGCAAGTAGCGACGATATTAGCGATGAAGCCTCTGTTCGCTCGGAAGGTGAAGGACTTTCGTTGGCGGACGAGGACGACGAGGAGGACGCCACGGAGGATGACAACGATGACGAGGAGGAGGAGGAAGCGGAGGAGAACGATGAAGAGTCTGGGAGCGGCACAGAGGAATCCTTCGATGCTGAGGATGTCGAGGAGCCCGAAGCTTCTTATGTCTCGCAGGATGCTGCAGCACTCGCAAGGAAAAGGTCCCAACAAGATCATAAGGAATTGGCCCCGGTGCCCACTTACGTTCCGCCTCATCTGCGTCAAGCAAAGCCTGTAGTGTCCGAGGAAAAGCTCAAACTGGATCGCAAAGTTCAAGGTCTTCTCAACAAGTGAGCTGTCGTAGTCTGCCGCTGCTGACGCTCTAGATTGAGCGAGATGAACATGTCTGGTATACTGAACGAGATCGAATCGCTATACCGAGACCATTCTCGGAATAGTAAGCTTATCGATGCAACTCAACTGACCTGTCTCAGGCGTCACTACGTCGATCACGGATCTCACCATTCAGATGATATCCTCTCGTTCCAATCTTCTAGACTCATTTGTAGCCTTATACGCTACCTTGGTTGGTGCATTGCACCGAGTAATTGGCTTGGAATTTGGTAAGCCTGCCTTAGAATCGCTTGTGGCTGATTGCAGGCGCCCATTTCACCCACACCGTCATCACTCGTTATCATGCCCTTGGTCATTCGTCTCGTGACATCGCTGCGCTTGCTCCGACATTGTATGAAACTCCTGATGGCTCTAAAGAGAGTCTCAACCTTCTCACGTTGATTTCGGAGCTCTACAACGCCGGAGTGGTGGGCGCAATCCTCTTATACGACATCATCCGAGACCTGTTGAACGCCGAATCTGGAACGGCTCCGATGACCGAAATGGCAGTGGAAGGATTGTTGAAGGTGATGAAATGTGGGTTGAGTCGCCCTACTTCGACTTTTACTTACAATGATCAGGTTCTGGAACTCAGCTTAGGAAGGAAGACCCTGCGAGCATGAAAGATATCGTGGCTCTCATCCAAGATAAGGTCAAGGGAAGGGAAGCTGGATTGACGTAGGTTTTTGGATCCAATAGGACCTGACCCCCGCAGAATCCGAGCACGATTCATGATTGATATGCTCGTTGATATAAAGGACGGAAAGGCGAAAGCTAAAAAGGCCGCACAAGACAATAAAGCATCGTCAGAGAAGATGTCCAACTTCCTCTCATCTCTCGGTCGGAACAGACGGCGTGAGTGAGAAAGCACTGTGCCAAAGCTGAAAATAAGTCCTCGCCAGCGGTCCTCTGCGAGTGTCTCTCCAAGACCTCCTAGCCGCAGACCAAAAAGGCAAATGGTGGCTCGTCGGTGCTGCCTGGTCTGGCAATCCTCTGATTGAACGCGAGGCAGCAGTGGCGGAAGAAAAGGCCAAGAAGGGGCACAAGAAGTCGCTCGTACCTGAAGACGAGGCGATCATGGAGTTGGCGAGAAAGCAGGGTATGAACACGGACATAAGACGTACAGTATTTCTTGTCATTATGACGAGCGAGGTAGGTCTTCTCTCCTCAAAGACTGGCTGACAAGAATGCAGGACTTCACACATGCGTGTGACAGGTTGTCGGCCCTACGATTCACTCCCGTCCAGCAAAGAGAATTCGTCAGAGTGGCTCTCCACTGTTGCTCAGTGGTGAGTGCGGCTCCAAAGAAAATCTCCTGACTCGGACAGGAATCTAAATACAACCCCTATTACACTTTGATCCTGAATCACCTCTGCTCTGAGTCATATGACCATCGTTTTACGTTTCAGTACGCCCTGTGGGACTTCATCCGGACATTGCCAGATTTAGGCAAAGACGATACACACAAGGGTCGTAATGTCGCGAGGTGTCTAGCCTACATCATTGCTCGGTCGCACGTGGACTTGACTGTTCTCAAGGTAAATTGAGCCGCGGAAGTCTCTCTGACCCGATTTTCAGGGAATTGAATGGACCTCGCTCGACAAGCGTACCACTTCCTTCTTGACTGCCCTTGTCATAAAGCTCGTTATCGCCTCTCAGACAACGTCCCCCTTAGTCAAGCTGCCCAAGGCGTTCGACGAATCGAATTTCGATCCACACCCCATCGAAAAGCTTTTCGGCAAAGCTATGAGCAACGTCGAGGTGACGCAGGGTCTCGCAGTACTCATCAAGCGGGACATGACGAAAGAGACTCTGCCGAAGATTCTCGAGAGAGTCGAAGCGGAAGCCATGGCTCGCACTGTGGCACTCCGAGGGCTCAAGGTCGCCAGAGAAACGCTGAAAGGGCAAGTATGATCTCCTCAAACAGCACGACTCGAGCTTCATTCTGGTCCGCCCCGTAATACTTCTCTCGCCATTCGCACCTGTCTGCCGCTGGGTAAAGAATCGTTCTGCTCTTCACCAAGGCCCGAAGACTGTAGTGGCTTCGGACCGCTATCGGCATTACCGAGCAACTCTTTAGCCTCCTCATCAGACTCGACAGTCCCTTCACTATCTTGAGAGTACTTGGACGCTTTGGACGCCATGCTGTCTCCCCGCTTCAAATTCTTGGGCGCCTCGGGATATTCTTCGATGTCGATAGTGGCATGATGATGCGAGCCTCTCGCTTCTGGTGCTGGACCCGGAGGTCGAACAATGGTCGAATGGTGATCGTGCTTAGGAGCCGGACCAGACGGCCGTCTCCTGTGTGCTCTTGGTGAGGCGGAATCGGACGCCAAAAATTCGCTGGTGATGGGTGGAAGGGGAATGTCTGCGGTGCTAGAGACATGGTGATGGGTAGGAGGAGGACGACTCGAGGGTCGCGCTGGTGATCCTGATGCCTCCGGTCGCCTCAACCGATGAAGTCTAGACGGCGCTTCCGAGTCCCGCGGCACTGAACCCGCCTTCTCCGGTTCACTCTCACGCCGCCTGCTGTCTCTAATTCCGTCAAGATGCAACATTTGAGCGACCTTGTCCGCGATCCCGTAGTTGTGCTGACTCTGAACACTTCTAGCCTCTTTGCGGTTGCTTTCATTCCTGCGTATACGAAGTCCCTCTCCTTGCGACTTCAGTACTCTTCTACCCTCGCTGTCACTCTCGGCGAAGTGCAGCAACTGAATAATGAGCAATGTTGACGGATATCATGACTCACCTTGTCAAGCAGATCAAGTGTCCCAGAAGGCTCGACGCTAGCTTTGTCTGATCTGAGCCGTTTTGCTTCATTTTTCGAAGCTTTGTCTAATTCCTCACGAACAGTCATGATGACACGAATGATCCTGAAACCCGAGTCAGCAGCTGTTTTCGCACCAGCACTCTACTCACTTCCTAAATGAGAAGCCGTCATCTCGCCATTCCTGCAATGCGTCTTTTAGTGTCGATAGAAGATGCGGCGTCGAAAAGTCGCTTAGGCCCAAGACATGATCGATGATTGCGTGCAGTGATCCCGATTCGAATGCTGTGTATGTCAGATCAGATCACTTCTCACTACTGGACCTCGACTCACCACGAACCAAGCCGTGATAGGCATCCTCCACATTGACGACGTCGTCGTTGGCTTTATCTTTCCGTGACTTTCTCTCCTTCTCCTTGGCGTACTGATCTTCCAAAAACCTCTTGACGATGATGATGTGCTCCAGAAACGCACCTGATTGTGAGACGAACCTTGAAGTGGCGGCTCACCCATCATTTTCGAGTGCTCATCTCCCAGGATTCCACGCATGCAGCTGACAATGTCTCGTTGAAACATTAACGAGGTGAGGAGTCGCGGGAGAATCTCGACGACAAGAGAAGTCGACTGGTCACCGTTGTCTTTACTGTGTCGTTGTCGGGAGATCAAGTAACGGGAGAGGTCCGTACCAAGGTCTATGGACAGTCAGGGAATATTGATACAGACAAGCTCAGCGCTCACCGATGCAGTGAGCGATGGAGACTAGACATTTCGTCCATGTCACTTCTTCTTGCCCTTGGCTAGCGTCGATCGTCGCTGCATGAACAGATTGTCGCACACGATCGTCATGCCATGCGCCAGGTATCTGCAGCTTCACGCGACGGCTGTCAGGCGTAGGATTTTGGAGCTGCTCAGACGATCCAGTTTCATCCTCATGCCGTGAGCCTTTGTGCTGGATACCGTGCCCTTGGAATCCTTTGGATGATTGAACCCGCTCGTCAGGTTTTGTCCTACGCTCAGTGTTCTTGTTCTCGGAATTGGAAGCCTCTCCTGACTTGCTAGGGATCTCTGCCAAGACTTGCTCCAGTATATCTAGGTCCAGCTCCCGAGTTAGATCGCTACGATCCTCACGGGAGGCTTCTCCGGTCGTTTCACGATTTGCTTCAGCCCCTTTCTCCAATTCTGCCTTCGCTTTCAATAACCTTTTCATTGCCTTTTCCGCCTCGTCCTTCGCCACACTGCCATCTTTGACTTTGATTTTCAACCTTTTCATCTTCATCTCCACTTCTTTGACAGCGTCTCCTGTCACAGTGGACGTCGCTTCATTCTTTACCAGTTCTGAGTCCGGATCATCCATCGCAGCTAGCGTTTCCCGCATCTTCCTTCTGCTCGTGTCCAATTTCGCCAGCATCTTCTCGCCTTCTTCTTTCTCCAGGCCGCCGTTGAGCATCTTTGACTTGACTCTGACCATGCGTTTCTCAATGTCAGTGATCTGCTCCTTCATTTTGTCCTTCGAATTTTGCGGTGCCCTAGGGGGAGACGTGGGCACAGTGGCACCTGCTGCACGCATATCCCTCAAGGAACCGGAGGGCAGATTCAACGTCTTCTTGTCTCTGCTTGAGGCAGCTCCAGGATCCTTGACGCTCACACTACCAGTCTCCTTGCTCGTCGCTGCTTTCAGTCTCGATTCAAGTCCATCCCTGAGCTTCGTCAGGACCTCAAGCTCTTTCTTCCCCTCCGCTCGATCTATTCTCCCTTCGTGTATCCGCCTCTTCAATTGTTCACGCTGCGATTGGGCTTTGTCAAGTCTCTTTTTGATACCCGTCGCTTCGTCTAAGCTTAGCGGAGCTGGTGTCCGCCTTTCAGACGACTCGTCCATCCTTGGTCCTGAATGGGGAGCTGCTGACGCGTTCTGGGGCTGAGTTCGATCCTTGTCTTCCCCTTTGTCGGAGGTCCTCGGAGATTCCGGCGTCTTCATTGCCGCCAACGGCGGGGCTGGGTCCCTTGATTTGTCACGCGAGTCTTGTACTTGAGCCACCACCGGAGAATCCTTCATCGGGGCAGATTGACTTTCAGTACTTTCACAGGCAGGTTCGGCTGCATTACTCGCGCCGGGAAGAACCTTCGTCTTTGCATCATCAGGTCGGCTCTGAGAGGCATCAGACTGATGTGGTTGCTCTGCAGGTGGCATGTGACTCTGATACCAAGGAGGTGGACCCCATATGTAATGTATCTGAGGAGGGCAACAGGGGTGCCACGGCTGAAGAGGTTGTGCGAGTGAGAGAGGTGCGAGATGTGGTGGTTCTTCTGGCCAGTACGGCTGTGCATGTGGGACATGGTATCCCAAAGCACCTTGAAGGTACGATGGAGCTGTCCACGGAGGCTGGAAATGCTGTGCTCCTGGTGCGCCGTAAGGCGGGCAGTTCCAGTGTTGCGTTTGAGGGGCAGGATTTTCATTCTGGGACAGATTCTGCCAAGGCTGACCAGAATATGCTTGAGATATCGAGTTTTGTGTAGTCTCGGCTTGCGCGCCACGAGGATCGGAACCCCATCGCCGATGGGACAGGACGGGGACAGAGCGCAGTGCGGATGGCATGAATCGGTCTGCCGCAACATCGGGATTTGATGACTTCAACCTAGCCTGCTGATCCCCACCCCTGGCATTGTTGCGCCCAGGAGGCACCGGGAATTGAGCGAGATACGGTAACTGCGAATCTGGTCTATCCTTTCCCGCGCCATCACTCAATTCTCCGGATCTAGAGGTCATATATCGCTCAGGATGATAATACTCATCAGCTAGGTTGTGAGCTCTCCTTCCATCTGGCAAACGATTGGCGCGATCGTCCGGAGGCTGGTAGTGGATCATCGAAGGGAAGGAGGAAGCAGATCCGGATGGTTGATTCGAGTCAATGTGAGCAGGATTCCCTCGCTGATCCTGCTGACTGAATCCATTCAACTCATCCGGCCGTACAGGGCTGCGAAACCCATCCGTTGCGCTGAAAGAGGACGACGCATCACTCGATGAATCTTGCTTCGGCGGACTGGTCAATTTCGTCATCTTGGCCAACTTCTTCAACTTGCTTGGCTTGGTCTTCATCTTCCCGCCCATGTCTTTCACAGGTGGAGCAGGTGCTTCCACATCACTCGGTTCATCGAGAGGGTCCAATCGAGCTCCTGTACTGCCATCCTCTCTTGCCCGCGTTGTCTCCACGATGAGTTGTCGGAGCAGTTGAAACACTTCATTGGCCGGGGGTCCTTGACCTCTTGGACCAGGTGAAGTGAAGGGGCTCATAGCGCGTGCCCAAGGACTTCCAGCATCTCCAACCGATAAGGGAGTAGTTGGCGAGGCTGCTAGGTCCAAAGACGGACTGACTTGTGCATCATCGACAGTAGAATCAGGGTGCTTCTCCCCGTTCACATAAATCCTAACGGTTTTCTTCTTCGGCGCTCGGAGTTGAATTGGACTGGGCGCTCGAGCGATTCCAGACGATTCGAACTGATTTCCTGATATCTTCTCTGGCTTGTCCTGATGATTTGCCGCCTTGTCTTTGTCGAGCTTGCCTGTGGGTAAGAATAAAGCTTTCAGTGAAAAGTGAGATTTGCTAGGTGAGACAGGCGAGTAAGGAGGGGACGACACTTCGTCCTCGCCACTTGAGTAATCTGAGTCGATCCCAGACGGAGCGTTCATCAGTCAAAGAGTCTGAGCACCTACGAGGGGCTCTAATCCTGGTCTCCCGACATGCCTATATCCTGAGACAGAGCTGTGGCGATCTATGAGGAGCTCGGTTGACAAAGGATGCGATCTCAAAGCGTGTGGACTCGTCGGTGCAGCGCATGCGAGTCTCATCCCATTCAAGGACCCACCAGACTTCACTGCATGGACTTCGAAGCCTGACATGGGCCGGAAGTCCCGTGGGACATCTGAGAGAGTGATCCAAAATGCAGCATTTCAGCTGGCGTCCCGCCGGGCACGATCACGGTATATATTTTGATTCCGTCTCCGGTGACGTCTAGAAGACTCTGGCAAAATTACCGTAGGTTTGACCATAAGCTATTCAATCTCCACTCTGTAGGTGTCAATATAATTGTCCTTATTACCCACAGACTCAAGGATCAGCTACGGAGGAGCAGCTCGACGACCGTATCCATCCCCAAAATATTCGAAACTACCATTGAAACCACACCACTGTCGTTGCCTGGCGACGTGTCCACTATTGACCGGCTAACGTCCACTTCATATACACCATGGTCAACAACACTGAATACTACAAGGTATGTCGGCTTTAATTCCACATTGGAGTTTCGCTCATACCTTTCATAGGTCTTAGGGATCTCCAAAGACGCCTCAGAAGCCGACATCAAGAAGGTAAGCTCACACATTTACCTCTCATTCCCCTGATACAAGGAACGTAACTGACATTCTTACAGGCTTATCGGAAAGCTGCTCTGGCCAGTCACCCCGACAAAGTGGGTGTCGGAAGATTTTTGAGGTGATCATCGCTGACGTGGTTTTCAGGCGGCTGAAGGTCAACGAGATGCTGCAGAAGCCAAATTCAAGAAGATTGGCGAGGCATACGAAATCCTTAGTGACTCGGTAAGCCTGACTTGACGTGGTCAATGATTGATCACTTGACAACACTGATGCCTGGTCTTCAGAACAAACGCGAAATCTATGATCAACTCGGAGAGGAAGGTTTGAAAGGAGGTGGAGGGCCACCGGGTGGTGGAGGCTTCTCTGGCTTCCCCGGTGGAGGAGGACAGAGCTTTAGATTCCAAGCATCAGATCCGAACGACATCTTCAAGTGAGTCTGAATCGTATTCTCATGGGGGGAATCTGTTGACTTGCCTAGCGCCTTCTTTGGTGGTGGTGGAGGCGGAGGTGGAGGAGGTTTGGAAGACCTATTCGGGGGCGGCGGCGGTGGAGGCTTTGGCGGCGGAAGTGGACCTCGGATGCGTAGTTCACGTATGGGAGGAGGTCGAGGTGGAGGAATGGGCGGAATGGGTGGCATGCCCGGTATGGGAGGCATGGGCGGAATGGGCGGAATGGGCGGAATGCCCGGTGGATTCGATGATGGATCTTCTTCTGGTCTTCCACCGCCAGGGGAGATCGTCAAACCGCTCGCATTGTCACTGGAGGAGCTTTACCGAGGCGGCACGAAGAGGTTAAAGATCACGAGGAACTTGAGGACAGGTGGACAGGAGGAGAAGATCTTAGAGGTGGCTTATAAGGCTGGGTGGAAAGCGGGTACAAAGATAAAGTTTGCAGGATCAGGGAACGAGGATGAGTATGGACAGGCTCAGTAAGTCAATGCCAAAAAGCACTTGTGGATTCTACGCTGATTCGGTCTCTGTAGGACAGTAGCATTTGTCGTCGAGGAAAAGAAACACAATCGATTTGAACGACAAGGAGACGACCTCATCATTTCCCTCAACATTTCACTATCTCAAGCTCTCCTAGGACCCGATGGAGGTGGAACGATTTCCAAAGAGATTGAACAATTAGACGGACGTCGCCTGAAAGTTTCCCCGCCAGAAGGTATTGTCCAGCCTGGATCAGAGACGAGGATTCAAGGAGAAGGCATGCCAGTCTCTAAAGCCAATTCCACAAAGAGAAAGGGAGACATGATCGTCAGGTGGAACGTTGTATTCCCATCGCGTCTGACTCCGAGTCAAAAGTCAGAATTAAGAAAGGTCTTACCTTGAGCGGGTGCGGCACAGGCAATGCACCAATGTACATCATGTTCCAATGGAATGCACGTCCTGTTCGAAATTTTCCGTGTGAGACCTGCACAAGGGTATCATAACATGCATGGTATAGTAATGTACTACAAGATGAATGACGATCTTTTCCAAGAGATCGTTGTGGGTAGGTCGTAACCGAGACAGATGGCGCAAACGAACAACCCAAGATTGATAGCGTAGTCTGTCGGAGCGAATTATGCCAAGTTGATATCGTTAAGAGCGCAACAGACCGCAGCTCTGAGTGAATTCGATCAGCAAGGTAAGGGGCTCACACACTCACCTGTGGTGCCCGTCGTACTGCCGCACAGTCTCTCCAGAAGTCAAATCCCATAATCTCGCTGCGTGATCAGACGAAGCTGGTAGGAAGTCAGTGAGATGAAACCCTCCCTGAATGAACACCGAGACTCACCCGTGACGAGATACGCCGAGTCCGCGCTGAATGCAGCATCCCAAACCCATCGTTGATGTCCTGTCAAAGTTTTGACGAGGGTGTATTCGAAATTTGCAGTGGACCAAATCTTGATCGTTCCGTCTGCCGAGCATGTCGCAAGGTGCCTATGCGATGGTCAGAAACGGATCCTTAGCTGATAGACTAACCTGGTATCTGGGGATAAGAGGCATCTAGTGATGTACTTTGAATGAGCTTGGAAGCTCGTTCCTGGACGCAAGGTCGTCGAGTCCACCGTTGATTCGATCTGCCAGACGTACACCGTCCCCTACGAACACCATCAGCACGCATTACGAGTTCCGGTACCTTTATCCACGCACCAGATCGTTCCCTGCGACCAGCGTCCCACCATCTGAAGCGATAGATACACTCCTGATAGCCACATCTTCCTCCGGAACAAGTTCATGTGTGCATGTGTTTTCTCCCAAATCCCAAATCTTGACTGTGCCCAATTGATCGCAACTGATCAATTCACCCTGATTCGGATGTATGACCACATCGTTTACTGGCGCATCATGATCGTAATTTCGCTGCACCTGAGATGTCCTCGTGTCCCACACCTTGACAGTACAATCTTCTGAACCTGATACGATCCATTTGCCTTGTGAGCTGTACGCTAGAGCCGTGACATTGGCCGTGTGACCTTCCAAACTGGCCACGGGCGTATTGCTAAGTGATGGTATGTCCCATATCCTACCGCGAATCAGTATCCAAGTTTGGGATAGATAGACATACCTGACCATGGCATTCCCGGCCGCTGCGAGAAAGATCTTGTCAGGACTGATGGCTAACCTGTTGACCTGTTTCTGAGAACTGTGAGCTCAAAACGCTTCAAAGTCTTAACCTACCCATTGAGGCTGCAGTGTAATCTGACGATAGCATATACCACTCCAAGCTTCCCAGAATCGTATAGAGTGATCATCTGTATCCAAGCACTTCAGTGCCCCCCTTACATAGCGATATCGACTTGACTCACAGCCGGCCGTACATAGTATAACGCTCATTTCTGCCGCTTGGGCCTGGGCGTGAGCTTGAGCTGGATCTACATGTTGATTTTGAGCCTGCGAAGGCTGCGGCTGAGTGGCCGTTGGCATCCCGGTGACGTCGTAGCTCGAGGCGTTGATGGTCGACGAATCGCTCTATTCTAGGGCAACCGAGCATCCGGAAACGAACCCGAGAGACGAGTGGACACGCGAATGCCACGTGGTGGTGGGGTTCTCGAGATATTGAGATTTTGTGATTGTTTGAACAACAAGCTACATCATTCATCGAGCTATCGCTACATGTATATACTTGGTCTCGAAACTATATTATGGTGGCTTCTAGGTATATGGACCTTTTGCTTAGTGTCCAGCAATCTTGGGAGCGCCCTCGTCTGTTTGTATTTGTCAAAAAGGTGCTCGGCAAGACTTGGTAATCACTCACAGAGCTGGTGCTTGTGTTCACCCTCACCGTGGTGTTCGGCTTTGAGGTTTCCCTTCTGCTTGAGGAAGTCCTCATGGCTCATGGTAGGGAGTGTAGTAGCCTCGTGGACGATAGGCGCATCGTGAACAACCTCGTGAACAGCATTGGTGTGGTGGACCACAGTGGGTTGGATGGTCTCTCGTTGGATGACAGGTTGAACTGGTGAGGGGGGTCAGCAAGTTATTCAGGATTTTATTCGCAGCACGACTCACTGGTCTCGTGGATGTGGTGGTGCTCGTGTTGGTTGACGTGAGTTCCAAGGTGAGCCTCATCTCGCTCGACCTCTCCGGTGGTCTGTTGGTTCTGGTACATGTGGCGTTGCTCCTCCAACTTTTGCTGGTGCTCAGGGAGCATGTCTTCCTTGTGCTCTCGAGTGACGACGGGGGCTCGCTCCTCGACGTGCTTGGTAGGAAGGGTCTGGTGGTCCTCAACGGGCTGGACTCGGTGCTGAATGAAATCACGTCAGCGTGGTGAAATGGAACAAGCCCTGGTCGGTTGTCTCACCTGGTGGTGGTGAATGTGCTTCTCTCGGTCGACAGCCTCGGCAACTTCGACGTGCTCCTGAGGTCGGACGTGCTCCTGAACGACTTCAGGGGCGGTCTCAGTGCACACTTCGGTGGTGTCTGCCTTGGAAGATCCCTTGAGGAAGTCTTTAACGCCTTGAGTGATACCGGACATTGTTGATGGGTTGATTGGTGTGGCGGGGTGGGGAATTTGAGTTTGGTTTAGTTGATGTGTGTGTAGTTAAACACTTGAATCGAAATATGGGTTGGACGGTCTGGAGAGAAGAAAAAAACGAAGGAAGGATCGTCCAACCCAAGGTCTATATATGTCTTCACTTTCCTTTCCCTTCCCGTAACACTTTGGAGGCTGGTTCACAGAAGGTTCACCCAAATTTCATTGACCGGATGACGTCTGTGACGATTGGGTGGAGTTTTGTGACCATGTACCACTTATGATGGGTCGTTTCGGTTGTGTGCGGTGTGCGCGGTGTCTGTGTCTGACCGGGTGGGTGAGTGAATGCGTGACACTTGACTGGCGACTTCTTTTCAGACCCTTTATGACTAACAAAGCTGATTTTATGCATACGCTGAGAGACTCATTGAGGCGGGGGGTCGCAGGGGCAGGCAGGTAGTGGGTGTGGAAGCGTACTGCCTATACCTGACACCGTCATACGTTAAGCAAACGGGCTGACCCAACCCCTTACCCCCACTTGGGTGATCATGGACTGACTGCCTGACGATCGAGATCGGGTTAGGGCGGAAGGGCAAAAAATCCACCAAAAAATACCAATGACACCACTGAAGTCTGGGTGATCATCCGCAAAAGAAGTCTCCGTAGTATCTCACCATGCGAACACGCCAACAGGCGACTAAGGGAATAACAGCAAGGATTGGAGCTAAATTCACCGAGCAGTATCACCGTTCCGTTTAGCATGGACCCAGAGAGTTGGGTGGAACGTTCTCAAGCCGTTTCTGTCCCTGCCCTCGCTGACGAAAGAGTCTAGAACGGTCTCAGAGAGAGAGGAAAAAAAAAGGACGCGATGCACTGTACTCCACATACACCCGAACAGCTGAGCTTTCTAGCCACAGCCGCCCCAGAAGTCTACGCCTCTGCCAAACATGTGCTCAGGACAGCTGGCACCACCAACTTCCGGCCACAACACCGGGTCCAGCGCTGAGAGAAAGGAATGCGTGTGCCACGAAAAGTAGGTGAAAATAGCAACGAGATCAAAACTGATCGGCGTCTGATGGGAACAAGGTAAAAGGGTCCATGAAAAGGTACATGTGATGTGATGTGATCACGCCGGACGCAATGGATTTGCTGGAACTTTTTGAACTTCCCCCGAACAGTCCTGAGTACACGTTGTTCCAACGATGTATGCCACGTCGCCTCTAGGTATCCGTGTGGGATCACAACGGTACACCATCCCCACCACCCCATCCATGGTCTCACACCACCACCATCGCCGACAGGAATCCACCATCGTGCTATCCCACTCCAGTCCTAGTTCACATTCGCCGAGAAAGAGTCTAGGCGATCCAACAGGTTTCACTGCTGACCCAAAAAATGACGTAATGATGACCCGATGAGACCCACGTGTTGGAGCCCCGCAGACTTTTGGGTGATCGGGACTGCGTTCTCCCACTTTGGTATCCACTTGCACCGAAGAGCGTTTTTTGGTATGTTATATGACTATTTGTTCTTTTATGATTCAAGGCAAATGTATCGTCTACCGTGTCCACTATCCTCTAGATAGCTTGTGGGATAGACGCGCACCACTAGGATAGGGCGCAGGGACTGGATCCTCCCAAACCGCTCGGCTGTCTCGTTCTCACACCAATTGCTGATTTGGTCATCCACTCAATTCAGGAGGAGGGTATACGCTCGCACTTGGAATACCACCATCCCCTCGGACATACTTGACACGATGCCATCATTGCTTTCCAAGATACTTCACAAGAAATCACCCAGCAAAGACTCCGGAGCAGACCACTCAACGGTAGACGATGAAGATCCCTTTGTGTCCGTCGACTCTGGTAGTCCATCCATGACATCTTCTCGCTCACGATCGATCTCCATGGACGAGGCTCCAATAACGCCGCGGTCAGGCTCGGAGTCTGGGACTGTATCGACCTCGCCTCATTCTCCGGTCTTTCATCGAAGACAAGGAGATGGTCCCGAGTTTGTATCGCCATCTCGGAGTGCTCCACCGCCGCCACTACCACCAAAAGACGACGACCGCGGAAATCTGGCTACTGTCACGCCTTTCAGTGGACTGCCCCCTGGTGCGGAACCTGCTCGTCTGACGAGACCAGCGGATGTCTTGATTGTGCCCTCTGCAGGGACCCAAGCTGTCAGTTTGGGAACCTCATCGACATCTGGAATTCGACCGCTGGACTCGATTATCCCTGGTCCGAGTAGCTCCCCGCTTGGCAACCTCGAAGAACGGATGCAACGCGTGGGACTAGACGACAATGTCTACATGGACCAATCCGTCATTCCAAAAGCTGCTACTATCACCACGTTCAGTCCACATCGTCAGCCACTGGAAGAGTCGAGGAGATCCTTGGTCGAATCCATTATCAAGGAGACTCAGGAGCGAAAAGCTGCGAAAGGGGATTTGACGGACGAAGCGAGAGAGATATTCCGACGTGCCGGACTGGAGGAATCTCTTCTGAAAACGAACACGGTGGACATCAAGACTAAATGGCTGGAACCGGTGATTCAGGTGAGTTTGGCAGCATGACGGGCTTGCGAGAATCTCTGACATATTTAGGAACACATTATTCCCCGCGAACGACACGAATACATTACCATCATTGATCGACACATCCATAGACATCATGTATAGTGAGTGATACCCGTGGTCGCTTTCGACTAACTCGTGCAGCCCAAAGATTCAACCCATTGAAGATCCTGACCCAATCATATTGGAAACCAGGCATAGAATATTCTCACCGAAAACAGGTCATTGGCACGAGGTGATCGGTGACGATGCTGCTCGAGCTATTCTCGGCGAAGACGTCTTCACCAACGGACCTAAAGAAGTCCGGATGAAACGCGCGAGGGCGCTACCCGAGATCTACGCTGCAGTGACTGCTGCACCGTCAGAGGACGAGACGAGCATCGTTCCTCGACGTCTCCCGGCTCTGTTCAGCGGTTCAGAGGAAGATTTGACGGAGGCTGGTTTCGGAACTGGAGGTCGAGGTGCTGTCGAACGGGAAGGATTGAAAGGCGAGAATCTGGGTCAATGGAGACGCGTGCAGCCTGGAATCCTCTTTGGACAGAAGGAGAATGACCACGTAGCGATGGTTAATTAGATTCAATCCCATAGCATTGACTGTTGAACGTTTCTTTATTTCTCGCTGCTGCTTTGTATGTATGTAGGCATTTGATTTTGCATTGGCGACCACATTGAGTGTTATGCTTGGGAAGATGATGCTTATTTGGAGGCGTTGAGACATGATCAAGTCGCGGAATGCGGGGCAATCAGCGTACGAGCAGGATACCTTGTTCAGTGGGAGTGCGATGGCGAAGGCCGACTATCCTTGCCAGCAAGTGCTACCGGATGGAGCCTCAGCATGGGTGGTGCCGTAGCCACACATTGACTCGAGACCGGACCGATATTTTAGACCGTTGCGTCAAAAGTTGTCTGTAGGGTGCTGCTATCCCCCCTGAAATGACGTCAGACTATGGAAAGGGACCCTTCCTTGCATCATGATGACCGGGGGCTGAATGCATGCATGATCATCTTGACCATTGTTCAACCTTCCTCCCATTTACATTCCTCAACCATTTACAGTCAACATCACACTATGAACCCACTCGGAGCAGCAGTAGGAGGAGACGACCACGGATCAGGTGTAGGCCTGTCAGGCGGTGTAGGTCTCATGGAAGGCCGCAGTGCGGAATGGTGCTTTTTTTTTTTTGGCTGACACGCTCTCATAGGCAGCCCAGCCAAACACTTCCAACAGTCAAGCGGCAAGATTTGCTCAAGATGAACAAGGAGGCTTCAACGCAGGCGTAGGCGGAGCTCATGCATCCGGAGGTCAGTCTGTCTCGCGTACGGCGTGGCTCTCCTACAGTACCTGGCTGACATTGAACTCTGCTCGCTTAGGCCTTCCTGCTCAAACCCTCGTTCAGGATACTGGATCTACACCTATCGCTGACAAATTCATGTCGGGAGGTACCACTGGAGCAGGATCAGGCAAGCTTGATAATGCTCTCGACAACTTTGGTGGTGGCAACTCTGTTGGAACAGGGGCCGGTGGATTCTCCAGCGGCGGTGGCGCGACTGGCCAAGATGCTGTCAGCGGAGCGTACGAAGGAAGTGGAACGCGTGATGCTCTGACTGGACAAAGTAGGTCTTTTTACCACCTTGACACTGAGCCATAAAGATGTGGGCTGATCTGAGGGTGTTCCTCCAGGCAAAGCATTTGAGACTTCTCCTGGAGTCGGATTCGGAGGTGAAAACCTCGCTTCGACTCTCGGATCGAACGATACAGGCGCCAATGCTGCAGCAGGTACTGGACACGCCTATGGTACTGGAGTCGGCGCCTCAGGTGGAGCAGGAGGACATTACGATCCTGAGACCGCTGGATCCGGTACCGCCACTGGAGCGACTGCAGCAGGCGCCGGTCTTGGAGGGCTCGGGGCTGCCGGGGCTGTTGGCGACAACAACAATTCGGGAGTTGGAAATACTACTGGCAATAGTAATTCGGCTGATAATGCTGACTCGGAATTCCAGCGTGGAGGTGAGCATCTGTCTGACTGCTGTTGAGTAGAATCCACGTACTGCGCTTATGTCTTCGTCTCATCAGCCCCACTCTCCGACCCCAAGGAGCTCGACTCTGGCGGCCCCCACGCACTCGTTTTCGATGAAGCTACTGGAAAGTACATTCACCGACATGAGCGAGAAGGCGGTGCATTGGCGGATGATGCGTCGAGGCCAGAGTAGGCGAGCAAAGGCGATAGGCCCAACGGACGAGAAAGAGGATACGACTGTAGCTTGCTTTGTATATTGATTGATTGATAAAGAAATTGAAGAAATCGAAAGTATGCAAGAAATGACGAGATGTGTATAGCTCGCGAATGTGATTGCAACAGATCTACATTTTATGATCCAACATAGGCCGAGCACTATAAAGGGCTCTATACAACGTTCTACTAGATCCTAGTCTTCCATATCACTTCATGTGCTGATTATAATATCCTATCTGAGGTCCTCCGCCTCCGCCGCCTCCGCCGCCTCCGCCGCCTCCTCCTCCCGCTGCTGGTGCTGCACCACTACCACCACTACCTTTGATTGCCATAATACTGTGGGTGCTGATGCTGCTGCTGATGTTGCGGTGACTGTTGTTGCTGTTGCTGCTGTGGATAGTGTTGACCCTGTTGCCCACCATAATGATACAAGCTTGAATCTTGACTACTCGAATAAGATTCGTATGATGGTCGACCACCTCCTGGTCTAGTTTGACCCGGTGAATCTCTATATGCAGCGGCATACTCTTGTTGATTCATGTACTGCTGATAGGATCCTTGACGCTGAGAAGGATAACCACCATCCATTTGAGATGGCAGTCGACCTGTCGAATAAGGCGAATGACCACTTGTCGAACCCATCCCACCGTGACTGTGTCCTGCCCAGGCATAGCCTCCTCCGCCACCTCCACTTTGACTCGAAGGTGATCGATGAATAGTCGGTTCCATAGGCGGTGATGGATTGGGAGTCGAATACATCGACGTCATTGATGTCATGTGTAACATTGACGGTGTGCTGTGTTGGGATGCGTAAAACTCGCCCGAATTGGATGTCAGCAGAGAGCTCGACCGCTGGAAGGGGGGCGAGGGGTGTCAACGACGGTATCTAGCCATGTGTGTAACTCACCCTTCGATCGCTCATGTTGTCTGATCGCATGTCGGATCGTATCATTGGCGCAGGAGGGAAATAATTAGAGTCATGTGTGTGAATGGGATTCAGCAACGGGTTGTTGAGCGCCAGTGTCGGCGTCAGTTCAAAGCTGGTAATTATGATCAGCCGCTTTCTTTCATCAATCACCACACGGAGCCGGCTTACACATGCTGGCCAACACCATGCGTGATACCCTTCGCTCGTCGAGGATCGTCCGGTCGCTGACAAATATGGATCCTAGGTTCCTGAGATGCAGTCTCGTCCCCGTAACCCCTGACCCTGGGTCAGCTACACGAATGATAATCATGTCTACACTCACTTTGGCCCAGGATTATCCTGAGGAGGATGGAGCATGCCCCCAGTCCCACTGAAGAGATGTCAGCACTGTTTGCAACACAGGATCAACAGCCCGACTCACTCCCAGGTCAAATGGATATCCGTACCCGTGTAGATCTGCAGCAATTTACCCGTATCGATGTGCCTGATTTCCATGAATGGCGCTGATACGAGCAAGACATAAGGCGGATGGAATGCCACGGAATCAGGTCGACCCTCCCATTCGATCGCTTGCATGTCCCGGTTAGGTTCACCGTGCCTTAAGGACCGGTCAGCTGGGACGACAATGTCATGATAAAGCTCACCGATCGACGTAAATTCCAAAGGCTCGCACGAATCAGCTGTGCCCGAATCGATTTCACTTACAGTCATAGCAAAGCAAGAATTCCGTCTCGGTAGACCTGAACATGCCCAGAGGCTTAGCAGCATCGCACCGGCGCTGCAGTTCGGCAAGATGAGGCTTGTCACGGACTTTGGAAGGCTCAAATATAGGGATAGAGCCGCCTTTGAGACTGTGCGAGAGCATCAGCTCAGAAAAAAATTCTTGCTAGATTCTCGACCAACTCGGTGAGATCCATGATTTCGAAACCTTTCGCACACACTACGGCCAATTTCGCCTTGAGCCAATGCACGCCGAGCGCGTCGGTAGGGATGAAAAAGTCCTTGTATAACCTGAACCATTCGGTTCTCTGCCCTAGGAAATTACCGAATGGTCGACGTTGTCGTGCAGCATCTTCCGCGTTACGTCCAGAGATTGGTTCGAGTACCCTAAAGAGGGAGTCCATCTATGGCGCTGCTCAGCTGGGTAAGGAATTCCAGAAAAAGCCATACTCACACCCTTCTTTTTCATGTATAGAACGAGGGTACGGCCGGACAAACGTCCGACACTGAAAAACGAGATATCTTTGCCCGGACTCAGTCGCTGAGGAGCCGCTCGGACCTGGGGTGACGACGCAGTAGGTACCAACGCCTCGAGATGATATGCCAAGAGACTCTGCGGCGGGTCAGCGAGAACCAGGTTTCATGTTGCTAACCCGATCTTGGAGGACCAAGAAAATGCCAAACTCCTCCAAGACGGCAATGTTCGTCACAGACTTGACATGCAAAACCTTTCTCAACGAATGGGGATCGTTCCGAAGTCCAATCCATACTCCCTCTTCACAGCCTATGGCGACTAGCGTCCGACCGTCGACAGTAGCTGCCGCCGTCAGCTTTGGACACTTTCATTTGGCAACTCACCGAATGGACAACTGCAAGTTACTCGTCCCGTGAGCTGAGTGTCGCCTTCAGCCTTCGGCGGAGCATAGCTGTAAGACATGTAGAATGTATCTTGACTCAAAGGTGTCATCTCGAACACCTTGTTGGCGTCATTCACTTCTGTCCGCAAGACCTTGGCATGTTGGAGCTTTTCCTGCCATTCGGCTCTGGAAGCGTACGAGTCTGACCACAGCGTATACTGTCCTCCCAATTGACCTTGTCCGATGAAGGAAATACTGAATGGCCAGACCTTGTTGGACTCGGGATCGGCGCCCGATTCAGGCTCATGGGAAGAGCCGCCGCCGCCCATCAGTCGCGAACGATCACGTCGCGCACGAGGCGCATCGCCAAATTGACCGATACTCAGCAGCTCGAGCGGAATGGGCTGTGAATCAGCCCGGGTCAGTCAACAATGCTCACCCGACGATTAATGATATATCGCTCCTGTCTCTCCTCCCGTCTAGACGATCGATGCTTTTCAGGCTTGACGAGCACAACTGGAGGGTCAGCTGGGATAGCCTATGGGAACACCCACGATAATTGTCGAAAAGAAGAACGGTCAGCTCTGCCCAACTGCTCATTGGTCCTTCAGGTTGTCGGAAGACTCTTCCTCGGTGGATCAATTCTCGCATAGGGTTGAGGAGGTCGAGATCTCGGACCTGCTCGGTGTCAGCAGAGCTGAGGCAATCCGTCTGCCGACTCACCACTCGAACGCCAAATCTAGACCCATCGAGCGAGTGCTGATATGTCCACAACTCGACTTTCGACTCGTTGACTGCCACACCTTTCTGCGTCGCTCTACCTAGATCTTTGATCAGATCAATAACCTGTGGTATGGTTTCAATGTCCGGATGATCCTCCGGTAAACCGGATTCTCTCAGAGACTTGAGGATATCAGCGAGTAGGAGATTGTATCGCAGCAATCGGGGGATGGGGCGATTGATAAAGTGATAAATGTCTTGACGATGAGATTGCGGATCTTTGAGGCATTCCTTGAAAAGGTCAGCGTATATTTCTTCTAGCGACCTACCTTGAGGAACGCGGCAAACTTCGTGTTCTTCATTTCCTCTTCCTGGACTTTGGCTTTGGCAATAGGATAATGCGTCACATACTCCATATACGCATCTTGCCAGTTCAAAGCAGCGTCCAAGAGCAGATCGCCAATTGCCCCAACCTGAGGATGCTGTTCCAACTGTCTCGCTTGAAGATTCTCCAATAGGTTTTGGTGCACTTCCAGCAGTGATCGGTAATTGTGGAACGCATCATCCAGGAAAATTTCGACCCTTGATCGTTCAACTATAGGACCATTCTCTGCCATCCTTAATTTGTCCACGAAAAGCGTATCCATTGTTTCTAGATCCGCCACGTATTCCATCTCTCCTTGAATGAGCTCCCAGATTTGCCTATGGATCAGCAAAATGACAGACGCGGCGGGACTCACATTTGCCTCTTTTGTTCCTTCGGAGGGATATCCTTGCGGACGTCTTCGGGTACCAGATCATGCCATTGCTTCTTACCCGCTGGACCCCTTCCTTGACTAGCATGGAACAGCTTGAGCTGAGATATTGCCGAGAGAGTCTGGATACTTGAGACAGCTTCGATGAGAAAGTCATGGTCCGGTTCAGTGGGATCTGTGATGGCCAGTATGGACTCGAGGACAGCAGGGTATGTGCGTTGAAGCTGATCGGACGGTCGTGTGATGAGGTACTTGATGTGCCGACGGCCATCATTCTCCCTGACGATCCGCTGGAATGTCAGCAACAAATAGTCAGTCTCGCACTTACATCACAGAAGAATCTGAAATCGGCGTTATCTTCCATCTCTTGTCGAAGGACATTTTCAGCATGCGGAAGATTACCGGTGTATTCAGGGTAGATGCTCCTAAAGTCGGCTGCCGCCTGTAAGAAGATGTCCCCGACGAACGGTATGAGACCGGGCTGAGCACTCTCTCTTTCTCGAATCGTAAAGTGATCCAGCAGTCTTCCCGAAGCTTCGCGAATCTCTGCTTCGTTGGAGAACACCTCGTGAATGAACTTTTCCAGTCGATAATGTGGAATGATGGGAGGTTGAGCGTTCCTCAGGGCGTTGATGTAAAGATCTTCCATGGCTGTCAAGTCGGCCGAATATTGGACCTCCTGCTGTATCGCTTGTCGGATGATGGCTTGACGATGATACTGCTCATCTGTCAACTCTTGGAGTATACGTCCATCAACCTGCCCCGTCCAATCGCTAGGTTCTTCACCATGTATAGTCGAAGCTTCGGGCGTAGGAGACGGGTCCGGCATGTAAATGAAGCTGCTTGGCATCTGCCTGAAAGGACACCTAGAGGCGTAACACCTCGAGTCTTGAGGACAGCTGGGAGAATAACACCTCGTAGCCATGGTCATAAGGCCCGAAGGTAGCTCTGAATTGATCCCATCGCCGGCTCCCATGCCTTCCATTTCGCCCATAAATCGGAAGACATCTTCTGGTGAGTCCCGTAGAGGCTTGATATCCCAGTCGACTTCTACAAACCACAGCTGATTCTGAAGAGATTGAGCCATGAGAAGAGCGAATCGACGATCGTTTGGGGACTCTCGAGTGTAAGAAGGCAAAAAGCTTTGTATGGTTGTCTACCATGTCAGCGGATCCCAATTTCATTGCGACATACCACGATATCGCGTCCCGTGAAACTATCTTGCCAACTGATACCCGCTTTCGTCTGCCGACGCCGTTCGACTCTGTCCCTGAGCTGCAAAGCGGCTTCACTGAGGAAGGCGGGTTGAAAGAAGCGAGACTCATGCACCTCAGCCTCCTCTTCCTCGTCAGGACCGTAGTCATCCTCTTCCCCGTCATATAGACTCGGATCGAGACCAGAGACATCATCATAGTCATCGTCTCCACGAGATTGGTGAATCTGTAATTTCCGCTGAACCCATGACGATGGCTCTTGCCTCTGCTCAGCCCAAGACGAAGACAATGCGGCGGATCGGAAGGACGAGACGATGGATGGATCGCGAGACGAGTGAGAATCATGCCGTTGTAGCTGGGCTGGTCTGGACCCAGAAGCGAAGGTTTGAGAGGGCACAGAGTACGCTCCAGGAGAGCTTGACCGAGTGCTCTCGTTGTCTACAGGTGGAGTAGCCATCACCTGAGGAACAGGAAAGCCCATGTTCTCCTCGTGCTGCAGCCTCTCGCTGAGAGTCATGTGCGGGGCCATCCTAGGCGTAGAGGGCGATACGTCCCCAGCACCGATCGTTGATGTGCTGGTCTTCCGTTGCCTGCCTACTGGGTCAATCACGGGAGGCCGAGACAGATCATCATTGTCATTCCAGTTATTCGGTGTAGGTGTCCGTCTTCCATCCGAAAGGCTTGATCCTGGTGGTCCTGTCGAAGGGGGTCTGAGAGTTATATTTGTCCCGGTTCCGTCAATTTCATCGAGCTTCAGAACGGAATCATGCCACGAAGATATGGGTGTATGACTGGTGTGTGTGCTACCATTGGACAAAGACATGCCTGAAATGGAGGGAGTAAGCGAAGTTTGTCGAGATGATCCGGAGTAGTCATCGTAGTGAGCTCCATTGTGTGAGGTAGAGGAGGAATGTGGAGAGTCGTAGGTCGGTGTATGCGAGCGTATAGCTGTCACTCGATCTGTTGCTGCATGACTGACACTGATCTTTGGAGGAGGCGTGGGAGGTCGATCGTACAAGGCGGCTGCCGGTGGAGGAGTAGCTGGTGGACGAGCAGGCAGCCCTCGAGGAAGCAGTTGTGGAGATCCACTTGGGTCAATCCTACCAGTCTGAGCATAGATAGATGGCACCGCAGCAGGCAAAGGCCGCGGAGGGACAGGCAGCGGTCGTCTTCCGGTACTTCCAGATCCTGGAGTGGGTAAGGCTCTATGGCTTGAACTCGAAGGCATATTTTGATGGTCTCGTGATTGTATCCCTGACGCCACACCAAACTCCGACATGGAGCTGGAGCTAGGTATCGGAGCTGGACCCGTCGGAGTCTTCTCGTCCACTGCAGGTGCATAGGATGGATTCGGGACATACCCTGGAGGTGGAGACATGGTGTCTTGGGAGGAAGGATGAGCCGCTCCAGGCGGTAGTGGAGATGATTGTCGACTTCGGGGGACGGGTGAACTGGTGGAGAGAACCTCCCATGGAGGCTGTGAGCCTGACATGGTCTCGGGAAAGGGTGCACCTGGGACGATACCAGTTCGCTTGACTCAGTCCAAGTATCGAGTCCGGTCCACCGCCTGACTGTGTGATTCGGGGATCTGATGTCAAAGGCCGTATTAATGTTGACAATTGCCGAGATGGGTTCGAGGTGGTGGCCGATCGCAGCGTTCTTGCTGAAGCAGATCCAGTTCGCTTCTGCCGTGGCCGATGAGACAGAATGTCCACCTCGATGCTTGCTGCACGGTTTTCCAGGTGTTCACTGCGCAATGTCCAGGTTCAAATCACATACCAAGGTGTCTATCTATCTCATTGCCAAGTTGCTGAAAGCGTTCCAATTAACGTCACAGCTGCGAGACAGGTAGGTCACGTGATTATTCGTGCCGAAGATCAGTGATCGTCCTGACCTCTACTCAGGAAGACAATCCACTTGGAATTTTCTCCACTTGATTACTTCACGTGGAGAGAATTGTGTGGGAGACCCTCATACAACATCCATGTAGTCCTCCGTCACGGTCCATGGCTACTGACATTCGCTCATCAGCGCCCACCAAGCAACAGAGCCGGAGCGGCCATCTCCGCGATTCTACCGATCTCCGTTATCAGTGCCAGCCGTGTCTGGTTGTTTGCCACGTCACATATCCGAAAATCAGTCCGAGTCGCGATAACAATTCTAAAAAAAAAGTTGGGACAGAGATTCAGCTTCTCGGATTGGACCATACATACCTCGAACATTAACTCGACTCTTCGAGCTGCCCATACAGCTGAGAACAGCAGCAGCAGACTCCGGGGCTGTGGAAGTACCTAGACCGTCCGTGAGAGCTGAGTCGGAGCATCTGTATCTGGCCCTCCACGAACACCTCTCACCATGCCCTCGTTCCGCCCTATCAAGCCGACCTCATTCGGCCCCGCTCGAAATTTACAGACTCGAGCTCAGCTCGCTCGTCCCCTTGCTCGCGCTCAAGCCAGAAGCTATGCGGTCGCTGCACCTGCCGTAGGATCGTACGGGCCGACAGACGAGCCGACACTCAATTCACCCTCAGAGCTCGCGAGGAAGATCTCGGCTAAAGTATTGCCAAAATTGACGAAACCCGATGTCAAGAAAGTCTTGGTAGTCGGGAGTGGGGGACTGAGTATTGGTCAAGCTGGAGAATTCGATTATTCTGGTGGGTCTCGCTTTGTTTTCCTTGATCTGACCCGTGTCTAGGATCTCAAGCAATTAAGGCCCTTCGAGAATCCAATATCGACACTATCCTCATCAACCCCAACATTGCGACTATCCAAACTTCTCACCACCTCGCTTCCCAGATCTACTTCTTGCCTGTCACGGCTGACTATGTCGCCTATGTTCTTGAAAAGGAGCGACCAGATGGCATCCTGCTCACTTTCGGAGGTCAGAGTGCCTTGAACTGCGGTATCGCATTGGAGAAGATGGGAGTCTTGGAAAGACTCGGTGTGCAGGTCTTGGGAACGCCAATCCGAACGCTCGAAGTATCAGAAGACCGTGACTTGTTCGTCCAGGCTTTGAATGGTAAGCTGTTTCACGTTCAGATCCGTTCAGATCTCTCCGCTAATTCTTTCCAGAAATCGACATCCCAGCTGCTCAGTCCACCGCCGTTTCGTCTATTCAAGCTGCGCTTGATGCCGCTGCCGAAATCGGATACCCTATCATTCTCCGTTCAGCCTTCTCTCTGGGTGGTCTTGGATCAGGTTTCGCCCACGACGAAGAAGAGTTGAGGAATTTGGCCGCCAAATCATTGTCACTGTCCCCTCAGGTCCTGATTGAGAAGAGTTTGAAGGGTTGGAAAGAGGTCGAATACGAGGTCGTCCGAGATGCCGCTGATGTGAGGTCTCTTGTTGCGCAATCAGAGCTGACATGATAGAACACCATTATTTGCTGCAACATGGAAAACTTTGATCCCCTTGGAACGCACACAGGAGATTCCATCGTCGTTGCCCCGTCTCAGACCTTGACCGACGATGAATACCACATGCTCCGATCTGCTGCTATCAAGATTGTCCGTCATGTCGGTGTCGTTGGAGAATGCAATGTGAGTTGTAGTCATAAGCTGTGGCTCCATTTCCTGACGAGACCAGGTGCAATACGCTCTGGACCCGTACAGCCGAGATTATCGTGTGATCGAAATGAACGCCCGTCTCTCCCGATCAAGGTGAGCAATCATGGGCTCGTCTCTTGCTGACCCCCAGTGCCCTCGCCTCCAAAGCTACGGGCTACCCCCTCGCTTACACTGCTGCCAAAATCGCCCTCGGACACACTCTGCCGGAACTCCCAAACGCCGTTACCAAATCCACCACCGCCTGCTTTGAACCTTCGTTGGACTATATCGTCACGAAGATTCCAAAGTGGGACTTGGCCAAGTTCCAGCACGTCGAGCGAAATGTCGGATCCGCCATGAAGTCAGTCGGAGAAGTCATGGCTATTGGACGAACCTTTGAAGAATCGCTCCAGAAGGCTATTCGACAGGTTGACCCCAATTTCACAGGATTTGACGCCTACTGGAAACCCGAAGACATGCACTCTGCCTTGACCAACAACAACGATCGACGACTGTTTGCCATTGCGCATGCCATGCTCAACTTGAACTACACTGTCGAACAGCTTCACGACCTGACCAAGATTGATCGCTGGTACCTGTACAAGCTTGAGAACATTGTCAACATGTACAAGCGTATTCAGACCAAGCCATTCGACCAATGGGATGAGGCTCTTGTCAGGGATGCGAAACGGACCGGGTTTTCAGATCTACACATGGCTCAGCTGTCCGGCCGAAAGGAGGACGAAGTAAGATCTGTCCGAAAATCCTTCGGCGTCACACCTTTCGTCAAGCGAATTGACACACTTGCCGCTGAATTCCCCGCGTACACCAACTATCTTTACACCACTTACAACGCTACAACTCACGACATTACGTTTGACGACAACGGCACCATGGTCCTTGGATCCGGTGTCTACCGTATTGGCTCGTCTGTCGAATTCGATTGGTGTGCCGTCACCTGCTCTCGCGCGATCCGAGCTCTCGGACACAAGACTATCATGATCAACTACAACCCCGAGACTGTGTCGACCGACTTTGACGAGGCTGACCGACTGTACTTTGAAGAGCTTGGTTGGGAACGGGTCATGGACATTTACGAAATGGAAGGTGCATCCGGCGTTGTCGTCTCCGTCGGCGGTCAATTGCCTCAGAACATTTCTTTGCGACTCAAGAAATCCGGTGTCAATGTCCTTGGAACAGACCCTGAACAGATCGACAATGCTGAAGACAGGCATAAATTCTCTTCCATCCTCGACTCTGTCGGTGTCGATCAGCCCGCTTGGACCGAAGCGACTTCTCTTGAAGCTGCCAAGGAATTTGCCAACCAGGTCGGCTACCCTGTCCTCATTCGACCATCGTACGTTTTGTCAGGTGCCGCCATGAACGTGGTGTATGACGAATCTCAATTGCAACACAACTTGTCCGCCGCTGCCAACGTCTCTCCTCTTCACCCGGTCGTCATCTCTCAATTCATCGATAATGCTCAAGAAATCGATGTTGACGCTGTGGCGCACAAAGGCAAGCTTCTGGTGCACGCCGTCTCTGAGCATGTTGAAAATGCTGGTGTCCACTCTGGTGATGCTACGCTCATCCTCCCACCACGATCCCTTCCCGACCAGGACATGGACAGGCTCAAAGGGATCGCTGAAAAGGTCGGCAAAGCTTTCAACATTTCCGGTCCATTCAACATGCAAATCATCCGAAAGCCACCTGTTGGTGATGAGCCTGCCGAGCTCAAGGTCATTGAATGCAACTTGCGAGCTTCTCGAAGTTTCCCATTCGTCTCTAAGGTTCTCGGAACAAACTTTATCGACGTTGCCTCAGCCGCCATCATGGGCGTGGACGTTCCGGAGCCGGTCGACCTCATGAAGGAGAAGCGAGATTACGTGGCTATCAAGGTTCCTCAATTCTCATGGACCCGATTGCCTGGTGCAGACCCATTCCTCGGTGTAGAGATGGCGTCTACTGGAGAAGTCGCCTCGTTTGGAAAGGACGTGCACGAAGCTTACTGGGCCGCTTTGCTTTCGGTTAATGGAATGAAGTTGCCTCGTCCGAACTCCGGATTCCTCATTGGTGGAGACATCAGCCGACCTGAAATGATCCCTGTGGCCACCAACCTTATCAACCTCGGATTCAAGCTCTACACGCATTGTGAGTGTCACCCATGATGGTCTCAGTCATGCTGACTATGTCTTAGCTGCAGAAGTCGAAGCACACATCAACAGCCAGCCATACCTCACGGTCAAACGCATTCACGTGCCCGTCAAGGACAAGCGAAAGTTGCGTGAAGTCTTGGAGGAGAATGAAATCACCTCGGTCATCAACATTTCTCGATCTCGCGCACCGACCGTCAACGATGCCGACTATGCGTCTCGACGTGCCGCTGTCGACTTTGGAATTCCGTTGATAAACAATGCCAAACTGGCCGTCTTGTTCACTGAAACGCTGCAGAAAAAGTTCCACCAGAGCCCATTACCATACGTTGAGGGCACCAACCCGCCGGAAGTCAAATCTTGGCGAGAGTTTGTGCCTCACGCTTAGGCAGGGCCATATAGCCATTCGACATATAGAGACAAAATATCCATTCACCATTTGTACATAGACAGAGAGAAAGAGAGAGAGAGAAAGTCCTCCGCGGAGCAAGATCTTCCCAGACACGCATGCTATTATAGGAGCCTGAGAGAGACGACCCTTCCTATAATGTATGCCACCCTGCCACACACTCAGCCCTATACCGCCACATATGAGAAAACGCCGAGCAGGCAATTGGGAAAATACCCGCCCAAAACTGAATGGGCTATTTTTTGCTTCCGTTCTGCAGTCGAAATTCAAAAAAGGTCCTTGAGGCAGAGAGGGGAAAGTCTCTAGGCAGCAGCCACGAGAGGAAGCAACGACGGACCAGATTCAGACTCATCTGTATTCATCTTGATTCATCTCCCAACTCTTACCCTTTCAAAGAAGAAAGAGGGAGAGGCTTCTGTGGTGAACCATCATCATCTGAAAGCAGCTGAATCGTGAGTTGACAAAGGCTGCCTATATGCGCAACGGTACGAGATGCGTTGCTGACATTCTGATTGTCTCTTCTCTTCCCCTTTCCGTCCCCTGTCCACCACGATCTACGCGTACCATCCACCCGACCATTACAGCTTTGACTGCGCGGCAGTAGAGGAGCGACCGCATCATCATGTCGGTTGTCTCGAAAAACCCTTTTGACCTCTTGGACGGTGGGTGGATTTTCCTGATTGTGGGCGAATCAGCTAATATACGCTTTGCTTCAGACGACGGTGAATCCCCTTCTCCCGCTGTCAAGTCTACCACCAAGGCGCCCGCTACCGCGACCAAGACTACTCCCGCCGCCCCTGCCGCTCAAACTCAGCGAAACGTTCCTGGTTCCGCTCCTCGAGGTGGACAACGAGGCGGACGATACCCTTCCCGAGGTGGACCACGAAACGTTTACAGAGAGGACAATGGACCTCGAAACACTGGTCCTGACCCTGCTACTGGAACCACTGAAGGTCTAGAAGGTCCCGGCGGATTCGACGGAGAGCGTGTGGGTGAGTACGAGTCGTTTGAGACGCTCTTGCCCCCGTTGCACTTACTGATGAGCTACTCCTTTCAGCTCCCCCCAAGAAGGCCCACCACGGTCCTGACAGACACACCAAGGGACCTCGGGAATTCCGAGAGAACCGACGAGAGGGAGACAGATCCGGACGAGGCGGCCGAGGTGGAAACCGAGGAGCTAGGACTCCTGCTTCTGGAGGAGAAAGGAGACAATTCGAGAGGAGGTCTGGTGGATTGCCAGACAGCCAAAAGAAGGTCGACCAAGGCTGGGGCGGTAACGATGGACCCAAGGAGCTTGACGGTGGGTAGCAGGTTCTAATATCGCCATGTGTTTTGCTGACGCCTCGGGCAGCCGAAGAGGAAGGCGAGAAGGACGCTCAAGCCGAAGAGACCGCTCCTCAGACCCCTGCTGCAGAAGACGGTGGCTGGGGCGCTGGAGCCGATGGCGAGGCCAGAACTGGCGCCGATGCCGAGGAGGAGACTCCTGCTGAGCCGGAGGAGGTTCAAAAGAGCTACGACCAATTCTTGGCCGAGCGAGCCGAGCAAGCTTTGAGCAGCGGATTCGGCAAGAAGGAAAGCCGACAAGTCACTGGTGACAACCTTGAAGGCAAAGCCTTTGTCCGAGAGGGCATTGACGACTTCTTCTCCGGTGGCAAGGTGAGCCGAGCATATCCGACCCTAAGTAGCTTTGCTGATTCCCTAATTAGCAGGACAAAGCTGGAAGCAAGACCCGTGCTCCCAAGAAGGAAAAAGTTTACATCGAAGTCGATGGACAATTCGCTGCTCCTCCTCGATCTGGACGAGGTGGTGAGCGAGGAGGCCGAGGAGGTGCCGGACGAGGAGGAGATCGTGGATCTGGTCGAGGACGAGGTGCTCCCCGTGGTGCTCCTCGAGGTGGCCGAGGAGGATTCGGTGGACCCAGAGCCACTCAGCTCGACGGAAATGACGAGCGAGCTTTCCCCGCTCTCGGAGCGTAGACATCTCGTACCTGCTTCCGAGAAGCCAGTCAGAGGAGATTTTACTCTGCTATCAGAAAAGTTTGGTGCATCTGGAAATCATGGCACAAAGCACACATTATTATTTAGCACCAGAGTACACGTTCATCTCTTTCTTGTCCACTCTGTTTCCTCTCTCACATTTGACAGACATCTTACCAGCCCGCTATTGGTATCATCTTTTGCGGATCTCTGTCGCAGATGACCATACGCTCAGTAAACAAGTTGACCTGGGTGGGCCGGACGCCTACGATCAGTCTCGATAATATAATCGATCCCCCCGTTTAGGCAATTGAGGTCATCGCCTGCGAATGCTAGGATTCGCCTCCCGTTGTGCGATTGACAATCTTTGTGCAGAGCAAGACTTTGGACCATATCGTACGAAGAGGGTTCAATCACATTGGCGGCTATCGACGATCTAGAGCCTCTTAGCAATCATCAGGATCCCGCTCGAAGCGTCTCCAAGCCGTGAAGCCGACTGGAACCCCGCAGCCGGTGCAATTCCTGGAGGCGTGGAGCATCACCTTGTCCCGCACTTGCACAAGGTCACTCAGCTCACATCTGACATTCACACTTGCCTCACTCCGAAAGTAAATCTCCATCATGTCGAACGAGGATGGACCCGTCAAGGCCACTCAGGTCAAACTTGTGCTACTAGGTGAGTCTTCGATGATCGCGAGCGGGTGCTGTGCAGTGTGTCAATTTGGGATGGTCACGGACTCTCTTCGGAATACTGAGGGCCGCCGAGAGTCACACATCTGTGGATGCTTGCTGAGTTGAATGGGTGTATGAGCTGACTGATTTTCCTCTCTGCGTATCCGTGTATCTCTGTTTCGCCGCCCATTCCGCCTTTCGATCTCACCATCGCTTTTATTCTCTTGCCTCTCGTTTCATCGCCTTTCCCGTGATGATCACCTATCAGGCGAAGCGGCAGTTGGAAAATCATCTTTGGTGATGAGATTCTGCTCAAATGACTTCAACGAAAACACCTCGCCCACTATCGGAGCCGCGTTCCTGACTCAAAGTGAGTCTCACTTTGGTCTCCTGACATAGGCGCGGACTGACGATCCCTCAAGAATGTCGGCTGGAGAACAGGATTGTGAAGTTTGAGATATGGTGAGCTTTTTCGACCTGTTACACTGTCGTCAGCTCACATGTCGCTCAGGGACACCGCTGGACAAGGTGCGCACGTTGGAGGATGAATGTACTATGCTCATCGGCTGAACTCCTCTACGCTCATCTAGAACGAGTGAGTTGTAGCTCGCTTGATGCAGAAGATCATCAAGCTGACACCGCGCAGTTCCATTCCCTCGCACCTATGTATTACCGAAACGCAGCTGCCGCTGTGGTCGTCTATGACATAACCAAAGCTGTCAGTTGCCTCGTCTATGATAACCCAAGGTGATCAACTGACACGACCCAGTCGTCTCTTGAAAAAGCCAAAGCATGGGTCAAGGAGTTACAAAGACAGGCAAATCCGAATATCGTCATTGCCTTAGTAGGCAACAAGGTCAGCTCTCCATTCTCCCACAAGACGCTGACTTGCTCTCAGTTGGATCTCGTTTCAGATGAATCTGGAGCTTCAGTGGCTCCAAAGAGCAAGCCGGCAGCTGAGGAGCCGGCGAATGAGGCAGAGGAGTCAGAGACAGATGCTGAGGACGATGCGACACCCCCACCGCCGGCAACTACCGCGGCTGCAGGTGACGATTCGAGTGACAGTCTAAGACAGGTGTCGAAAGAGGAAGCAGACGAATACGCCAAGGAGGCCAAATTATTATTCTTCGAGGCGTCAGCCAAGGTCAGTTACTCAAAATGTCCAAGTCCCAGTTGTCACGCTGACACTTTGCCAGACCGGAGCGAACGTATCTGAGCTCTTCACTGAGATCGCCAAGAACATTCCCGATGAGACGCCTACAAAGCCTGCTGCTGCTCAAGGTCAGGCTGGCCGTAGGAATGGGGCTAGGCAAGGTGCGGACAGTGGAGTCGATCTTGGCGAGAGACAACAGGGTAAAAAGGGTGGATGCTGTTAGATTCGAGAGGCGACTTGGGGTGGAGGATGGACAGATATGTGGCGATATGCTTATTAGTTTCCCTTGTTGGCCTTTTCTTCCCACTGCGGCTCGAGGCGCAGATCTTGTACTGTTTTCGATCTGGATGCGACGGGCTCTTCTCACTAGAGGCTACATGATTATGATTGACTCAATCTATTATCAAGGGCTGCCACGCTGACCCATCCCCTCTTACTTCGGTTTCGTCCCCGACAGACATGGCGTCGTAAACTTCCATATCCACCGCTTCAGCCTCTTCCCGACTCGACACCTTATCCCTTTCACCTTCATTGCTCTCTTCTTCCTCATCGGCATACATTTCATACACTGCGTCCGCTTCGGGCCCTTCAACAACCATCTCCAAAATATCTTGACTGATATCTGCGGGGTAAAGTAAGAACACCACTCGACAAAGGGGACCATCCAAAAGAGGCTTACATTGAACACTCGGCAGGTCAAATCCTTTGACCTGCTCATAGTCAAACATTGGCGTGGCGTACGATAAGGCGCCAAAGACCGAGATGAATTGATGTCCGATGGCCTGAAATTCTCTCATCTGACTGACACTCCGTAATCTCTCGACGAGATTGATCCCTTGTGGAGACTTTTCAGGATCAGGTAGCGGGTCCATCTGATCCGAGGTGTAATCGCCACTCGCTTGCTTCTGCGACGCGCTAATCAGGGTCGAGCTCTTCGCTGATGGGCCAGACAATGCACGAGGATACTGGACGGGAATGACGAGGTGATGTAGAAGATAGAGGGTGGGTAAGATGATGTCGAGGGTCCTGTGCTTGGTCAGCGAGTAACATCCGATCAACCCACCTCTGGACATCAACTTCCTCCGCCCACACGCCCCATAATTTGGGCGTCTCTCTAGTCAGGAGCATGATGAGCGCGGGGACTACCAATGTCCGCTCGGCGATCAAAATAATGGCATCTTGATCCGCGATTGACATCATGGACAGGGCTCGAATGAGAGACGTGTACATATCGTACAGCTGTAGGTCGTCAGGTGAATGTCTCACGAGTTACCTTACTTGTCGTTCGGAAGCATCTGGTAGCGGATCGATCAGGAGTCTACTACATCGATCCAGGACAGGAGAGAACCCGGAAAATCGTCTCGAGTCCTCGATTAAAGCTCTGAAATTCTCAGAGACTGCCGGAGGAGATCAGCATTCATCGTTCCGTTAGACTTACAAGTTGACGCGGTGAGAATGACATGGATTCCATACATGATACGGTCCACAGGCTGTTCTTTGCTGGTCAGATACATGGAGATATTGACGAGCTCGTCATTGTTCCTGTGGAAGCGAGTTAGTGGCGGCCGCAAGGGCAAACCAGCTCAGCATACCAAGGCGAGCCAGACTTAGGACTAGCGCAAATGCCTTGGGTTAAACATCCAATCTCCGTTTGAAGAACGCTCTGCCAATGAGTGGTCTTCCTTTTTTCTTCGGCAACTTCGTCTTCTGCGGATGAGTTCATCGACACACGCAATTCCACGGAGCCTAAATCATCGCACAGCCCACAAAGAGTCTCAATGATCGACGGCTGATGGCTCGTTAATATTCCGCCAAATTCGTCGAACAAAGCAGTCGCTCGGCCCAGCATGGAGAGAATTGCGCACAACGCGTTTACCTACGTAAAATGGTCAGCTGTCCGCCCATGATGACGCAGAGTGCTACTCACCGCCTCATGAGTCGCAACACGTGCGCCGATCGCTTTCCGAAAGACGTTTGCGAGGCCTGTCCCGAAGACGGCGAAGATTCCAAGAAGGTGTTCGTAATCTAGATCCGAGTCGCCACAAGCGGCCAGTAGCGTCGCGCAGAGAGCAGGAACACTGTGCTGAGGATCGACATCTTGTTTCGGTTCATAACTCAGTAAACGGTACAAATCGGGCCGCAACAGCCCTTCCGGATCTGAAGATCTGCGGACGCAGGGCAAGGACGTGTGATGGAATAGGAAGTACAGAAACTGGATTTCATGTCAGTAAAAGATTCTCGGTCTCTCTGCAGAGCTCACCTCGCCACGCTTGTCGGGCAGGTCCGTCCAGGTCGGCTCGTCCGGCGCGTCATCTTCGGGCGAGACATCAATGTCCATTACTCCTTCGAGGTCGAAGCCATTCTCGTGTATCTCAAGACCATTGGCATCTTCCCCAGTCTCGCCTCGCCGTGTCGGAGAATGAGTCAGCTGCCGAGGAGTAGACTGACTGGCGCGTTTTTGGGGCGAGACTGGAGCTGGAGTGACCGATTCCATCCTGGGCCGTTTGATCCTAGCCATGGTCGGAGTTGCGAACCCATCCTTGAAGGCGTCAAAGCGTGGCGGTGGAGGTGGAGGAGCACGGCCTACTCGAGGGTATCAGGAAATCTCTCAGCAACCTGCAAGCTTACCTTTACCCTTGATAGACTTCAAAAATGCTGCCTCATCAGATTTGCCCTGCGGCGAGCCGTTACGAATAGGTGTAGGCGCTGGTCTTTGGCTCGAAGCCCGAGCCTTGATGGCTGAACTCAACGCAGCGTGATTCTGCAGTGAGATCGAGTCCACGTGAGGCGACTCACTGCAAATACTGCCTGTGTCTTGACATTCTCCACCTGCCTTGCAACTTCTCTCTCGCGTTCGCGAAATTTGCTCTCCATATCGGCAATCTTGGCCTTGAGTCTGTCTGCTTCTGCGATTGCTCGAAGTTGCTCCTGGAAATACACATCAGACCATGTATGGGATACCCACCGCACTGCTTACCTCCTTTTGAGCCCGACGCATGGTCTGCGCTTCGCCTTGCGCCTTCCACAGCTGGTTCTTCAACTCGTCCATCTTGGCGGCCACGTCCTCCGAGTCCACTTCCATGCCTTCCTGAGCGGCTTGCTTCTGCCTTGCCGGCTCTGCGCGTTGTCTCCTTTCCAGTTGTTTTTTCAGATCAGCGATTTCTTGCTCCAGAGCCTGAGCGCGTCGTTTCTCCTCTTCCAGCTGTATTGCCGTTTTCCGAGCCAAAGATCCTTGCGAAGAAGTCTGAGAGCCTGAACCTTCGGATGGTATAGGCGATAGTCGACTTCCACCTCCGCTCGGGAACGTCTGAGCTGTTGTGGAGGGGTGATGCCCAGCAGATACGGATCGAGCGAAATTCCTGGCTTGACCGGGAAACTGCCTGCCGGGCGCCAGCTTCCCCGGGTCTATGGAGGTAGATCTGGCGTGAGAAGGACCGGCTACATTCGATTCCTGCTTGATTGACTGACTAGCCTGCTGGATAGCAGCCCGTCTGGCAGCCGCAGCTTCGCTTCGACCAGATTGACTTGCAGGTGGAGCAACGCCAAAGTTCCGAGTCGTGTGACTGTCCACGATCTCATCCTCCCCCAGCTCGTAGCCATTCTCCCCAACCACTATATCTGGACGATAGCTCTCCTCCTCTTGGATCACATTCGATGTGGTGTACCCACCAGGCTGATTGTTTGACCAGTATGCCTGCCTCTTGTTCACGTTCTCCACATGTCTCTCGACATTCCCCTCTATGGACCGTTTCCCTCCATACTCCCATCCGAAGCCAGAATTACCAGCTCTGGGCTCAGTATTGATCGGCTGAGGCGCTTTGCGACCGGAAAAAGTGACATTGGAGGAAAGTATCGAGGGTTTTGGCTTTGTCACTGTGTGATGATACGGCTGGGTCACTCGAGATCTAGGTGCGGCTTGAGACGCTTGAAGAGCTGACGCTTCGAGCTGGTCCAGCGCTGCCGTATCGGCGAAGAGGTCGTCATCAAAATCATATGGATCGGAAGAGGTCGGCATTGTGTTCGATAAAGGTACTATGGTCTTCCATGGCTCCCGATTGAGTCCATGTATCGAGTCGATGAGTGATAGATAGAGAGACTTTGATAATATCAGGACCTTTGAGCTCGCGACTTTTGTTCACGGAGTACGCGGGGAACTCCGTAGAAATTACGGCATTAAACCCAAAGCACTTCGGCCGAATGACGAAACGCTCGAAGATCTCGCAGTACGTAGGTCTCAGTATCGTAATCACTACGAGGGAACCCATTTCACTCGTTCTTACTAGGGTAGAACTACGGCGACTTGGTCGGCAAAGCCCTTTGGAGCATCAAGATGCTTCGCAAGCTGTCCTCGCAACTCAGCGGCGCTGTCTCCTCCTTATCGGCGTCTGGTGACAAACTCCCTCCTCAACATGATTCGGCAGGCAGAGCTGAATCCTATGCCAAGTTTGCAGAGGTCATGAATGAAGCGCACATACCAGCGGACTCATCGGACTGTGCGGCCTGCGATCATCCTTGTACTGTCGGTCCTGAGGATGGCACGTCGGCCGGGACCATCGCGGAGAGCGGTCAGATCTGGGATGGTAAATCTTATCGTGATTATGTGATGGACAAGTATGGAGATCTTGGGGAGTTGCCGAAAGGCTTCGATACGGACTGGGACTCGGAGCTGGCGGGAAGTGGTCAACCTGCGAGGGGTCGTGTTGTAGTCATCTCTACTGGAAAGAGCAATTGGGAGAGAGATCATACAGTGGGGTCTTTTTCTTTTTTTTTTGACTCCGTGGCAACGCTGAAATGTGTTCAGGATGAGAAGGACAGCTTTGCATACCAACTAGACCAATACCTTCAGACTCTACCTGCTAACAAGGCTGGTAAAGGACCCAAGAGGACAGTGGACTTCGATACGCGGCCTCCTCTCGACCAATTTATCGCTCCTGTTGCGCCAATCGCTGAAGCGCAACTTGCACCACCTTCCCTATACTCTTCCTCATTGATATCACAAGCGGATGATCCCGAAGACCAGAGTGTGCTGGTTTTTCCCGACTGGAAAGTCGTTCACGAAGTGGAAAATACTCGAGAGGGCGCTGAAAGGCTTTATCAAGACGCCTTGCGAGGCGGTCTCGGGAAAGCCGGCGAGGCTTCGCAGAGCGAGAGTGACAGGGAGGGAGTTGGTAGGAAACGAAGCTGGGTGTTGCCATATCGTGCAGTGATTCTGCTCTGTAAGTTCAGATCACTTGATACGCCGCTTACGTTTCTAGGCTCCCATAAAAGACGAGACAACCGCTGTCACATCGCCGCACCGCTGCTACGCTCAGCTCTCATCACCTGCCTGTCAAAGTATGACATAACGGTCGACGAGACTGGCTCCTCATTGTGCGGTCTGAATGGACCTCCGTTGGAAGAGTTGGAAGGTGACGAAGCCGCAAGAGAAGCAGAGACCCAAAGACGAATCGATGAAATTGAGTCCGTCCACGGAGGTGAAGGCGGAGAAGTGGGTATTTTCAACATCAATCATCTCGGAGGTCATAGATACGCTGGAGTGATGCTGGTGAGTCCCTTTCTCGCGACGCGTGGACTGACTTGACCGAAGGTCCTCTTGCCATCCGGTGCTTTCCTGAGCTACGGTCGAGTCACGCCTCAAGAGATTCCCAGAGTTGTAGAGGACACGATACTCAAGGGCAAAATTGTACCGGGACTGTTGAGGGCGGCAGCGGGCGTGGAGCGGTCGGCGGGTCAGGGTCACTCCTTATTAAAGTGGTAGAAGCAAATGCATCCCGCATACACAACGAGTCAATACAAACCTTACCGTACCGAAGGGCGGCTCGAGCCGGGATCCGCGGCAACATGAATCATCCACTTGATCCTCTTTTATACATGATTTCAGTCATTCATCTTTTTTACGCTTCGCACCTCTACACAGCTCATAGAGAGACACGATCTAGTCCGATAGCCCGCCGAGTACGCAAAGGATAGTGGGCATCCAAACTCGCCGCAGTCACTCTCCGGCTCTCTCGGTGGGCATCACCCATGCCCACCCGTCCTTCTGATTCAGAAGTGACGACGACGAGGCCAACCAAGATTCCAAAGATGGAAGACTCCATCGACGTAGTCAGCGCATCGACAGCAACTGCTCCTATACCCTCGTACGTGGTGTCAATTGACAGTCATGCGGGATTCTGACCGGTTTTTGATTCAGCTATCGACCAGACGCAAAGGAGAGGAGGTATGACAGGCAGCTGAGGTGCGTGACCCTTCGCGCATCTTTGAAGACGAGCTGACGAGACTCAGACTATGGGCATCATCAGGACAAAAATCACTTGAACAAGCTCGTGTTCTGCTAGTCGGATGCAATGCTACTGGTTGTCAATCACTAAAGAATTTGGTCCTTCCCGGTATGATCTCTCAACTCGTCGCGAAATCGGGGCTGATCGGATTGCAGGCATCTCGCACTTCACCATCTTGACCGACGCAAAAACTACTGCACAGGATGTCGCGACCAACTTCTTTCTCCACCCGGAGAGTTTAGGCCAGAATGTCGCCGATGAGGCCGTCAAGTGAGACACTCAACGAGGACCAGCTCTGCTGACGCTATCAGATACCTCAAAGAGCTCAATCCAGCCGTAGAAGGGGTCGCGAACGTCCAAGTAGGTCCTCTCTCACTATCCTCGTGGCTCAATTCAACTCTAGGACCCGGCAACACTGCTCAAGTCTGAGCCCGATTTCTTCACATCCTTCACTCTCGCCCTCTGCTGTGATGTTGATCCTGACCTAGAACTCAGCATTGCAGACCTGCTCTGGCAGCGTGAGTATGATGAGCTTCAGCGTGCTGATATCTTAAGACTCATCTACTCCTGGCAATCGAGATGTTCCCTTGATGTCGATCCGGAACTCAGGGTTTATCGGCCGCATCAGCATTCAACTACGAGAGCACTGTGGTCAGTTATGCTCCGGAGGGCCCCATGGCAAAGCACCACGATACTGACAATGTCTTGCAGTGATCGACACACATCCCGATTCAACTCATACATTACGCATTGATCAACCTTTCCCAGAGCTGGAGACATATGCTCGTAGCCTTGACTTGGACAGCATGGACTCCATGGAGCATTCACATATACCCTACTTGGTCCTACTCGTCCGAGCTTTGTGCGACTGGAGAGATGCGGTAAGCTTGCCGACTTTAGGATGCAGCACAGAAGCTCAAGATTCACGCGTAGCACGAGGGTCAAGCTCCTAGCTTTGAGTTCCGCGATGAGTTCAAGGAGACACTGCGCAAAGGGAAACACAAGTACGATGAAGAGAATTTTGACGAGGCGATCGGTCAGGCATTCAAGTGCTGGAACACTAGCGAGGTTGGTTCAGATTGGCGCCCTCAGATGTTTGCTGAAGCCCCCAATCAGATTCCGTACGAAGTAGAGAGCCTTCTGTCCAGAGACAATGTCAAGAATATCACTGCCTCAGTCAGTCGCCTTCGCGATTCATTCACTGACACTCCGCAGTCTCACAACCTTCATATCCTTCTCCACACTCTCGGCATCTACCTTCAAAGCCATCCACTTCCCCCGATATCGCCATCCCTCCCAGACATGCATTCCTCTACCGAATCCTACATCACCCTCCAAAATATGTACAAGCGACAATACCAATCGGACCTTGCAGAGTACAAATCTGTCCTCGACAAAGTTCTGGACAGCGTCGGATTACCTTCCGGAGCCGTTCCCGTAACCGAGATCGAGAGCTTCGTCAAAAACTCGGGAGGCGTGGACATCGTTAATGGCAGCCCGCTCAGCGCTCAACGAGATGTCAAGGGCTTGACACGTGAAGCGATCAGTACGTACCAACTCAGTCTCGGACCGATCTGACATCTCGGCTTCAGATGAGCACTTTGCCGATCCCGAATCAGAAAACCACCTAGCCATCGCTGAGCATCTGGCTATCCTTGCTGCTGAACGCTATCGCACGAAGCATTCAATCTGGCCTGGGACGACCAGCGATACCACGGCAGACTGTCAGATTCTAGAAGAGTCGATCAAAGAGATGTCTGGTCTTACAGCGCTGCCTGGAATGGCTAAGGAAGCCATCGTCGAGGTGTAAGTCATGCTCACGAAGAAATGTCTCTCCAGATAACTGAGATTCCCCAGTGTACGCGGAGGGTTCAGTTCACTGCCGACAACAGCAGCTTTCATTGGCGGTCTGGTGGCTCAGGAAGCCATCAAGCTTGTGACCGATCAATATTCGCCTCTTGACAATACAGTCATCGTTGATCTGGTCAAGAGTACGACCACTGCTTTTAAGCTGTAAACCATACATGAGAGGCCTCATAACGCTCTAGGATGCTTGTGCAATTGGGTTGCAGCGGGGACGCAGAGCCATATGCATTACCCACCATGTACTTTTAAGACATGCCACCGGCAGTCGGCTTTACGGAATGTGTTAACCGGGTTGACTGAAATGCTCGTCCAGTTGACGATCACACATTGTAATATCGATTGAACTTCCGCCGAATCGGTCACTGAGTCAGTCCCTGGCGCGCTATGACAGCCTCCGCTACCCTGCAGGCCAGCAAGAAGAAGCGCGATGAGCGGGAACGAGCCGTGAAAGAGATGGAAGACAAGTTGGGCGTGTTGGCGGATCATCCAGAGGATGCAGACTACACTCATACAAGGTAGGTCTTCTGGGACGCTGCTGCCTCTCACGGTCGTTCGCTCAATTGATAAAATATGTGTTTTGAGACCGTTGGATATCGTCGCGAACCTCAAATCACGGAAAGCAGGATGGACAGTGGAGAGAATTATGATCGCATTCGTCGGTTCTTCTGTGATGGAGTGTCTGACTCCTACAGATCCGGACGGCGTGTGATGCTCACCGAAAGACGAATTGTCTGACAGAAGGTATGCAATACCTAATAGAGCTATGAACGGTCCCTGATCGCGCTTCAGTGATGTTCCATGAAGCCTTGGAAGCCGCCAAATTGAAGGACAAGGAGCTGGATGTATCTCCTGACAATATCCAAGGCGACTTTTGGGGATTGCCGTCCAGCTTCAAGGGTCAGGCGGCTCTTTAGACGCGGTGAAGAGGACTGAATCTGGTCTCAGACACATACAACATCATCGGTGTGGATACGTCGCTTGGACTATCCCAGTGAGCGGGTCTGCTCGCTATCTAGTGTCACGCTTATCGAGCACTCAGATTCTGTGACCAGCCAACCGCCGAGACGAACGATGAGGCTGGCGTGAGCTGAGGTGTATGTTGACATTTTGACAAGTCGTCAAGCTGGTGAAAGTCTTCAGAAAAGCGGGTGGTATTCCATTTTGCAAAACGAATGTCCCGCAAGTGAGCTTGAAATGATCTTGAAGTCTTCCTAAGGATCTCCTCCAGACACTTTTCGCGACCGAATGTAGCAATCCCATCTTTGGGACTTCCACCAATCCCCATGACTCTCTGCGGACCCCAGGCGGAAGCTCTGGCGGCGAAGCAGCTCTCGTTGCGTTACACGGCACTCCTATTGGTTGGGGATCGGATGGTAGGCTCGAGTGTAGCTCAAACAGCTGTTGATCGACGATCATAGTGGGCGGATCACTCCGTGTCCCTTCACATAATGTCGGGATTTGTGCTCTCAAGCCTGTGAGGGGTAGGTGGCCGCATTCCGGAGGACGTCCTACTGTTCCGGGCAGCGACGGTGTCAAGGTGGGTAACGAAACGGTCTGGAGATAGTCAATTTACGGTTGTCCGTCAGGTAGTAGAGGGTCCTATGGCTAGGACTGTCGACGATCTCATATTCGCCTCGAGGACTGTTTTAAGCTTGATACCCAAGATGGAAGGCAGCTTTAAGGGCGAATCGTTAATCCCTCTACCTTGGCGAGAGACAGAGCAACCCAAACGGTTGAAGATTGGATATTTCACAGGATTTCCAGGACTAAAGGTCAGTTCGGTCAAGGCGACGTTTGACGTAATGTAGACCAGTCCTGCTTGCTCTCGAGCTGTACGTGACACGGTGGAAAAGCTTCAAGCCGCAGGCCACGAGGCCGTATCATTTGAGCCACCACGTTGTGAGTCGTGTTCGCATCCTAGTCCAGGCATCTGATTCGTTTACAGTACTAGATGCATTCAAGGCAAGTCATTCGTCGGGGATCGACACTGACCGCTATAGAGCTTCGCCTCTATGACCTCGTCCGACGGCTATGGGACGTTGTTGGGCAATCTCGGTCCTGACCCCATGGAGCCCTCGCTACGTCTCGTGAGTGCATCAACTAAAACGGCTGAACATGTGGCTGTTCTAGGTCACCCTTGGATCTAAAATGCCATGGCTCGTGCATCAGCTGGCAGTTCAAATTCTTCGATGGGTCGTGCGCGATACCCTTTTTGCCGACATCTTCGGTGAGCTTTAGACTCAACGCTGCGCTTCAGCTGATGTCTCATTTAGCTGTGTCTCGCCCGAAGAGCGTGAAAGAGCTGTGGGCAGCTACGGCACTCCGTGACGAATGCAACGCAGAGTTCTGCAGAGCGGTAAGCCCGATCGACGTGGCCAAATTATTCCCAACGCTTAAGTTTTCTCAAAAGGCATGGGATCATGAGGCATTCGACGCAGTGATATGTCCTGTTCTATCAGTGCCAGCCATGGAGCACGGTCGCACCACACTTCTTTCACCAGTGGCGTGAGTTTGTCAACACCAGCATCACCAGCATTTCACTGAAAGCTCACAACGGCAGTATCGGAACCATCGTATTCAACATCATCGACTCGACTGTGGGTGTTCTCCCTGTGGCACGTGTGGATCGAGAGCTCGACTCCACCCCACCAGACTTTTTGAAAGGCTCCGTAGGTTCTTGGATCCTCGAACGCCGAATGTACGAGGGCACGAATCCGGCCTACAACGCCGATAAGATGCATGGACTACCTATCGGAGTGCAAGTTGTGGCCAAGCCTTGGCAGGAGGAGAAAGTGCTCAAGATCATGAAGGTTGTGGAGGAGGCTGTGAAGTTCAAATGATATTTGACCCTGGCCAATGCAAGGTCCGGACTCGCTCATGCATCCTCGATGGACTTCGAGTCAGACCACCACTCCACCATATGCTCTAGGCTATGGAGGATCCCTCGCCTTCGTTCTTTCCTTTTTCGCCTGCTTCCCTGCAGCACGCTCCGCTATTCCCATCCTGTAATAATCTTCAGCTTCTGGTAAATCGAACTGTTTTGTAAGAGCGATGGTCGCATTGATCTTTTGCTGGTTATTAGGCATCGCCGCGAGCTGCCTCCACTGTTGGATGGTAGCTTTTGCTTTATCTCGAGGAAGTTGACCGATTCTCGTCGCCATCGACCGTTGAGTGTAGATATTCAGACCTAGACCTTCGGGACCAGCTATGTGCATCGCCTCTCGAGCGAGATCACCATTGCTGCTCGCAAGCGCTGCTCGTGCTGCATCGAGTACATACTGCGCGGAAATTGTACCAGGTGCCGAAGGAGGCGGCGCAGGGGACGGACGAGATCGAGATGGTTGTCCACTGGAAGATGCTCTTGCTCCTCCGCCTCCTCCTTCACCTCCTAAGCCTCGACTGTGTCCGACGTCATTGCCAAAGCCTTTCAAGATCTGTTCAGTCTCCTCATTCGATCGTGACGATTTCAACATGGCCATTAGCTTTTGTCTGGTCGGTCGATCCAGCTTTGTCCTGAGACTCTCATTGAGAGGAGTGAGTTGCGAGCTAGATATCCTGTATTTGGCATTTGGCGTTGCAGATGAAGCTGCTGCCTGGGTTCCCAAAGATGCCAGATGATCTCTCCATTTTTTACTATACGTCGCTGTACGTTTTGCGACTTGCTTCGGTGCGTTATCTTTTGTCCATCTTCTGAGATTTGTCTCAGCCCGACTGTCAGGCTGGTCATTTGAGGTGTTGATAAGACTGAGGATGAGGCCTCGACGGGCGTCCGGGTCGGTATAGCCTGCGGCTTGAAGCCTTGCGTCGGCGTCTGGGATCCTAGGGTCCACAATAAAAGTGGATGAGGGAATAGAAGAGGGCTTAGGGGCTGAAGGGGCTTGAGGGCCTGCCGGAACCGATGACCCGGACGGGGATATCGAGGAACCCAAAGTGATCTGAAATGCTTGTTCAGTACATCATTCCTCCACATGCAATCTAGCTCACTTTTTCTCCACTTGGGCGCCTACTAAGCCAAAAAAAAGTGCAAGCTAGTGTTTTCAGGCACACCACAAGGGTGAACAGGTCGGGATGAGAGATGAAGAACATGGCCACCTCAAGGAGAGACCCAATGACGAAGATGGGCCAATAACGCTCCAAATGGGGCTTGTGAAAGGCCGCGGAGACATCGTCGCCTAAGATCACGGTATCAGGCAAAAGGCCGTAACTGTATCTCTGGCGGGAAGGACTCACAAACATATTGCAGTGGTATACCGAGGTCAAAGACCAAGCCAATGCACAAGGTGATCTCCTTCATTGCGGTTCGCATGATAACCCAGGATAAGACAAAGATAGCTGAGAGGACAAAGATGTCCCAGACACCCAGAAGATCAGAGATGAGAATGACTCCTTCCCCGAGCCAACCCCCAGAAAGAGCCAACTAGAGATCCCTTAGTACCCGATGTTCGCGTAGGGGATGCAATGGAAAATGCTTACCACTTCATCTCTTAGGCGATTACAGCGATCATTCATACGCCCTGCAGCATCTGACTGCTCGCCGGCCATGCCCTGTTCGAGGCGCTTCACCAGATCTTCTGGACCCGAATGCAGAATCGCCTATGTAAGACATCTAGCCGTTGACCATGAGACTGCTAGTGAGCACAGTGCGACATGCCAATTGTCAGCGGACTCGAGTCAGTCAGCTAGACAGCAACATAAACCTTCCTTTCTTGATTGGCGGTGATCAGCGTCAAAGGACAGTACTTGTGGCATGAGACTTAAGACAGTACCTTGCCACCATAGATACATTCATCGGGGATTCGTCCGCTTATTGATGAGCAGAATTCCAGATCAACGAAGACAAAGCAAGCTGAAGGACGAATACATCAGTCCGCCTCTGTGCATTCCACCTTGACTTCGCCCATCAGGCATTGAAGCCCGCTCGTCGCCCTCTGTCGAGATCGTACTCCTGAAGGGCTAATTCAAGAGCTTGCTTCGTCCCCTGCCTTCTAAGGAATCGGATCACCTCTGTTGACCTAGGACCAGGCGGAAGCGATCGGACTACATCTTCGAACACCCTTTCGCTCATGCAAAATTGACCACCGAAGTCTGTCTTGTTCCAATAAGTCGTGTTCAGAGCCGTTCTGGTGGCTTTCTGAACTTCATTCTCTTCGTCCATTTCATTGCAAGGAGCCAACTGTCTCAGTCGGGCCATCAGAGCTTCGTAGAGCATATCGTGAGCTTGGTCGTTGGGCTGTGACATGAGGTCTCTTATGATAGCGCGTCGAATCGCGGATCTGAAGCCCTTAGCCCTCAGTACCCAGTTGATCTGATCCAGCTTGCCCATGAGAACTTCATCGAGATCCCCGCCAGCCTTTGCCTCCCATGCTTGATTGAGAGGTCGCCACAGGACACCAACGTAAGGGGCAAGGATTCGCTTCCAATCTTTGCTATTGTATGTCTCCTTCCACGCCTTGTGTAGATCCCTTGCGGATTTGGGATCCATCTGATCGAAAAGATCCATCAACAATTGTCCTCGAGCTGTATAATCCACTCTTGCGTCTTGAAGATAGTAATCCAGCAATTCGAGCGAATCTTGAGGCAGAGCCTGCTCCCAAACAGCAGGCGGAGCCGCATCGGAGCTGTCTCCAGAATATTTGTATCGTGGCAGTGAGAGGTTGAGTGATCGAGCCCATTGCCGCTGTCCATAGTTCGTCATTGATTTGACCCCAGAAGTGCCAGGGGCTGGGGCAGACTCCGGCGGGTGTCGACGAGTCATGCCTTTCCAATGGGCGCCCGGATCGTTTGATCCATTCTCCTCGCTGTCGTCATCGTCACTAATGCCTGGCACTATTGGAGCTGACGCTGTAGATTTCTTCAGTCCGAGTCGCTCTCGCAATCCGCGTTTGGCAGGTTTGGCGGGAGGTGTCTGATCGCCAGTCGAGGCGGAATTAGGGATCTTGTCTGCCAGATGTCAAGCCTTTCCCCTTAATTTCTGAATAGATCACTCACCTCCGAAATCGGTGATTGGTCCACCGGTATCTGCATCGTACTTGAGTTGTGGGCCTTCATCCGGCGCATAATCTGGCATGAGATTGCCGGTATGATCAGCAGGATGGACAGGTCCAGGTTTACCGAAGGTCGCCGGATTCGGTCGGTGAGCTAGAGAGAACACCTCATCGTCAGGTCCGATCGCAGCTTCACCTCCAGGCAGCTTGGACGCGGACGTTCCCTGGGCCTTTTCAGCCATCTTGCGCTTGGCTCTGTCCATGATCTTCTTTCGCTTTTCCGGATCCTTCTCCTTGAGCCATTCTCTCAGCTGCTTTTCCTGCTTCTTTGGGTCCTTGATACCCTTGAGGTATTCGATCATCGCTTTACGTCCCTCTTCGTCATCATATCCTGCAGCTTTGAGCTTTCGATCCCAACGTTGTTCAGGAGTTTCCTTATCCTTCTTCTCCCCTGATTCTGCACCAGGTATCTTGCTAGTAGGTAATTCTCTCCCGCTGGATGCGGTTTTGCTCCCGAGTCCCGAAGCGTTGGAGGCGCCGATGTCTCGTGTTCCGATAGAGTTGACGACCTGTGGTGTCAGCACACTCGGTTTGAAATACTCACAAAGCTCCCATCTGCTCTTCGGGCTAGCCATAGTGCCGTCATCAAAGTCGATTTGATACATACGACAAGGGTGAAAAGGTCCGGATGAACCACAAAGAAACACAACAGTTCTATGCCGGTGCCAAAAATGAGGACTGGCCAATAAGCAGCAAGATGCTTCGTGTGCGTTGGTTCACGCTTAGGATTCACTGTAGTTGGGCGCTAAGCTAACAACGATTTGCCTGTACCGTGCTCGCTTACATTGATTCTGTAGCGGTATCGTGACGTCAGAAGTAAAGCCGAGAATCATTGACGTCAAGGAGTCAGATACCCTCAAGATGATCCAGCACGGAATGAAGAGAAACGCAAGGACGAAAATGTCCCAAAACGACAGGAAAACTGAGATTATAGGGACTAGCTCCCCAAGCCAGCCGCCGGAGACAGCAAGCTGGTCAAAAGTAAGCTGGGACTCATGGATTACGCTCACAATGTCTTTCCGCAGCCACCTCGATTTGTCCGAGAGGTCGACCATGGTGAGGTTTGAGAGGTTCGAGGACAACTTTCCGCAGGTTGAAGCCTGCCGCCTCCTCATCAAAGGGTGCGATGAGTACAGTCAGTGCATAAAGGAGCGTGCGCAGTCATCATCGGTGATTCGCGCCTTCTCCTAAAGCGTACATATCGGTGATGGTACATGGTTTCTCTAGTCAGTCTTAACTACTTCTGCAGGGCCTTGTACTCTTCTTCTATGACGCGCACAAAGTCTTGTGCTGAATGTCCGTCCTACCACCGTCAGACGATGGCGGCATTTCGAATCACTCACATCACAGCCCGTCCAAATGTGATCGTCGACTACACAGGTACGTTTACCACCCGTTCGCAGCGTACTTCCAATTTCGATCGTACAAGCACGGGTGATATTCCTGCTCCAAGTGATCTCAGCGTTTGACTGAAGAAGCTCCTTTGCCTCTTTGCCAAGTATCCCTTTCTTTGTTGCTTTCTTGCCATCATCCTTCTTAGCTTTCTTGCCCTGAATACATTGCCCAACGCCGGACTGCCACCAGTCAACTTTCGAGGCCTCAGCACAGTGTCTTGTATAGGCTACTGAGCCAATGTCGCCCGGGAAAGAAGACTCAAAGTTTTCGCACGCCAGGACAGCGACGAATGTCTGGAGAGGGAGATGTTCGAAGAGGCAGAGATGCTGGGCGTTGCCGAGGCATTCGATCGTATTATGCTTGCAGCTAATGCCAGTTGGGTCTGACTCATTGCGGCCCCTACATCATGTTCAGACCCATCTTATTCGTTTGTCTCGTCAAAACTCACTGGGTCACCATCTGAATTCCAAAGTTGATCTTATCCTCGATGCCCTTGGTTCGTAGAACCTGAACACGTCAGCGACTTGGTCAGGATCGATGGACCTCACATCTTCAAACACCGATTCACATATTCTCTAGGGCTGGGGTAAGTGATCTCATCAACGTGAGCACTTGCCACTCACGGAGTCTGAACATCGAGACATGATGTAGAGCGTTACGTTGACCCTCGAGGGATCATGAGTGATGGGGTTGGCGAGGGCATTGGAAAAGGGTTTCTGGACCGTATCCCACAGACTTGGGAGAGCAGATACCAGTGATAGGCTGGATAAGAGACCATATAGCAGCATACTGTCCGAAGATGAATGACAATCTAGCAGCTGTGGCGTGCAGCACTGCGACCATACCTTCTATTCCATTCGATCCGAGCTCGCGCAGCTGGTCCGGATCCGGATCCGGCGGAGACCGCAATGGCGTCATTACAATTACGGCATGAGCCAGCTTTCCCACGGTGTTAGCAATGTTGACAGCGTATCACCGAGGATCACTGTCGATATTGACAGTCGGCCGCAAAGTTCAGATGCGATAGATCAGGCGAAGATCAACCTGTCGCGGCACGATCTCGGTCGTTACTGTTCAGCTTTGGCCTATTTGTGTGCCGGGTCGAGCATCTGTCAGAAAAGGCCACTTAGAGCAGCGCCCGTCGCTCGCAGTTCGAAAGGAAGTGCAATATGCTCGGAATTGTCCACAAGCTTGTCTCTGTCCTAGTTTTTGGCACCCCGACCGCCCTACAAACCACATCTGGTGATATCTACGGAGGCAAGACGCTGGCTGGTATCACCAATTTCACAGTCGTTCCCGGCATCTTCATACAAGACGATCCGAGTTTCAATTCATCAGGGTACGACCTTCTCCAGGATAGCTTTGGGCTTATCGACAAGTCCCCGAACAGGTGGAAGAACCTCGAAGCGTGAGTTACACCTTGTACAATTCTTTGTGAGATGCTAAGGGGATGCAGTCATGTCACACAGCTGAATAAAGAGGCGGACGCTCATACTACGTACAAGCTTATTTATATCGGTGCGTTGACTGGTTCGGGTGGTCGAGCCGTCTGACCTGCACCAGCACGGCATGGGGAGGGGTTCCATAATCTCGTATGTCCGCCTCCCGCTGGACGAAGGCTCATCGACATGACAGGCGCAGAGCATCTACGGAACACCAGCATGGGACTGTCGTTGGAGCTTGCTCACCACTGATGGAAATATCACTTGGGTAAGACCTGGACGCATGTATCTAAGTTTAAGCTAACATACATCTCAGGGACCTGACGCCTTGCTCGACAGCACAGGTATCTCCCAAGCTGAGGCTGTGAATCGCGCCTGGAAGGAGCAGATCAAAGATGGAGTACCCCTTCCTCAAACACTCTATTCTAGCCCGCTTCGTCGCTCTGCATCTACTCTCAATATCACATGGCATGACATCTTGTTGAATAGAGGTCACGTTCCGCGAGTGAGTCTCATGTTATCATGAGCGGTACTCATCACCGTCATTCAGATCAAGGAGAATTTCCGTGAAAGCATCGGATTGCACACTTGTGATCAGAGGAGCAACATTTCAGTCATCCGCAAAACCTATCGTGAGTCCAGACACCAGTCGAATTTGGCTCGGAGAAGTACGGATGTCACCCAATTCCCAATCACATACTGAAAACAATGTACAGCTGGTTGGCAGATCGACCCTTCATTTCCATTCCATGACCCTCTCTGGGATCCTACATATCAAGAAACAGACACCTTAATCGGACGAAGGGTACGGCAAGAGCTTGAAAATCTTTTCGCCGAAGATCCATCCACGTTTCTCAGTATCACATGCCACAGCGGTACTATTTCTGGATTCTTTCTCGCTATTGGACATCGAATGATTGGCGTTCAGACGGGAGGATTCGTCCCTGTACTCGTAAGTCTTTTGATCCTCCGGAGACATTGCCGGCGGAACCGCAACAAAATTTTATTTTGCGTTCAGGTCAAAGCTACAAATTGCCCGACTGCAACCATGCAACCCATTTCGGGTGGGCAATCAGCCACTGCGCCAGCATGTACTGCGGATTCGACATCCCTATGAAAGTCGCCAAGACGACACTCGAAGGGTGCCTGAAGAGCTGGCAAGCACATCGCACGTGCCTCTTGAAACAAGGTACTCGAGGATAGTGAATCACGACCGTGGGCATTATGCCACTGAGCTGTCTGTCGTCGATATGACATTCACCAAGCTCAAATCAGATCCTCGTAGCTGTTGCAGAGCGCCAGACCATGCCTATCATGCAGTGGTCTGATCCGTTGCTCGTGATCCCCTGGCTCCCCATGCAATGTCCGACGTCGGACATGTTCTGCCGTAATTTCCCGTCCCCCACTCTGGGCCCGACGCCCCGAGATTTCCGCTAGTGACTAGCTGAGAGATACTCCACCTTTCATTGCACGTGTATGGCTCAGCTACTGCTCCCCTCCATCCAAAATTTTTTGGTCTCCTGCCAGTCCCGTATATATAGAGATAGTTCTGAGATGAGATGGGCTGACCCATTGAACTATTCATTGTCTATACTTTCAGAGTTCGACTGGAGAACAATGAGCAGAATGACCGGTACAAGTTGGATGTTTCCATTGCTGGGACTATTGGGATCCGCTACGGCAACCACTTTCAACGTTACCCACTACCCGCCAGGTCAGACGAGCGGAGCATGACCTTGATCAGCAGGTTGAGCTGATGACATCTGTACAGCGAACACGAGCAACACTGTCTTGTCCGAAGTTATTGACGGTTCCGGAGCCCCTGGAATCTATAACTCATCTACGACTCCCGCTGGAGAATATGGAATCTACAACTGTGAGTGGCACATTCATCTGCCGGAATAAAAGATAGTCCTAAGCTGAAGTTGTTCGACAGGGTGTGCCGTGAGCAACATATGCTCTCGGGACTGTGACAGACCGCACTGATATCCGTCTCGCAGATGCCCCACGTCCGAAAGGAAGAGTACCAAAAGGTCTCCAGTGACTACACTTTGAAGTACCTAGAGGTTATTCAGAGGCACAACAAAGTGGGTCTCCCGCGAACTCCACCTCAAAGACAGCGTTCTGGTGGCTGACGCTTCCCAGCGTACTCCCTACTCGTCCAACACCTTTTTCAAGGAGGACATCTCAGTGAGTGCAGATTTAATCCTAATTGTGACGCTCTCGCCTGACCTCTGATTAGTGGGACTGCGAGGGCGAGGGACCCTACGCCTACGCTCGAAATGCCAACCAATTCAACACTACCCCCATTTACTGGCAGGCTGAGGTCAGTGCTATCTGATGTGTTTCTGCGATCCGGCTGACACCAAAACAGGTCAACACCTTGAACCCATTCGAGTACACCGTTGGACCTGGTTTCATCAACTCTACTTGCCAGTTCCCTATGGAGACATCGTACGCTCGGCTACTCCTCATGGAATACAAGAGCTAAGCTAACCCAACTAAGGGCCGGTCTGGAAGACTCTCGAGTACATGGTGAAGACTTCCGAGGCGTGTACGGAGACATGCTCCAGTTTTTGCCTTTGTCTTCGGAGAGAGAAAAGTACCAATGGCGAGTGACGAACAACGTAAGTGGAACACTCTTACGGTCATTTTGAGCGTTACTGAAGCAATACTCCAGCCCATCACTTCGCAAACTCTGGGTGAGATTCAGTCTCAATACGATATGGTAGACAGGGACTGACTATATCTCCAGCCGGATACGCCGCCGGAATCTACCCTGACATTGACGACTATTATGCGTGAGCTTGGGCAAATATCTTTCAAGACTGGGCTGACCCGTCTACAGGTTGATCCAGGTTAGTACGAGCCAGATTCTGACCATGTCTCAATGCTGACTGGCGCAGAGCGACGCCTACGACTCCCTTGAACCCGCTTTCAGTGAGCCTCCCTCCTTGTAGCCACAATTACCCGCTGATACTTTCTCCTCAGGCTGCCCTGCCGCCTCCGCTATTAAAGCTGCTCAACTTGCCTCCGACCCGTGGATTGCTCACTTGAATGAAAGTCAAACGCTTCGGGAGAAGATGAATAACATCTCTGGTATCGCCGCCAATGACACTGCTGGATGGCACAACTCATGGGATCAGTGAGTCCACGCCTTCGCGACCCTTATCTGACCAGATCAGTTACTACGACAATCTGTCCGCCAAGCAGTGCCACCAGAAGGCTCTGCCTTGCTCTCTCAACGACACTAGCCTCTGCGCTTCGCAAGAGGACGCCAATGCCATCTACAGGCTCGGAAACTGGGAGTACTCTTACTGGTGAGTCATGTGCATGTTTGCACTTCCACGACACATCAGCTAAAAGCTGGCTTAGGTGGCGAGGAGACACCAACTCTACCCTGCGATCAGTCCTGACCATGGGACCTTGGTACCGAGAGCTTCAGGGTCATTTCGCCGACGTCGTCAGCGGCAAGAGCTGCATGAAGTATTACCACAAGTGGGTCGACGGCAACAGATCGCCTTGACAAGTACTTAACACCCGATTCAGCTTCGCTCACGATGGCTCGATGGCGCCTGCCCTTGGAATCTTGCAGATCGACGAGGTGGGTCTCAATTTGTATAGCAACGCACAGTGGCGAGGATCGCTAACTTTACGTTTCAGCCCGTCTGGCCCGGTATGGCATCTGAGGTAAGACGGTAGCCTGACCTTTGACCGATTCGCAAGCTGATCCATCGCTCAGCTTGTCTTCGAGCTCTACGAGAAGGCTTCCAACTACTTCCTCAGAATCCTCTGGGGAGGTCAGCCACTCAAAACCTCGACTCCCATGGGCACTCTCGACATGATTTCCCTGGACGACTTCAACTCGTACCTCGACAACATGTTCCCCGAGGACTTTGTCGCGGCCTGTAATGCTTAGGGAGAGATGCTGGGATGTGGAGCAAGTCTGGAGACGTTTATTATAGTCGTTGGGAGCAGAGTATAATCATGCATAGACCTTTACGGAGATAGTTCCTCTTCGTTACATAGGTTGCCACTCTTTGATCTATTCACAGTCGTCAATACACAATTGAAACTGGGGTCTAGCGTTGTGATTTCATGATATAGTTCTAGGAACCAGCGAGATACAAGCGGACAGGGATTGTCGCAAGAGAGACCTAACAAAGATTGGTATACAGAGTTTTGGCTTAGATCGGGCATAGTCGGCCTGAAGATCATACAAGATGAGCCAACTGTCGAAATAGCAGTGATGGTCCAAACGCTAAAGTCGAGGCTGTCGATGCGAGTCGAGTTGGTTCAATCAAGAGTGCTCCATATCAAACGTTCTTCCAACAGCTCTCCCTCGTTTAGCGCCTCGAGCCGCTGCAGCCCTTGTCTGTCTGATTGTTGAGTCCATCTCATCGATGCTGCCTTCAGGTTCGTTCGAGCGTTCAGGCTCTTCCTTGGTAACGCTCGTCGACTCCGATCCGGAGGATTCCTTCCGAGGTGCACATTCGGGGACAATTGGCATCTTCCAGTCCTCCGACCCGTTTTCACTCAACAGACCACCAGCATTGTCCGTGGTTTCGATCGCGATTGATGCCCCGTCTATTGGCTCTGCTAGACCCTGAATGGAAGTCGGCGCAGACGAAGCAGCTTCCGAGGCCTCTGTCGACTCGGTTGTATTTGACTGCACCTCGGCAGCGAGATTCTGGGCTGATACTGGCGGAGCCATTTCGAAACTTGACCAGAACAAGTCCTCGGAAATGTCCATCTCAGGGACAAAGTCTGCTGCTGAGCCTGAGTTGACGACCCCGGCGTTCATAGCAAAACTCAAATTGCGGTCATTACCAGCCCAAATACCATCTGTGAGGCTGGAGAATCCGGAGATATGTCGAGGGACGACATTGAATGGTAAGACTTGACCGTCGGCGGTAGTGACAGAGTACGAGGGGACCCTAGAACCGCCTGGTTGGGCGTTGAGAACTCCCTCCTGGAACTGTCCATTTGATGGCGACAAGGTCCAAGAGGCATCGACAGGAGATAAGACTGGCGCTTGAGATAAGAATGGTCCATGTTCCTCCTCAATGACCGCTTGCAATGGGATCATTTGAGAAGGGTCGACCACCCCGGTAGGTATAATAAATTGGGACGGATCCGTATTCTGAGCGACTTGCGATGTCGGATCTGCGGGCATGGCCAGAACGAATTGACTCCAATCCGTGTTTGGATCATACCAATCAATCTCGCCTAGGTCCTGCGTAGCTTCCCCCATAGGCATAGTGTACTCTAGACTCTGTCCGTCCGGCATGACGACCGTCCATGGACCAGTGTGGCAGTAATATTCCTCAGCTTGAGCAGGTGCCACTTGGCCACCATTGCCTGAAGGTGCATCTCCAGGGAGTATCTGAGCGTTGTCGACGAACGCTTGAGCTGGTGGATGTCAGCTAATCTACATGGATAGAAAAGAGCCGACTGACCGGAGACATCTCCTTGTGAAGCCAGCACAACCCGTGGAAGTTCGCCGAGGTCCTCCTCCGCATCGTCTTCTTCGTCGAAAGCACTCCACATGGCTGCCAATTTCCCTGCTTTTGACTGGGGACTGGTATTCTGTTGCCATGTTGCTTGAGGCTTGCTCAGATTTAGCCCAGGTGTTTCCTCCACGGGTTCCGGGCCGTAAGTGAAGCTTAATTCATTCTGGATATCCAGCCCTTGGGGTACATCGATCTGCATGTGAGATGGAATGTCGATAATTGATGGAGCTGCCGCCCTCTGAGGTACTGGGGCGAGGATTGCTTGTTGCGCAGAATGAGAAGCCTGAGACTGAGGCTGAGGGTACTGGATCGCTTGTCCGGTATCCGCCACGGGAGCTTGAGAGACGTTTTCGGCGGGAGTGGGGCGGATCGTTCTCCTTACGCCAGTTTTCTGAGATGACTGCGGCGTCATACTGAACCCCTGTGCATTCATGACCAGCTGATCACCGTATGGATTATTCCCCGCATGATCCTCGGGCCTCATGGATGGGAGAGACCCTGGAGGCATTGGAAATGGGTAAGATCTGAGTCGATGATCCGCCGTTGGGTCTGGTGAGCCAGTAAGGGGAGTAGCGAGATCTACGGGGTAAAGGGATGAGCATGTTAAAGGGGTTTCGACAACGTGACCTACTCTGACTATTACCTCCCCATCCACTTTCCGCTCCACTCTCCCCTGCAAGTGAGGGAACGTGACTGTAAGTGGGAGTGGACCGCATGCTGCGTGACCCAGTGGCGATTGGTGAAAATCGTTTCTTGAGGGTACGACTCCTCCTTGGACCTGGAATGGTCAGTGGGGGGCCGGTTTGAAATCAGATCTTACGAGTCGTTTCCTTCTCTGCTCGTTTTTCTTGTCTCTCTGCCTCTTTCTGCCTCTCCCGCTCTTCTCGTTCTCGTACCTTGTCTGCTTTACGTCTCGGTTGAAACTTGTAATCGGGATACTTGAGCTCATGCTGCGGTCAGGCGTTAGTGGCGCACAACGATCTGAGACATCAAGTGGCGGTTTGCTCACCTCTCTCTTCTTAGCGTTTGCCATATTCTCATAACGTTGTCGTACGGCTGAAGATTCGCCTTTCCAGAGAGCGCTGATCATCTTTGAGATGTTTGCTTGAGGTAGACCACGCCCCAGCTTGCCGCGACCGAGGGATAGTAGGCCCTCAGTCGGTGGACGGGTGCCCTTTTTCGGAGGTCGGTTCCGCTTTTTGGATTTCGAAGTGACCACACTGCTGGCCCCGTCTGCTGACTCGTTCGATGGACTCGCGCTGGACGGCAGATCCAAACCTGCCATGATCTCGTCTAGGCCTGGTATATTATCGCCTCTCTCGATAGCTTTGAGCTTCTCGGACCGATACAATATCCAGGCATTGGCCGGACGAGGCGGCTTAGATTGACTGGTAGATGCTTTGGAGATGGTTGAGGATGGGGCGACGGAGCAATCTGTCCTTGAGACAATGTCGGACATCTTGACGGATTGAGTCATGATATCAGACTCCAGATCGCTCGTGTCCATGGACTGCGTGTTGAGGTACTGGGCTGACACATCCTCATCCTGACTGATACTCCATTCGGAATAGTCCCTGGGAATATAAGGATTCGTATCGAGATAGTAAGGATTGGTTGGGTATTCTTGAGGGTAGAAGCCGAATTGACCGGAGCTCACTGATGAGGGAGAGGAGAAGTACGTGGATGGTGTGAGGCTAGCCGAAGAAGCAAGGGATGGAACGGGTGCGGGTGGCGGCGGCATGAGCTGCAGGCTTGATGCGATTGGCATCCTGGACCATTGTGAGATTTTCTTCCGGGGTGAAGCGTCATGATAGGACGTATGCGACTGAGCTAGAGGCGGTTGACCGAAATACGCTTGAGAGGTTGTGGGCGTGATATCGTCGATACTGAAGCTGTTGTCGGCCGTGTAAGCTGTAACCGAGGTATTTGGGGTCGTTTGAGATCGAGCAGGCTGTCGCCGAATTGGAGTCCCTCGTCTGTTGCGTTCAGGCGTTGTTCGATCATGGTGGTGTGATCCCGCTGTCGAGGTTGCCATTGTAAGCCTATCACGAGGGGAGTGTTATAGCTATTGTTGATGGGGAAGAGAGGCAAAAATCAAGCAGGCAATGTTGAGTTGGACAATACTGTTCTTCTCGTCCTTGTTCTTCGTCTTCCTCCAGTTAAGCCAATGAATGGCTCGCCTCGAGGCTCGACTGGAACGAAGAGGAGGGATCTACTCCTTGGCCTGTTATCCAATGAAGTCGCCTGTCAAGCTGGCTCGTATTGTTTGTTGAGTAAGGGTGTGGGTGTGTGAGAGAGAGAGAAGGGATCCGTGTGTGTGTGTGTGTGTCTGTAGACTTTGATGCCTCAACGCTTAGCGACTCTCTTTTTGGGTGATGGCACCTCGGCGGATTTTGGCAGTGCCACTGGTGGTATTGCGTGACACCCTTCTATGGGACTATCCAAAGCCACCAATTCACCAATATCTGACCTCCTGAAACTCTGCTGGAATTGTAGACACTCCCCAAATGGCAGATGAGGTGGGACGGACTGCTCCAATGTCAGCTTGCTTGTAAAAGCAAAAAGTCACCATCAAGGGGACCGACCAATTGAGGGAAAAAAAAAAGTGCCTAGACACTTCTAGTGGGACCCACCTTGAGCAAGGGCACTTCGATCCAGGTATATCCGGTAAGAAGACTGCTTGTGCTCTCGCTACTCGAACGCCAGATGACCTATCACTTGTCCCAATGCTAGACTGTGTCCCAGAATTTCGTCGGGCAAAGGATCATCGGAGAGTCTTCCGTCCGCGTCATATGATGGCAGCTTTCTTGCGTTGTCGGAGTCCGGGTCCTCTATTATCTCTGTAACATGCAAACCAACCCCCTGAGCTGAATGATACGAGAAGGAGTATCAGATTCCTCTAGTTGAGAGACTGGGGTCGACCTATTGTTCAGAATCTTTTAGGAATGTTCAGCTGCTCGGGCCAGTACCAGTACGACAGAATCCCATGACACCTAATATCCGAGGGGGAAATGTATGTCCCTCGCTACTCCTCTTCCTCCTCCTCCTCCTCCTCCCCCTCCGCCGCCGCCGGCGGCCATCCGTAAAGATCGGACTTGGGACATCGACTAAAACGTCTTCAATCTTCCACTTCGGGATGATCCTGCACACACGATAAGATGCTTCAAAATTTCTCACTCCTTTAATCTCCCTCCGCGGGTCTTCTCTACCAGCAACAGACAAGCACCCAACGGCTAGCTTAGCATCGTTCGATGCGGCCGTCTTTTCTCCCGCTTCCAACCCGCATGAGATTCCAGGACAAGACCCGGCTGACCCGGTCATGTTGACCGGATACTGGACCCCCTTCACGGCGTGCTGATGCGCCATACCGAATATTCGGTCCGATATCATATTCATGACATGTTCTAGGTACGTCCAAAGTAAGGTTCTTTAGGTTCCAATTCTTTCATTTCCTCTCGCTTGGCTCAGTGTTTCATCGCAAGTAAGCAGCTCACCCTCGAATTGTACTGTACCAGAGCTTTCACAGCAAGCGTGTCATTAGCACCCCTCCTCTTCCTCTTCTTTTTTTTGCTATGCACATTCTGTAACCGCCACATTTGCTCTCGTCTCGAGCCTGTACCTTTTGAGGTAGCTTCCCGTATGCACTCGTTACACCCTCCTGCCTCTATGAATACCATTGACCTGTACTGTGAGCTCCCGGAATCACCCCAGGGGCACCACCGAGGCCTGACACCTGCTCAGACCCTCCTCGTCCTCGCCCTAGCCTTCTTGGCCTCCATCCCCTTTTGTCGCTCATGCCATTACTCTCTCCGTTATCCGCAGTCACCTCATTTTCGCTGCGGCCGATCACTCCAAACTCTGATGCACCATGAGGTAGATGCCTCATCTTCTCTTTTCGCCATGACAGGAATTGACTCGATCGACTGGGTGGAGGCGGAGGCTGACGTTGCTCGAATGACCGCGATGGCGGGATCGGGAGAGGTTGAGAACCGGCTGACATAAACTTTTTATCATTGGATCCCAAATGAGGATATTGAGGTCTTGACCAGTGTGCTGGCCGACGGGGATAAGGCTGATCTCCTCCTTGTCCGGGACCACTGTATGAATTCAGCCAATCGTCATAACGCTTGCTCGGACGGGAGTCGGCCGCCTTTGCTCCAATTGCTGGCGGTGTCGTCTTGGTTTGTGGATCGTAGTTTGACCCTTGAGGCGCCACTGGTACACGCGAGTCCACCTCATCGGCATATCCTCCGCCAACTTGCTGCGCATTTGCACGGCCGATTTTCGAGCCTTGTCCCCATCGAACGGTCCGACTGCTTTCTGGAGGGATAGGGGGCTGATTCTGGGAGACAAGTACTGGCAGCGACAAATGGCGATGATGGGAATTTGGAGTATGTGACGCTTGAAGTTCATTTTGTGGCGGCGATCGAACGATTGCTGGGATAATTGGTTGACTCACGGGTCGCGTTCGAGGCGAGTAATAGCCAGCGGGAGTGGCGTCGACGGCTCTGGGCATCTGGTCTCCCGGTGACAGAGGTGCCGCTCCAGGATGCATCCGTGCATGCTGATGTGGACTCGATTGGTACGGTGGTGGAGCCCAAGGATGACTATATGTTGCACCTGGTCCCGAACCATAAGGGGCCATCGGTCCGCCGGGCGGCATGAACGGAGGAGGCATACCTGGACCTATCGGTGGGTGCGGCATCATGCCAGGATGCATAGGATGTAACGGAGGTGGCATCATGGGTGGTAATGTCGCACCGCGAATCACAGCATTCGTTTGAAATCGATGTTGACGGCGGATGGCGCGATACCATCGAGATTGGAAGGAGTCGCGGTTGCGAGCGTATAATCCGACAAAGATTAGAATGAGGATAGGCAGAAGGACGCCGATGACTACGATTCGTCAATGTTCCATCTCCCTCAAAAGACACCCGTCGCTTCTCACGGATGCCAGCGAGCTTGGTATTCGGCCCTCCGCTGTCTGGACGAACATTGAAATCATTGACCGTCCCAGGCTTTCCTGCGATTCCAACAAGCTGACCACCTGGCTCGTAAAATAAAGCACTGTTCTTCAGCTTTCAGTTGAACGTACAAGCTCACGTGTAGACTCCCGACATGAATGGTGTTCCCAGGCGAATCTCACCCAACGATTCAGCGACGCTTCCGTTATGCCAGGCAACGACACTTCCCCAGCAGGATATGCCAGATACTTCTCGAGGTTGGACAAGTTCGCGCCGCTCCACATTAAATTCGCGTCCAGAGATGGTGATCGTCATGGAGATGTTGGCTTCACAAGGTAGATTCTGAGATCATCAGTCTCCCTGGCTGCGGTGGGTTGCTCACCCATCGAGTGGCATCCCTTGCATCTCTCGTTGCTCCATCCACTCCCGCGTAAAATTGTTCAGCAATCGCAGTCGGCACAAGGATCGAATCGTATCCTGGATCCAATGTCCCCTAGACAGAGTAAGCGAAGGTAGGAATGGGCGACCCACATAGAGATTTGACAGATCGACAACTTTGCCTTCAACTCTCATCCGCTCCACTGCGATAGCCCAGCTACCACCTTTGGTTGTGTCTGGCTGGATCCAGTTACTAGCAAAGTCATTCGCTGTACGCCACTATAGTCACTCACAAATCCCCCACGTATGTGCCCATGGGTACCCCTCCCCAATGGATAGTGCCAGCTTGGACATCGTTGCCTGACTGATAGCTGGAAATGTTGAATCCGACAGTGTAGTAAGTCTGATTGTTCTCAGGCACGCCGTCGTTGGTACTGTCTAACATGGACGGCAGAATCGAGAGACTTGGTTCATCCTAGGTGACAGACGGCGTCAGCTCCCTTCATTGGCACACATAGGTCCAGAGACTAACCTGATATACTCCCAGTCCCCAGAATCCTGACGTGCCATCACTGAGCGTGACGTCCTCTCCGGTGATTGCAAGCTGCTGGCTCCCTGCCCTTACGATCGCATTACTCGTCGGTAACGAATCTCGAGTGATCTTATTGACACTTGCTATCGGTCTTGGAGTATTGACGTCTCCTCTGGGATCCCTCAAGATGTCTCGCCCGAGAGATCCTGCAAACTCCAGAGTATCCGCAGATCCAATGGGGTAGATCATAGTGTATATCAGATCTTGGCTGCCCGGATCGTAGGATGCAGATGAAGAGCTGGAATAGACATTGCCGTGTTCGACACAGTCGTCGCATCCTCCTCCGGCGATCAGAACGAATTCCGAGTTCGTCGTCAGGGTGAGGTTGACGAATTGCGGGGAGGTGCCGACCCCCACGGGTATCACATTGGTCCCACTGCCTGAGCGATAGAGAGGGATTGAGGTGTAGAAATCGCCTAGACGGTCGCGATCCGCTGCAAAAGTGAGATGGTAGCTGGAGAGCAAGAGGAAGATCAAGATGAGAGGACGACATGTCGGGTATGAGATGTTGGCTGGGATCCTCATGATTCTGAGGCAAGAAGTCAGTGCGGGGGATTCTTGGCGATACTCGGCAGGAGATTGCGAAGTTGGATCATATCAAGTCCGAAACATAGATCCTCAATGGACTGATGGACACATGGGAACGTCCCGATCCGTCTAAGAGATCACAAATTATCACCTATCCGGCCCATCCAGCGCCTAAATGACCTAGAGGACACGAAAGGCACTCACCTGTTTGACCGATTCCGGAGATCTGAAGGACAACTAGGGTTGCTCGTCCGGAAGGCCGGCCAAGGAGACTCACGAGACGTCCGGAAGAGGAAGGGCACACACAAGATATCTTGACGGACGAGTGAAAGGGGTTGAAGGATGATTCTGTTGGTCAAAGGGAGCTCTCCGAGATGAGCTTTCTGACTTGTGAAGTCGCTGTTAGGATAGACTAGATTTGACACAAGATCAATATGTGCACGACGAGAATGGATCAATGAAGCAGTCAGGACAAGAGACACAGGTCAAGGTCAAACAGCGTTGAAGACTTGCTGATTGTTGATGCGATTCTTGAGGTGGAAAGGAAACTGAACCCATCCTTTGGGAGCGCGTCAGTCGCACTGAATGGCATGAGTGGTCCAGAAAGTGTACGATGAACAAGTATTATGCTACCATGCTGGGGTGAATATGTAGTACCCAGCATTGTAGAAGTGTCTGTCATTTCATTGACACCTACTCAGTGAAAAGACGTCAGGCACTCACCATTTCAGACATATGGCATCGTTATTTTACCGACTTTCCCCCGAGGAGAGCAACCAAAGGGGTTGGAGGCTCGCAGTTGTACTTCAATGCGACTCGGACACCAGATCGTTAAAACAGAGCAGCAGGCAGCGTCACACGTTTACCTGTATGCTGGTATGATGTTCCTAATCACAACGAGCTCCATACATGTGTGCGCACGCTACAGGCATGTAAGCTGCATCTCGTTGCGCTTGACCAAATACAACGACTCTACTGTCACGAAAACTCAGGTATACTAAGATATACCCCGATTACTCCCGCTCAACCCCTCTCGCAGCTAGACTTGAACGACCGCCTGACCCTCCCCTCAGGAGTGATATCCCTGGGGCGGTGGAGGAAATCCTTGACTGTGCTGTTGACCAGGTGGGGGTGGTCGGTTACCCCAAGGATTCATGCCTGGAGGGTATGCACTTGGAGGCTGAGGGTCCGGTCCGTCACCCTGCTTCATCTCCCAGTCTATCTAGGATCAGCGCTCCGCACAGCCAAGCACACAGACTTCCACATGAAACTCACTGCATGTACCGCAGATCCATATCCTGCTCTTCGAGAATGGCTGAAGGATTTTTCTCGTCAACAAGCGTGCAATGATAGCTGGATCAATGAGACGCACGATCAAGGGGATCCAGAAGAGTTCAAACCATGTCCGAGAAGATGCGCCCACTACACTGGCTATGCTGCGCATCAATTTCAGGTCTCCGAGCAGGAGGCAACTTCTGTTGTTGACAAACGCACCATTATGGCACTTTGGGCACATACGCCCTACTTCCGGATGGTCCTGCGTGATCTGGACTCCTGTCAGTTCTTACTCGGTCATTTCTGATGCTCGACCCCCATGTATACCTTTGTTGGACATCCGACTGGTAGTCAAACATATCAGCGAGGACATTACGCGGTTCGGATCTGATGATGACGTACATATGATTGGGATACACACTGGGACAATGTAAGCGATCACAGACAGGGGTCAGACTCACTTGCGACGATCGTGGTTCACCCAGACTGGAGATGATGGCGCGAGGTCGATCAAGATCTCAAGTCCGAATGGTCGACAGAAGCTATGCAAGTGGATCTCTGTCTTGGCTGCTTGACTTGGCGGCGACAGCGATTGCGTCGCAGCAAGACCGATCGGCGGTCGCCGCATCGAGATCAACCCTTTCAGCACGTGGCAAACCTCAGAATTTTTGGGCGAGGATTGCAATGAACCGGTCTTCCTGTAGTCAATCAGTGCTTTCCTCGAGCTGCAGGCATCTATCTCAAGATGCCAGACCAGCTGCCAGAGTCCATGTTAGAGTAAGTCATCTCAGGTCATCGGTATACTTCTTTGCTGTGATTTACCTTTTCTTAAGCTCCGACATCACATTCACCCATTCCTCCTTCTCCTCCCTTGACGCTCGTATTCTTCGAGCATTGGCCGATCTATCCTTCACCCACCCAACACTTGTCCAAGCCAAAGCTATACCTTTGCTCCTTGAAGGCAAGGATGTCTTGGCAAAAGCAAAGACAGGCTCAGGCAAGACAGCCGCATACGCCGTCCCAGCGGTCCAAAAGGTGCTCTCAATCAAGAGCGTGAGTGATTCTGTCGTGGTCTCCGAGGTCAGTCATGCCCAATTTGACCCTTTCCACAGACTATGAACCCATCTGAACCTGGCTGGCAATCTACCCGAGCTATCATCATGGTCCCCACGAAAGAGCTCGGCATACAAGTGACTTCATTTCTGAAAAAGTTGACAGTCTACTGTGAAGGCCTGGTGGGAATCTGCAACGCTACATCTCCTTCAGCTTCAGTGCAACGGTGAGTGGAGGCCCTCTGGAGACCATCTCTGATGATATAGCGTCTTGCTCAATGACAATCCCGACATCGTCATCTGCACGCCGTCCCGACTGATCCAACTGTTGCATTCCTCTTCCGTCTCACTTCAATCCCTTGTTTTCCTCGCCATCGACGAGGCGGACCTCCTGTTGTCATACGGCCACAAAGACGATCTCGTCAGAATTATGGATCCGACCAATAAGTGGGTCCCAAAGCTGGGAATGCAGGCCTGTCTCATGAGTGCAACGTTGGGCGAAGAGATGGATGTTCTGAAAGGGTTGATTTTGCGAAACCCCGTGAGTAGATTCGTGGCTTCCTCTCTGACACACTCACAGGCAATCTTGACACTCAGCGAACCCACGTCATCCGACCTTCTCACGCAATATTTCACGCACACATCTGAAAGGGACAAGTTCCTGCTCATATACGTTCTTCTCAAGCTCAAGTTGATACGCGGACGATCCATCGTCTTTGTCAACGATGTGGACCGTGGGTATCGTGTCAAGCTATTCCTGGAACAATTCGGAGTCAAAGCGTGTGTCGTGAATTCAGAACTCCCCTTGGCTTCTCGATATCATGTCGTTGAAGAGTTCAACCGTGGGGTGTACGACGTCGTTGTGGCCACGGATGAGGGCACTGGAACCGATCCCGAGCCTGTGGAGAACGCAGAGGTAGAGGACGAAACAGAGCAGGGTGCTCAGGAAACCGAGATAGCCGCAGAGGATGTCAAGGAGGAGGCCCCTGCAGAAAGTAGTACACAATCGCGCCCTTCTTCCAAGCGTCTGGGCAAGCGCCGGCGCCAGGACCCCGCGTCGTCAATGGCTCGCGGCATCGACTTTACATCCGCCTCTTCGGTCATCAATTTCGATCTCCCGACTTCCTCCACATCTTACATGCACCGTGTCGGCCGGACAGCCAGAGCCGGACACTCCGGATTGGCGCTGTCGTTCATCGTCCCTCGAGACAAGTGGGGAAAAGATAAAAACGTCTCGTTGCCAAGTGCGAAAGACGATGAACAGGTTTGGGAGCGTATACAAGCTAGGATGAAGAAGGAGCATGGGAGCGAAATGAAAGATTGGGATTGGTCAGGGAAAAAAAGTGAGATTGAAGGGTTCAGGTACAGGATGGAGGATGGTCTGAGGGCTGTGACGGGCAAACGAGTGGCAGAGGCCCGGCGCGAGGAAGTCAAACGAGAATTGCTCAATAATGAGAAGCTCAAGGTGAGTGCGGCGACTAGTGGTCAGGCCTGTACTAATCCCTCCCACAGGCCCACTTTGCTGCCAACCCGCTTGATCTGGCATACCTTCGACACGATGCCCCATTGCATCCCGCAAGATCTCAGCCGCATCTCAAACATGTCCCTGCATACCTTCAACCAAAAATATCCGGCATCCCACGACCCGTCGTTGGAGGTGATGTTCGAGATGGTGATCATATTCATTTCAACAAACGCGGGAGAGGTAACGGTGGAGGAAGAGGTGGACGGGGCAGGGGCGGAAACCGAGGTGGATCACGCAAGACTGATCCCTTGAAGTTTAAGCGATAGCAAGAGCCTATTGCCTGTTCGCATGCATTCAGGAGTGCATGATCATTGGGATTTCCAAGGTATATCCGTATATCATGATCCGGTATGGTAGGTTGGCTGCTGTTGTTGTTATTATTAAATTTTTGGGAAGGCGTGAGAATCCGGACGCCGGTGGGCCGGTGGGTGTGGTGGCACCCGATTGCTCGAAAGTAACGGGAAAAATGGGCCGACGGGCGGTTCGAGAGGGCCTGGATCTGCACGAGTCCGTGTAGGAGATAGCGCGCGAATGAGAGAGCTCTTCTCAAGAGTAGTTGGTCATCAGTCATTTGGCCCAACCACTTGGGTGAGTACCCCAAGCCACGAGAGAGAGAGAGAGACAGAGCATGCACCGAGTTTGAACGTGATGATAATAAAAATAATTAATCACTCAAAAGTGGGACCTTCTTCTTCGGTGACAATTATCTCCGTGTCTTTTGCACCGGTTCCTCCGGCATTGAGAGGGATGGCGATTTTACTATATCCATTCTACCTCGATAGTCGCTCAGAGGTTGTATTCATCACTCGCACTCTTATATCACTGACGCATCAATTCGGATTGGTGCTCTAGATTCGTCTTCGACTGGTCGGATCCTCTGCGATGGAAGGCGAGCCTAGGCGCAAGCGGCGTGAGTTCACAACATGACCCCTGTGTTCAACACTGATAACCACTGATCTCCATCTTTTCAGGCCAGAATGTCGCATGTGATTCGTGCAAGCTTCGACGAGTCAAATGCGATCTCTCCAACCTGCTGGTCCCTTCGTCCACTCTGGATGACGACGATGACGAGAGCAATCCTGTCCCGTTGTTGCAGGAGATGGTTCGAAGACATCCCGATGTCTCTTGTACGAACTGCAAGAATAAAGGATTGACCTGTACGAGCGAGTCGATCAGGAATCCTACCAAACCAAAGAAGGGAGGGAAGAGGATCGCTCAGGCGAGAGAACTCTTCGGAAAGGAGGAAGAGGAGCTCGATGCGCTACCGGATCCAAATGGAGCTGGACCGTCGAGAGTGAGAACCTTGGTAGCCACACTGGACCCGTCATTGCAGGAGGGTGAAAATATCAAAGACGAAATCAATGCCTATCGGATATGGAGGGCCATGAGCGAAGACTATGCAAGTGTCACTGCAAAAGCTCCTCCGTTGCCAAAGGGCCGGAGAAGTGCAGCACACGATTTCGGTTCTGCTCATGGGAAGGATACGGAATTTGTCCAAATCGATACAGACCCGGCCACGAACTGGGTCAATGGAAAACCACTGTTCGCGACTTCGATCGTCGGCCGCGTCGTTCGAACCCGGACACCTTGGATGCCATCCCCAGACATCAACAACGGAATCATCATTCAATCTACAGCCACTCGGTCCGGCGTTACCGATCTCTCCTCTTCGCTCGCTACTGATACGCGAAAGCGACGCTTAACGGAGGAGGGCCAGATAATGTCTATCAACGGACAGCACGACCCATGGCATCTGTGGTCAGATGACCAGGTAATCGTTTCTTGGGGTAAGAGAGAGCGGGTACAAGAGCGATTGGCGGAACGCACATTGGGATTCGAGCTCAGCAGACATCTCGTATCAATGTACTTCCAGGTCGTGCATCTGGCCTTTCCAGTGAGTCTTGATCCCGCATACTGTTCACTTACTCTCCTTTCAGACTGTCAGCCCTGAATCCTTCTACGTCGAATGGCTCCGAGCAGGTCAACAGTCAGACCGTATGAGCCCGGCTCTCGAAGCGCTTTGTGCCGTCGTCGAAGCTTGGGGAGCCAGATACTCCGATCATCCCATCATCCTAGGACTCACCGGTGCCAAGGCGAAGACAGCCCCTAAAGTCTTCAAAGCAGACGGAACGACAGTTCCCGGTACCGCCGCCAGGGCTCATTGGGGCAGAGCGAGGATCCCGGCTTGTAACGCCCTCGCCGATCGCGCTAAACGCATCATAGAAGCGAATGGTCTTTTCTTCAGACCGTCAGTCACTGGCGCTCAAGCTCTCTCACTTTTTAACCTCTTGGGTACAATGACGGACCAGACGGCGAGAGCGGAGGAGCAGTACATGATATGTGAGTGCTTAAGCAGATGTAGTGCAATGTGCTGACAGCATGCAGCGACTCTGACACATAGTGCACTTGTAGAGCAGATGTCGGTCCTCAACCTCATGTGGGACGCGGACGGTGATATTGAGGTCGATACCGAGGAGCTGCCTGTTACAGTGACCCAGCTGAAGATGAAACAGAGGTGAAGACCATGAGGTCGATTAGGCTGACCTTTATTTCAGACGTCTGTTCTGGAGTTCGATGGTTATGGACAGTCTCTGGGCATCGGGTTCCGCTCAAGCGCCAAAGATGTGGGTACAACAAGGACAGTTTGAGGCTGAATTTTTGCCAGGCCTGAGTCAGACATCGAGTCCGCTGGCCGATGGCTGAATGCTGTGGATAAGAAGTTGCCCAACTCGACCTTTAAGATTCTAGCTGTCAGTATACCAGTAACTGTTCCTTGTGAGGCTGACACGTGCAGCACTTCTTACGCTGTTACTACCGATTGACAAAGATGGCTCGAGAGATTGCTCTGGATGTTTCGATCCCTAATCGCCGGCCGGGTACGGTCGATGTCGATCATTTCTGCAAGCTTATTCGAAAGTTGTGGGGCGAGATCAAAGATCTCCGTCGAGCGGTTGTGGTGGAGGGGGCGGAAAAGCTCGCAAGCTGCGAAGGCTTCATGGCTGGATTCTCACCAATGAACCAGATCACAAGCATCCGATTGTCAGGGCCTTTCCTCTTGCTCCTGCTACATCAACATATCCGAACGCAGTTGGACTTCAGACGAGACATGAAGTCCAGCTATGTCGTCAATGATGATGGTGATGGGGACCCTGAAAAGCAGAAGATCGCCAAGCTGCAGGAATTACACATGCAGAGCATCGATATCATGCTGCAGAGCTGTAGATCGCAGGCCGCAATGTTCAAGGTATGTCATGTGCTCCAGAATGGACCTGATCTCCTCTCTCAGGTGATGCTTCCGACTGGCCTTATGCAGAGTAGGTTCGCTATAGTCTTATCTGCGAGTCATGCGCTGATCTGGTAAATAGCTGCAAGCACGTTCCTTCGGGTCCTGATCGCCACCATCCTGTTCATGGCGGAAGTGCCTTGCAACGAACAAGGTTATCCGACCAATACGGTGAGCTCCATCCTTCCGTCGTGGGGTGCCAGCTTAATCCGATAGCTCGGAGGATTCGGCTGGACTTGGCGTGCCAAAAAGGAAGAAGTTGGAACTTGCGTGGAGGCTATGTACCAGCTTGTCAGTACACAAGAGTGATTCACTTCCAGGCGATGCTGACGATGCTCTCTAGGGATGGGCATGGGCAGATGTGCATGATGTCCTCGAAGCAGTCATGGTCTCGATGGAACGTATGACTCCATCTGAAGAGGTTCTCGAAGCTTGGAGCAAGACTTCTCATCCGAATGACGAGCGGATCGTTCTGGAGCTGGGGGAGGAGAAACTCGAAGACAGCAGGGTTATGGATCTGGCCATGGTGTACTGGCCACCTGAGTGAGTTAGCTAAGCGGCAACTCGTATCCCCTTCTGACCTCCTCCTCCAGTTCTATTCCGCGATTGGTTGCACTTGCGACCGAGGGTTTGGACATACAGAGCGCGGCCCCGGTCGACCTTGCACGTTGTCTGGCACCTGATCATCTTCAAGCGAAATCACTGGCCATGCGGAAAGCTCGAATGCGGAAATCTCCGTCGAATGCCAGCGATGGATTTAGACGTGGCGACTCGATAGAAGGGAGCTCGTCTGAAAGTCCGGTGTCTCGTCCTGGCACTGGCGCCGGGATTCGAACCGGAGCGGATCCCTTTCCGTGGTCTGCGATCTCAGGTGTCTTTGGCCAACCCACTCCTCCCGATAATTGGGGAAATGGTTATATACAGGGACAACAAGGCTCCGTTGCTGTCCAGGAGACTCCCAGTGCCCCGTCAGCGGAAACTGTGCCACCCAACACGTTGAGTGGCATTGCGTCCCAAGAGAACCCTGGATCAGGATCTACAACGAGTGATGCGTCACACAGCCATACTAATCGCTCAAGCCCTCTTGTTGACCATGATTTTACCCTCAACACTTCTTCAACATTCGACCCCAATTCGTCTCATCTCGCTGGTTTCCTAAACAATTCTTCGACATTCAGGTCCACCGAGACGCCTTTCTTGCCGACACTTCCTGGCGGGTCGCCAAACAATCATCCGTACTATACGGATATGACTGGTCGACTTCCTGGCCAATCGATGCATTACTTCAGCTCGAACGCGCCTAGCGACCCTTCGAGATATGGAACCGGTCCATCTACCCCGTCAATGTGGGGTCATCATGAGTTCTCGTTCAATGCCACCCCGATCCCGCATTCACTTTCCAACGCGAGTGTGTCTTCGAATGAGCATACACCTCAAGCGTCACAGCCTTCGTTTGGACCTCAGACCATCCAGCCTACCTCTAGCAATTCTACAAGTCGCCATTCCTCGTCCGAACCGAATTCATCAAGTATGCTTGTCGACCCCACTCCACCCTTACAGTCCCAACCAGCCTCTACACCACAACAATCCTTCTTCAATGCCTATCTCGACTCGTCGGTCCCTCTCAACCTTACCGGTGGGACCCCTAGCGGTCCCTTGCCGTCGTGGCCGTCCGACTGGGATCCAACTCAATTGGCAAATAGCGTACAGCCCTTGCCTAACCAAGATTACGCAGAGCTCGAGCAATTTTTGCGAGATCTGGACAATCTGACTTATAATCAAGAGTCCTCCCAGTGACTTGGAATGCCCGTCTCCATCCTGTAGTGATAACAACTACTGTATGAATGGACATTTAACATTCTTTACTAAGCAAGACTACATCTAAAACCATCTCCGACGAGTTAATATACAACGATCTACAACCGGGTCCTAATTACCAGAATTCCTCCAACGCTGACTACTCTCACTCTGTTCTCCCCTGACCAATTGCTCCCCCACAGGCAACATTCCAAACGCTTGATTCACCTTGTCCGCGCCACTAAAAGGGTCGAATGTGTTCGGATCTATGGACGGAAAGGAAAAGTTGAATGACTGATTGTCAACGATCGCAGGGCCGTGTGTAGACTTGACACCTTCCAAAGGGTTCTTAGCAGCGCTGTCGAGTTGGTTCGGTATTGGTTGGTACTCGTCCGAGACTCCAAGAAAATTGACTACTTGTTGATCGCCTAGGGGATACCTCTGATCGATAGTCTTGCCGCTGGGGTCACCAATCAGGCTGATACCTGAGGACTCGGGTGTCACAGTCTGAATGACTGGTGGAGTGATACCGCTGCTCGTACTACCTGGTGCTGACGAGTCAATCGCTGAAGTCCGTGGCACCTGGCCAGTCGAACCTGTGGAGGGACCGGATGACTGGGAATCACGATGCCCGGCGTTCTTCATCGCAATTTCACCTTCAGCCCACGCTTGGAACTCGGACTGGGATATACACTGGTTACTTGCGCGTAGATTACGAGCGGGGACAGATATATAGGCTTCAAGGAATTTTGACATCATGAGGCCGAGGGCGTGTCTAGGGCAACGTCAGCGGGCTGGAGTTCCAAGGCAAATGAAAACACACTTTTGTCCATAACGACTCAAAACTAAAGGAGGGAAAAATATCAGCCTTGCCAGTGTCCCGGTGATGCATAAATCTCACCGTTCTGACAGGTTTGCAGATCCGCTCGATAACGCATAGCGACCGTGAACTGTTCCGCTCCAATGGCGTGTTGGATAAAATTGGAGAGAATCCGCCCAGTCGTGTAGATGGAGCTGTGCATGTCAGCGGGGCGGTATGTCACATTTGAAGCCTGCTCACAATGCCAGGAGCGACGTCAGTACGAGACTGACATCCAGATTCGTTGGAATCAGGTAGAGGACTCCGATGATGCCCTCAAACGCCTTTTGTATCTGCTGAACGCAGTAAGGGTTCGGGTTGTCCCAGTCCAACATAGCCTCATAAATGAGAGCCAAGGACAGATTTGGCATGATATGGATCATCTGTGTGTCGGGTCAGGGCCCTGATGACGACATGGTTTTTCCCACTCACCAAGATGTCTGCGTCAAACGACTGTCCGGATGACTGGTCCAGGATCTTGAAGAGATTCTTCATTGACACGGGAATGCTGGCTCTGAGATGGATGGTTGGCTTACCCCGCGGCCATCAAGAGGACAACTCACTGGAATCCTGTGATGTCCTTTATCAGTTCCATAAAGTCAGGCCTGGCCAGACCATTGAGCGTATCTCCGGGCACTTGGTCACGCTGGGTCCATGTACGGATCCATTTTGCAGAGCGCCAGGTCAGTGTCGACGCTAGAGCTCTATGTCAGCCAAGTAAATCCGAAAGACAGATCTGCACTGACCTTTGCAAGCGAGCGCGAAAGGGTCCTGGACGGGATGACTGGGACAAGTCAGCTTGGATTTCATCTCAAACGGCTTTTACGTACTGTGTCAGCATGTCCGGAGTGAAAGCGGTCTGCGGATTTGGTGGGATGCTGTCGTCCTGTTGAGATCAATATTAGTACAAGACGAATATTTGCAAGGCTATATACTGACCTTGGAGTGGAAATGTATTGTACTGGCAGGGAACGGTGTCAAGAGTTCCGCAAAGTCGATACTACCGGCCCAGAAGCTATTCAGGGCGAAACCGGCATCCACGATAAAAGTCGCCCAAACTGTCGCTATTCGTTGCTCTCGGTCAAAGGTATCCCTCGGCTCGGTCAACAGCGGTTCCTTGACTGAATTGGCTCGATTTTTGTTCATCAACTCCAAAGCGTGCAGCAATCTGGGCCCAAAAGCTGAAATGATCCAGCCCTGCATTGGCAAGCTCTTGTTGTAATACACTTCGGCGAGGATCGTCTGATTGAATGTCAAATTCGAGTGAAAATTGCAGAAGTATCGGACTCACACTAGCTTGGGCGATCTCTAGCATCGTATTTCCCGGGCCCATCATGCACAATGAAGCAGCTTGTTTCATACTCTTCTCCGCAAGGTCTCCTTGCATCAAGGCAAAATCTTCTGAAATCTCGAGACTCGTCTTGAGGAATTGATTTTTCAAAAGCATTTCCTCCATAGCCTCTGCCGGGACGTTGTTGACCCAAGCAGTATGCGTGGCCGCTGTCGCACAGATAGAATGGAGGAGTGAAGCGTGAGGGAAATCGGGAGATGTCGGAGGCAATCTGACACGCGCGAGCAATGATGCCCTATGCAAGATCCGACCAAAATGAGGCACACTGTTGAAGAATGTTTCAATCAAGTGTTCCAGCAAGAAAGGCGATGGCAGACCGGGAGGCCAATGCATCGGCACCAAAAAGTACGAGCCAAAGTCGAAGGCGTCGAGATTAGGCGCGATGGAGGCTGGAATTGTAGCCTGGCTAGCTATCGGTTGGCTGACATGGACCGGAGGGTTTTGGCCTTTCGGGTTGGAGGTAAGGGCACCTTGTAGCCAGGCAGTAGTTTCGTCGAAAGCTCGACTTGGGGTGGTTGGTTTACGTGGACCAGAGCTGGAAGGTCTTGAGGGGATGGAGTCCGTTGGAGTCAATCCGTTAAGTCGGTGCTCTAGTTCCGCTGACAAGGCCTAATCAGCTGGCTTACGGTTGGAATGAAAACACAAACCCACCTATTCTAGCCATCAAAGCTTCTCGCTCCGTCTCCATACCAATATCGTCATCTCGATGCCTCGTTTGAGCTGGGTTGGCATCTCGCGACCGCTTCTTTCTCTTCTCCTCGCCACTTCGGATTAAGATCGGCATTTCATCTTCAGATCCAGGGTTCGAATCGACCTCGGCATACGTGCAGACCAGCACCGGAAGTTCACTCTTGTTCCGCTGAGCTGCACGTGCGGCGTGATGATAAGACCTCATACATGGCGAACAAGTTGGATGAATCTGTCTCAAACTCAGCATGCCGGAAAGGCGTCCAATCCAAGAACTGCACTCACAGCGTCGCACTTCACCTTCCGCTTCTTGCATTGTAAGCAGGCGTGATTCCTTTTCAGAGGCGCGAACTTGTCGTCCACTGCGCCGGGAGGTGTCGAATTCATTGAATCCGACATGTTGAGCTAAGTGAAGATAAGGTATTAGGGTGCAACGAAGACTGCTTGTCAACCTCGGTCAAGGATTCTCGTTCTCGCGCCAAAAAGGGGTGTTGGATCTGAGGCCAAAGGGGGTTGCGTTCGACTCTGGATCAGTCTGAAGAGGACGAAAGGGACTACGTGGAAGAGGCCCTATAGTCAGGTAATTGTAGACACCACCGATATACGCTGAGTGTTCTCCATAAAGCAAGTCACTTCCGCTCGACCGATGGCCGACGGTCTGGTCCTCCTGTTCACTTCATAAAATTAAATGATCCCACCTCGAAACATATTTTGGAACGTTCGAGGGCTATTTATTGTCATTATTATTAGGCGACCTTCTCCCTCTCTCCTAGCCTGCATTTAAAGCAATCTCACGCCACTTCAGCAGGTGCTCTTGACGGGGATGGTAGGGGACAGATCCGAAGGACCACCATCAACGTCTTGTATCATGAATGCACTGTATCCCGTCAGTCGCCTGCCTTCTATCAAGCACATGCCTCACTATGTGGAGTTGGGTTTGCCAGGGTCTTCAGGTGGCACTTGGAAATGGTAATTGTCGGCTGTGGTGTTGAAAAGAAAGAACGCGGGCTGCCTAGGTCAGCTCCGTGACATGAAGAAGGGCTGACGTGAGGTGAGAATTGTCCGTCGAATCTCAACGTCGCCAGTAGGTTGTAGTGACCAGAACCACCGGTCCATTGGAATGTATAGCCTTGCTCTACGCAAAAGGCTTCAGGCCACTCGCTGGTAAAATGGACATCATCCCTCATCAGCAGCGCGGGCATGCCTGATATGACGGACAGAACTGAAAGGGCAGAAAGAGATAGTGGGTGAAACGAGAACATTTGTCAAGGAGCCAGTGAGACTTGAGTTTGATAGATGGATTCGCTCGAATGACCTTTGTATGAGAGAATGAGAACTCATTTCTATACCGGAGAAGGCTTCACACACTCATCGCTCGCTTACCTACTTCTGCTCCACTTGCCTCAAAGGAGGGCACAGCTTTCATGGTCAGCACTTCATGCTGATGGAGTGTGTGGTGATGCAAGACTCATTCATCGCGGTCTGGACCCGCTATCATCGTGTGACTAATAGCCAAATGAAGCACTATGGCTTTCATCACGCGGTCAGGCCATCTACTGTGGAGTCATAACTGCCTCATGCAACGGAACCCTACGATTTTTGTGCACAGTCTGTGGCGGAAATTTCGAATTCCCGCCACAATGACTCCCTGTCTCTTGTTGAGCTTGAACTACCAACATCTCGGTCTTCCCGGTCGCTTTCTTCTCTTGCAAATAAGATCCACGACTTTCTGAGAGAGGGCTTATATCCCTCCGCCCAGTTTTCGTCCGCGATGGATACACACGGCAGTTCAGAACAAAGGATGGACAAGGATTCTTCGCTCCGGCTCCGGCCCCGACACTGATGGCCGGGAGGGCGACAGCCTAGCCAAGTCGATCGCGTGTCATGGGACAGCGGAGGGCTTCTGCTCGCAATGATCAACATTTAGATAACATCCTCTGAGTCGGATCTCAAGGCATCACCTTATACTCGTCTTCATTTTGTCGATCGCCTGCGCATTAGTGAAACGCTCTTGAACAGTAAAAGATCTTCACGAAAGCATCGGGTGTCCCGTTCTTACCCTCCTTACGAAAGAGGTCTACTCATTAAACGTCATGGACACCGTTCAAGCTCGATTCGATCTTAGCTTTGGACGAACAACGATCTCTAGACCCGCCTCACAGACTGTCGAACTCTTTGAAGACTCGCTGCGACGTTCCAAGCGTCTAGCCTTATCTACTTTTGGGCAGAGTGACGGATGTCAGGAGACCAAGTATCTCTGCGTGATCGAGGGGATGGATACGTCCGCTGATACGGCCGTAAGCATCACGGATCAGGTTTTGCAAGGCATGGAGATGGACGAATTCCCAGAGGTGATGACGAATACGAGTTGCACTCACACCAACGAATCTGGCAAGACCCTTATGCAGCGTGTCTTCGATGGCTTAGTAAGCAGGGGCGAGAATTGGCATGTCACCATTTATGGCGAGCCATACACAAACGGAGCGACTCTTGGTGCTGAACTCATTCCGACAGAGGAGGCAAACCAGCTACTGGCCTCCATCAAGAACAGGTCTCCGTGGCCCTGCTCCTCTTTCTTGGCGATTACTCGTCGTGTGTGAGTTTGGGAGACGATTGGTCTCGCAGTCTGCCGGGCTGCGAGACGACGAGTCGACTCAACATCCCGTACGCGCTATTTCAGCCCAGACGCATGAATGAATCTTTCATAAATCCCTAAATCTCGTCCTGTTGCTCACAGTCTCCGACTGGATGTGCAGTAGCATGACAGCACAGTCCTGTGTGCTGGTCTCCATCCATGTCCTCCTCATATGGACTTTCGACGATAATTCTAGCCCCAGTGCGTCAAGAGCAGGGATGAAACACTGTTCCCAGGAGATACTTTGTCTGAGTCGTTTAGGATTTACACAGAGAGGGCCGCGGGAAGGGTTTCGTTGTCGCCCCGGCCTTGCCTCCCAGATAGAGTGAGACATGATGAGAGAAGAGGCGCCTCGATCTAACATGACAGACAACTTGGAGAAGAGTCTTGTCCCGCAGCCGACATCGCTGTACGGTGTGCATACATGTTGGTCACGAGATCCCCTTTGAGGCAGCTTCCGAAACGGAAACGCTCTGCTGATGACAGCTCCCGTGTCCTACTTTCAAACTGGCAAGTGGTCTCGCCTGCCCAGCTGAGAAGATCCACTTCAAGAGTACCTTGCTTTCCGAACAATGGACTGCACACCATCGGCGAACAACAGTCGGGCGTAAAGGGTGTGTACCCAAGATAAGGCACCATCCAAAACACTTAGTGATCCATTTGGGTTGCAGCGGAATGCTTCCAGGCTAATCTCGATAAGCGGAGTATCGGGACTCGATGTCGAGGGCAGACGCGTCACCATGAAGCGATGACAGCCAGCGAAAGTTGTTCGTTCAGATCCGAATGTGAAGTCCACATGGCTGGTACTGGGCATGACCGCTTTCGATAACTTCAGGTCCGAGATCCTGAATGTTCCAAAGTAAAGCGACTCTAGGGGATCGAGATGTGAGCTGGAAATTTCGTTGGCCCTCCACACTTGTCGACTTCCACTAGGATCTCTGACATCTGGCATCGAGCGTCATTTGTCCGGACCCTTTCATCGACCCTCGACGGCCTCACCGTTCTCACTCCCTAGGATGAGTCTATACATTCCAAGCCGCAGCAAGATCTCCTCAGGATAGAATGCGAAACCAGCGAAAAACCCTTTCGTGAATGCAGCGAGAATGGTCTCGTCATTCAGGCCTCTGATCTCTTCGGCCGTCAGACGCTGGCGTATTGAGTCGGATTTTGTCTCGCAAGACCTAGGGTTGATGAGATGAAAAGTGGGGGAATTCAGGAATGTAGCTGATGCTCGGTGTTCGTAGAAGGCACGCTTGAACAAAGAGTCGAGGAACCATCGACCAGGCAGCCTGTTCATACCTCCAGGTGGCTGTTCCGTCGTCTCTATGCCAGTCCGAGTGTATGGGATGAATGGATCATTGGTCTCCAGACGAGGTCTTGAAACAAGGCTTTTGCCATCCCGATTAGGCCCGTGAAACCGGATCTGATAAGATTTGCCGGTCTCCGTTCCGATTTTGTCCGTCGATTGATCTTCGCGAGACGCAGTATTATATGGCGAACAGATCAACGTGATGGCATTCAGAGCGATGCTAAGTCACGAAAGCACTCTGGAACCAGATTACAGGGCGAGATTGACATTGAGTTTGCAGGCATCGAATGTCATATCGACAAACTTGGACCGAGCCCAGCCGCACGAGCTGTTCCCACGAATCGGGGGAAGTTCTCGGACGCGCGCTACCAGCGTGTAAGCACCGGCACACCCTTCCCTTCAGGCCTACTGCGCGGCTCATCGCGGCAGACTGACTCATCTCGGCAGACTGACTCAGCTGAAAGGATATCAAGCTTGTGTCAGGCTTTCGAAACTAGGCCTCTCTGTGGCGTGGCAGCCCCATTTGAAGTAGGTCCGCGGAAAGAAGGCGATGGGATAGCAGCACATACAAGATGGCTCCTCAGTCCTCTTGATGATCTGCATATACATCCGCGTTCACACTTTCTCGGAAGCTACGAACATCAGCATCACCCAAACATGTCAAGCGTGTGGACTCCGCAATCGAGGATTGTACAGCTATTTGCCGAAAACCAAAGCAAATCTCAGGGCAAGCGATCGCAGAACTCGTTCGAACATGGGGCAGTGTCCACAACAACTGGGACTGGACTTCCCAAAGGGTTCTCGAAGCATTACCTAAGGGGCGAGCTTCCCGAGATGTTCTACGCAGGTGAGGTTGATCACCTCAAGGATTTAGTCCAAGGAGACCGCCCAAAGTGCAGACAAGGATACCTCGCTTACTCTGAGGTCATTTGGCAGTAAGGAGGTCGAGACAGGCATATCACACCCTTTCGCTATGGCGCTACGCTTGGACGACGAGGTTGACGCTCTTTCTGACCGGGAGACTGACGAGTACCTCCATCTCATCGAAGACGGCAACCGCACCGCCTTTGAATCCGATCAGGGTCAAGAGGCAATGAACGAAGCTGCATACAAATTGACCTATGGGCACAGTTGTACCTTGACTATCCGGTCAGATGCTGAGCAAGGCGCAGTGACTGTCAATCCGATGAAAAATTCAGATCGCTCGGAGCTCATGGACGAGTACGTGACGAACAGAGGAGGGCACAGTAGCACATATCTCACCTTAACGATCGAACGACCTCCAGGAGCTTTGGGCTCATCAACAAGCTCCGAGTCTGAGTAGAGCGACCTGCTCTCCTCGGAGTCTACTTCCAACAGCACGTACTCCTTCCGTCACGTAGAATAGAGTCATCGCATGCATTTTTCACCTCGATCTGAATGCTCGTTGCTTGTCTCTTGCACAGTCATATACATCATGTCAAAACTATAGTCCTCCAGCAGCATCGAGTATCTCCACTCGTCTACCGAGCCGCTGACCTTGAACACTGTGGACCAGGGAAGAGTCGCCTATCGCCACAATCCCGCTCCATGCAGCGCATACTGTCAAAGCTATTCCACCTCGACTCTATGAGAGCACTGAGGACTATTAGCTGTCTTAACCAAGTTACGAATGACTCACCCATTGGCTCCTCCGCTCCATCACCGACTGTCCGTTCCATCGCCTTGTTTGAGAAATACCTAAGACACCATCAGCTTCGTCTTGCCACTGCAGCTTATCTGTGCTCACCTGACATCGGCATCGGTGTCATTTTGCAGCTTGCTGACTGCGGGAATAATGCGCCTCTGTATCAACTCCTGGCCGTCGGGCGATGTACTCAAGACTCCTGCGAGAGTCTCCAGACACTTTGCGACGTTGAATCGAATATTTGGGATAGGATCTTCGGAGAGGGAGAGGGCGGCATCTAAAACAGTGTCCCGGATGATTTGGACGTTAAGGGAGGATGCCATGGTCTGCGGCTGCGTCAGACTATGCAATCGCAGAAACGTGTCAAGACTCACGGTAATGGCAAAAATGGTGGTCATGCGGTAGAGGTAGTTAGGGTGGTCTCCCATCTCCAAGACCTTTGGAATGATGGTTGCTCTAGCCCATTCAACGCCGAATACATCGGTGAGCTTTTTGAGGTTGATGGTGGCCGCTTCCCGGATCGAGAATACAGTGTCTCCAAGCCAGGACATGCAGAGTGCCCCAAGTTTATCGTCAAAGAACTGAACACCGAGTTGAGTGGCCAGCAGAGGAATGTATTCAATAATTGCCTGTCGGACACGCCATTGTTTGTCTTCAGCGAGCTCAATGATCGCCGGCAGTAAAGCCTGCGATAGGCGCTCAATGCCAATGACTGAGATTGCCTGTCAGCTTCCACGGACACAGAGCGCAATCTACGCACCGTTGTTCACCATCTCCAGCTTGCTAATGAGGTTAAGCCTGACCTCGCTGAAATCATCCTTGAGCAGTTGAAGGAAGAGCGGGAGCAGGTGTTCGATTGTCAGATCCTTGCCAAGTAACGGTGCAAGGCCGGAGATCTGCATGGCCAGCGCCGCTCTGACATGTTGACTAGAGTCGGTGGACAGATCCTTGACGCAAGGCAACAGTCTAGACAGGATTGTATCACGGTCAACCAATTTAGCAAACCCTATGAAACCGGCATCAGCGAGCGAAACAAAACCAAGAATCCTCCACGTACCAGGAATCTGGCCTGCACCGGCAGTTCTCACTTCCGCCTCGTTGTCTTTCAACAGACCCACAAAGGCTCTGACAAGCTCGTCTCGCACAATATTCTCTCCGACAGCCTCGGCCAGTCCAACAAACTCATTGGCGACCATGTACCTCACTCTCCAGCTCTTATCCGACACGGAAGCTCGCATGACATCTAGCAAGTACTCTTTGACTTCTTCTGGAGACAGGTTTTGGGCGAACGCAATGAGATCGGGAATGGTGAGGAGTCGAACAGAGTCTTGATCGTCAGACGCGAGTTTGCGGTACAGGGGAAGGAGATCAGAGATGAGAAGTGATTTTTGACCGGGAACAGAAGCGACAGCTTTGGCCAACGGCTGAGAGCGGGACATATCAGCCTCCAGCTATTTTCTATTTGGTTGTGAATGTATAACTCACTCCAAGAGCCTTGGCAACTGCCCGTCTGACCATTGGTGTGTCGTCAGACCCTAATTGCTGGAACATGCGCCTCATCTCCGCCTGCATCTCGGTCGGTGCTTTTGGATACGGCGCGGCGTAGAGGGCACATGCTGACGTCCGGGAAGTGAACCAGTCGCCGCCTGACAGGCGCTTAAGCAAGGGCAGGAAGTGTTGGTCGAGAGCTTGAGGCGAGATCTGAACGGTGATCTTGGAGATACTCTCAGCAGCCTGAGTGGTTCCTGTCAGTGCGATTCTTGAAGTAGCAGAGCCTGCGGATCACCCACCTTGTCCCGGACGAGGGTCTCCTCTACCGCAGCGAGATTTTCTAATGGTCCCAATACTGTCCATGCCCATTCTTTGCCTCCGACGTACTCTGCAAATCCACCCAGCTCCTCTGCAAGCACCAGAAGCACTTCGTCTTCGTCATCCAGTTGGTCCTGCGGAAAAGTGGCATCAGCGGGGGCACGAATGATGGAGGAAATCCACAGCAACATCCAAGCACGTCTAGATCCTCCTTTCCCCCAATGCCATTCTACTTCATGATGCCATTCCTCAACCCAAGCTAACAAATCATGGCATGAGGTGTTGACTCACTTGCAGGAAAGGAATCAATTCTTCCCTCGTGCGTTGGGGACCTAAAGCAAGTGCGATGGTTGATAGGCGACGAATCGACGTCAATCTAAGCATCACATCCTCTGACTTGAGCTCATCCATGAGCAAATGGATAGGGTAGACCGAATCGTCCGCCATGATGGAAAGAGGGAGACGTGACAGGTCGGGTTCTAGAATTGTTGCGAGCCCGATTACGCTAGAGCGATATCAGCTCTTCGCTGGCAGTCTCCTGGTTCTGTCGGATCTTTGACCGTGATGCGCAGGAATTTGTGAAGGCGTTGTATAAGCAGACTACGATGAAAGGAGTGAGCCTCGTCCAAAGTCTCCGCGAATGGACCATCACAACGCGCGCAAGTGGACCTCCTCACTGACCCCGGCTAATCGGCATTTTCTCTCAATGTGGCACATTTTAGTAAGAGTCATCCTTTTAAGTGTTGTATCAACGATCGCATGCTTGCACCGCTCATAATGCTGACCGAGTCCGAGCTACACATGTACAGAGAGTTCTTCTAATCCACATCCATCTCTTGAATCTGAGGTCCATCCTCAGCCTCAACGTCCATCTTGTCGTCCTCAGCCTTCTTCTTCGATGGGTCCTCTTTAGGAGTCTGTTGACCGCTCGCAGGGGTAGACTCGGTAGTCTTGGGTCGAGGCTTGGGTCGGTTCATTATGCTTGCTCCGGTATACCTGACCTCTTCGGCCCGTTTCAAGATCTCAGCAGAGGTGATGACGGGATCGGTGTTCTTGGGTCGTTCAGCTTGACGAGCAAGCTTGTCATCGAGCCACTGAGAGTTGGTAGCGCACTTCTCAATCTATCCATAATGTCAGCGGGTTTGACACGGATTGATATGAAAGGCAACTTACCACCTTGTTTTTGTCCTCCTCGGGGATATGAGAGTACTGCTCGGAGTCGTTCTGTGCCAAAGAGAGGTACATGTTGGTGGCTTCCCTCAATTCGGCGGCGGCCTTGGGTCTCGCCTCATTCTCCTTCCACCGTGAGACGACCGGATCACTGATAGCCTTGAGTTTGTCCAACTTGGCGACGTAGGCAGACTTGGTCGCATCCTCTCCCTCCTCAGTGTACAGCCAGTCCTCGGCCTCCTGACAGCCTTCAAGCAGGGCAGATTTCTCCTTCTCCTGAACGTAGATGGCGTATCGGTCCTCCAGCTTGCCTCGCATGTCGTAGACGTATTCCTCGAGAGCATTTTTGCGTTCCTGGCGATGCATCAGCATCGCACTTCTGCGCATTAGTACTACGGCTCACCTCAGTCTCCAAGACCAGCTTGTCCTCGGCGTGCATCTTGCCCTCTTGCTCAGTGGCGTCATCGACGGCAGACTTGGACAGGCTGGTGTACTGCCCGATAACAGAGCAGTCTCCGGTCCTCTGCAACTTCTTGACCATCTTCTTCTCCTCCTTCTTGTCCTCTCCCTCGCCGACGGTGGTAACCTCCTCCCTCTCGACCTCCTCGACCATATAAGCGCCCTCAAAGTTCATGATACCGTGCAAGTTGAGTCGAGCCTTGACCTTGACACATGCCAGGTCTCCATTGGCAGGCTTGGTGACGTTCTTGACGGTATATTTTCCGATCCAGGGGTTGATAGCACCGGGCAACTTGGCCGATGCATCATAAGCAGCCTCGAGTTCGAAAGGTCCCTGTCGGTAGAATGTGAGGATCTTGGTAGACGGGATAGGGTTGGATTTGGGGAAGACAACGAGTTCAGTGTCCTCGTCGGGGTTGCCGGCCTCCTTCTCCCACGAGACCTTGATAGGGTAAGGAGTGATGTCGTGGATGGCGAATTCTCTGACTCGGAAAACGGGTGAAAGGGAGGCACACGCCAAAGTGGCACCTCGAGCGACGGCTTCCTCCTGGTTCAGAGTGAAACTGAGGGATTTTCCAGGGAAGCAGGAAGCCAAAGCCTCCTTGACAGCGGGAATACGGGTTGAGCCTCCAACAAGCTCGATAGCGTCAATCTGGTCGGCAGTAAGTCCGGCAGCGGCGATGGCCTCCTTGACGGGGTCGACGACTCGAGTGAGGAGGTGCTCAGTGAGCTTTTCGAATTGTTCACGGGTCAAGGATGAGCTTGCGTCAATGTCGTTCATCAAGGACTCGACATTGATGGGGGCCTCGGCGTTGGCGGACAAGATCTTCTTCAGTCGTTCACAGCCAGTAGCCAATCGGAAGACAGCTTTCGGTGAAGACATGACATCGACCTTGTACTTTGCACTGAACTCTGTAGCGAAATGTTGTAAGAGGGCGTAGTCAAAGTCCCGTCCACCAAAATTTCTGTCGTATGCAGTCGACTTGACGGTCAATTGACCTTGAGAGAAGGCGACAACGGCCACGGAGAAGTTGGAGTGACCAACGTCGACAAAGCAAACGTGACGAGCGTTTTCAGGGCTCTCAGGGAGCTCCTTGGTGATACCGTATCCAAGGGCGATAGCAGTAGTGTCGTTGATCAAACGTAGAGGGTTGAGTCCGGCCATCTGTGCCGCATCGAGCATAGCTCGACGTTGGACATCGGTGTACCAACCCGGAATGGCAATGACGACATCTGAGATGGTTTGCTTGAGCTCGTTACCAGCGATATCGCGGAGCTTGCCAAGGTAGGCGGCGACAAGCTGAGTATAAGAGAAGGTAGCAGGCTCTCCAAGGTAGTTGACCTGATACAGGGCGTCAATAAAGGGTCCGCATGATAGCTCTAGCCAGCATACCTTGACTCCAGCGGTGCCATTCACATCCACTAATTCCGCATTGATGTGCTTCTTCTCAAATTCTGCGACTTCTGGGTCAGATAGACTCCTTCCCAACATTCGCTTCAACGATCCGACAGTGTTCTTGAAGTTGGAGGTCTCTGCGGTCTTGGCAGCCTCTCCAATAAACCGTTGACGAGGAGTGAAGGAGATGAGGGAGCTAGAGAGAGGTCAATGCAAGTCGGGCAGGAGCTCGATATACTCACGGAGTTGCTCGATTTGACACTTCATTAGTGATGATGTCGATACCCTTTCTTCGAGCAACACCAATCTTGGAACTGAGGTTACCAAGATCGATACCGACGACACTCTGAGAGGTTCGAGTTAGCATACCGTACCGTGAACAAAGGGCGACGCAGCACTCACGGCCATGGTGAAATGAGCTTTTGTTGAGGTCTCGAGACTGGCGAGGATAGTTCAGATGCTATCTCAAACGGGCTTTGCGATTCAATCCACTGGCAAAAGTCTTAGATAGCTAATCACTGGACAGTTGGAACAGCTCGAATCCTTTTCGTTGAAAAAACACGTTGAGGATGGATTATTCTCGAGAAGTCTGGCAAACTCTTTTTTTTTTTTGGGATTTGATTCCGCATTTTATGACGTGGCATTTTGGGCTCTTGCTAATCAACACTTGCCCAACGCGACGGTTTTTCCTCATTTTCGAGATGGCGGTCCCATTTTCAACCTGTCGCCTCTGACGCCTCTTTGACATTCTCTGCTCAGTTCAGCGCCTCTTCCTGCCCTCACACAGGCCAAGGCCGCTCACCAGCAACGCAGAGTCATATCCCACACCAGCCTCTCCCCATATGCATCCATCAAGCTCCAGGACCAACGCCACAGCCTGTCATTTTACCCGAATCCGATTACATTTATTGACAAGAACGACGCCCTGGCTGACCATTGACCAGACAAGTGACAGACAGACACGAAGGATAAGTAAGAGATGAAATAGTTTAGGAACGGATGATCTTCCACTAGCTGTTTTCAACTTTCACTAACCATATTGCGCTGGTCGCATCCATACACGATGCGTCTTTCCACACTCCTTTTAGTCCCAGCTGTCCTATCGACGTCCAATGCGATACACACTCATCACAAAGCTGTTCGCAATGCCCCTTACCTCGCTTCCAGCGTTCAGTCGAATGACAGCTCGTCCCAGACGGGGGCAGATGCCTCCGTGGCTGGGTCCAGAGCGGCACTCGAGCAACATGGACGAGACCAGATCGCCTTGATGGCGCATGGGGTCGGCAAGCGGAGTACACCTCACAAGCAAGTGGTCCGAAAACGAGGTAGAGGCCAGAGCAAGAGGGGCCAGATTCGAAGAGTCATCCGTCGGTCCACGATTTGTTCCACTCAAGGCGGATCCTCACCGTCCTCATCGGCGAGTATGTCGGCCAGCACGACGGCCAGCAGCTCCATGTCGAGCGAAAGTGTATCCTCCGCAGCTTCTAGCCTTGCTAGTTCGACCTCGATCCAGGCATCCCAATCAAGCTCAACAATGAGCTCAAGCTCCACGATGCGGATGAGCTCCGCCTCGTCGATAAGATCCTCCAGCACTAGTAGCTCGACCATATCCACGAGCTCTGCTGTTCCTTCCACCTCTACCCAGTCTAGCCTGGCAACATCTTCCCAAACACCTGTGACTTCAGTCATCAGTAAGGCCTCATCTATCACTTCCAAGACTTCGACAAGCTCTGCTATGTCTACCTCCGCCAAGGTGAACATAGTGTCGAGCTCCTCGAAGTCCACAAGTACATCCTCTCCAACCACCTCGACGGTGACGAGGAGTACTTCCATCGCTGCCCAGAGCTCGGCCACTAGATCAAGCAGTGTCAAGACTTCCTTCTCCTCGTCGACACAGTCCAAGACCTCGACAACGCAGACGGCCACCAGTGTTACACACACTACATCTTCGGCTGCTCCTGTCAAGACTCAGTCTGTGACGGTTGATCCAGATGGTGTGGGACCATTCTCAGGATGGGGAACATGGTTTGATGACGGACTCGGAGCGTGTGGCTGGTACAATCAGCCTGGTGATCCGTGAGTTGGGCGGCAGCGCATGAGATGAGGACTAGAACTGACGCACATGGCAGGATTGTCGCCGTCTCTCAGCAGCTGTTTGACAACTGGCCGTGAGTATTCTAGCATCCTGTTCCATCTCGCTCACGCCGTGCTTCAGTGGATACAACGGTCTCAATCCGAATGACAACCCTATCTGTGGGCATCACCTTGCCATCACCTGTAAGTTGTCATGCTTCTCACGGTCCCATTCGCTGACTCGTTCTCAGGGGGCAACGTCACTGTTGTGGCGGAAGTAGCGGACATGTGCCCGGGCTGTGCCGAGAGATCTCTCGACATGTCACAGGGTCTTTTCGAGCAGTTTGCCGACCTGGATGTCGGTCTTCTCGGAGGAGTGGACTATACACCAAACATCACCTGGTCATGGGTGTCTGGAACTGGGTCTCTTCCCACCTTGCCAGTAAACGTAGACGGACAATAATCAACATTAATCCTCATGTAATGCTCTGGAAGCACATTTGCAACTTCATCCTGATTTTGACCATGACAGCAGACAAATTGCATTCAGAAAGCAAAAAGCAAACTGAGCGAAGGGATATCGTCCTTACTCGCAATCAGCCACAGTCCAGTGAGAAATTCAGAGCCAACATCTATGGCACGTAACGGAAACCTATTCTTGTCGTTAGCAGTTGCATCCAGGATTTGTGAAGTGACACTCACCTGGAGCGAGATCGTGCTGTTCCATAGTGTCCAGAGCGGCGCCTCGTGGAGGTCGTCCACCCTCAACCTTATCCCTTCTCTTGTTCTCCCATCGATAGTAGAGACTCATACCCAGAACCAGGACAAGTCCGAGACACTGGAACGCGACATTGATGATACAGCCCTTTCTGAATTGCGGCTTCTCAGTCGATGGGAACCTGTAATGGTAATGTCAGCGTATGGCGAACGCAGAAAAACAAGCTCACATAAAAGCAGCAGCCAATCCGAGACATTGGCCAAGAGAGTTGAGCATACCGAGCGAAGTTGCTCGCTGGGATTGGTTTCCAGTGTTTCCAGATTGCCAGGCTGGGCGGAGAAAATTAGCTAAAGGGCTCGGAACGAGCGCGGATATGCTTACAAATGATAATGGGGATATTGGTGTATCCAGCAGTGACAACGCAAATGCAGCCGAAGTATCTGACATGGAGCTCGGTGGCGGTGGGGTGGTGCGCTGGTACAGCAAGGAGGATGGCCCATCCTACGATTCCTATGACGAAGACGGCAGTTGCAGGAATTCCACGGGTCTGGTATCGATCAGAGTAGGTTGTCAAGAGCAACATGAAGACGAGAGCGACGACGTATGGTGGCACAGTGAAGAGTTGAGCCTGGCGGATGGGTTAACGCAGCTCATGGCGACGACAGGGACCCTCACTTTGGCATTGGAGTATCCGAGACCCTTGATGATGGTTGGCAAGAAGCCACCCACGGATCCAAGACCGAGATTCATGCAAGAGTACCTGTAATTGATGAGTTTCTGACACAAATCACGAGTCACAGGTCAACTTACGAGATGGACACGACGTAAGTCTTCCAATCAGTCAAGCATCTCGTAACGCCTCGGAGGTCAACGCCGGTGTGCTGCTCCACAGAGCTATCTGCGTTCAAGCGAGTGAGGCAAAGGGTTCGTTCGTCTTCAGAAAGCAATTTGGAGGTTTCTGGCCGGGAAGGCATGAAGAGTGCCACACAGACGGCGAGGACGAAGGAGGGAAGACCCTCAATGAGGAAGAGGACCTTCCAAGCTTCAATCTTGGGATGGTGGATCGAGCTGACTCCATAGCTGTCCAGCTCGAGTCAGTGAATGGGCTCTGAGATGACGAGTAGGTGGCTCACCTGATCAATCCAGTGAACGCTCCGGAGAGAGCACCGGCAGATATGAAGAGACCAACTCGCTTTGCGAGGTCCTTCTTGGTGTACCAGAGACTCAGATGAAACGCCTAATTTTCCACCTTAGTTTTCATCGAAGATAGATCTACTACTTACCATCGCCTGACCGAACATAGCCTCCCCAACACCCACGATCAACTACAGTCAGGTCAGTACACCATGCACAGCGCGTACGTCTACCTAGTCACTCACCCGACAAACGAAGAGTCCGGCTCGGTTGAAGGCTGCTGCCTGCAGCGTAGCACCGAGGGACCAGGTCAAAGCGCCAATTGCGATGGTGTAGGAGGGATTGAACTGCTTTGCGAGAAGAGTTCCAGGGATCTGGAGGCAAGTCAGCGATGTAAATCGAGAAGCGGCCGGCTGCACTGACAGAAAATAGAATATACGTGATCTAAGGCACCATCGATCAGTCACAATCAAAAGCTATAGTTTTGATGCGGCAGCTCACGAAGAAACAGGAGAGAGCGATGGAGTAGTTGGTGTCGGATCCGTTGAGGACTTGAGCCTCGAGACCTTGGAGTCGAGCATTTCCCCTTAGCAGAGAGCGTCAGTCATGTGGCGGCCGAGCTCAAGGTTTCCAGACCCACAAATTTCCTCTATCCAGGTAAGCACTGAGATACAATAACACAGCGAATGGGAGGATAGTCAAGTCGAGCTTTAACAACAGCTTTCGAGTGGCGACTGCGTGCTCGTGTCTGTGAGTGAGACCAGCTTCAGAGTGAGAGCTTGACTGGATAGCAAAAATCAGCGTCAAGTCCTTTTGCCGTCGCTTGCTTGCTTCTGACGATCCGACTCACCTTCTCAGGGTCAGTCTGTCGTGTGCCTGTCTGTGCGAGACTCGCAGTGTAGTCACGTCCGCCTTCAGTGTCTTCAACCTCAGTCAATCCTTGACCCGGCTTGATTTCTGTGGTTTCGTCCGCAAACGCTGCGTGTCGCGACATGATGTTGTCTGAGAGAGGGAGTTGTGTGGAAGAAGAAACTGTCACGACTTCTTGGTCGTCTTTGAGAAGAGAGAAACCTTGCTCCCCGCCTCCCTCTCTCTCTCTCTCCAAAATGATTTCGAATCGGATACATTCGGCATTTAAAAGTTGTCTCACGCCTCCTCAGAGATTCGAAATAGTCAATTCTTCGGTGATTCCAAAAATAGCACAACCCCACACTCGGCGCCGTCGGATTTACGGCCGTGCAGGTCTCGAGCATAATGACATATGTTGAGGAGTAGCCATGCGAGAGATGCGGGGCAACCGTGGCTCTCTGGGGCATCCGGGGCGTCTGGGAAGGGCTCAGATGCGTGGCCATCGCGGAACGGTGTAAAGCAGACCTAGCGGCAGACGTTCATGCTCACTCGATATGATGCTGATCGGATTTATGACTACAACAGGACGAGTTCGTTGACCCACATCAACCTCGAGAATGCCAAGTACAGCCATCTAAACCATACAAGCTGTGATCTGTGCTCGAGCATACCCCGTATACCCGCCCACCATTGTCGAGGGGAGGAGATAACAATCGCGACGTCTGGGTCAGACCTTGAGAAAAGCTTGTGATACAGTATCCACAGTACGCCAGTAAACTTGGACAGTACACTCGGTGACTTCAGGGTGATGACTTTGACGGCTGGGCCGATCGCTTGAGCAGCTCTGGGCAGGTTCATGTGGTTCGGATGCTGCGTTACACCGTAGGCGTCGAAAGTGAGTATCTAAAAACACCATTAGACTGTTACATCCTGCTTGTGCCTGAGGAGGGGAACACTCACGTGCTTCACAGGTTGCTTTTCAAGGTGTGCCTGAAGGTACGGTAGGATATGGGCCTCAGGTTCCCATATAATGTTCATTCCATCTTGAAGTGATCTGCGCCGGGTCAGTCCATCAGCTGAGTTCAGAGAGAGCTAGCTGTACAACTCACGGCTCATCCAGATGATATACTTTATCTGCACTCACACCCAGTATCCTATAGCTCTCCACGAGCTCCCGCTTTCGAATCTCTCCCAAGCCCGTCGCATTACCTGTACTCGGTCGGTGTATGAGCTTTCAAGAGCCTGCCTGTTTCGACTCCACTCACCGGTGCTGAGGCAGAGACCATACACGTCCCATCCGCTTTCTATCAAATACAATATGCTCGGCGCAAAGAACATGGCTTCATCATCAGGATGAGCGGTCAAGACGAGGACAGACCGCTCCTGGTGGTCCTCCTTTCCATTCCCAGCTTGTAGCAATGACTCCAGGTCGAGGACCTGCGGGGCATTCCACAGCCTCACCACCAGCGCAGCCAGGATGATCGGCAGCCATAGCCGATGATAGAGGATCGTCATGACATGGGTGCTCGACAATGTACTTATACTAGAATTCCGCCATGCTCTCATTCTCAGCATAGGGTACCCAATTTTGATCCGAAATGTAATCATTACCCAATGCGGAGCCCCAATGTTGTCATTGACATCTTCTTGTCAGATCCTTCCTTCTAATTGACCACGGATCTTCGAACCATCTATAAACCAACAGCGATACCATGAGATAGGAGTGAGAGGGCAGGATGGTCTCATCAAGACGTCATGGGCCTTCTCAAGGACCCAAACCGTCTGTTCCGTTGCCGCTGCCCATTCATTTTGGGGCTTTGCCTACTCGCCTCCCTGGAAAGACGTTGATACCAGTTCTGTCCACTTTGATCGTGAGGCTTCCGTGCGCAGGCAGTCAATGATGATCCTGATGACTCTCATGACAGAATTCCGTGCCCATCTACTTGACCCTGTCTCCGACACACGAGCCCCACCTATCTGTCCTTCCCCTGCTTCTGTCCCTGGTACCACCACTGGCACCTCTACAAATATTGACAACACTCAAGCTTCACCAGGGAGAGTATTCGCTGGAACTGAATGGTGAAGCTCCTTTCATCGACTTTTGGGTCTCTTTTGATAAGGCTCGAGAAATCTGTGATTATCTCGGAGTCTCCAGGCTATTCTGGGATGAGAAGGACAAGGCCAAGGGGCTGTTGGGAAAAGACGTACAGCGAGCGGTCAGCTGGGACGAGAGCCATGCGCTAGGCCACAAGTGAGATTGATAGAGCTACAAAGATTGACTATGATATTATCTCAGCTGGCTGCCATCCCCTGCGAGTCTTCCGCCTTCCAGCTACTCGCTGAGTGCGCTGTTGGACACTCCGTTTGGCAGTATATCGCTAATCCCTGGCGAGCGATGTGTGAGTCGTGGTGCTGAGTCAGACTCTGATGCAATTCGATCACCAGATCACGTCGCCCATAGACGACGGAAGAAGATCATATCTACGTTCGAAGGCCGTCTCTGATAACCCCAGCCAGATTCGACCAGGACACTGGCATGAAGCTTGGGATGCCCTTCTGACCTGGACAATAGAGTAAGTTAAATAACGTCATGTACATGTAGTCTAAAAACTGCACAGAGCATGGGAAGGGTATATTGAGAATCCAGTGAGTCGCGTTGTATAGGTTTTCCACTGAAACCCAGTCACAACCTGATCCCGGACCCTCTAGTCGAAGACGCCCTGCAGCACCACAGACCCTTCTATCCCTGATGCCTGTCCTTTTGTCTCCAAATCAACCTGCCTTCACTCCGTCCCCTTACGATATCTACGCTCTGAGACCTTCTAAATCCGAGCCGAAGTCAATTGTGCAAAATGCCTGGGAATTACTCTGGCAGGTGTCTCCGTTGTACAGACAGCCGCTGCCAGAGGTTCGGGCCACACAACGTCAAGCGAGGGTCAATTTGGGTCTCGCAGAGAGTGTGGGATTGACGATGGTGGCTATGTGGCGAGCCCACATTGCGATAAACCGAGACCGAGCGAGCAGCGAACACGTCCCGAGAATCATCATTGATTGCTCACATGGCTCCCAAACAGAACAAGAGCAGAAGGGGGAAAAGAACAGTCAAGAGGGGTTCGAAGCAAGCGAACTGACTTTCGTATGAGGATTTAGAGAAACGCCGACAATCTTCACCACCTCGAATGACGAGGCGACGCAAACGGAAATCTCGATTGCCCGGCCGTCCTGCTTCGTCTCGGAAGGTCATCTCAAATGGACGCTCAGAAAAGTATGAGAAGGCTGCACAGTGGCTTCAGGAAGGAGAAGACGGTCTCGAGCGCTTGGCTACACCGATTAACCCCGAAGCGGTGTCTCATCTGTCAGCGCCTGATCAGCGACAGCCAATTGAGGCACATTTACGGTCCAACCATGAGGAGACAGGGATACCCAATGATCACCTTGACCACATTCCCGGGGACAATGGGGAAGATCGATTGAAAAAGCATCGAGAAGTACCTCTGGACGATGGAGGGAAGGCAGTGCGGGACGGAAAAGCAGCACGCAGCGCAGGGTATCGATCAGTAGATGCGACAGAAGATATACCGCAAGACCTGCCATGGGATGCGGCGGTAGAAGAGTCAGGAGACCCCCCAAGAGAAGCGCCAGAGCACAAGGCACAGCGCGCAGTCGAGATCGGTGGGCAGGGCATGGAGGAGGGTGTAGGAGAACGCCCGGAGCGGGACATGAGTCAGGGCGAGGCCGACGCCACGGAACATGGGAATGAGCCAGCGACAGAGCAAGTTCAGGGCCGGCGGGCTGATGATCATTCAGTGGAGAATGGACAGGGCGAATCTGAGAGCAATTCCGAAAGGACCATGGAAAGGGATATAGATGGCGACGAAACGGCTCGACGCATAGCAAGTGGGTCTGCGGCTGTCGATGAGAAGGAGCATCTGGTCAGGGAACAGTGGATCCGCGACGAGGCTATCAAGGCCGCTAGCATACCTTGGTGGATTATTGGCAGCTGCATCCTGATCCCTGCGTTGGCGATCATTCTAGGTCGATCGGTACATTACCCGTTTTTTGGACTTTTCAACTCTGTTATGGCGATCATCTCCAGCTTCTGCGTCTTCTTCAGACATGGCGTCCTGTTTCTAACTCTACGAGGAGAGGCCTTGCGGACATATTGGTTTACACTATGGCAACAGCGACATATCGCTTTCACATCTTTAGACGACTTTGGGCAATTCACTCGGAAGGTGGCGAATGCTACTTGGCAGGTTGTGGATAGTACCAAGTCACGAGTGGGGATTGGATCGAATTAATGGATGCATAGGTCCAGGCAGACGACTTGACAGTATACACATAATCGAGGCCAGATGAAAAGCAATATTGTCGAATCAACACCATCGAGATAACCAGTACTCCAAGCCAGGCATGGGCTTCGTTCAGCCTCTAATGAGTCATCTGAGGCGGCAGGTCCTTCTTGTCTGCATCTTGTGTCATTTCAATGGCACCGGTGTTGGCGGTGTGATGGCCCGCTGGCAAAGCACCACCGTGGATCGCGGACTTTTCCAGTTCTTCAACATGAACGACACGTTCGACGTCATAGTTCGTGTCTCGGCACTTGTACAGGACAAAGGCACAGAGGGGCAGAGAGATGAGGAGCATGAGCCAAGAGACCAAGAGTTCAGTCAAGAATGGAGTCTAAAGGTACATTATCATCAGCACCTCGCATCTAAGAGGGGACAATGATAACTTCACCTTGACTGCATCCATACCGAAGGAAACGGCTGCTCCGGCAGATTGCACACCCTTGTAGTATCCAGCCATTCGAGCGAGCTTGAATGGGTCGTTGGTCATGGCACTCATGGTGTAGTAAGCGAGACCCTGATAGGCAGCATCGGCGATGTAGTCTGTCAGGAGCGAATCAGCATGTATATTACCTGGCCATTCAACCCAGACTTACAAGACATGAGGAGTACCAGAGGGCCGTGAGCTTTCGGGTTGGTCCAGTCCCAATCGAATTTTCCGTCTGCACGCTTGAAAGTGACTTGAAATCCGATACCTCCACCCCAGACGAGAATGTTAAGCACGAGCACAGCGGCGCCTTTGAGGACAAGTCAGCGCATTCAGTCATTTCTATGACACCCCATTTTGCCTTTCACTCACATCCTACCAGGGCCCTGTTCCGTCGTTTAAACGGGACGTAATCAAAGATCATCCCGATGAAGATGGATCCAACGATAGATCCCAGTCCAGTGAGGAGAGAGGTCAAAGCACGCGTTCGACCATTGAAGCAGTTGGCAGTAATGGCACCTAGGAAGGCGTGAGCATAGTCGGGAGGACTCAGTTTGTCCCGAATGATTCCCACCTTGGTAAGCATAGAAGTAGTTGGAGGAAAAGAACATTGGGCTAGGCGTGCAGGTCAGCACTAGGTCTCCTTGCCCTATGGCGCACTCACAAAAGAGCAAGCATTCGCCAGTCCTTGCAAAGCATGGCATAACCTTTGAATTCCTCTCGGGGTGAAAGAGCCTTCTGAATCTCGACGACGGTACCGTCTCCTCGAACCACAGAGGCTGGAAGACGAAGACAGTCAGTGGGGATTCTGTTGAGTCCGTCCGACTTGGCTCACTAGGCGGGAGGATCAGCCAAGATGTGAAAATAGCGGTCAGCATGATGATAAGGAATGCAACGTAGACACCAGTCGACACGGCTGGCAAGGTCGAATGAGCCTGAATACCGAGAGCGATGGCTGCTCCGATGAGCGTTCCAGATTGGAAGATTGACCAAAAAATGGAGAACGCTCGACCTTTATCTTTCTCAAGCGGGTAGGACATCATGATGGATCCCTGAGCAGCCCAAAGCAGAGCAGCGGCTACGTACCAGGAATCAGCGGCTTGGACCGAATATCGTTGGAGGTTTGCTCACTGAACCCGAGGATGGCACCAGAGACGATGAAGAAGGATCGAGTACCATGAATCTGGTACGCCCACAGGCCTCCTACGTAGATGGAGTATCCGATGGTTCCGAGAGACAGGGTGGCTCGAGGACCGAGAATGTTCTGAGGAGGCAGTCAGACGACTGACCGCGATATCAGAAACAATAAATACCCACGCTGACTGAACCTGCAAACGGTCCGGAGATGGCAAAGATACCGTAGAGAACACCATTGGCCGTATCAGCGAGTTGAGTGTCCTGCGAGCCACTGCGTAGTAGGCGTTAGTCAATATCATGAGATGCAATAGATGTTTCCACCCACCCGGCTCCTAGGTTACTTAGGGCTGAGAACATGCCCACCTGTCGTTACGGTCAGTGGGAAAACATTCCGGAGATCTGCTCGTGTGAACGTACTGAGCAAAAGGCCACGAAACCCAATATAACAACTTGCGTCCATGGCGAGTTGTCTATAGCAAGAAGTCAGCCGACCTGCCCTCTTATCTCAGATAATCCTGCACAATCTTGGTGGCTGGGGACGCTCTCTCCGCATGTCTGAGACACACGACAGGGATGGGTAGAGGACACGCGACTTACACCTGGCGCCGCCAATTCTGAGGTTAGCCAACCTATCTCCAAACGATCCGAGTCCCATAGCAAGCTTGTGATGTGAGTTGTAAAGTTGCTTCGCGTCGAATCAGTATGCAATGTTATGAAGATAAGAAAACAAGAGAAAAGGAAGACCCACGTTATTTTAAGACTTGGGTCTCGCCAGAGTTCAGATGGCTTCTTGATCCTCTTCTTGAGACACCAGTATGGGAGTTGATTTCACGGAGTCTACGCCGCCCTGCTAGAGAAGACCGGAAAAGGTACTCTGCTCTGGCTTGAACCTAGAGTTCCGGCTCTTCCGCTATGCCCATTCTGAGCGGTTCACTCTGCGGGCCAAGCAATGGAATTAAATTTCCAGTCGCTCTGCCACACTCGTCATCCACTCTCGCCACCCGCTCAACGCCGATAACAGGCAGGAAGAAGCACATGCCTAGCCACGTGGACAGATCCTGATCCTGCTCGGGCTCGCGTTCTAGACCTTCCGGATTGATCGGACATCGCCGGAGTAAGCGCCGGTGACTAACCAGTCTTTTAACGTGGCTTTTTTACTTGCAAGCGTTCAACCCCTCTCCCCCCTTGCCCCCACCCTCGTCCACCACCGATGGAAAGTGGGCGACAAGTGATATGAATTGATAGTCGTCGCGATTGGTTGGACAACTCAAGCCACCAAAGAGGTTTTTCCACGTTGTTGAAGGTGTCCGATCACGGAGCAAACGGATCGGTCCAAGGCGGTTCCCGAAGAGGCCCATACACACATACACATAGACTCTCTTTCAAGCTTCCAGAGTATTGTTGCACATACACACGCCGAGCTACACTTCGCCATCTTCCGAGGCATCCGTCCACTCCACCCCTTGTCCTCCTCACCTCCATCATGGCCGAAGTTGACCTTGCCTCTGCGAACGGTGTTCCTTCGCACTCTGTTCCTCCAGGGACAAGTACCGCAAACGATACGAACGGCGACATGAAAGGACGTCCCACATTGGCTGGTGGCGGATCAGTGGCCAAAGTCGTGGAGACGGAGGACCACAAGCAGGTCACAATGATCATCGTAGGCGCGGGACAGCGTGGGCAGGTGGGTTCCATCCTACGCAACTTGGGTATCCTCTGAACATCGAGCATCTCAGACCTACGCCCGATATGCACTCGAGCACCCTACTTTGTCCAAAGTGGTTGGAGTCGCTGAACCGAGACCACACAGGAGAAACCTCATGAAGAAGACGTACAAGTGAGACGACGAGCTGTCACCACTCGCGGTATTGCTGATGGAAAAACAGCCTACCAGATGACATGGTCGTTGCTGATTGGGAGGAGCTGCTCGCCAAAGGTCGCGTAGCTGATGCGGTAGTCATCGGGACATTGGTGAGTCTGGACTGTCACTGAGCAGCATCATGAGCCTGACATCCACAACCTAGGACCAAATGCACGCCCCTCAGGTCGCTGCATTTTCTAAGTTGGGCTATGACATCCTCTGCGAGAAGCCCATGGCAGTTTCAATTGCCGACTGTGTCAAGATGACCAAAGAGGTCAAAGATGCGGGTAGCATCTTTGGAGTGGGGCATGGTGAGCCGTGTCTTTGACCTGAGCTTTAAGCTAAGACTCCTCAGTGCTGCGATACAGTCCATTCAATCAGGCGGTTAAGAAAATCATCGATTCCGGTGCTCTAGGAGACATTGTCAACATACAACATATCGAGCCAGTCGGAGATGAACACTTTGCACACAGTTTCGTCCGAGGCAATTGGCACAAGGAATCTGATACTTCTTTCGCCCTCATGACCAAATGTTGTCAGTGAGTTGGCCCCGGGCTCCGATCTGTGACGAGCACTGATCTGTACATATCAGCGACATTGACATCGTTTCGTTCTACCTCTCTGGTCTGGTGCCGAAGCGCGTCTCCTCCTTCGGATCCTTGTTCCAATTCAACAAAGCCAAGAAGCCAAAGGAAGCTGGGAACGCGAGGCGATGCTTGGACTGCGCGTACGAGCCCAAATGTACTTGGAGTGCCAAGAAAATATACCTTCAGCCGCTAACAACGGACGATGTCCACCGAGTAAGTGTGTTGGCGCCTCAGAAGTTGAGTCAAACTAAATGCTGGGTCTCAGCAACACTGGGCCAAGCTCTTCGTCGATGCGGATGTGTTGGACATTGAGAATGTCACGGATGCGCTTAACAAGACGAATTATGGAAGTTGTGTATATGAGACGGATAATGATGTGGTCGATCATCAAGTCGTCAATGTCGAGTATGACGGGGGAGTTACGGCCAACATCACCATGTCCGCTTGTGAGTCGGGGTCAAAGATGTCCAGGAGTCATGCTGATATCTCCGTGTTCAGTCACTGAAGCTGAATGCGAGCGAAGTACCAGGATTCACGGGACCAAGGGAGAGCTCATCGGCGACATGACCAGCTTTGTATGTGTCATCTACCTGCCACATTGTCACGCCAATTCGTCTCTGACACTGCTCTCAGACCGTCTTTGATTTCCTCACGCGTACCAAGACGGTTCACAACCCTCCTCTTCAGGGAGGATATCACGGAGGAGGAGATATCGGTCTCTCCAAAGCCTTTGTCGAAGCTGTTGCTCGGAAAGATCAGAGCAAGCTCGGCGTCACCCCAGACGAGGTTCTAAACAGCCACTTGCTGGTATTTGCCGGAGAGACAGCGAGAAAACAGGGCACAGTGGTCAATTTCGAGGAATTCAAGAAGGAAGCTTTGGCCAGTAAGGCCTGAAATGCCTGTGTATATGAAACAGCCTTTGTATGATGATATGATGAACAATAGGATGAATGATGTTGTCCTCGTAAGGCAAGTCATGTCACGTCCCACGGCCCGATAGGATGATGTCTGCCACTTTGAGTAATTTTCTGACTGGGATAATGCAGGAACGCCGACTCAAGCTCCGGTCTTCCGCCCATTGGGTGCGCCCTTCCCCTCCTCCTCCATCCCTTCTCTTTTCGTCCCCCCGCCTCTGCCCTTCTCTCCATTCACCTCATTCATCACGTCTATACTCAAAAGGTCACTCGCCGTCGACCGACTCAGCCAGAGGTCAGAGGCTTGGTGAGTCTGCCTGGATCCTGGCAGATATCGTGGATACATCCTCGACCCTCCTCGTTACCGCCTCTTCCCCGCACATCGTCACCTCTTCACATCCGGCGAATTTCCCTATCACTAACCACCGACTGCGAACGAGTCAGACGAGTGGTCCTGTGCATGACCATTTCTATCTCGCCTGTCAACACGATGAGACTGAGGTGAAGGATATCCTACCGATCCGAACATCTCGCGCTCCCTGTGGCGATTCGTCCTCCACTTTCAATCACCCTCGGATTCCCCGCGACTTGCCACGATAAGCCAGAATCAGACACTCCGGTCATGTTGCCTCAGTATCCACCTCAACCTTATGGGAATTCTCAATCATCCCGACCGACTCATGGCAACGGCGTTCCGTCTTCCATAAGCGAGCTCCGAGCCTCTCCTTCCTCATCATCCATCGCCAAGATCAATAATAACGACAAGGATATGCAACGACAAGAATCGGGTCCTCCATTCCAATCGCCATCTATCGGCCCCGGTCAACTTCAACGACGAAACACGTTCAACGTGGCCAATGGAACGGATACTGGATCCGACACGGATGGTACTGCTACTTCTAGACCTAGAGCGGATAGCGAGGCCAAGCCTGGTACCGGCCCATCAGCCAAGAAACGGGCCCGTCGACCTTCCAACATCAATCTTGATCGGCCAACCTCGCCGCCGAATTCCAAGAATGGGAGTACGAACGGAAAGAAACCTAAGGCTAGTGCTGCTGCTGTTACTTCTGCTGCTAGTGCTGCTCCCGATTCTCCTCCAGCGGTGCTGGTCAGAGAAAAGAAACAAAAAGCCTGCTCGAACTGCCGACGTGCAAAATTAAAATGCATCGTCGAAGATGGGGAAGCTGATTGCGTGCGGTGCAAGGCGAGGAAAGAGCGATGTGTCTTCTATCCTCGGACACACGTGAGCTCTCAAAGTCGGAATTGTTGGCTGACGTCCTCAGGACGAGGACTGGCAGCAGATGCTCAGCTCTGACGTGTATACCGCTTTAAATCACTTATCCACTCTGTCGTCCACTGTCCACCATATCTTGCACCATCTGAGCGCCCAACGCATCATTCCTCCTCTTCCTACTACAGCCTTCGAAGTCTACGAGCCGCCCGAACGGGATACTTCGATCCTACAAGGTTGGACAGCGGAGCGGAATCGTGAGCTGGGGTCAGAAGAAGGAAGGAAGAAACGCAAAAGTACAGGAGGACGAGAAGAGGAAGAAGACGAAGTGTCTCATCCAACTCACTCTTCTGGAGGTTGGAACTTTAGTCAACCCACTGAAACACCCTTCTATCTTCGTATGCCATCTGGATCTGCCGAGAGAAACCAATGGGCAAATGGAAACGCTGGACCGCCACCACCGACCTTTGAGGGCGGTCCCAATCTATCATCTCATCATGATATGCCACCGAATCTTCCCTATCCTCTTCCCTCGCCAAGCTTGACCCATCGATCAGGTCACGGTTCGGAACTAGCTCCTATCCGACACCCTTCCGCACACTCCATCCTCCTATCTCCCACTGTGGAGACTGATCAATACCAAAATCCCCCATTCTTCAACGGACCACCCTATCTCGGTCCACATGATCCTCGGATGTTGCCTCCTCCACCTCCTGCTCCCCCTTCTCAGATTCCGCCTGGCCCAGGTTCTGGCCCAGGATCAGCGCCAAGAGACTTGTCGCCCCTTAATCCTCAGAATGCCACGCCAAGTAGTGTTGTTCACTCATCGCCTTCAAACACTCACATGTCTCAAAGCGAAACGTCGTGGCAATTTGTCGGATCTCAACAGGGAGACCAGAATACCCTCTCTGGCTCGAAGCCGATGCATCTTTATGAGAGCCGTGACGGAGTGGACTCGGCTCAGAATCGCAGCTTTGAGGGTATGCCTTCTGGACCTCCGCCATCGGTTGGGCCAGACGAGGAAGTGTACGGATCTGCGGATGGAAGAGAGACAATCATTACCAAGAATATTATTCCTCCCGCTTACGCGAGGACTTTGGTGGACTAGTGAGTCGTGTTCGAAGTGGCTCTTGCTGACTCGCTTCCAGCTTTCATTCCGCCATGTCGCCGTTCCTCTTTGGATATCACTTACAGCTCAAAGCCTTCCCATATCTTCCCGAAGGACCTACGCACATCACTCCCTTCATCCTTGCAGTGGAGTGCCTCTTGGCTTCGGAACGTATCCCTAATCTCTACGTTTATCATGACCGACTCGCCGACGCTGTCCTCAACATGCTCATGACTTCCCCTGCCGAGTCTTGGCAGACCATTCAAGGTTCCAGGGAGATCCGAGAAGCCAAAGCCAAAGAGCAAGTCCTCGGAAAGGCATTCGACGGAGACACGACCGATTGGGATGCTGAACTGGGTATTGGACCAGAGGAGATTGTGGCAGCGTGTACGCTCGCCACATTCATTGGTCAGAAGGAGCATGCGAGGCATATTGCTCAATATGCTTTCATGTGGGTCAGAGGATGGACTTCGGTGAGTAGAACCGCAGAGCAAGTGATCTGTACTGATCTCTGCACAGTATCTCAAGGAGCCTGGTGCGACCTTTGCTGAAGCTACTGGGTTGGTCACGCCTCTGCGTCGGCCGAGCGAGCCTGACATGGCCCGCGTATGGTTGTTATCCTACGTGCGTGATTTGTCAGCTTCGGGACCGCATGCTGATTCCGCGTCAGATTGTATTCGGACAGGAGACCCTTCAAGCGACCGATGTCGATCTGCCACCACTCCACGATCCGATGCGATGGGCTCGTGTCCTCTTGCCGGAAACCGCTGCGCCGAGCGGCAACGCGAATCCTCACGATGTTCTGTTGGTATTCCATGCTCGACTAATTGCTCTTTTACTCGACTGGCAACGAGCTCGCTCGGAAGTTGGTCGATCAGACCCAGCGACCTCAAACAGCTCATTCGATGCCGCTCCATCACCTTCGTATTCGCACAAGCGACTGGCTAGTCGTTTGAACGCTTCATTGGATTGGTGGCAGGATGACCTGAAGGCATATCGACTGGACGAGGCATGGACGAGACAGATCCAACTGGATTATCTGCATGCCAAGATACTGGTCAATTCCACGGCTAGCAAGAATATCTGGGGTGGCGTTGATGAAGATAGGCTACGGGAGGCGAATCGGGCTTTCGTGGTCGATGCGGCTTATCAACTCTTAAGACGGTGCATCGCGTGGTCACCACCTGAAGCGATGACCAACCTACCGCAGGCGTATCTCAGGGTGAGCGAAACAAGTATTTGATCGCGCAGATAGCTGACTGGATTTCAGATGATTGCATCGGCCGCGAACGAGGTTGTTGAGGCCTTGGCAGAAGTGCAGAATGGCAGCTTGTCTCGATCTGCATGCTCTGTCACTGTCAAAGAGGGTGAGTGGGATCCGTCCGACAAGGGAAGTCGGGATGCTGACATGGCTTATTAGTCGTGCCTGTCCTCGCGTCGCTTGGCAACATGCTTTTCCTCGGAGGATTGCCTGCGAATCATGGCTGTCGAACTGCGGGCCATGTTCTCAGGCAGCATGTGGAGAACCTCAACCGGCTCACGATGGGATGAAGGGTTGCCTGGATGGTTGCTGTCTACGAGCCAAGTCGTTTGCAATTGTTGATTCGATGTTGATATGTAACGATGCATGGATATTAAGTCTTGATCTAACCCACAAGATAATGACACGCATCTATCCTCGTCAAATGACACCTCTCAGATCGCCTCCATCACCTACATCGCTTACACCGAATGACCATTGGTAGTGGCCCTAGATCCTGCTAAACTGTTGCCTTCTCCAGGTTTACCGAATTGCGCATCTCTCCATACTTCCTTGCCCATGACCCAGGTACTCCTACAGTATCCATCCCAATCGAATACACAGAGATCCGCATGGAAGCCTTCCTTGAGCTGACCCTTGGTCTGAGCGATTTTTCCAGCGAGCATTTGAGCTGGATGGAGGGTCGCCGTGACGAGGGCCTGAGGCAAGGTGCATCCTGTGAATGAACACAGGTTTCGGAGGAGATATGGGAATGGGGAGCAAGATCCAGCAAGCGTCTCGGTACCATCAATGACGACTCGGTATCCGTCTTTTCGGAATTTGAGACCTGGTCGCCAGTCGTGTACTCCATCTGGAAGATTAGGGTCCATGATGCTCTGTGCTGCATGAATCAGGGAAAGTCAGCAAGTTTCGGAAGATGGGAGGTCCACAACCATGGCTCACCGTCCGTCACCAGAACGCAACGTTCGGGACATGCACCGTAAGCTATACGGACAGTGTTGGGATGAGAATGTAATCCGTCGACGATCATGCCGAAATAGGGGCGTTGATCATGGGCTCCGAGAAGTCCGATAACGCCTGGATCACGATGATGTATTGGTGGCATGGCACTGGACAGAAGTTTGAGGTCAAACATAGTCCTATGATAGGGAGGCCACCGTCATTGACTCACTTGAACAGATGCGTGATCATTCGTGCACCTTTGTGCATCGCTTCCGTTGCGACCTCGAGCGTGGCATCACTGAAGCAAGGCAGGTGAGCTTTGTGGCTTCGGCCCCCCAGGGAGCAAGAAAGAACCAACCTGTGACCTATAGACACTGTGACTCCCCTCGATACTAGATCCGGTATACAATCCATGACACCCTCGACATCCGGAGCTGCGGTGATCATTTTGACTCCCTCCTGATCCAGACCCTCTTTTCCATAGACTTTCTCGAGAATGTCTTTCGGTGTAGATCCAGCTTTCGGAGCAGCCGTCATCAGGAGAGTTTGAGAATGCGCTCCTCGTCTCAGAGGATGTAAAAATGGCCCTTCGGCGTGATATCCAAGAACGTGGGCTGCATTGGGAGGCGAACGAGGTTGAAGTAGGCGCAGGAGCTGTCAGCGTGAGATCAGTACATTGCGCGCGCCCCCTTCTTGTCTAGATGGACCAACCCACCTTGCGATACATTTCCTCCTTCTGGGTAATAATGGTCGCGACGTAGCCTGTACATCCCGTCTCTAGGATCCTACTGGCTACCGTCTCAAGTCCTTTGATATACCTCTCTTCTCCACCGTCCGCATCGTCTCCGTTGAGCTCAGAAAAGTCAACTCCGTACGCGCCATTGATCTGCACATCTATCAATCCCGGAGCCAAGATGTTCCCGCCAAGGTCAATGGTACGCGCTGGTGGACGATGAGAGTCGAAAAAGGATGATTGGCCGGATACAATGGTACCAGTCGACGGGGAAATGTACAGATCAGCTTTGACCGCCTGGATAAGAAGAGTCAGGTCATGACAGAGACTCCATTTGTATCTACTCACAGTGCCATCTGGCATGGCCAGGAAGCCGTTCGTGAAACGAATCACTTCGGTCATGGTAGCCTTGTTGACAAGAGTGGGTTGAATCAAAGGTGTTCTATGCCCGAAAGGCAGGTTGGTCAGGGTTTGGACAAGCTTGGCCGCTCGAAGTATATAAGAAGAGCTGATTGTTGATTCAGAACCAACTTCTTCTTCTTCTTCTTCTTCTTCTTCTTCTCGTTCTTGCACTCTGTGACTCCAGATCTTGTCTCTCAAGTCGATGCTGTCACCAACGTTGGACCACCACCACCAGCGGAGGGATGGAATCAGTCTCCAGATTACTTACGTATGACACAGGTGGTTAGTTTTTTTTCTGGTGGCAAAGAAACAATCTCGGGGCGATCGCCGCGGGTGGTTGACGCCTTTCGGACAGTTCCCCGCCCCACCATCGTCCCCCTCGGCTAACCGAATGGGCGTCTTGGCTTTCTGAAGGGCGGGCCTGAGGTCGATGAAGGCACAGAGACGGAAGGGGATGGTGTGCTTCGTCCACAGTGTCATAGCTGCTCAGCTATCCTCATAGACTAGCCAAGCCAGAGCAGATCACATCCACGCGTTTACCCCCCACTTGTAGCTCCCCTCATCTCCGCTCAGCAGCTCCGACGCATAATAATTTTTTCCCACTCTCGGCCGGACGACCACTCCTCTCTCTACACATTCATCTTTTCATCTATATTGTTCTCAGCCAAAGCATTCACCATCTTGTATCTCATCTCTCGCATCCACTCTTACCCTCATATTCAGTCTATATAGCTATCAGGACAGGATCCTCCATTCCCCCCCCCCTTCACACGGCCGGGGCATCCGGTTGAACTACCGAAACGCCTCTCGATTATATCACACCAAAATACGCCGTCAACCTACCGAGCCAAACGAAAAGGTAGTTGACTCTCCGAATAAGGATTGTTGCGCCATAACCCCACAATCAGTCCTCCATCTGAAGATTTGGGCCAAAGTCAAGGAGACGACGGGAGAAGAAAAGAAATCTCTTTCTTAGTCGTCGTCGTTTGTTATCCCTCAGAACGCGATGACAGTCAGATTGGATACCGTCGCAGGGCCTGCTGTCACTTCACCTCCCCCGTTGGTCCTCTGTGCAGATGGTGGAGGATCCAAAGTCTGTGTGGTGATCCGGTCGGCGGATGGTGTCGAAGTTCGTGGCGTTGCCGGACCTTGCAACACGTGAGTATCTAACTGGGGATCTCGATTCTCAGTGCTTGGCCTGACGCTCGTCCACCAGACAAAGCGTGGGATTCATCCCAGCATCTCAAGCAATTCTCTTAGCGACTTACCGGGCTCTTGCTCGCTTGCCACCAACGCATGTCCCTGCCAACCTCGCGATCCCTCCTGCGTTGTTAGCCAACGCCAGTCCAGTCAATGGACATGCCTCCAATGGAACGCATGGAAAACCAGTTCCTCATCTCCCTACCGTGTCTGTCCCAGCGACTCCACGAGCGTCTCGTCCACCTTCTCCTACTGCTTCGCGACCCTCTACACCATTACCGCCTCTCAATGTTCCTGTCTTCAGATACGCTTGGCTCGCCCTCGCCGGTATCTCAACAGCGTTTGACTCTGAAGCATTCGTCCCTCACGTGTCAAACGTATTGAACTTGGCTCCTGCTCAGATCAAAGTGACCAATGGTGGGGTCACAACGGATCTTGCCTCGCTGACATCATACCAGATGTCAACCTTTTGGCTGCTCCGGCCCTTGATATGCCCAACATCAAGCATGTCGTCTGCGTCGTCTGTGGGACGGGCACAGTGGGAAGAACTATACGTGTAGCGAGGGCAGTCACCTCGGGCCCGCGTCAATTGCCTCTCGAGGATGTCGCCGTGTCTCGCGGTTGGGGATACATGTGAGTGGAACGAGCAAAAGACTGGGAGATTTTCACTGACATGGACCATAGGCTCTGTGACGAGGGCTCAGCATTCTGGCTCGGCCGGCTGTGCATCCGGCTCCTCATGTTCCACGCCGATCGTCATTTATCCACTGGAATTTTCTCTGGACCTCCTCCGACCCTGTTGCCATTGCACCGTGATCTCTTGACGTACTTTGGCACTCAAGATCCCATGGATCTCATCGAGCTCGTCTCATTGACAGGTCGATGGGTCAGGGGCACTTCAGGGGACGTCGGAGAAATCTCCGCTCAGCGGAATGCCAAAGTGGCAGGCGCAGCTCGTGTCGTTTTGAGATGGGCGTTCCCTGAGGATTCGCAAGAGTCCCCTCCTAGTCCACCCAATAGCTCGAGCTCGAATGGTATGGAGGGAGATGATCCATTCACCCAGTCGACTCGTGAAGCGCTTCGATTGGCAAAAATGTCAATCACACCAATGATCGACCTCACCACCGAATTGCTGGGCGACGGATCAATTGTCCAACCTGGAGAGACTGCCCTGGCTCTGGGAGGAGGCCTCATGATGTCAAGAGGGTACAGGGGACTCCTTTTGGACGGTCTGAAGAAGCAGGGTATCGAGTTCGGCCTCGTCCAGGTTATTGACGACGCCGCAGGAGTTGGCGCGATGGGATTGTCCAAGGTAGAATTTGGGGATTAGGGGTGTAAGTATCCAAAATACATTCTCAGATGCTCTTAGAGCATGTAACTTTCCATATGGTATAGCAGTCACTGCATGTCACACAGTTTTTGTATATCCAACGAATTTTTCTCCTCACAACGGTCCATGAAATCTACACGCCGCCGCCGCTTTGTCCCCATTCTCCTCCAATGACCACTCCTGATCTTGGTGGTCTCGCCTGTATCCATCTAGGTCCTTGAGGTTCATTGGGCAGTACCAGCCCGTCAACGTGTTTCTTCCATGCCACACCGTACGTCTTCATGGCGGGTCCATCGCGATTCCAAGCGACAGGCCTCGTAGGACCAGCATACCCGATAGGGGTGTATGTACCTGATCGTTCGGCGGTGCTGGACGTGGACGCTGATAGCGGCGGATCTATATTCTGGGTTATGGACGTGGATAAGATGTCGCGATCTGCTCGGGGCGGAGCAGGAGCTGCAGGATGCATGGAATAAGGGTCGTATCCTGGCTCTTCATGTGCCAGTCTTGGTCCAAGGTTCGACGGGCTCTGAAGCTCTAAAGGGGCTTGACGTGGAATGGCAGGTGATGGAAATTGTTTCTGACGGGAAGACGGGGTCGAAATGGCCGGTAGAGCGGACGACAAGGAGGACAAATCCATAGCGGGTGGATCGGTGGGATGGAGAGGGACGGGGCTTGAAGATGATGGGGCGGTCGGGACAGATGTGTGGGGCATTAAGACATGTCGTTGTCGAGACTCGCCAGCCGACGAGTGGTGATACAGAGGGGAAGCGTGTGACGGGGCTGTGAATTGAAGTGAATGCCTGGTTTGTCGCCTGGTCAACTTGATATATGGCGATGTAGGAGGGGACTGAACATCATTCAGTGGGATTTTGGTCAAGCTTCTGGACCGCTCGTGTGGTAGCTTTGGAGGGCGAGATGTAGTGTCCACTCGTGTCATTGGTGATCTTGACCCGTGGTCGACTGCGAGACTTCGTCCTGTGGACGGAGCAAATTCATTCTGTGGGTCTAGATCATCCTCTTCTGCTTGCACCAGAGTCAATGGCTGGTGGGTGTGTCGTCTGCTCGTGCTCGGTCTCTTGGTCTCTTTCGGAATGTGTGAAGTATTCTTGAGATCCAAAGATGTCTTACGCGAATGAATCACCAACCGATGATCATGTTGCCGTGTATCAAATGTCTCGTGTAGAGGTTTTTTTGCCAATGCGAGCTCATCAGGAACAGGCGGAGAAGGCAATGTCTCTGCTTTCCGTCTATGGGGCTGAACAGACGAGATGTAAGGCGATTGATGCCTTGATTTCGCACCGTAATCGGGTTCGCGGGTCATCGGCCTAGGAGCACCTGCTCCACCTTCCCACGAACTCCCCTGCCAGACTTCAGATCCTTTACGAACGCGAGTTGAGTTGGGAACAGATGAGGTCTGACGTTTGGGCGAAGCGATGCTGTGCTGAGAGCTCGAGCTTGTAAATGCACTCGTGTCATCGGAAGGTAATGGCATACTGTGTCGGGAGTGCAGGGTCGGTCGTTGAGCGTGAGATGGCATGGTGTGGCCTAATCTTGTTGAACTTGCTGGATTGGTTCGGGGAGCCCAGCCGGAACTCATGTTGATCGTGGAGGGGTACAGAGCGGTACCCTTGATACCAAGTGGGCTCGGAGGAACGGTCCGAGAACCTATACAGCGGTGCATGGTTAGTGCAGTTTCAGTCGACAGGAGATATGCAAGTGGAGCAAGACAGAAGAGGGCATTGAAGCATCAGAGGACTGAGGTGTCCTTTGAGAGAAGCACGATCAAGGTATTCTTAGCAAGTGAAACGATATCTCGCAAATCACAGGGAGCGGGGTCAGATCCAGACTCTCGTGACTTACTACCGAATCTTTTGGAATGATCTGATCCAACCGGTCCTCCAGGTGCGCCCGGTCCAATCCCATACATGGGACTCTTCCAGAACCCTGAAAACATGTCCATACTCATGCCAGAGGAAGCACGAGGCGCACATGTTGGTGATGATGGAGGTTTATCAATGTCGCTCGCTCGTCGTGAGTTTCCTGTTGAGCCAGAAGGAAGCCAGCCGCCTCCCCTCGAGAGAGTGGGGATCGCCCCTGACATGTAGGCGTCGGGATCTATTGGCATACTGTGAGGTAATCAATATGGGTTCGGACGACAGCACGAGTGCTCTATTGATGTGCGTCGGCGTGATATCACGGTTTGAGGACAGAGGGAGACAGAGAGAAAGTAGCGGGACGAAAGGAGATTGTCCTTGTCAGTCGAGTCGAACAAGCTGGCAATTGCCACCGGTCTTCAAGGATCTCAAAGGCCTTCCGCGGATAGGTCGAATGGCGATTCCGAAACTCGACAAATGAACAAGTTAAGCCCCGGCCGTGCGACGAAGCCGCGAACCATTGCGATTCCAGCAGAAAAGAGGTCCGTACTGCATTGAAATCTTCTTTCAACTCCTTACTCGCTCCAGACCGTGTCCACCATTATCGCTCATTTGCCCAGGCGTTATCGCATGCCAACCATAGGAAAGAGGGATTGAGCAACAAAGGAGGGGTAGATAAGACATAGTGCGTCAGAGTGATAGGAGCAGTATGGGGGAAAGCTCCGACAGGCGGAGATAGTTGGTATCAGAGGAGGAGGAGGATGGTCCATGTCACCGTACAAAGCTTTCCCCTGTCTATATGCGGTTAGTAACCCCCATTGAGGCCAGGGATCTAGGGCTTTCTGGGCTTAGCATCAATGCCAAGACAGAGAGAGTACGCCAATCTGCTCATGACGGCTCTTCGGGGTTTCGTTCCTACGTTTCACTGCTGCACCTCGGTCTGTTGATGCCCATGTGTGAGTTGCAATCCCGATGGTTTTGGTACGGATGTACCTTTCAAGGATATGTCACCGGTGATAAACCCTTGTCGCTCGAAGAAGACCACGTCATTTTGAACATTGACAAGGCGTCATCTCTTCCAATTTTCCCCTCCGGGAGGGATCCGGGAGGCTAGTAGCGGGTAGATCGCCGGATGGGAGGCTCGAAGGGGAGAGTCTATGGTGAGATGGGGGAAAACATGAATGGCGTCCTTCGGAACCAAAGAAAGTTGCTTGATACAACGTTCGCAAAAGTTCCAACCATTGCCAACAGACTTCTTGTACGGGAATCCAGCCCTGACCTAGACATCCAACTCGTTCGTTGACCCCTTCACATTTCTTCGCCTTACCACAGCTCGTCTTTGCTGTAGCTACTGCAAGGACAAAAGTACTCCTACACTTTTCCCTCCCCTCTTTGACTTGGTACCTTACTACTCCCTCGTCATGCGTCTTACTATCAGAGATACAAAAGAGCAAGTCGGTCAATACGTGAGTATCAGACTCTCACTGTGTGCGCGCGCGCGGGGACGGTCTGGACGGAACGTATCGAGCTGACGGATCGTCGTAGATTGGCGACTACATTGCCAAACGGATCAACAGTTTCAAACCGAAAGCTGGTAGACCACACTTTGTTCTCGGTCTCCCAACAGGTTCCAGCCCTTTGCCAGTGTATGAGAGACTGGTAGAGCTCTACAAGGCCGGGGAGGTGTCTTTCAAGGTGAGCAATCAGCCATAAAGTTGCGGGAAGGGGAGCTGACTGTGTGTAAAGGATGTTATAACGTGTCAGTCAACTTATGCTCGTCTTAAGCTGTACCCGAGCTGATCATTGAACGTTCTATGATTTTACAAATACAGTCAACATGGTGAGTCTTTTGAGCTCGAAGATGGCTCGAGTTGTCCGTCCGGCGGTTGATGATTGTGACAGGATGAATACGTTGGAATCCCTCGAGATCATCCTGAATCTTACCACACCTTCATGTTCAAGAACTTTTTCTCCCTCGTTGACATTGAGTGAGTTGAGATCTCGGCTTTACGTACATTCGATCTGATACGGACCTCCCCATAGCCCCAAGAACACCCATATCCTGAACGGAAATGCTGAGGATCTGTACAAAGAGTGTGAGGACTACGAAGTTGCTATCAAGGAGGCTGGAGGAATCGATCTCTTCCTCGGTGGAATCGGAGCTGGTGAGTCACGAGACCCATAGTAGTCGCTCTATACTGACTCGGTGCATCCGGTACAGACGGTCACATCGCCTTCAACGAAGTCAGCGGCTGCATTCTGCCAACATATGGATCTCATCGCTGATGCTTCATCTCAGCCCGGTTCTTCCCTCTCATCCAAAACACGAATCAAGACCTTGGCGTACGAGACTATCCTTGCCAACTGTCGATTCTTCAGCAATGACCTCTCTGCCGTCCCGCGTATGGCTCTCACAGTCGGTGTTCAAACCGTCATGGACGCTAGAGAAGTCGTCCTCGTCGTCACTGGACAAGGTAAAGCGTTGGCCCTCAGTCAAATGATCGAAGGTGGTGTCAATCATATGGTGAGTCTATACCCAGAGTCTGACTCCTTCCTCCAATCTCCCGGCTTTGGTGCATGTTCTGATGCAGGCCTCCACCCCCATAGATCACCGCCTCTGCTTTACAGACTCATCCTTGGGCTTTGGTCGTTTGCGAGTAAGTCAAAGCTGTCATCATCGACCGCTCGCTGTTCTATCGTCCAGCATATCCTGTTCCGCACCTCGCTGACGCCTCGTGCTCTCTCAGTGAGGACGCCACCAACGAACTCCGAGTCAAGACGGTCAAATACTTCAAGTCCATCGAAAAGGTTCAAGACGAAGTCGAGGCCAAATACGGACCCGTCGGAGCCGTTCGATTGGGTTTGGGAAGAGCTAGCGCCGCTTGAAAAGCTAGCATCGGCGAAGAGTATGATGACAGATGGGCTCTGTCACGAACTTTACTTTGGCGTGCTTGATGGTGTCGGACCGAGACGGGGATCTAGATGGATCAATGCATAACCCTCGTATCGATTGGAGGGTCTCAGTATTTGGCTCGTCGGAGGGACCACAAGCTTACAGCTCGCGCGCGGCAAGAGATTTTGCATTACCCATCAACATAAGGGTGAATTACAACTGGTCCACTGCTATCTGCTGCCCTCAGGCCATTAGCGAGCTTAGTCCCGCCGTCTTCTCAATCTCGATCGCCGCACGTTCCAGATCTCATAACCCGCATCTCCCATGCGCATCATATCCCTTACAAGGCCCCGTTGCACAACTAGCGATGTTGCTGCTGCTGCTGATGCTGATGACTTGAATCTGCCACTCGTGCAATGGCCGAAAACGGCGGTAATGTAGTTCCTGAAGAGTTATTTTGTTCTTGGCTAGCCGGCGCAGGCTGAAAAAAGACAACAACTATTAGTCCTTGCGTCTGAGGTAACGAGAGACGACAGAATGTACTCACGACCTGAAACATTGGGTTGATAACCTCTTGACCCTCTTGGATGGTCATGCCCACGCCGTGAGGCATGGGTGCATGACGACCCATGCCTACGCCATGGGATACAGCAGTCCCCTTTGGGTGACCGTAAGGACTTGTAGGTGCTGATCCTTGACCCCCGACAGCATTTGCAAACAGTTGATTCTGATGCGTCATCATATCGTATTGGTCTGTCGATCGAGTCAGGCCATATTGACCCAACGAAGCTGTCGATCGACCATGTTGACCCAAGGAGGTAGTAGAGCCAGAAGCGACGGTAGCACGAGCTTGGAAATCATGTGCGAGCTGAGATTCGAGTGAAGGGTTTGACATGTTGGCTAAACGTGAACTCATTTGGTGCATAGATGACATGGACCGTTTGGCGAGCAAGGGATCTTTAGAGTAGGCGAACGGAAGATGGGACTCTGATCGATGGTGATTCATCGGACCGGGACTTGATTATATCAGTCATCTGGCTGCGGAGGAACGACTTACTCGCTATCAATCGTGCCGACTGTAAGGACACTTCTGCTCCTCAGAGAATTGTGATCAAAGCTCGACATGGAATGATCGTCGTCATCGTCTCTACGTCTAGCCTTGTGTCGGGACGGCAGACCAAGAGGGTCTTTGAGCGGTAACGATGGGTGAGATTGAGAATGACCAGAATGCAGACTACCCTGAGCAGCAGACCGCTTAGATTCGTGAGATCTGACTGACGTGGCACTCTGTGACATGGGGTAGGTCGATGTATGCCGTAGATCCCTAGCAGGCGAGTTATGAAGACTTCGAGTAGATTGAGAAGCAGAGGCATGTTGAGAGATGGGCGGCGGATGAGCTTGAACCTGAGGAACAGATGGCTTGGTTTCTGGCGTCACGGTGAATCCAGACTTGTATTCGATATGAGGATCCTTGACCGACACTTGCTCGTTCAACATTTGTTGTCGCTTCATCATGACTGCTCTCGCACGTTCCTTTTGCATCCTAGCAGCAGCCTCTCGTTTAGCCTTTTCAGCTTCGCGACGAGCCAGCTCAGCTTCCTTCTTGGCCTTCTTTGGATCCTCGATCGGAGCTGCCAATGTCATTGCTGGCATCTCGCGATCGCTAGGTCGGCTGCCAGACTGAGTGCGCTTCAAGGATGAGCCAGGCGAAGAGACCATATAGCCATGTTCGTCAACTGGCGCAAGCGTTTGAGAGCTCTTGTCGTCTCGACTAAACACACTGGATAGGCCCCACTTTTTCTTCTTTCCAACTGTGAGAGAGGCCAGCTTCGAACTTGAGGCACTCGGTGAGTCACTCGGAGAATCCATGAGAGGTGGCATGGGTGGTAATGGCCCAGGACCCGTCTGCCGAGGTGTCCCATCTTCATAGACCAAGATGGATTGTTGTTGTTCCACAAACGCGGCGACCTTGGCTTGACTTGCGTTCATGTGAGCATAATGAGAGCTTGCGTGGTGATGCTGTTGCTGCTGCGGCTGCTGTTTCGGGACCGGCTGAAGCACCTGTTGACGAGTGTCCTCTGCCCAAGCTCGTGTTCGTTGCGCTGGGCCCAGCGTTGCATCGCCTCCGGTAGTGTACACTGAGCTTGCGACAGGAGAGGGAGGAGGTCGGTGACCATACGATGCCAAGTCCTCCGTTGGGAGATCCAGTTGTCGTAATTGATTAACGAGTGCAGATGGTTCGTACGAATCCGGTCCAGAAAAGATATTCTTGGAATGATCAGGGGTGCCCACAGGAGGTGGCAAGGTGCGCATATCCCCATTGGCAAATGCTGGTCGGGCTTCGTGGTGCGAATGACTTGGGGGAACGGCTCTGGGAGGCGCGTTGAGATCGTGAAGAGGCGGTTGCACGATCCGATGCAGTGGCTGTCCTTGAGAGAATGGGATGCGAGGCAGAGGCGGGGTTTGTTGAAGGTGTGGGAGAGTTTCGTGAAAGTAGGGATGGTCGATGCACTGAGCCGAGGTCATTCGGTACTTTGGATTGTAACGTAGTAAGTCGGCGATGCAGTCGACTAGCGATTGAGGCACGTTCTCATTGAATAGGGACCGGAATTTAACAGGATTACGCTGAAGACAGTCAGACAAGGATATCGACTTTCTGAACCTACCTTGGGAAAGGCAAAGCCGACGTTCTTGGCCAGCTTGACGCCAGACACCCAAGCACCTCCACCAATCACCTTGCCTCGCTCATCGACACCATAATCTGTACTTGGGTCACCGAGCGTATCTGTGATCCTGTAGACTTGATCAATTTCGCTGACTCCGGGGAACAGAGGCTTGAGATTGAGCATTTCGGCCAGGATAGTCCCTAGAGCCCACATGTCGACGGGAGCACCATATTCCGTTGAACGCAGGAGGACCTCGGGCGCACGATACCATCGAGTCGAGACATACTCGGTGTAAGGCGGTTTCGACGTGATCGCTCTTGCCAGACCAAAATCCGCCAGTTTGATTATGACGCTGACGTCCTTTTCGTACTGATACGTACTGCTATCAGTACCTCCAGGATCGCTATTGATCTGAGTCAATGTAGATGCTGTCAAGTAATCGGCGAGGCCTGTGGTAGTGACCAATAAGTTTTCAGGCTTCATATCGCGATGAAAGTAACCATAGCGATGAATGTGGTGCAGACCCGAGACGACCTGGTGGAAACAACTGGCAATGAGACCCGCGGCGAGAGGTCGACCGCGACGAGATTTAGTCAGTTGATAGAGGTTGCCTTCCATACACTCGAAGACAAAGTAGAGTTCTTTGGATTTGGGTGAGATGAATGCGTCGTAAAGAGGGATGATGGCGGGATGTTGCGGTATACGGCTGAGAGACTGGCCACAACCTTCAGACTGGTTTGCCTGGAACCACTCACGTAGATCTCGCCGAGATTCCTGGCCTGTGACCAGCCGCCGTCCCACACTCTCTTCATCCGCTTGAGAGCGACTAGCCTCTTCCCTGCCCATTCTGGTCTGGCGCCTGCGCCACATTGCATCGCTGATAAGAGAACATTGGGTTTGACTGGTGAATGCCAATCGCACAGCCACACTGTCCCGAATGATCCATCACCAAGCACTTTGAGCTCTGTATACGAGCGCTCGGCGACTGAGTCGGATCAGCACAAAGTCCGTTTCTCCGTGCTGCACATCGCTCACATGGATCCTCAGTGCCTATCCTCCCATCGCCCTCATCCACTTGCATTCTCTCCATACCATCCATCATGACCTGTTCTCCCTGAGCTGTCATCCTGCCCCTGGGTTTCGACCCTCTCGCCGGTGTCGATGGGTCATGTACCAAGCCTCTGGCATGTAGATCGTCATAATCTGCATGAGAAAGGGGTGAGTGCAAATCTGGTGTCCGACGATAGGTACTGGGTCCTGCGAATTGAGGGGATCCAGAATGATCACTCATATCTGGCGTCAAGAGATGATTTGACATTTGAGGATGTGGCGAAATGCCGGGAGAGAGCGTCGGATGAGGTGATTGGTTGGGATGTGGAGAGTTTGAAGAATTATAAGAAGCAGAATGAGAGCTCGGATGACTCGATGAATGAGACGTGGAATGTGGAAGCGGTAGTTGAGGGGGACGCTGCTGCGAATGCGACTGCGACTGCATTTGTTGCTGTTGCTGCCTGAACAATGAACCTGATTGAGGTGTCGGGAGGTACGAGTCACCAGAAGGTCTTCTAGATCCTGGCGAGGTCGTCGCAGAGGTTGTCGTCGATACCCGCCTGTAGGTAGAAGATGATGCCACTGCTGCTGCCGCCGCCTCGGATCCAGGGATGGTAGACACGCGCACAGGACTGTCGTGTGAGAAAGTCGAAGCCATGACAGGATCGTTATTGAGGTTGGGTGTTGTGATGGGTGAGGCGAGCATCAGATCGCAAGGAGGCCGGTGGTGTACGGATATGAGGCCCGACCAGCTAGCTCGTTGCGTGACGTGATTTGCTGACGGATCGTTTCAACTCGGGAATCCCGGCGTGACCATGGAGTGAGTCTGGCGAGAAATGCACCATATGGGCTTTGTCGCCCCCCTCCAATGCTGATCTGGGCAGTTGCCACCAGTATCCGTTCAAGGCTCCATAAGATGAAATGACCCGTGTTCCAAAGAGACAGAGTGCCCAAAAATGAGCCTTAACGAAAAGGATCCCTTTCTCAAGACGCTAGAGCGAGAGAGTGAGGGAGAGAAGGAGGGATCTCGGAGGAGGAGGAAGGGGGGGAGGGGGGGAGGGGGGAATTAGAGGAAAAGATTCCGCTTCTCGTCTCTTCTTCTGCTGCTGCTGTGTGACACTGTGGTTGGTTCTCTCTCAAATCATTGACCCAACAAGCAAGCAAATGATGAAGCGGGAGAGTATGGAGACAGCCAACAACAAACGATAGTAGTAGCAGCAGCAGCAGCAGCAAGAGCAGCTGGAGCTACGCCTGACCGAGATGAGGGCAGCGAGAGCAATTTGGACACGACGGGGCCGGTATGAGGAGGGACTATGGGAAAAAGAGCCAACAAAAGTCGAGCAAAATTCGCATTAGAGAAATGATTTTTGCTTTTCCTTCATTTGTAATGATCAAGAGGCGTTTTTTTTTTCTTTGGTTGGTTGGTAATAATCATTGATTTGTATATAATCATAAGACAACGCGAATGGCAAAGAGGAGTTTTGGTATGGCGGATGAGATGGAGGATGGAAGGGGGGTGAGGATGAGATGAGGCTAGGTGATGGTGGCTGCTGCTGCTACTGCTACTTCTGCTCCTACTGCTGCTGCTGCGCCTCCTCATGATGATGATCAAGGGGTCAACTAGACCACACTATACTGATCAGCTGCTAGTAGACTTTGCATCCGACGTCATCTTCCCTCCCCCTCACCCCCTCCTCCTCAGCTCGAGACTACTTGGATCCCCGGGCATCTTTGCACTTCTGTCTCCGGCTAGTCTCTTTCCCCGCTCTCGGCGTATTTTAGATTTTCAGGTCAATGTTCTTTTCCAGGTTCTTCTGCTTCTGAGGCTATTCAACTGCGCCCACCACGGCAGAGTCACCAAGGGGGAGGGAGGGAAGGGGAGGGGAGGGTAACGAAATAACCACAGTCTCTTCTAGACAAGATATTCCCTCCTCTTTCCTGACACTTCCGGCTCATTCGGCTGCGCACGGGCTGCGTAATGTTGTGGCTCTTGGAAGACAACGACGCTCGACGGTGATCATCACCGCACCACCATCAAGTCAGTCGCTCCGTGTGTATGCACGCTTCCAATCACTCCATCTGCTTGTGCATATTTCCTTCCGTGCCCTCGTGAATCAATTACGCACGCATACGACATCACAGCTCATGTCGTAGATACTCATTCTGAGCCCCCTGTTTTTTCCCGCCCCGCCCCTGCCTCCCCCCCCCCCCCCCCTCTTGCCTCACCTCTGTCTCACAGGTAATCCGTGTCGATCACTCGAAGACCGTCTTGGAAATTCCCTGGATCCGTACCTCACCGTCCTTGCTGACAGGCACCAACATGAGGGACCATATGATTTCATCCCAATGGAAGGGGAATTTTTCAGGGTAGTGGTGGTCCCAACCGGGACAGGGCAGTGACAGGCATGCCAAACGCAGCGCATGTAACAATCTGGTGGGATAAAGTCCCCCCGGGGGCGTAACGTGTTTGATAGGGCGAGCGGGCAGAGTCAGCCAAAGTAGAGTGCGTGTGTGCAGGCGTGAGAGGGACCAAGGGGGGGAGGGGGGTTCATCGAAGAAACGCCACTTTCAATTATGATGATTTTGACAACTTTTGTGGCTGCCGCTGCTGTCCCTTTTTATGAATCAGATTCGTTCGTACCTGAAGAAGCGAGTCGAATCGGCGAGCAGTGATGAGACCTTGAACGAGCCGCGAGACCAGTACGAGCAGCAGATACAACGAGGAACATGAGCCGAGAGAATTTCCTCAGCACAAGCGATAGACTCCCGCTGTTTCGAGGAACCAGCAGCAGCTCGCAGTCACTCCCGTTCTGTCACGGAGTTTAAAAGCCGTTCGTGGCGTCTTTTGAATCTTCCTTCTATGCATCTTTTTCTTCAGCTATAGATGCGGAATTACACTCGAGCAGAGACGGTACGGCACGGACGGACGAGAAAGGCAAAGTTTGGACATCTGGCAAGGCGTACAGGTGGCGTGTTCAAAGCTTCGTATGGACGGAATCTGCGAGTCAGTCGAGCTCGCCACTTACTGTTCCTAGCATGTTGACGCTGGCGCGGTCGATTCGGGACAAAGCGGGCCCAAGTCATAAGCCTTGATGAGATGAGAAGGCGTGACATTCCTTCGTGTGGCTGACGAAGAAAACCTGCTGAAGCTGCTGTAATGCCACAGGTGAGGTCAGCAGGAAAACGGGGGCGCTTTGGCGCCATTGGACCGTCATGTAGTTGTACTTGACGTATCCAGCAAATCCCTGGTTGTATGCATCGCGCCGTCAGACTCAACTTGTGTTGCATTGCGATCAACACCGTGAAAAGCTTACAGGAGCTCGTGGAACCACCACAGTGGCAATGATAATAATTATGGAAATATTGTGGGAGGGGAAATGGCGTCATTTTGGCCGGTAATCTCGAGAAATTCTGATCTGACATTCGTGAATCCCCAATCCTAAGTGGATCCTTGTCCACGATGCCGTCTGAACTGTTGCACATCCCACCAGCTTATGTCCTCGTGGGTATTTACAGACTACTGACTGACCCATTCATCCGTCAACCGGTGTTGGACAAGATCAAACATGCTTCCGTGAGAGGGTTGATCGTTGGATTATTGTATTCCATTGGGAGTTGGCGAATCCTCAATTGGTTCGTCCGGAAAGTGCTACTTGGTAGAGCGGGATGGCTCCTAGGTGGAGGCGCAAGAGCACGGGTAGGAGAAGCAGTCAAGGAGAGCGTGGCTGGGGTAGTCAAAGTTGGTCTGGGACCATTGAGCTTCCATGTTGACTTGGTCCTTTGTGAGTAAAGGAGTAACGGAAGATTCAAGGATGACCGACTACATGCCTGTCATGTATATGCTGACTGCCCTGCTCTGAATCTTTTAGATACCCATCTGTTGATACTACTCCCTCAAGTCTCGTCGATCCTCAGGATGTTCATTTACAAAAACCTTCGAATCGCTAGATCACGAGCATGGGCATTGACCGTATCTTCCCGGGGCAAGCCCTCAGAGTTCTGGTCCCAGGTGAGTCACCCAAGCTTTTCAATGAAGTGCAGGGACCGATGTGCTACTAGGGCTATATCGAGGAATGGGCTCAGCCGCCGAAACCTTCTGCTAGCGATCTTTCTGGAAAGGGTGGAAGGAGGACAAAAGAAGCCAGGTGGTTGAGTTGGCTCTTGTGGTGGCCAACGCAGGTCGTCCTCCGACACTGTGGGTGCGCAAAGTACCGTCTATAGAGCGCTTTGACTGAGATTCCGACCACGAACCTAGATATCCTCCTGCCCCTCTCCCCGACCCTACCGCTACTCTCACCTCTCGTCACGGCTCTACTTCGAGGTCTCACGACCGCCGAGTACTTGCATCAACCGTACTTTGACCAAAAAGACATGTCGCCCGAATCAAGATGGACATGGGTCGAGGAGCGCATGTGGGCCTATAGGACATTTGGGTTCGCAGCGAGTCTATTGGAAAGAATACCCATCGTTGGCTTGTTCTTCTCCATCTCAAATAGGATAGGAGCTGCCATGTGGTGAGCGAACAACGTTTCGAGCGTCAGGAGGCGGCAACGTCGTCGCAGGAACCATACACTAGACTCCTCTGTAATACTCGCCGCTGACTCACCGCGAAGGGCATTCGACCTAGAGAAGCGCCAGCATCTCTTTGCAAATGAGATACTAAAACCCTTGCAGCCCAACCAAGTTGGCTTGTTTGGTATGGGATCCGTGACGAGTGCAGACTTTGATGTGCAGGCTGCAGAAGATGGGTTGGAGAGAAAATGGAGCAAAAAGGCAGACAATGAGAAGGGTATTGCAGAGCTCAAGGGGGAGGGTATAGGAGCGTCTCAACCAGGTGAAGAGAGGGTGTTGTAGAGTGGGGCCCATGAGAGTCAGCCGTCTGCGTGCTTGCTCCCGGTCTGGTAGATGAACAGGACGACTCATGTGTATAATGCCTATCCGCAAGCGTATATGTCGTCCACGATGAGACACACTGATGAAGACTATAACCCGGTACAGAATGGATGCATTGAGAGACTTCATTTTCCGTCAAAACTTCCGCCTAATGAGCGGCATGCGCTTTCTCAAACCTTATGCCGCTGCACCAGTGGTCAGCATCAAACTCGGGTGCAAAGCCGTGGTGCTCACCAGTATCCACAGACTTTAGGCCCTGGCACACGGTGCGTTAGTGGTCTGCGATGGGGTGGAACAACACTTATCTCACCTGGCTTGTCGAGGTTGATATAGATTTTTGGATGTCCGAGTGGTCCCCCACCTAGACTCAGGGTCATTAGCGTTGCTCAACTACTTGATACAAGAGCCGATATCCTGCACGAAAGGAGCCCTGTATCGACTTACCTCCGTCACAGACTGCTTTTCTACCACTGACCAACCGGATAGGGTCTTCCGCGACCATGGCCATGGCGCTCTTTGGTTTCGGTTGAAATTCCAGATCTACTTGCTCGAACCTGACGTTGTCGTACGCGTGAGGTTTAGGGTTCTGAGAGGTCGACCATGTCTTGGGGTAATTGGGAGATTGTTGGTAAAGTTTGGGGGTAGACGAATCAGGTTGATCCTCTGGAACGGGTTCAGGAGCAGTCGGAAGAGGTGTAGACGAGACTGATCGTCTTGAAATCGTCCATAAGAGATTTCTCGCCAGTGTACGAGAGGACTGAACGAGTCGAGACGCCATATTGGGGGATGTATGGCTGAACAATCGGGTTGAAGACTCGGGACGAACTACGATGGTGGATGGGATGCTGCATTCGAACGAGGCGCTCTTGTCGGGGATTTTAATCTACCGTGGGAAAGTCGCCACTTGGCGATTGTGTGGCCTCTCGTCCGTTGAGTCGCAGCTATAAAAAAGAGTTCTCATACCTCAGTAGAATGTGAGGAGAGAGATTGGCCCCCCGGCCCCTTTCTCTCTTTGACTTGACTTCACTCACACCCACACTCTTGCTTGTTCTGCTGCATGATCAAAAGAGGAGTAGACGGCATGTCTCCCATTCAAGGTCCAGAGCACCTTCCCCCTTCCCGGGACGAAGAGACGTCTTCACCTCCGTTTAAGCGAGCGACGCTTGAGCGTGCCGATTCAATCACAGCGACGACGGAAATGGTCGAGTCATCTCCGTCTATTACGAGCTGGGATTGGGTCTCGTCTGCAAGTTCACCTCATCTGAGTAGTGTCGACGACAATGACTGGCGAGGGATCATGTCGCAGGTTGGACCTGGAGTCCAACCATTGCATGACATTATCTCAGCGATGCGGACAACAGAAAGAGGAGAACAAGATGAAGCATCCAAAGGAGATAGTGGGTGTACGTTGTCAGATTCTAAGCTGATAACTCGCCCAGTTGACGAACCCCGTTCTCGTGGATCACCTACAACCTCCATCATCGATGTCGAACAATTCCCATCGACGGAACTTCCAAATCCAAACGCCATCCTACATTCCTCGATGCAAGCGCTACAAGCCCAACTTGCCACCGTCCAATCGCGACTCGCAGCGCTCATCCCTTTTGCTCAACCTGATCCAGACGAGACAGCTGTGCTCAGCTCGGACCCGCTTCCAGTTTTGACGGCGCGAAATCGAATCCTGGAGAGAAACCTACAGGCAGCCAACGACAAAAATGCCTCCTTGGAGCGTACGAATGCCAATTTGACTCGCGCTCTCAATACGCAAAGGAACATTGTCAAGAAGAAAGAACACGAATTGGCTGAGTTGAGGCCATTCGTTCCCCCGCCCGACGTCATGCCAGGGAATGGCATCGACCCAGCAGTCATTTCAGAATTGGCCAACGATTTGATATCCGGAGTCAAGACTGTTGATGAGATCGCTTCGTCGCTTCTCGATCTCGTCGAAACAGCAGGCGGGACATTGATCGAGAAAGAGAGGCAGGACTTGCATCCCGTCGTCAGGCTGAACAATCTTGAAGGCGTATTGGATGTAACGCTCGGCAGGGTGGCGGCTCTGGAAAAAGATACCAAGCGACTCGTTCGGCGAGAAGATGAGGCCATCTATCAGCGGTGTGAAGCAGCTGATACATCAGAGCCTGTCATGAGTGACTGGCATTGAGAGGATGTGGAGGGGTATAGGTGGGATTGAGTATTTGAGGAGTTGGGATCGGAAATATGGCCATAGTCGGTCAACATTGACGAGGGGCGGGACGAGTGACGAGACATAGAGGATAGGAATGATTGGACCACGACGACGAGGGGGTTCATTTGCCAATACAGGAAAAGCGAAAAAAACAAGACCTTACAGGTTCTTGCAGTGACTTGAGAGGGAAAATCGACGGTCCATTCTTTCGGAATGAGGGGAAAGGAGTGTATGATAGAGGGCAGTTAGTCATCGTTGTGCTTAGCAAATTTCATCCGTTGTCAATACTCATGTACGTATCATCAGACAATCAGTTATAGAATCCCACCAGAGACAAATCCGCATGAGTCCCTGCTTCTCCTGAACAAGGGTCGTGCATGGAGCGGATCCTAGTAGCTAATCTCAAGATTGGACTACGCAGAATGACCACGATATCAACCTTGATCATTGACCAGCAGCTTGAGTCCCGTCAGCGGCCTTCATCGACGAGTTCCATTGTTTCTGAGACGCACCTTCAAGCTCAGCAAGGAATTTTTTGCTAGCTTCGTCGTCGTCAAACTTCTTCAACATCTAAGCAGGATTATACGGCATCAGCACATGGACCTGATCCGACAACGCAAAGTCTCCCTCACGTCTCGAAGGAGGACGACGTAGATTGACATGGCGTCTTCCTTACTCATTCCCTCGAGTTCTTTCCAAGCGTTGTATTTGGCTTTTCCCTTGAAGTCGAACATGCCAGGTGCGGCACCAGTGCAGTCTCCGTTCTTGGCCTGTTTGAAGTGGGCGTAGAACTGGTGAAACGAATGAGTTAGCCCCGAGTTCGAGTTTCTGGGTCCTGCCAGCGAAGGAATGAAAGAGTTACGAGTCCATTCCTATGAGATGGCAACGAGACCCTGGTTCACTTGCCCCCGTACGAGGGCATTTCGCATTTCACGGGATGTACTACCACCACCACCACCACCACCACCATCATCATCATCACCATCATCCCCACCAGCACCACCACCACCACCATCACCACGCTCCGCACACTCACCTTGAGTTGGTCCTCTGTAGTGGGCTTGGCAGGACCGTCAGGGGGCAATTTCCCGACAATCTCGACAGCCTTATCGAATTGAGCTTGAGTGTTGGACATGGTTCAATTTAGGTCTGATCTAGTGTTGTTCAGTGGTCGATGTTGGGGAGACAAAGCGTTGTCAACTGACACGCTTTGCCCGGAGTGGGGACATAGGGGATTCGCCTATTTTCTGAGTGATAGGCCCGCTGCGGTAGCCGGTAATTAAAGTCCTTTCAGTGACGTAGTTGGCAGCTCAGGCAGCGTGAGATCACTTGATCCCATCCTGATCCGTCAATTTAGGATCTTCTTTGATTTGATCACCATCGTTCAGCGATCCACGTCTTATCGACCAGTCAGCTTGTATCGACATCAACTTCTTTGCCCAATATGATTCCCACTTCCGCTGTCCTAGGTCTACGAATGGCCACTCCCGTCCTTTCACGACCTCTGGCGCGTGCTCCCGCTCTGAAGAATGGTCAAATGATCATCGCCAAGCGATTTAACACGCCGGAGAACAGAGGCGGAAGGAGCAAGCTGGTGAGTCGATACGATCTTCGCAAAGCATAATCCATTCAAATCGTATTGGTAGATCTTCAGATTCGGCCTTCGAGGTATGTCATCTAGCCCGTGGGCTCAAGTCAGCGGGCCTGACGCATATCCCGCCCCCTTCATCTTTAGATCTTCCTGTTGAGCTCTACCCGATCGCATTCATCACTGCGGTAGCTCTCGTCGGAGCTGGTGTTGGTAAGCTGAGACCAGCTTAGGTCCTGAGAGCATCTCGCTGACAAGTCCCACCTCAGCCATCGGAAGACACTGTACGTTGCCCTCGTTGCAACCTTGAAGCTACGCTGACCTCTCACCTCCTAGTGTATCTTGATGGAGTAGGCTTTACGCTACCTCGTCTCCCAAGACAGCGCTGACACTGTCTTAGCTCCGGATCGTCCCCTCCGCAGCTCGTGAAAAGGCAAAGGAGAGTCCTTTCCCTGCTCAACCCGCTCAACCTTCTCAGTAAACGACAATAAAGGCATGATGAATGGATTTCCCCCCGGCGGTAGAAGCAGTGGCCGAAGCAAGCTACAAGAGGTGTTCGAGCCATATTTTCTGTTTGATTGTTCCGCTGTGGACTAGGTAAGGCACGAGGATAAAGAAGTTGAGAAGCATCATGAATGGCTGTGCTTTGCAAGGCTGCTCAGCGTAGCGAGCAAGCTGCAGGCGCGGGTGATATGATCGATACCATTATGCTTGACCTGACTCGCTGCCGACATTCATTGAGAATCTTGCTCACTCCAGTTCTGGTCGAGCCCGCGACGGGAAAGTCTTTCAACGGAGGTGTTCTCAAACCGAGATTTGGCCCAGGGGTCTCAGACAAACGAACAGTTGGAATGTTCATCGGTGATGACTCGCTGGACCCCGCTTTCCTAGGAGTCGTATGGAGCTGTAATTCATGAGATTAACCAAAGGATGGATGATATGGGACTACCGGTGTAAAACTTAATCCTACCCAGCCCCTGAATCGACTGCTTCTAATTGCCTTATCGAGTCCGAACGCTCCTTTCGACACGACCTTTGTTGCGATGGTAAATTGACTACAACAGGGGTAGATCGAGACAGAGTGATGGCAAATGAGAGGCAGATCGGATTATTACTTACTCCTCTGCAGTGGTACTTAAACTCGCGGGGAAGAAATACAGCTCTCGCACTTTATTCAAGCATATTACCTCCGATACATCACCCTCATAAGCTTATTGGACAAGATGACCTCTACAAGCGACGCGGCATGGGCACGCTCTCCCGCGACCCAACTTGCGCCCACCTGTGATAATGATGATCATATTGTCAAAGAGCAGTTTTTCTGGAGTCTTGAACCGGAGTAGAACCCTGAGGATCCTGTGCGCTGTTTCTCCCATCCACCTGCAGAGACAAAGATTCCGTACGACGGGGAAGTGACTTTTGACGATGAGACTCTGGCCCAGTTCTTGGAAGCAGGTGAGAGCTTTGACGAAATCAAGACAGATATCTCTAGACTATCGACTGTGGACACGAAATCTGAACAGAAACTGCTGGAAGCTGGGCGAGTCAAGGATGCCGAAACGATGAAGACCGCACAGTGGCTGTACGAGAGAAAAGCTAATAAACAAGGAACTGAGCTCGGTACATGGACCCTTGACGAAGTCCCGGTCTCGTTTCAAGTGTTTCTTGAAACCGCACTCAAACCTGGACCTTTGGTGCGGAAAAGGTACGAGTCACGAGACGGTAACCTTCTTGAGTGTATTGGAAATTGGACAACATCCTCCAGTCTACGGTGGAGGGATTACAGCACGGGCAAATGCGCTTCGACGTCGTATCCTTCGAAAAACCAAACGTTTTGGGAGAAAGGCGCACCGCGTGCCGTGAGGCTGGGCAACCAGTGGCTTGATGTGGGTTGCAAACCTAGCTGATCAGAGTTACTGGATTTCCGTACGTAAGCTCTCAAGCCGACTCCCAAGGATCTTCGGTGTTGCCCTTATGCATCCTCTACAGGCGCTGTATCGCTGTACACCCGGCCATGGCCAAGGCAATTGCCACCGCGTCTATACCACGTGACTGACATATTTGTAGATAATATTTTTTTTAAGCAGCAGCTGCTGCTGAAATCATGTTCATACCTTAGCTGCTATCGTACCGATTATCACTTTGGATTCAGCTCGCTAGAGAGAGGGGAGGGAGTGCATCGAGTTTCAGGGGGATCCGATAGGAAGAAAAGGTGGCCCTTCGAATCATCCAAATCTGAATGTTGCGCTGCTCAAGACGGCTCAAAGGCATCGTCGGCTCTCGTCGACCAACGCCGCTATTCAACTCGAGTAGGTGTGTCGTCACTGTCCATCACCAATCCGACTACGACCATTCTTTGTTCGGCTTGATGTCTCAAGCCTCGGGTTCCAATGTGACTCTGCCTTCGTCTCTACCAGTCAAGCCAGATATAGCCTCCAATAGCTCTTCAGCGTCATCATCATCGAAACCTCTCATCTCTCGTATCTCACTTCCGCATGGGCTGCCTCAAAAGCCCACATTCGCCCTACCCACCAGACCTCCTTCGGCATCCTTACGCTCTAGACCGATTCAAAATGATCGCCCACCACGGTCACGTTCACCGTCACCACGTCGCCGCTCAGCTCATCACGATTCTTACATTCCCCGATCGCCTCCACGACGACAAGATGATTGGGATCGACGAGACGATCATCGACCTGGGCCTAGGGAGGACTGGGGTATAAAAGATACCTACATACCCAGACCGCTGTCTCCTCCAGGATCTCGTCGACGTATCTCGGTTGATCGAGTCTCAAGTCGCAGTCCTGTGAAAGGTCTATCATCATCATCAGCATCAGCTGCTAGTCCGGTCCCCCGCGCACCTTCATCCGAACTGCCCAAGACGTTCTTCACCTTTTCTCATAAAAAATCGGAGGAGAAGCATGCAAGGGAAGAGCAACGTCGTTCAGAGTACGAGCAGAGGATACGGGAGAAGAGGAAGAGAGACGATGAGGCGGCAGAGCAAGACAGAATGGGGCGTCTGGCAGACAGGAGTCATCCGAGTGAAGCTGTCGAGTCAGCCGAGATCAAGGACGCCGACGACAGGTAGGATTAGATGATCATGTTACTTGCTAAGACGACGCAGGAGTAACCTTAAGCGATCAGCATCCTCGACAACGATAGAAAGCGGACCGTCCAAAGCCTCTAGGCCCATACCCACCGGTCCGAAATCAGCCACCGGTGTCTTTGGTGCACCCACTGGCCCACGGTCACGGTCAGGTCTCAGAGGCATTATCGCTTCACCCACTGGAGTCTCTTCAAAGACCCCCACAGGTCCTAGGGCCATGACCGTTCGAGAATTGCACTCGACCTCATCTCCGTCCGAGTTGGCTTTACCCTCACAGCCGCAAACGAGTCCGGGACCAGGGACTCTGCAAGTTTTGGAAGGACCGATCAAGGACAGGGAGGCTATCATGTCCGCCAACGCGGACTTGCAACTCGATCAGGCTCAGCTGCAGAGTCCGCGCTCGTCATTATTCGACCGAATGAGTCATGAAGGCCAAACGCCCCAGTTCAGCGTCTTGTGGGGCCGAATCGATGGCAAGCGCATCGCGAGGTGAGCGTGTGGTCCTAGCGAAGCTCACAATCCAGGGCGACAGTCAATATCAGAGGTAAATGTCGAATTGTATGTACCGGTGATGGTCAAGATGCAAAAGATGCGTATGAGGCATCTGCCTTGGCAGCTCATTATGAGCTTACACGACGCGAGATGGTGAGCGGAAGAAATGAAAGCTTGAGCTGATCCTACAGTCTGGCGCTACTCCTCCCGTCGCCGGCTCTGCGAGCCCCCAAGACCCAGTCCACATCGTCGAGGATTCAGAAGCCGCCGAGTCAGAATTCGTGACAGACTCCGATGTCGAGACGTCGGCTATTGACACAAAGAGACTTAGCAATGGAATCGTCATTCAATTACCAAGGGCAAAGAAATTCATGGCATACTACTGTGAACGATATCAATTCGACCCTCCGTCCATCGAAATCGTCGGATCTCCACCAAATTGTGAGGCTATCATGTCCGTCGGTGGCCGGACGATCGGCATGGGTACTGGTACATCTCCTGAACAAGCCCAGCAAAACTCGTATCTCGATGTCGTCCAGTATCTCGAATTGTGTGACCCCAGGCTGTGGACAGATTTCCGAGAGGAGGAGCGTCGGAATGCCCTGCCAAGCTTGGTGTTCCAAATCAGCGAGCAGCTGAACGAAGACATCTACGGTCTCTGCTCGGATATCACACAGTCCAAGCTGCACCGAAAAGCTCCAGCCGATGGATCATTACAGCCTGACGCGATCAATCAGAACCCAGCCCAAACCTCACAAAATGCCATAGGGGATATTCAACAAATCTCCATCGAGATGAAGAGTAAACTCGATGAGTATCGCGAGGATCCAACGTGGGAGGAGATGCGCACTCAACGAAAGGGGTTGCCGATCTATACGAAGGCAAAGCAGATCATGGACAGGATCAGTGAAGACGATGTGACGGTGCTAGTAGCTGCGACTGGCTCCGGTAAAACAACTCAGATCCCCCAAATGATCCTGGACGATTACATTGATCGAGGTCAAGGTGCCGAGTGCAATATCTTGTGTACGCAGCCACGAAGGTTAGCAGCGAGATCCGTTGCTGAGCGAGTGGCAGCCGAGCGAGGCCAAAGGTTGGGTAAACAAGTTGGCTATCAAGTTCGATTTGACGCCAAACTTCCGCAACCTCGTGGCTCCATCACATACATGACCACGGGGATTCTGCACAGGAGGCTACAGGCGATGAGGGATACAAATAGTGACCTAGAGCACACAACGCACATCATCGTCGATGAAGCACACGAACGAGATATCGACACCGACCTCTTGCTGGCCGTCCTCAAGAGGTTCATGGCAGAGCGAAAAGCGCGGGGCAAGCCGCTCAAGCTCATTTTGATGTCTGCAACCATCGACCCCACTTTGTTTCAACAGTACTTTGCCACTCCAGAAGGCCCAGCTCGCGTGACTGAAGTGCCGGGAAGAAGTTTTCCGGTCGAACGACACCTATTGGACGAGATCGTCCCCCGTCTCAAACGATATACCGAGGCCCAGTGGGTATTTCGGGACCCATTGGTATTCGAATACCTCTTACGGGAGCTGTCGGATGATCGTGCACTGTTTGTCGAGGACACCGAGGTGCCTCTGCCTTTACCGCTGGTAGCGCTCACAGTAGCGCACATTCTCAAACAGTCTACTGAAGGTCACATCCTGGTCTTCTTACCCGGTCTCGAGGAAATCAAAAAGACCCGCATGCTCTTGCAAACTCAGCATTTCGTCAACGGAGTCAATTTTGAGGATCCCAAATACAGTATCCACTTTTTGCATTCGGCGGTTCCTGCAGAGGAACAGCAGAAAGTCTTTGAGCCCGTCCCAGAGGGAAGAAGACGAATCATCTTGGCGACCAACATCGCAGAAACCAGTGTGACCATTCCAGATGTGGTCTATGTCGTTGATGGAGGTAGACTCAGGGAGAATCGATACGACCCCGTCTCGTCCCTCTCATCTCTGGTCCTGGCTTGGGTCAGCAAATCACATCTCGATCAACGAGCTGGTCGTGCGGGCCGACATCGACCCGGGGAATATTTCAGTGTGATCTCAAAGCTCCGACTAGAGTCGCTCGGCTCTCATCAATTGGTGGAGATGAAGAGAGAGAATCTGACCAATGTGGTGATGCATGTCAACGTGAGCACGAGGAGTTTCGGACTTTTATGCTGACGAGATCTAGGCCTTGAACATTGGAGCCGTTCATGACATCTTGGGCGAGACCATCGAGCCACCTGCTCCCGATCGAGTAGCCGCGGCGATCAAATCTCTGCAGCAACTGGGAGTCCTGGATAAGAACGAGAGACTAACGTCGCTCGGCCGAGTTCTGCAACGACTTCCGATCGATGCGGCAGTTGGCAAGCTCTTACTCTACGGAGCCATGTTCCGATGTCTTGACTCGGCTCTTACTCTTTCTGCCGTCATGAGTCTGGGCAGTCCATTCATGGTCCCTCTTGATCGCAGATCAGAAGTCCGAAAAATTCACAACTCCTTCTCCCCATCTGCATTCAAATCCGACCTGCTTGCGGGTCTCATGGCATACAACAAGTGGCGCGAGATCGAGGAGCGCAATTGGGATGAGGCATGCGAGTATTGCAAATCTAGTTCACTCAAAATTGGCGCCATGATCGACATTCGCAACATGCGGGATTCCCTGTTGAGGGCGCTCTCCGACAGCGGCATATTGGCGGTCTCTGATGGCAGACTACTACAGCGAATCCACAAGTACAACGGTCGACCAAACGTACCCCCTCATTTGAACATACACAACGACTCTCTACCTTTGCTTGCAGCATTGATCTGTCTGGCCTCGGCACCCAACTTTGCGATTCAAAAGTCGCCATCTTTGTATCGAACGGCAAACGATAAGGTAAGCTCCATGAACACCAAGACGGACGCGATCTAATGCTTGCTTGCTTGCAGCATCTCATCATCTCCAATGGCTCAGTCAACCGCAAGACACGAGAAACTGGGCAATCAGACAAATCTCCAGCGTCTCCGATTGTCAACGAGAAGCGGCTGTATGCTTTCACTGTCAAAGCCTCTCTCCCTTCAGAAGAAGGGGCTTCGGGCAAATCAAGTGCGAACAAGAAAGCCCGTTCTGCCACCAGTGTCCTTCGTCAGGTCTCACGTATCGACCCTTTGACCTATTTGCTCTTTGGAGCCTACGATCTGGTACATGACGGCAAGAGCTTGCTTTGCGATTCCTGGCTAGCAGTCACCGGCAATCCATATACTCTCAGTGACATCGTCAAGCTCAGGTCACTGATAGACACTTGCATGTTGCGAGTATTCGAGGGACTCGGCCACAGTCTGATCATGGATCGGGATTCTCGGCGACGAGAAATACAGCAAAGGATCCAGCTTCCGAGGAGCACTTCACCAAACATCTCGAGTGACGATGAAAAAGATGCGGATGTAACCCAGGAGGACGAAGCAGAGGAAGAGCAAGTCAGACAGATATTGACTTTGGAGCCGGACGAGATCAGAGAATTGCAATTATTGACCGCGGATGTGGTGAGGATCTTGGATGCCTATGCTGAGGAACGGGAAGGAGACAAGATTTACGCGTCGTCACATGAATATGGCCCGGAGCTAGACGACGACTTGAGGGAGCAGGAAGCCGTCATGATATGATCCAACAGCATCTTGATCGATCGATCACACCTCTCATTGTACAATGTATTTTTCACACCTTCTGTATCAGGACATTGTGACAAGACAAACCACCATGCATCATTTTTAGTTCACAGTTTGATTAATAGACAGCCCAAGCCATCGCTGTATGCCGTGATGATGCCCTCCACTTGAATTATGTCGGCGACGGACAGGTATTCTGGAGGCTCCTCGTGCGGTTCCTGAGGTCAGCAGGTCGAGTGTCCGTCTCGACTCACTCGCAATAATGAGAACCGGAAAGAATCCTGCAGTCCAGAGCGTCGATCCTCTTGTAGGACCGGGATTTTCCGCTTCGCACAGTCAATGCGATGGCGCACGGACTGGCGATTGAGAGGTGCGACAAGTGAGTAGAACGATCGGTCTAGTATCTGTATCGACGTGGTCATCAGCTGAAAACACGGAACAACATACTCGCTCACCTGCAGGGCTGGAACCAATCTCTCATTGCTGACATAGGTGATACGAGCCGAGTCGGTGAATCGATCCATGAGGAGAAATGTACGCAATGGATGTGGACGCTGGCGCATGGTTGAGATGTACCGGAAGGGCTGGGCAAGGATGAATAAGCCAGTCTGAACAATCCGAGGCAAGTCTTGCAGCCCGGTCGTCCATTTCTAGCTCGGGTCAGCCATTCATGTCTGCTGATTTGGGCCTACCGCTATGGACCACATGCCTCCTGGTGTGTCCGGCGGTATCGTCTCGTAGACTTGCCGATTAGTCAAAGAATGCGCTGTAAGTTGTATATGAGCTTGATACATGTAGCTGTCCAGGATCACTTCACACAGAGTTGAAGGCCGTCCGTTCATCCGAGTGGTGATGATCATAATTTGGTCATAAACAACATGACTGGGGGGAGGACAATCAGCTTGCGCCTGGAATACCCCACTCACTAATAAAGACAACATCTGATGAATTCCCCAGACTGATGTCTCAAACTCTGGAAGATCATACCCCCTGTGGTCTGATTGGCGAGCGTCCAGCTGGACAAATTTGTGTTTCAGACGACGATCGCCTTGCTTCGTTGTTCAACGCTCACTCCAGCTTGTTCTCCAAGGCACTACGTTCCTCCGGGTGCCAAAGCTCCGCCAGGCCTATGTCTGATAATTCCTCCCAGGTGTAGCCAAGTATATCTCGCATCGAATGCGAGGTGTAGATGAACCGAAGCTATGGCGTTGAATCAACAACCTGTTACCGCACTGCTCTCATCCGATCAAAACTTGCATTGCGGTCGGCAGAGAGAATCATGAGTCCCGACAGGACCCTCTTTGATCTGTGTTTATGTCTTGAGCCATTCTGTTGAATAGGATGACGATGTGAATGAGCAGGCATTGAGCGTGTTGCCCTTCACACAAGTGAGGGATAAGATGTCAACAATGTAGAAAGAGCTTTGAATCATTCGCCCTCCTGTCATCATCTCTTCGGGTGGTACCTTGTCCTGAGTGAGATCTAGTGGAGAGACCAAAGGATAGCAATTAAAGCTGAACACGAAGGATAAGGGGGGGGGTCCTGTGGTACCTGACGCTATCAGAGCCCGTTATATCCCGATCAGCGTTCGAGGTCATTTCCAGCCCAGTCAATCATATATCGCTTGGAGAATGCTACGTGTCAGAGTGGCATTTCGTCTCAAGCTGAGCAGCTGGTCTTGTGCTCATCCCAATCAGTCTTCAGATGAAGTTCGAAATAGTGTCGAGCCGGTACCTAGCCAGCTATATCCCCCTCGTCATCATGTTTACATAATCCCCTTTTTTCGTAGTGACCATCAAGGGATTTCAGCTATGGCAAAAGCTCCAAGGGCACACAATAATCGAGAAAGGTCCAAACAGGTTCAATGATGCCGGTACCATCTCAATCAGCCCGAACACATTCGCCATAGTGGATGTCTTCCAAAAATACGTCTGGCCAAAGTCGAGACTGACTCGAGCGAGCACAGAGTTGTTCCGATACTTTTTGGGCCCGTCCAGTTCTTCCGGAATGCGGAAAAGCTACCTTGTTTGAAACTTGATTCTCTTCCGCTCTTCTGAATTTGGGCTCTTCACTCTGCCCCCCTCTCTCCCCTGAGTCAACGCGCTAGTATCCGGGAGGCTATGGTCGAAATCTCGTTCTCCCCCCTTTTGCATACTACATCTTGGACGTGTCGTCCAGCTTGTGAAGGGGTCTTTCCCGCTGACACCCCTTGTCAAACTTGGCAGAGCGTCATCAACACGGTCAATGCAGAGAATACCCGAGTCTATCTATGTCCAGCGGATCGGATAAACGTCCTGAAGAAGAAGAGTCAATGTGCATGTTGTTGTTTGCCTCGCTGATATCAACAATGGGTGGTGGGACCCGTCATACTTGTTGAACCCGTGACCTACTTTTTCAGCGTTTCATCGATCTGTTGCTAGCCTCTCATCTGATTGAACAGATCTCACTGACTGACGTTTTCAGAATCAAACACTCTCTACTTTATCTATCATTGGGCAGTAAGCCTTGTAGGTTGGCTTCGGACCGGGTTCGTGCTTTCTTCGACATGTTCAACAAGCATCCTTCACAATTTCTGGGCAAGACCGATCCCAAAGATCCAGCTCAGGTCAAAGTCGCGGTGGAGAATATGAAGAAATGGGCGCGAGGCAAGCTGAAGAAGGGCACTTTGAGAGAAGTCGCAGGAAGGGGAGGCAAGGTAGGTCCTGACGCAGCAGTCCGAAGACATCAAAGCTGAGCTGATTCAATCCAGCTGGAGCAATTAGAAATCGAGGTGAGCGTTGCCGTTCTTCTTCCGGTCAACCGAGGAACCTCACTGATTTTTCCTGATAGTTTGCTCATCGAGGGTACCAGGATATTTTCTACCTGACACGATTCGAGCTGTCCCTTCCCCCCTCACGCCTTAATCTTCCGCAACCCTCATCCCCAGTCGCTAAGACGCTCGCAGACGCCAATTTTCCTCTTCGTAATCTGGCTCAGTCCACGCCATCTGGTCACTCTCGGAAACAAGACGATGCTCGTCGCCAGAATTCGCCAGAAGATGCAAAACACGTCGCGCCGCCCGTAGCTGCGGCGCCAACAATGACACCAGCACGAGAGGACAAGGGCAAGCGAATGACTGTCGGAGTGAAGGAGATCACCTGGGGCAAACAAGACTCCAAAACCGCTCCCAAAGTTCCTACTCAGGCATCCGGCCCGTCCACTCCTCCCTCCCCTATACTGTACGTGCCGCCTAGACCTCCGCATCCAGAAGCGGCTGCGAAGCTCGATTCGCCGATAAAGATGGTGACCCCCTCTAAGGATTACCCTAGTGTGCCGCCTGGTGCCGGCGTTGCGAGTACCAGGCCGCCCGGCGCAGGCATAGCAAGTACAGGTATAAAACCGGGTCAAATAGCTCCAGTATCGATCCTCCAAACGAGCTCAACCATGCCGCCTCCTCGAGTGTCAATGCTTGACCCTTCTTCCGCCACCAAAACACCAACAAAGTTGCCTTCTCCTGGGCTGCTCACTCCATCGACTATCAATGAGCCACTCCCCATCACACCGACGTCAGTTCGTTCATCCAGTCTTGGATGGCCACATGGAGTCACAAACTTCCGTATCAGTCAGTACAACCCGGCCGCGCAACCCGCCATGGTGCCTATGGGTGGACCTCGACGAGGCTCAGAAGGTGACGCCCATGTCCTCCACGAGGTCAAAGTGCTACAGCCACATCATCGTCGACCGAGCGCGCCATTCTTGGCAGTTGGCCAGACCGCTGCGGTCGAGGAAGAAGAGATCAAAGAGACTCTGAGTGATGAGCCGCCGCGATTGCCAGAGATTGCCTCTGCGCCATTGACCTCCACAATTTCAGTCACGGAGGAAAAGGGTCAGCTTCCAGTCGTCACTGCAGGAACCGAAAGGCCAGCCTTGAAGCCAATCAGCGTTAACGTTGCACCAATCGCGGAGAGTTCGGCTGTCGATACTGCTGCAGTTAAGGAAGCGGCCGCGAAGCGTGCTCTGGAGGAGAAGATCAAAGCTTTGGTGAGCCAGTGTGCAAATTTTGTAAGCTGACGATGCGTAGCAAAACGAACTCGACACCCTCGAAGCTGCAAAAGTCGTGTCCCCGTCAACAGCAAACCCAGCACCGGTACCAGCGGTATCTTCCGTCAGATCGGTTCCTGCTCCTCTTCCACAGGCGGCCGGCACTTCGGGTCACACGAGACAGCCATCAGCCGGGAATCAGGGGAACGCTCCAGCTATCCCTTTGCCACCTCTTCCAGCTCCTTCTGGCTCTGATATTCGAAAGTCAAAACCTCCGCCTCTGACACTCCAACACGTTAATATGGCATCAACGAGGCCAAAACCGCCGACACGCTCGAACTCTGGTCTGACACCAGACGGAAGCACGACGACAGTTAAGGCTCCCTCACCATTGCGCTCCTCGACCGTCCCGATACCGACAAAAGAGGCTGCAGCTGCTCCTCCCGCGAGACCTCAACGACCGCCTGAAAGTACGATTCCACAGTCTATACGTGTTATGGATGAAGAGCCTCGATCAGCGGGATCCAGTCTTGCCCCATCACCCACTATCATCACCAAAGCATCCAAAGAGCCAGTATCAGTCGTACAAGCTCAGACACACGAGGTCAGTGGTGGACCGACATCTGCAGCTATGACGCGATCCGTCGCCAGATCTCCTGCCCTCGAATCATCTCATCCACTGTCAGCTGGTCTCGTTGCCCCAAAGGCAGCGAGGAATGGTGCCCCAAGATTATCCATCTTAGAGCCTTCTCCGACTCTCTTATCAGATGATTGGATGTCAGATTTCGATTCTGCATCCTCTTCATTCGATTTCGACGACATCTCTCCGAGTCCCACTTCCACCTTGGCAGCTTTTCCACCAGCACCATCCGGTCGATTAGACATACAACCTGTCCCGAGAAGTGCGCCTCCCACTCAGACGAAATTGAAGATCTCCATTCCCGTCCCCATCGACCTCGATACGGATCCCCGACTGGTGGGCAAATCAAGGTATGGAGCTGGATCTAGATCGGCCACTTCCACGCCGGTCATTGATTATGTCTCTCCATTGAGCAAGTCTCCCAACTCGTACGGTGCGCAGGGTCTTCCAAAATCCCTGCAGAGCTTCCCACCACGGATACCGCTCAACACTAGATCTTCACCAAAGTCGAGAAGCAATTCCTTACCGGGGGAAGACGAGGATGTGCCTCGACCATACGGTCGAGCATCGCCCACCCCTATCCAAATGGGCCTGACACAATCCGCGTCGGATTCAACGGCTTTCGACCTCCCTCGAAAGGCTCCCTCGATACCGAGCGTACAGCCATCATCATCGACCGGCCGCGTTGTCATACAGCCAGAGGACACAAACGTGATGGATGCCGAAGTGGCGTCCCGCCGAGTTCAGGGATATCGTCAATCTATATCTGCGAGATATGCGCACAAGTTGCAAGCACAGCCACAGAAACCGGTCATTCAGCAAGTAGCAAAAGCGGCGCCGCAGATTGTCCAAGGAGACTTTGGTGCTCCAGGAAGAGGAGGAGAACATGAGGAAGAGGAGGGGTGGGTGGGATTCGCAGTATAAACTTGGGGCATGCACATCAAGATGTCAAGGTCTCATCCCGCCTCATTGCATGGCGAACGAATGTTCGCTGATTCTCAGCTGGAAGGGAAAAAGTTTTGCTTAATAGACAAAGGAAGGAGCGGCAGTTCTTTTGTCCAGCTGACCGGACTAACGATTAGTTGTCAATCGATCAGTCAACAACCCCCGAGCAAGTCACAGTCTGAACTGTTCAAATTCTGCTGATCATCCGCCATGTCTAGTGCTAACGATGTACCGAGCATTCACTTTGCTCACCTCACGGTTGTTCTGGCAAACTCGCGCCAAGCTCGAAGATTTACAGACGCAATGCGTCTCGATGAGGCTGAGCTTAGTGACAAGTACACCGTGGTGAATCTCGTTGACGCTTCAGTGCTTAATTAGGAGCACGAGCACGAGATCCTCTCACGAAGACATGAAGAAGCGCGAACAGAATTGGCAGAGGGACATGGCGCACTGAATTGGTGGGATGCTGGTGTACTCATACACTATGACATCGTCTTTCTGACCGTAGACACAGGGTATTGGTCCAGCGCAGCGATCCTGAAGGCCAGATCTATGCAGGCTGCGATACGTATCGCATTGAGGCGCTCATCAAGAGGAAGAGCAAGGAGTCCATTGAGGACACATTTTGCTATGGAATCACCAGTGTTTACACTCCAGTTCAGCATCGTGGTGAGTCTCTCGCACATGGCGGAATGCTTACTGTCCAGGGAAGGGATATGGACGTCATCTGCTCAGAGTCCTCCACTATATCCTAGCCCGGCCTAGACTTCCTGCGTTTCCCCTTGAATGGGGTGACCCTCCTGCTTTGGCACCGAAGCAACGCGAGCTGGTGCCGTGGGCTAGCTTCTCATTCGTCTGCTCCGACATCGGGTCGGAATACTACAGCAAGTGCACCATTGGAGACTCGTCTGAGGGTTTTGCGGTCAATCCTTTGGAACAGAACGAACTGCACTGGAAAATCCTTCCTCCCGAAGACGAGGAAGGCAGTTTCTGTCGCCATGGACCCGGCGATGATCATCGAGAGGATGACTGGCTGGTACTGTACGATAAAGACTTACCTCGTATCAAGTCTATCCTGCGTGAAGGTCAGAAACGAAATCTCGAAAACCGGGATACGGTCGATCATTCCGTGTTCGCCTTGGACCCCGAGGCTGGAGGCGTGTGCGACTTCGTTGCCCAAGGCGGAGAGACTGGTGTGAGAGAGCCCTGGCCTATTCTCGACAAAGTCGAGCCTAGAGGCGTTCAGCGAGGGGATACTGTTGTCATGTTTGCAAGATACGATTATCAAGTGCCTAAAGATACATTGATCATCTCGTTTGTTCAAAAATTGACGTCAGATGACCTACCCAGTCTGTTGAGGGTCCTCGATCGACTGGGTACAGAGGTCGGGCTGCGGAATGGCTGGATCTGGGGCTTAGATCCGACGAGTGAGCTGGTCAGGAGTTGGGAGGCGTTACCAGGACGAAATACAAAGGTCGGCTTGAGACAGGGAAACGATGCCCATCTCTATGGCATTGCTCGATATGAAGACCAAGGTGGGATACTGGTAGATCAACAGATGTGGATATGGCTGTAGAGGGCCGCGGACACGATGTGCATAACAGATACAGCTGGTGAGGGTCCCAAATCCAGGTTGATGGGCAGCGGAAAAAATTCGTCATGAAGAGACTTTTTTGGGCCTACTCCATGACTTTGCAAGCATGTCCTTCTTCGTGATAGTATAGCCATTAACCTTTGTATCAGGTCTGATATCGATACCCTCTGACTTGAGCAGCCTTGCCTTGTCATCCAGTGCGCTCCCTGTACCTGTCCTGAATTCCTGGATCAATAAAGAACAAAGCAACGCAGACGTATGTGACTCACTGGCCAGCGAATCCAGTCAGGGAGCCATTGGCAGCAACGACTCGGTGACACGGTATCAGAGGGCAGAATGGGTTGATTCGTAGAGCTCCACCTACAGCGCGAGGCGAGGACAAAAGAGATCGGGCGATCTCGGCATAGGTTGTGATCTGTCCTGAGGGGATCTGCATGGCTCAGTGTTTCATGCGAGGGTCGAAGAGGATTTGCCTACCACTTACCGCTTTGATGTGATCGTATACTCTCCACTGAAAGTCTGAGACTTCTTTACCTGATCGCTTGTTCAAGAAGCCTTTGCGTTGCTCGTTTCCGACCGGATAGAACACATTGGCCTCGTCAGATGCGACAATTGAGGACCGTGGGATCTGAGGCGACATAACAGCGATCATGATCGGCGTAATGGGAGGTCGGGCACACGCTGACACTGTCAAAATGCCACCAGGTGCTCAAATCGCTACATGAGTCGGAGTAGAGACCATCTTGTTCGCCAGATGGACATTGACATGAGTCTAGTCAACTGACGCGTCTCGTGGCGCGTGGCATCTCGCTCTAAGATCCCCCGTTGCGTTGCTTCACATCGCTTCGGAACCCTGCATTGCAGGTCGAACTATATGTAGCAGCAGCGCAGCCCTCATGAAGCTTTCAACTTGCATGGCCAACCCTAAATATTCCCGTCAAGGTCTGCCCTGACAGTCAACAAGATGGATCTTCTCCGAGTGCCACGTCGATCCCTAAGAGACCGGATCAAATGTTATTAGCCGAGTGTCTGGTAAAATCGCCCGGCGTCTCTTGTAGCTCCTTCACTTGCGGTCGCGTGATTATCGCCTCTCAAGCATCAGCGGAGAACTTGGTACAAATCATCGACTCAGGTCACCTCATCCTCAGGGCTCTTCACCGTCGACTCATTCTTGACAGATCACCCCATCACAATCTCCCGATACCGCCCCGCCGGCTGATCGAATGTTCGGTCTGGGTCTCCTCATCCGCCTTTTGCTCGTCACTGCGTTCGCAGTCTTCTACTACTATTATATTGACAAGCCTGGCAATCTCGAGCCTGCCTCGACGTCTAGCATGGTAGCCAATCCCGCCAGCGTGTACTGTATCGAAATAGGAGGGACGCTAGAGATCCGAAAGGACGGGGAAGGCAACGAAGTTGGATACTGCAAGCTACCTGATGGCAGTGAAGTTGAAGAATGGGAGCTATTCCGCACAGCTCATGCGGAAGAGTCTAAGAGTGCGGAGGATAGGAGCAGCCAAGCGGGACAAATGGGCACTGGAGGAAGCGATGATCAGAAGGTGCTAGGTAGTAAATGAATGATGCTTGGATCCTTCGCTAGATCCCCGTTGGCCGCTTCAGTATATGGCCTGGTGAACATGTTCACTCGCTGCAAGATCACTCGAGAAGACCCGATGAGGCGTATGCGAGCCTGGAGGAGAATCTGCTGTCCCTCCGACTCCTGGAAGAACTGACGAAGGACCCGAGATCATCTAGCAACCTGCCCGCAGTGCGCCATGAACCGACATCGCGGCGGTATATCATTGGCTGACTCCAAGCTTCCCCGCCTTCATTGTTGCGATGGCGTCTAATTCTGGGTCATTTGTCATGTGTAATGAGTCCAGCTCTCGCCTACACCAAGTCTGAGGCCACTGAGAGACATCGGGATTCCTTGTTCTGGTCCACCCTTAGCCACCACCTCCTGATCGGTTCGAGCAACGGCCGAGGTCTGCCACATTCGAGTTCGAGGAACGGAAGTAAATTCTTTTTCGGAGCGCCGTCGAGGAAAGGCAGTCGAGAAAATAATTGGGCTGACATGACCAACTATATGATATGTGTATTTCTTACATCTCACCGACTTTTCCCCCCTCATCATTTGTGCCAGTCTCTTGACAGCCTCTTTGGAGTCACCTCACCTACCACCACCCCACATAGTCAGTAAGATGTCTACAGCAACTGCTTTACGACGGTATCGACCTCGCTCTCTCAAACCCGGACGGTAGCATCAGAAAAAAAAATCTTGATCTCGATCGCAACACCAGACAAGATGTAACCGAGCCCTCTGCAAACTTCGTACATGGGGGCCGCGGTGGGAGCATTGAGCGTTTCAACACCTCGCTCCTCAACGTCGACTCGGCACAATCCTCGATGAAATGCTATTTCATCGGGTTGTTCGATTAGAGATGCACACGGGTGCCGGATCTGCAATCGTGACTTGTCTCGATCCTAAAAAAATCAGACTCGTCTTGCAGGTCCAGGCTGAGATCATACCGTTGAGCGGATCAGGGTCATGCCTGCGTCGCTAGTTGCTTCTCCTTGTGTCTTGATGCTCACGGCATGCTTGTAGCTTTCAACATGTCTGATTGGCACAATATGTGAGTTCTGCTGCCCAGTGTAGTCGCTTACATATGCTCAGTCCAAATGTCCGAGACACCACGAAATGGTACAATGACAAGGGACGCATGAAGCTCAACTTGTGAGCATGAACCAACTGAGTCACAACTAATCTACGTTAGCTTTCTGAGTATCATCTTCGTAGGCATGATCCTGAATGGCTGTGAGACCCGCGTCTTCGATCCAGCTCTCTCCTTCCCTGATGACATTCTTTAGACGACGGAAACATCATTGCTGGCCTGCAAGCTTTTGATGCATGGCATGAAGATCTCGGCAATCCCGGTGGTGTTGGAATCGGACTCCTCAACGCCTCGGGTTACATCTCCGGACTCCTTGTCGGACCAGTCATCGCTTATATCGATGAGCATTTTGGTCGAAAATGGGGTATTCGATGTGAGTTGGCATAGATTATCATGTTTTATGATCTGACAATGCGCAGTCTACGGTTATTGTCTGCTCATCGGCTCCATCATCGGTTGCGTTGCCGGTGTCAAAGGCATCAATGGATATGCAGGTCAGTCTGGACCTCTGCTGGCCTTGATATCTTGCTGACAGCTCACGATAGCCTTTATCTGTGGAAGAGTTGTCATCGGCTTTGGGCTGGCTTCTTTCCTGCTTACGTCCCTCGCCGTGGTGCAAGAGATCCCTCATCCGCGATCACGTTCGGTCATCGCGCAGTCCTGGGTAAGCCTCAGCATAGTCATGAGAAGCACAATCTCACCTTGATCAGGACTCATACTACATCATTGGTTCTACGATTGCCGCTTGGGTCATCTTCGGCACGAGTTATATCAGTAACTCTTGGTCATGGGTGTGTTGGACAACTCTCTAGTCCCAAAGTCGTGCTGACACTGTTCTAGCGGATCCCTTACATTCTCCAAGTCCCTATGGCCCTCTACTGTCTAATCGCCGTTCAATTCGTCCCAGAGACCCCTCGTTTCCTCATTTCCAAAGGAAGAGACGAGGAGGCTCTCCAGTTCTTGGCCGACTATCACGGCAATGGCAATTACGATGATCCCCTTGTCCTTTTCGAGTTCAACGAGATTCGGGAAGCCATCAACCAAGAAAAGGCTGCAAAAGCCGAACAGTGGACTCAGATCTTGAAGAGCCGATCAAACCTGCACCGACTGTTCCTTGCTGTTCTCATGATGTTTTTGACCAATGTGAGTCGGAACGGGCTGGTAACTTGATATCGCTGACACGTCGGCTCAGATGTCTGGCTGTGAGTTTTGTCATCTATAGTTCCAGTTGATGGCTGACCGCCTTCAGCTTCAATCATCTACTTCTACTGTGAGCGGAGCCATTCTTCTAAGTGGACTTCCACTTATAGCCCCCTCAGACACCATCGTGTTCGAGTCTGTCGGCATTACGAACCCTACGACCCAGACTGGTATCAACGCCGGCCTCAACGTTTTCACCTGGATTTGCCAGATAGCTTTCGTTTACGTTGGCAAGCATGTAGGCAGACGCCCGATCCTACTCTGGCTCTGGCCTTGCCTTTTGGTCGCGCTTGCCGGTCTTTGCGCCTCGAGCGGTGTATACAGCAATAGCGCCGATGGCAACACACATGCTGCTGTAGCTACGGTCGTCCTCGTGTGGCTGTATCAAGGAGCTTTCAACTGCTCGAACCCTGTTCTGTATTCATACCCCGCAGAAGTGCAGACCTTTTCGATGCGGTCCAAGGGTCTTTTGGTCTGGAACACGGTCTCACAATTCACTGGCGCCTATGTCGTCTTCGTCGACGCTGTGGCTCTCGACTCCATTGGTGAGTCAGTCATCCGTGCATTTCAGCTGACATGACAGGATACAAGTACTACCCTGTCTACATGGGTCTCGTTATCATTCAATGGGTCCTTGTCTACCTTTGTGAGATGCCCCGAGTCTGGGAAAGATCCCGCCGCTGACCATCGATAGACATGGTGGAAACCAAGGGTTACACTTTGGAGGAAATAGCTCAAGCCTTCGAGGGATCCACGGTCAACCTCGTACCGGCGGAAGCTTACATTCCCGCGGACTATGAGGCACAGCCTGGAAATGCTGCAGTCGATGACAAGAAATAAACTGGCAAGGTTTCTCTCCTTTATAATGGTCTGCTTGTCCATCTGGACGTCGCAGAAAGTAGACAATGTGCATACTGTCATCTGAGATCGTCCATAGAAGAATCCATCGTACCATGCTGTGCAACTATGTCCATCCAAAAGAAAATATGCCCCACAAAGCCTGAGTATTAAAACATGTTTCATCGATAGAGCACGTCAAAAGTGGTAGTGTATCTGCGACTCAGCATGCAATTCAGAGATGGGCTCACCATCACCATGAAGGCCGTTATCTCTGCATTGCCAGACCAACTTTGACTCATCACCTGCCGGTCTCCATCTGCTCAAAACGTCAGCTTGGCCCTGAGCCTCGAGGACACTGTCGACTCACAGGCAAAAACCTCTTGCTTGGACTAGGACTAGGTCCCCGACGAACTTTGCGTTCACGGTATGGTCCGCTGATGAGTCCCTCGGCATTTCGTTCGTGTACTAAAGCTTGCTCGCTCCAATCGCCACGAGCTTGCTGTTCATACCATTGCCTAGCTTGAATCTGGTGTCTCTCCAGGACGGATCGCTTGGCACTGTCGCCGCGCATGAGGTTGAAAGGGGCGGTAGGTATGGAAGCGACTAGCATGAGAGACATGCAGAGGGTCATTAGCTGGATAATGAAACGCATTTTCGAGTGAATGAACGAGTGTATGGGTGGGTAAGAATAGGTAGTGAGAGAGTAGAGATACACTTGGCGGGCCAAGAAGTGATCAGTGGTCTATTCTTCATCCTCTTTATCATCCTGCTGGAAAGGGGGGGTCACGTCGCGTTCAGTGAGCAGACAATCAGCACAATCGGGACAGAAAAAAGGAGGTCAATGCTGTGTGTGAGTGAGTATAGCTTGCCATCAAAGGAATTTGCAGGTCCCCGATCAGTGCTCGTGGGAGAAGAGAGAGTTCTGAAGTTCTGGAGTTTCGGTGACAGAGGAACATACAAGGAAGGGATGTTTTTACAAGGAACAAAGGACAAATCCCAGGTAGAAAAAAGAACCTGAAACGAGGACAGGCGTGTCGGCGTTACAGGTCTAAGTCCCCAAGCGAGGCACACGCATTGTACACTCGACAAACAATGCATGCGCTGCGGCTCATGGTCTTCTCGTCGTCTCAGCTCAACCGCTCAAGCGACAGGTACCATGGATGATGACGGAGAGGTGCTATGTTATGAGCTCAGACCTCCAGAAGAGGAGCCAGTGCGAATTGTACGTGGCACCGTCGAATTTTCTGTGGCATCCGCGACATCGCTCGTGAGCAAGGATCTGGGAATGGTCGGGCTCGATGCCGTCATTCCTGAGGAGGTCCGCGTGTCTTGGACTCCGCGAGCGAGTCTGTAGGGCTCGACCGCAGCGGTCCCGGCCTCATCAGTGTGCTGGTACGCTTGGACCTCTGAAACCTGCTCCCATTGCCCTGGTATTGTGTCAGACCCGGCTGTGCGAACCTCCCTCGTCTCTGATTGGTCAGAATCTTCTTCCATGTCTGTAACATCGACGACTCTTGGCCCTGTGATGTCGGGCCCCTTGTAACTGGGCGATGTGGCCCTGTCGGTTCCTGATGTCAGAGCGGATAGCACTGCAGCGAGGACTTGAGGATCTCTCAATGCCTCTATAATCGTCCGTATTTTTGACGTCGTATCCGAGGGGCTTTGCTGCGATTTAGGCGCTCGCTCTGACACGTTCGTCGTTTGCGTGGGCATGTATGATCCCTGGAATGGCCTAATTGGCGGAAAGTTGTTGAATATGGACATCGGACCGAAGAAATCGTCATCATCATCATCATTAAAAATCGACGTTCGGCCCATGCCACCGAAACCAGAAAGGAGTGATTGACCCAGATGACCAGGCCACGTCATGTCGCTAAGGTCCGGAAAGTGGACTGAAGGACTTGCCGCCCATTTGAAAGGTCTTGTCACTTCTCCGCTTTCGTTCAGGAATTGAGGGAGGACGAGGTCGGTCAATGCTGAGCGTGGACCGGGCGCCAGGGATGCCATAGATCTCAGCTAGCCAGAACTCAGCAAGTCTTCCCCTGAATGCTTCGACTTACCGGGTCTCGCGTTCCCGTCTTAGCGCTAAGAGCGACTCTCAAATCTGAAGGCAGCCTTGTCTCGGTCCAAAAGTTCGCGATGTCCGCCTCGGACCCAAGCACTTCGACCTTTCCAGATTCACCTGGTCGACCCCATGTATACCCGACTAGTTTCATACCCTTGAATGGTCCAGAAGACTCTCCTTCTGGATAACCGTACTCTTATGCCACGCTAAATTCATTGGACTTCGTGTCTGGCGGATCGGCGATCGCTCGCCCTGGGGAGCTGATCACACTCTGTGGAGGTCGGGTGACAAGCTCTGTCGACGTAGTCTCAGTGCTCACTCCCATCGTCGTAAATCTGGACGTTTCTTCTCAGTCAAGAGATCGAGTTTGCAACGGCTAGGAGAAGTGTGAGTATTGTGTGGCAAAGACCTCGAGAACATTCTCGATATGACTAGTCCGGATGAAGACTCTTCCTTTGCAGTGAGTGCTCTCCTTTCAGCAGGCTTATGGAGCTCTAAAGAGAGCAAACCACCAACCACTACAGCCAAGTGGCATTTGAAATCTGCCTCACTCACTGTACTTCATCCCGCCACGAGGCAAAAACGGCGCACCGGAAGTTGGACCGGAGACGGTCTTCCGATCGGAATTCACCGAAGACATGCCGGTCATGTGGAGAAATGTTGGACTGAACAGCGATATAATTACTATACACCTAGCTCCATATCAACCTCAGCTCGCTCTTGGGTCGACTGCATATCCGTTGATCAAATAAAAAATGGCGAGCACGAAAGAGAACACGTTCCTGCGGATGAATCAGCTCTTGAAGAGTGATAAACCTGTTTTCGCAACGTTTCAAACATTGAAGGGAGTCAGGACATCCCAGATTATCTGTAACGCTGGATTCGATGTGAGCTGGCCGCTAGAAACACAGTGTAGTGCACTGACGAGGTTCTCAGGCTATCGTCATTGACTGTGAACATGGTGAATTTCGTCTCTCTTGGCCTAAATATCAAGCTCATGTCCTCAGGAAACATTGGCGACAGTGACATGCACGACTCGGTTGCGATCATCGCAGCCATGGGTGTTGCTCCGCTAGTAAGAGTCAGAGGTGACTCGCCTGCTCTCATCAAGCGAGCTTTGGACACTGGCGCACAGTGAGTTACCTGGCCTCTGGAGATATATTGTAGCCCATCTCCAGATACATTCGTTGACTCCTCTTCGCCTTGCCTAGCGGTATCATGATTCCCATGGTCAGCACTGCTGAGGATGCCAAACGAGTCGTTAGCATGTCCAAGTTCCCACCCATCGGTATCCGAGGTCAAGGATCACCTTTCGCTCCATTTGCTCAGGGTTTCAAAGCGCCTTATGACTACGTCAACCAGTACAACGCGAATACCATGATTATGGCTCAGATTGAAACCGCTTTGGCCATTCAGAATGTCGAAGAGATCGCTCAAGTCGAGGGACTAGGTAAGACATCGAAAGAGATGCTGCTGAAGCGGTACTGACGCTCTCCCCCAGACATGCTCTTCATTGGACCGAATGATTTGGCTCTATCGATGCTCGGCTATGTCCCATCCAACGGGACAGAGCAGAACTACCTTGACGCTATTGACAAGGTCGTGGCTACCGCCAGGAAATACGGCAAGAAGACAGGTATCCTCGTCAATGACGGAGCCACCGCCAAAAAAGTTATTGGCAAATTCGACTTGATCGTCATTAGCGCAGATGCCAAGCTCTTCGGATTAGCGCTCGGGGCTCAGGTCGCCGCGGCCAGGGCATGAGGAGAGGGCCTTTCTAGCCTGAGACGAAACAAAATCACATGCATGCATGCTGTCCAGCGTCACATATCTTTGAATGCTCTCGGATGCATCTTTCCTTTTATTTCTCCGAGCCGATCAATTTTCTCGCATCAGATAGCCAAAATAAGCAATCTCGCCTACATACCCTGCCGATCTTTGATCCTACATTATGAGTCTGGTGGATCTAGCGGGACAGCTGCAGAGACAAGACTTCAAAGACATCCCTATCATGTGCGTCAAAGCGCTATCCTCCTCACTCACCACGTAGCGACTTGTCTAACGCTCGCTCAAATTCTGTTGACGCAAGACGCAAGGTTGCCATCGAAGTGAGAAATGCATGCTTGAATGCTGGTTTCTTCTTCGGTATGTAGAATCCTGCTCTATGATTTACTCTGACTGTTCAAAAACTGACTGAGGAACAGTGCAGAATCATGGTGTACCGAAGCATGTCGTCCAAGGCGGCTTTGACGCAGCAAAAGTCTTCTTTGAACAGGACAATCAAGTCAAGGAATCGGTATGTATACATGCCGTCAAGAGCTCTGTACGCTGATCTTTCTAGGTGGACATCAGCAAATCTGACAACTTTCGAGGCTACATGAAGCTGTTGAGCGGGAATGCTAACCCGTATGGATTGTCCAGATCGTGTTGTTCGGCTTACTGACCGCACAATGCTTATCATAGTGAAAGCAAAGGCGACCTGCACGAAGCTTTCAACCTGGGCTTGGACCCCTCGTTGGACGCCGCGCCGAGAGGTCATAAGACTTCCGAGGGCTTGAGTCATTCTGACAATCTGTGGCCCACTGTGGAAGTGTGGAAGGGAGCCGCTTCGTTCGTGCGTAAGACAGAGAGAGCTCTTGGTTGGATCATTTACCGAGATTGAACAGCGTCAAGCAGTCCTTGGTTACTAGTGAGGCTCGAGGAGGAGTCTGAGGACGAGACTGACCTGTAAAGTTCTGCTGTCCTGACTCTCGGACAATCTCTGTTCCCCTTGTTCGCCTTGGCTTTAGATCTCCCAGAAGATTTTTTCGCCGACAAAGTGGGTAACAATCCTCCTTGATCGACGCAATGACTGAGGTTCATGCTGTATCACAGGTACAGCACCCAGCGGCCATCATGAGACTGCTTCATTATCCCGGTACGCCGAAAGATAGACAAAAGGAGGAGAATCCAGGTATAGGAGTAGGTCTTTGAGTGATGAGAAGAGAATCGAGTGAGCTAATAAGCCTTTCATCCCCTCAGGCTCATACAGGTATGCTTGCAAGTCTCAGCAGAATGCTCACGGTGCTTCAGATTATGAATGCTTCACTATACTGGCTCAGGGTGGTGTTCCAGGCCTCCAGGTGATGAACAGGAAAGGGGACTGTGAGTCGGGCGATTGATCACACCCAAGACTTGTTCACCTGATCTCTGGCTTGCAGGGATCGATGCGCCTTATATCCCGGACACATTCGTCATCAACATTGGCGATCAATTCGCCAGATGGACGAGTGCGTCATGATGAATGGTTACCTGCTGATGTCCCCTAGATGACATCTTCGTCTCCACGCCTCATCGAGTCTTGCCGCCTACCCAGACTCGGTACTCTATCCCATTCTTCTTCGGTTGCGACCATGATGTCCCTTTGATACCACCTCCAACGTGTATCACCGAGGATAGACCACAAAAGTACCCGGTGGTCACTGCTGGGGCATACGTACACAGTCGATTGAGCGAGACATATACCGTCCAACAGGAGGAAAAGGTGGCATGATCAGTGATCGTCCTCGAAACTGCATGCATACAGATCAATAGGAATCGACGGTTGAGTGCCGCCTGTGTCTGTCTCTTGTCGGCTCCGCTCCTCCATCAAGATAATTCCCTCCCAGCGTGTCGACAGTGTTGGATCGACCATGAAGCGGTCGCTCGACATTCTGAGCCTCGCGAGCGTGTTCCTGAAAGCTAGTCGTTAGTTCCCCCGAGAGCATACTCTCCGGTCGTGCCACCTCGTCAGAGATATCGCTCGACTCTGAGAGTGGTGCCGAAGTTGACGATGACAACGAGCTGACGCTTCTGTCCTTTCCCTTCGGCCTCGGCGTACCAGGTACGGAGAATCGGGGGAGAGAGACTGTCAGTCTTGTTCCCGGTATCCTGAGGGCCGTTTTCGGCGGAGGCGATACAGGCGACAGAGAGCGGGTAGGCGAGTTTGGAGCCGATCGAGTCTCTCCACTCGACACAGTTGAGATGGGACTGAGATCGAATCGGACGCCTTGAGCCGTTCTGTTCGACCTGTTCGACCGTGAGGACGGTGACCTGGGTATCGCCATGGAGGATCTGAGAGTATCCAAACGTGAAGTAATGGAGCTGTGTGAAGACTCGGATTTCGCACGCGGAACTGTCAATGTTGCGCGTTCACGTTTGATTGCTTGACCGTCAGACAAGAGTTGTTGGCCTGAAGGATGTTGTATATTCGGGACAGAAACACCGACAGCTGCGTGGGAAGCTGAGCTTGACTGCTGATATTGAATCGGCGAAGAGATAGCTGCTCCAATGGGCGCCGACGGGCTGAAATAGTCTCGCGTAGCAACAGCAGCCTGCTGGATCTGCTGCACAGTTATAGGTTCTTCGCGCAAGGGCGAATTTTCCCGCACGAAACTGACATCCCGTACTTTCAGGGTTCCTTCTCCGAGAGGCGGGGTGGGCGTCTTCGGTACATCTCCAAGCTCGCGATGATGTAGTGTGGGGGGTGGCGGCGATCCTGATGTATCTTTCGACGAGAGAATCACTCCGCGGGGAGGCAGCCGATCGTCTGGACTTTGTTTACTGTCTGCACTATTCTTCCGATTCGCTGTTGCCGAGCTCGCTGCTTCTAATGCCAGTGTCGGTCGCTCAGGAGGTAAGGGAAAGAGCGTATCGACTCCCGACGGGAGTGCTGTTAACTTTTTGCTGTCTGTTCTTGGGGCGTCTTGGCTGTTCGGATCGTCCACGATCGACTCTGGCTCAGAATAGAGCAGTCTGCTGGCCGTGAAGTCTTCATTGCCGTGGGGAGACTGGATGCTTGGGTTTGTTTGATCTTCTGCGATAACGGCGAGAGGATCAGTGGGTCGTCTACGGCCTTTGTGGGGAAGCGGGAGGTGATTTGATGAAGTCTGGCCTGTTGGAATCTGGCACGAACGATCCTTGAGGTCGCCATCTGTGTCCTGAGACTGAGATCTGAGCTTTGTGTTCTCCTGCCGCACAGCATCTTTAGTTCGTTTCCGTTGTGGAGGCTGAGGTAGGCGGGACTGCCGATCGGCACTCTCATCCGAGACTCCTCCATTCTCCACTCCAAGTTTCTTTGACCGAGTCTTTTCCACTTCCGCCGCCCTCCTCACTCCCATTTGACCGTCTTCCCTGATATACCGGACGAGATGACCGCCAGGTCCATGTCGTTCCAGTATACCCGCAGGAACGTGACGTCCAGGTTGATCAATCCCTCCTTTGGCAAAAGTAGGATACCCACCTTTCCTGACGTCCTGCTCTTCAGTCATCTCACCGAATTTACGAGTGGGTCCTCTCGCCGCACTTCTCTCATTTGACAACGCGTGACGTCTCTTGGCTGCGGAAGGCACAGGATCCACGAGGACCAAACCTTCATCGTTCTCGTCATCTTCGTCTTCGCTCGGTAGGCCCAAGTCATACGCTGTGTCATGGGATGGCCGATGTCTCTTTTCGACGTCTCTGCCTTGTGTGGCTGAGAACTCAGACCCGATCGTTTCTCGTCTGACGGCTGCGTCGTACAAGAATGGTGGCGGTGTCCAGTATAGTAGGCGGGTAGAGAGCGAAAATCCGAGCATTTTTTGAGCTGGACGGTCATATTTACGACCCCGATACCATATTGCACCCGCCTGAGATAAAGATATCAGCATCTGTACATTCCGGGCTCTCGTACGATCACTATGTTCGTCGAGCCTACGGCGAGTAAGGCCCACGCAGGTATCAGTACCTTGGGCTTTTGACTGACCGAGATGAGCTTTGCATTCGTTGTCCGGATGAGGACGAGCTCACTGAACCTGGAGATTCTGAATTGCGATACTAAGGAAGACCGATCAGCGCGTCCAAGCAATGGTGTCCCCACATCTCCTGCAGGCAACCAAGAGCTAGAGGTGGATTTTGGGGTCCGAGCCAAGGCAGATGCTTGAACAGCATTTTTTCGGGATATCCAGCCTGCACAAATAAAAGCCCACTGAGGACAAACGCTAATGTTGGCTCAGTACACTTCAACAGCGTGTGCTACTAGGTGTGACACTCACCCATAACCAGTCGAGACATCAAGAGGAAGCTGAGAACCGATTAGCGTGAATTGAGGGATTCAGATGCCACTCACAAGATCCCTCCCGGCTGATCTGGGACAGACGACAGTCCCACATAGCTGATATTGGCATCGGTCGCCGAATTGGTCTCCGCACGACGTCGCATACCATTTGCTGCCCGCTCATCGACACCGATCAAGAGGGAAGCCGTAGCCGCCGAATGAGAAGCCTCGAGACCAAGGAGGTTTACTAAAGTCGCTGGCCGTCCGTCCGGATCCAGTACGATCACAGCAGTTTGATCCGCCTCGCTCGTACTGACGCTGGTCGTAGACGGGATGGTGGGAGGCGAGGTCGTAGTGCTTGGTGATGTTTGAGAGCGGATGACCGCGATGAGAGATGTAGGAGTACGGGTTAAGCTGCTCATGCCAACCGTGTTAGAAACGGACTTTCCAGGCTCGCCGAGCACCGAGACGGGATTTTGGCTGGCCTGTGCATCGCCGATAGACCGACGGTCGCCGTAGGTGAGGAAGTACCTGTGGCATTAGAATACTCGTCAAGATCGCTGTGGGAAAACGTCAGTCAAGTCGAGCGGCGGGAGCAGCAACTCACCTTGCAACAGCTATGAATTGTGCTACCAGAGCCCAACTGATGAAGACCAAAGCGATGAGCCGAAAGAGATTGTAGCTTGTCCAAATGAGAGTCGGGCGGTGCATTTTCTGAAGACTTTTTGTGCGTGAACCCATGAGCGAGGCCCACTAAAGTGTCGGCGCAGTCAAACCGACACTAAGAGCCTGAGAGGTTGCCGTAGGGCATTAGGACTTGAAGACTTTAGCTTGCATGGATTCTGCTACGCGACGATCAGTGTTCCAGGCTCGATCCTCTGAGAGGACTACCTTTCTCGATCCGTTAGGGTAAGCGCTTCAAAGGAAGTGACTCGTGCAGATCATGCTCAAAGAGTGACTCATGCTTAGGTTCAAAGTTGACGTACAGGCGATGCATTGGAGTGATGTGGAGAGGCTGTGAATTGGTCCGGAATGACACAAGTGCAATAGGCGATGTAAACGGAGACGAGCGAGACTACTCGTCAGAGATGATGTCTTCCCGTTTGGGTCTGATTAAAATGTCAGCGATGATTTCGCATGCCAACTCACTTGAGATCTTTGACATCCTTGCTGTGTCTGATATCTGCACCACGCGTCAACAGCTTCTTGGCCTCTTCATCCTCCATGCCGAGTCCAAGTTGTCGATCCTGAGTCAATTCGACAACGTGGTCAAGTTCCTACAGCTTGTGAGATTGATTGCAGGAGCCTGCAGACATGTCGACTCACGACAAGACCGTCGGAATCCACATCTAGCTTCTTTCCAAGACCCTCAATTTCCTCATCACTCGGTTTGTGTTTGATTTCCCTCATCGCTCGCTTCAAGTCTCCAAGGGTGATCTGGCCCTTCGCATTGGTCTTGATAATGTTCAAGCTTGATCCAACCTTTTCATCGTATTTCTCGAGCTGAGCATCAATCTTCTTGATCATGGACCTGACGCGTTTCGAGACGGCCACAGCTCCCTTGTCCTCGTCGCCTCGCTGGTCAGATTCCTGCGAGGGCTATCAGCTGGAGGAACCTACCAGGATAAGAGATTGGGCTTACCGCTTCGGACAACAAGTTGTCCTCCAGGAGATCGTGTAACTCATCTCGCTCCTTCGCGATCGAGGACTTGGCAGTCAAGATGGACAGTGCCTCCGCCAGCTCGTTGAGTTGCTCCTTGGTCATACGAGCATCCACGGGCTCTTGAACAGCGGCTGTTGGCTCTTCAGATCCAGTCTGGGACTTGGCAGCGTGTGATGCATCGGAGTCGTGTGCTGCTGCGGCTTCGAGCTTGGCGGCTGCTTCGGCCTCTTTCTTTTCGCGCTTCGCCGCTTCTTCCTCCTATACACGAGTTAGCGATTTGGGTCGGCCGACGTGAACGACTCACGGCTTCCTGCTCTTCTTCATCCTCGATCAACTCCTGTTGCTGCTGCAAGACTTCAAGCTTCTGCTTGTAGGTCGTCTCGCCCGATACATTGAGCTCAGCTTCGTCGATCTAGAGCGGGTTAGCCTTGCAGTGCAGAATGGATTCGTCGTAACTGACCAAGTTTTCTGGCAGGGATCCCAGTGTAGCCACGAGGTCGTTCATTAGGTCGCCCTTGTCCCCGTTGAAGTTGAAGGCTCTCGAGAGGATCAACAAGACACCAGAGATACCGTGGTTGTAGTGAAAATCAATCCATTGGTCCAACTCTTCTCTCAGTCGGGCGGGGGAAACTCCGGTGATTCGAATTCCACGAGACTGACTGGCAGATTGGAGCTCTTTCGTAGACAGAGAATCGACACCTTCGGCGAAGATCATCTACAAATGTGTCAGCTGTTTCAAAAGGCATGGAGGGAGGCTCACCATATCATCGACTCGGACTTTCTCCAACTTGTTTCGAATGTTGAGCTTGAGGAAATTGTCTGTACCCCATGTATTGATGTTCATGTATCGGCAGATGGAAACGAGTTGCGGTCGAGTCAGGTTGTCGAGTGTCAGATCGTCGTGGAATAGTTTGGCGACTCGCACAACGTCGTCGTGCGATGGCGTCTCTCCAGTGGATCTGACCTAGGCGAGAGTCAGAGGTTTGACATCATTCTCGAGGCGATCTGACTGACCTTTCTGAAGAACTCCTTGAACTCGTCACTTCTGACGACGCTATCGGCTTTGAGACCCGATTCCTTGACAGTCTCCTGTAAGAACTTGGCCATCTCAATTCTGACTCGGAGCAATTTGCGCTCTTTCTCTTCCTGGAAAAATACAAGTGTCAATCGAATTCGACTACTCATGATTCAACTGACCCTCGCAAATGTGCCCTCAAAGGTGCTAGGCAACATGTTGGGGAAGAGTTTGAGTGCAACGGGCAGTAGAAGCTCCATGAAGGGAACGATGACGAAGACGGAAAATGGAATCAGACGAAGCAAATCACCAGTGGTACGTCGAAGCTGTAGCTTTTGTGAGCTACGACTCCAAGGGGGCAACAGCAACAATAGGAGTAGTAGTAGCTCACCTGCCTGCGCTCCCTTCTGGTCAGAGTATCCCCCTTCAAAACTTGATAGAGAAGCTTGGTGGAGATCTTGATCTCCTTTCCGAGAAGCTTTGTTCCGGCCCAGTAGTGCGCAGCTTCCTTCTTAACCACTGCCCAAGCTCTAGCTGGAAGTGACTTGTCCGAAGTCTTATCCTTCTTCGCAATTTCTTTTGGCTGGTCTTCCTTCTCTACTGGAGGCATAGAAGTCTCTGACTGCTTGTCTGCAGGTTCGGTAGAGGTTTCTGTCTCGGCAGCAGCAGCTGACCGAGGTTTGTGAGGGAGATTCGGGGCTGCGGTTCGGGGTCGGAACGTCGTTGCAGGAGGATATTGGGACGAAGAAGGAGAGGAGCTGGAGGTGGATGTAGATGAGGAGTTGGGTGGGGGTGGGGGTGGAAGAGGAGGGGAGGTGTCAGGTCGGTGAGTTTCGGTGGACACATATCTCCTAGTGGCCAGAGTCGAAGGAGGAAGAAGCAGCAATGAGAGGGAAGGATGTGTCAGTCGGCCAGATCTCGTCACTGTAGAGTGAAGTCTGTAGGACGCGCTAGTGGCTGAGCATGACGCTGTATCAGCGCTCTCTATCCGTTCCATTTGAGCTCTGCACCTACCTCCGATCACCATGGCTACTGGAAGGCTCTTTGGCAACGAGTGACGTGTGACTGCTTGCCCCAACCGTAGCCGCGAAGGACCGGCAGCATTGAGCGCCGTCGCCGACATGGCAGATAGACACTGCTAGGCAGCAGACTCAGAGGGTATACAAAAGCGAAGGGACAGAGTGAGCGGGAGGCAAGGTCCAGACTAGGTCAGCATGATGCTGAATGTCGTTGTGTCAAGACCCAGAAGAGAAAGGAGGATGAGATGTCTTCGGCCTCTTTTATTTTTCCCAAAATCGAACTTTTTTCTCTGCGGGATGGTACACGATCACGCTCGGCACTCACGTCCTGGCCAGCTTGCTCCTCTGCTTGAACCTTACAATCAACCTGTGACGAGGCTCAAAGCCGTCACATTGTGCGTTCGAAAAGCGTCTTACAGTACTAGAAGCGTGTGACGCTGCTCGTCATGGACAGACTCGGTATGTCTTTGACCAATCCCCTCAATATGGCTTTGATTCCCCCGATCCTCTATCTCATATACAAAGCCATCTTTCCGACACCTCCATCACCTCTCAAGTCTGTACCGACAGAGTACTCGCCAGACACGTACAATTGGATGCCTGCGAAGCATCCACACGTGCTCTGTTATAAGCAGTTCACTCCGGTTGAACTGGCACAATACGACGGCATAAATGATCCGAGGATCTGCCTGGCGATCATGCGAGTTCCTAGAGATGGCAAGATACCAGAAAGTGGTAAGGCAGAGAGGACAATCTTTGATGTTAGTTCCGGCAGGAATTTCTACGGACCAGGTGCGCGAAGCTTAGCAGGATAGACAGAAGAACGTCAGACTAATAGGCCCCAGATGGTATGTATGGCAATTTCGCTGGACGAGACGCTTCGCGTGGGATGGCAAAGCAATCGTTTGATGATGGTAAGTGGAAACTCAGAGACCTGGTCGTCGCTGGCCTCACAAATTTTCTTGTCGCTGACACAAACGTCTGCAGACATGCTCACACCAGTGGATCAATCATTGGACACCTTGGCAGATCTGACACAGGCTGAAATGTGAGTTTGCGATGCATTCCCGTACGCTCGTCGCCCCTGGATCCACCACGCTGCTTTGAGTCAACGCAGAGCGCTGAACGTTGACCATATGTTCCCAGAGACAATATGCGAGGATGGCATGAGCATTTTGAGCGAAAATACACTGTCTGCGGGGAACTGGTCGATCAGAAGAGCTCAGTATAGACCAGAGAGCTATCTCATGGCTTGTTAGTCCACCTTGAACCAGTCCCAATAGGAGACAATATACCTGACACTTAGGTTGTATGTGTATATACCTTATTCCATGCGCTGCCACGTGCCACTTCCGAGCGGGATGGGTGCCATCCCACCCCTGAACTATAATGACGTAGCGTGAACCTTTAATTGCGACATCACCCCTCCTCCCCTTTGTGTGTGTCTTATTTTGGGTGTCTGTTTGATCAACTTCTTACCGGACTCCAGCTACCTACCATCATCCCATCTCTAGTCTATCGATAACACCACAATCCACAATGGGACTCTTTGGCTCATCTGACCCCACCGTCAAGCAGGAGAAGCTCATCAACAAGGGTGAGTAGAGGGGGACGATCGTGTGGGAAAAAAGAAAATCGAAGAGGGGGAGGATCTGTGATTCCCGCTCTTGCCACCGCAACGTCAACAATGATGGAAGGCAGGTTGCTGATGAACACTCTACAGAGGCAAAGAACGACGAGAAGGCTCTCAAGTCAGCTATCAAGGACGTATCCAACACTGAGAAGGATGAGCGTCACGCTCTCAAGCAGAAGCACGCCGCTACCGAAGTGAGTCCAGGGGATAATTTATCAATTCGCGACACACGCAGGCCATGGAGCAGTGCACTCGCTGATACCCCCCTTCTTTCACTCTTAGGCGTACGAGAAATCTATGAAGCACGAGCAAAAGATTCGTGAAGAGCTCACCAAGCTCACTGCTAGTATGTCTTGGGATTGTCTTCTCTTGATTCACATCGGCGTGCTGGCTCACCTGCTCAATTGCAGAACACGAAGCCGCCGTCTCTCACATGAAGGCAATGGAGAAGGAACTTCAATCGAAGACTGAGGCTCACCAAAGAGCCTACGATCTCAGTCACAAGACTAAGGGTGAACTTGAAAACCTGCAGAAGGAGGTGAGTGAGCTCGCCAGATTCGAGCCATCTTTTGCCTACGCTACACGACGATTGAGATAGGCTGACTGATGCTTTCTTCTCAGAACGCCGGCCACGAGGCCGAACGACAACGACGTCTCAATCAGCTCCACGGTACCGTCGGCGCCGCAGCTGGAGGTGATGGTGTCCTTCGAGACATTAACGGAAACCCGGCGCACGGACCTGATGCTCGAGGAATCTCTCGTGAACCATCCAATGCGAGCCGCCACAACGTTGCACCAATCGCTGCCGGTACGGCGGTCGGAGCAGGTGCAGGTGTCGCAGGCGCCGAAGCTGTCTCGCACGAAGGTACCGCACCTCAGACTTACCAAGCTCCAGCGGCAACTCAAACCGTCCCTCAGACGACTGAGCACCTCGCTTCGCCAACCACTACCACTACCACAAATGCCAACACCTTTGCGCCTCCGCCATCTCATCCTTCTACCGCACCGCAGTCTGCTGCTCCTTCCGTTGTCGGCTCGACGACATCTCCCACCATCGCCACCGCCCCTGCTGTCCAGACCACCGCCCCGACACATGAAAACATGTCTCCATTGGGAACTGTGCAACCCCATCAGACCACTACTGAGGGTCAGCATGTCGCGGAGGCCGTCAAGTCGATGTAGGTGAGGACGTTACTATGGAGAGCCCTTTACTTTAGTCTATAGATCCTTTTCATCCTCTACCTACTCTCATCTTCCCTACGGCCAATTTGATCTGGGCTACTGTTATACACGACTGTCCTACACAATCCTGCGAATGCATGTCTTGATACATTCTCAATATCTATCTGCCGCCGGATAAATGCTGGTTTCAATCTCCGGTCGGCTCTTGATTCTTCCGGAACCGAAAACAGTTTCGAGGAAGAAGCGTACGCGCGAATGGTGAAGGGGGAGGCTAGGCAGATCATTTGTTGCTCATTCTATACAAAGGTCGAGTGTAGACAACCTCTGCCGGTAGATAGGCCGGAATTGTCTGAATCACTGAGAAGAGCTGTCTGAAAATGTCCGACGGTGTCAAGAAGCAAGTCCGTAGGTCGTTCTGATCTCCTCGCAATCATGGCGCTCATCAATAATAACACAGCCCTTCCATTCGTCTACACCTTTACAGCGGGTGCAATCGCAGGTGAGCGGGAGCGGACGGCCTGACATCTGTTAGGCAAGCTGATCCGATCTGTCTCTGCAAGGATGTACGGAGCTGCTAGTGAGTCCATCGAACTTGCACTGCTCTACCTCGCTTATGGGTTCTGCTCGCGTAACAGTTGTTGTACCCTCTTGATGTGGTCAAAACTAGACAACAGCTGGATACCAGCGCCAAGGGAGCTGGTATGATGGAGACATTCCGGAACATTATCAAGCTCGAAGGGTGAGCTCAACTCGATGCCTCTCACCATCTTCGCACCATTTGACCAACCGCGCGCACAGACCCGGACGGCTGTATAGAGGAATCATCCCACCGTTGATGTTGGAGGCTCCAAAGAGAGCTGTCAAGTGTGAGTCTGCACCAAGCAGACCAATCTCCTCTTGATGTTGTCGCTGACGAGGTAACGATCCAGTCGGCGCCAACGGTTCGTTCCTGCTTTAGACTTGCTGCGGCACCGTTCCATTGACCGACCTTTATCTACTCCATAGGTTACTGGGGAGGCGTGTTCACGAACAATGGTCAGACCAAGATGACTCAATCTTTGGCCATCGTCACGGGTTTTGCAGCTGGAGCTACTGAATCGTTTGTCGTTACGCCTTTCGAGCTCGTCAAAATCCGATTACAAGACAAGAAATCGACTTTCAAAGGTCCTATGGAGGTCATCCAGCACTCCTTCAAGACGCATGGACCGCTAGGGTGGGCAGGCGCATCTGAGTGGTATGACATTTGATACTGATGCGCATGAGATAGTCTTTACCAAGGAATGGAGGCTACGTTCTGGAGACATACGTGGTGGAACGCAGGATACTTTGGAACAATTTTCGGCGTCAAGGGAATGTTACCAAAGCCAGAGGTGAGTCCACTCATGGTACAAAGGTTCGGATGGCGTGTTTGGCTGACGGCGACGACGACGACAACTTAGAGCAAGCAAGCTGAAGTCATGAACAACTTTATCTCTGGAACGATCGGAGGATTTATCGGGACGACATTGAACACGCCGTGTGCGTAGGACTACAGATGACACCCGGAGACTAGACTCACTTAATTTCTTAGTCGATGTGATCAAATCCCGAGTTCAACTGTCAGGTACTGGACCTTGGTGAGTTGCTGCGTCTTGGTATTGTCGCTGGAACAATCTTGCTCATTTACGCTGCTTCCAGGTCATATCCTGGCCTGTATCAAGTCGCAAAGGCCGAAGGATTCGGTGCCCTGTACAAGGGTGCGTCAGGATTTCGCAAAGTTCTCGCATGTACAGGACTGACTGCTACATCTAGGATTCGCTCCCAAGGTCTTGCGTTTGGCACCGGGAGGTGGTGTCCTGCTGTTGGTGGTGGAAGCATTGTCGGCGGGTAAGTGCGACAAGACAATGACATATGGCACGAGGCTGATCCAGATGTCGCTCTAGTCTTCCGAAAGCAGCTCGGACCTCCATACATATGATCTGTCTAGAAAGTCGGATACTCCAGTCGGATCGTCTCTCGCATGCATCATTTGGGTAATGGAACAGGAATGATTCGCTTTGAACAGGCAGAGAGGTATGGGCTGAGAATCCACACCTTTCCGCCTCTCGAGAGATTCATGTTGCTCGCTGCGGGTCCGCCTTGAAGCGGTCCTCCTTCCTGCAATGAAGAAATGCGGAGCCGCACTCTGGTGCGATCGCCTGTTATCGAACATATGTCGTTCACAGAGCTCTGAATCATATCTGCGGGTGGATTCGGACCACGCCCGCGGCTAGCCGGAGCCCTTGACAACCACGTATTGCTCCTTAGCTTCGGCCATCGACGTTTCGGACCACAACACTCCTGGCACATTTGAGAGCTGTCTTGGGATACCATTCCCCTACAAGGTGCAGCTCCTGAGCTATCTGGCGCCGCCACCTCTTTCTGAAGGACCCTGCGACCCCGCCTTTCAGAGCAGTGCCCCATATTGTATCGCCGGGGTTGATTATCATTATTTTCAATTTTCACGACACCCGTTTTATTATAACCACCACCTTCAACGTCATCTATCACTGCCGCAGGGCCTCTGCAATATCAATCGGGTCGGGTCTGGCATCGTTCTCATCCACCTGTTTATCAAAGGAGGAGCTTCTTGGATCGGACGCTCATAGACATAGCATGGACATTCAAAGTCCCCCGGAAGCGGAAGCGGGGCCATCGAGACTGCGGCGATCACAACCAAGCACACGACCGCTCATTGTCTCGGACTATCACTCATATCACCATCCATATATTGGCCCATTGATCGGCGGAGGAAACCATAAGCGGAATACCCACCATGCGAAGAGAAACGCTCGACCAAAGCAGCATCTTCAGCTCACGCCGTCGGGCGATCCGACACCCGCACTTGGATCCGGTACTGCGTCATCTTCGTCTCGACGTTCAGCTGGCACCAAAACGTCTAAAGGCGGTGGCGGAACGAATGGTCGTAAACGAGTGACTCGAGCTCAAGCCCGAGCGAGAGGTTCCTCATCTCCCATGACGGATTTAGAAGCCATAGCATTGGAAGATGCCGCTGTCAAAGGCGAGATAAGTCGATTAGGCCTAGGGTTGAGGGATGTTCAAGGGGACGGAAATTGTCTCTTTCGAGCGCTGGCAGATCAACTTTGGGGAGTCGCTAGACGCCATGGAGAAGTTAGAAAGCTGGTCTGTGACTATCTTGAGACGAACAAGGATGGAATGGAAGCGTTCGTCTGGCCGTTCTTGAAGGAAGGAGAGGATTATCAAGGATACGTGGAGAGGATGAGGCAGCTCTGTAAGTGGGGAGGGACACAGGGCCAGTATTCGAGCGACAGTCGTCTGATCATGTCTTGCAGCTCAATTCGGCAGTCATATAGAGATTCAAGCTGCGGCTAGAGTATTTAGACGCAACATCCGTGTGGTCATGTCGACGGTGAGTCTGCTCATCCACGAGAGCTCCCCTGCTGATCGGAATAACCCACAGACCTCCTTCACCATTCCCTGGCAAACTGAGACCGAATCTCATCAAACGCCTCGACCTGACCAATCTATGGAAGAGGATTACTTTACCATTCCTCGGCCACGTACCAGATCCAGCACCACCAATCTTCTCATGACGCCAGCTCTTCCACCTCCTTCCACCCCATCCTATGCCAAAACATTGGCAGAGTACATTCCTTCTATTCGCCCTGGTCGATCGATGCTCTGGCTAGCCCTTTTCTCTCAAGCTGAACATTTCCAAAGTATCCGTCGGAAAGGTGATGGCGATTCTGGTCCGGCCGAAATCGAAGATCGGCTGGCTATCCCTCATGAAAAGGATCAATCGGAAGCTGCTCGTCGTCAGCGAGGAGAAGTCGTCGAGGGACCATCTCAAGGTTCAAGTAGCATCGCCTCTGGTGGCTCGTCTGTGGTCTCTCAAGTCCTTGCGTCGCTACCAGCAGGGCACGGCGTCTCCGAGGATCGTGCATCAGGAATCCTCGCCAGAGTCAAGGGTGATCTTGGCGAGGCTGTAGAGCTCTTACTAGAGGAATTGCGCTTAGAAGGAAGTGATCCTGAGCAGCATGGTCAAGGAACAACCAGCAGCTCGGACGGAGGATCGTCACCGACCACGGCTTCGTCGTCGAATCCTACTTCCCCGTCCGAACAAGCGGACGACCAAGTCAAACCTCCGCTGCAGAATGTCAGCTCAGGAGGTCGAGGTCCCATTCGAGGGACTAGTCATCGAGGAAATGGTGGGGCTAGAGGAAGGGTAAGAGGTAGACCAGTGGCCGTTGCAGTAGTGTAGCGGATGTTGCAATCGTTGTCATCATCTTTTTAATCTCCTGGTTGTTATAGTCTCTTCATGGCTATATTGTACAGCTTGGCTTCATATTCGCAACATAGTATATTCTAGGCGACAACCAAATGTATCCCTGAGCTTTCTTCTTCTTCGACATTAAGCCTTGAGGTGTTTCGCATGGAACGCAATGTGCTCTGGACTGAACGTCGAGATCTGCACTCGCGGTATTAGCTTAATCGTACAGATCGTTGCGTAGCGCACTCACAAAGTAATACGAGTGATCGTATCCATCTTGGAGTCTGATCTGAACTTCATCTTCTCCTCTGCCGGACGCTTTCGCGGCTTCTTTCAGAGCATCAGGTTCCAATTGACCCTTCTTTAGGAAATCATCCGCTGAGCCCGTATCTACCAACATCCTAAGAGAGCCTTTGGGCGCATCGATCGAGCTGAGAAGATGGGACGCGTCGTATGGTGTCCACTCGGATGGAGGACTGGATCGAGTACGTGTCAAGAGGTAGTTTTGGAATGCTTTGGTCCCCCATGGAGTTCGAGATGGATTACTAAGAGGGGTAAGCAGCTTCCGTATGAAGATCACTCACCAGGCTGGAGCAAACGCAGAGGCGGATGTGTACTTGTCTAGATTCTTCAGGTACAATGTCAGAGCGCCATGACCTTCAATTCAGAGATCAGAATCACGGCTTGGAAAGACACCAGCTGGGCTCACCTCCCATGGAATGACCCATGATGGAGACTTTGTCAAAGTCCTAAAAAGGTATCGAGGGTCAGAAAACGGTTCAAGATTGAGCATTTGGTCACTCCCTCACCAGTCCCAAGTCTGCTTCCTTGAGAACCTTTGGTATCTCTTCAACGACAAGGTCGTACATGTTGTAATGCTTCTTCCACTTGTCCGCCGTGGCATTGAGATAAAATCCAGCTCCTGAGCCATCGCTTCAGCGATGTGGTTCTAAAGCAATAGATTCTGTCCCTCTCCGCTCCGCTCCGTTGACTCACCCGTTCCAAAGTCCCAATCATCATCTTCTCCCTCGATCCCAGCACCTCTCGGACTAGTATCAGGTAAGACCAGTGCCAAACCTTCCTCTCCAGCCTTGTTGAATAGTCCGCCCTTTTGCGCTCCAGTATCTTCATTACAGGTCAGACCGGCAAGGTAGAATAGGACGGGAACGGGGGAAGCAGGTTTGTTCGTAAATGGTACGAAAACGTTGACATTCGTTTTGAGACCTCCCAAGGACGTAGACTCAAAGGCGTATTTCGTCAGAGTTCCTGTGGATACTCTGTTACTGGACACTTGCTCGAGCTTGGTCATGGTGAGCTGTAGGAGTATACGAGTGTATGGATACCCGTAAGATGCTTCGTGAGAGAGACCGTTGGAGTTCAAAGTCAAGTTGTGGGTTTCTATTTTTCTTTGAGATGAGGTCATCTCGGACGGACAAAGTGGAGGTCGGAAAGGGTGGGCGCGTGTGGCTCTAGTACATCTTTTCGTCTCTTTCTGCAAGCATGAGCATCCTGCTCGAGCAGTCTAATCTCCATGGTTACAGTCAAAAATCATAAGTTGCATGCAGATCGTCAAGCGTATATACTCTGCTATTCTGATCCTAGACAAGGAAGCGAGATAAAGCTTTGGAAAACATTACAGAGGAGGTGGAAGATTGAAATCCCCAAATTAGAGAAGAAAAAGGAGGAAAGAGGATGTAGATTGGTGACAGCCATTACCGGAGCAGTAACAAGAAAGATTCAAGATGGTGAGGTACTTGTCAGGCAAAGGCGCGAGTAGGAGAGAGCGTGCGTATAGACAACGTGGCAGGAGGTTTATGTAGCACTTTTGAAAACTTGTATGAACAATGTCGTTAAGAGGGTACGTGGCGTGCGGAGCGTAGCGTGGCGTGACGCGGTGTAGGAATGGTGCGTCGATCGTGTGAACAACTATGGCATGAGACCGCCTCAAGCCTTTGTTCGAGCAACGTCGTCCGAAGAGGATGAGGAGGCAGGGAGGATTCCTCCAGCTTCGGCCGCTGCGGCAATATCGTTTCGAGTATGAGCGCCTTGTCCGTGTCGATGTCCGAAGGGGAAGATGAATTTGTACAGGGGTCGTCCGGCCCACAGACCGACGAGAAGAACGAGTGGCTGCAGAAGGCACGATTAGGCATGCCATTGAGGATTGGCAGAGTCAGGCAGGACTTACGACAAATTCAAAGACTCCAAAGACCCATTCGTGGAGTGCAGCGTACTCGTACAGACCTAGGATTCAATGCTGTCAGTGGAGTGGGGGGATCTTTGCAGCTATCTCTGTACTTACCCTGAGCGCCTTCGGCGATTCTGACAACGAGTCGAATGAAGAAGAGCCCGAACGAGATCAAAACTTGAAGCAAGAGCCCCTTAAGCAGAGGGTATTGAACGGAGGGGTCGGCAGTCTCGAGCATTCGGTTAGAACGACGAAGGATGACCCAAGTGAAGATGGAAACGATGATGATGGTGATGGCTTGGAGAGTATTGCCAGCGAGGAAAATAAGGCCAGAGGTCTGAGATCAATATGTGTCAGCGAGATGTTTGGGTACAGGTCGTTCGTTCCAGATATACTCACGCCCAGAGCGAACATGGGATCATCGCCAGTGTAGTCGGCGCTCTTGGCACCGATGACCAGCCATTGTCCACCCACTTGCATGATCTCAAAGACGACGTCGAGGATGACAAAGAGAGTGAGCAAGGACCTAGGTCGCATAGGCGACAATCGTCGACCATCCGGAGTGTACTTGATGACCCGTTGAATTGATTTGTAGAGAGCAGCCGTCATGAGAATGGTCCCAATTTGGATGAGATAGAATCCGATGAGTGCGGACATGCCCTGAACATACGGGTCAGGCGGGGGAATCTGCACGACGAGCTTGCGCGAGAGAGAGGGTTGGATGAGAACTCACGCTAAAAGGGTGACCATGGGAGTAGAGTCTTGCACCGAACCCGAGAGCTTCGATGATGGAAGCGAAGAAGAATAGTCCGTGGCTTTGATGTAGAATGAGCGAGAAGCAACACCAAAAGCGAGCTCAGGAGCGCACTCACACAGATCTCGTCCCTCTTCGGGTGAAGAGGTAGAAGAGATGAGGACCAGCCAAAGCGAGCCAAACAATGACCCCGACGATTCCCAGGGCGAGAGATGGCACGTAGCCATACTGCCACATGGCCGATTCGCCATCAGGAGGCGGAACCTGAACTGGACCAGAGTATCCCATGGTCTATATGGGGCGAGAAGCGAGAATATGTATAGATAGGAACAGAGGATGTGTATGTGATGTGGGGGAAAAGGGGGGAGGAAGAAGGACGGAAGGACGGACGGACGGACGCGATCACCATCAGCGATCAGGTCTACACGCGTATCATATGCCCGGTATGACTCACGGAATGAGGTTTGATCAAATGGGTAGAGATGGGTGAGGCTCACAGAGTCTTGAGTGATGTGACAACAATGACAAGTGACAACTGATGAGTAGCAGAGGAGAAGTGAAGTGAGAGGTTGGATGAAGGGGTTTTGAGAAGAGAGATGAGAAGCTGAGAGGCCTCGAATGGCTTCTTTATAACTTTCTCCCTGTTCAACCCCAATCTGTCGCCACTTTTGTCTCCCCCTGCCGTTGCCCTCCTCCCACCCACTTCCCTTGAGATAGTATCATCTTCGCTTCCAGACTACCCACTATCTGTTTGTGTGTCTCTCTCTCTCTTCTCATGCTCCGATCAGGGTCTCATTTGTGTACAAAAGGGGGGGAGATGGAGTTCAAGTGTGGATGAACCACATTTCCCGCCCCTAGACCCTTCTTCCCCCCCCCCCCCCCCCCCTGCCTTTGTTGGGGAACATCAGTCTCTCGCTTCCATTTCATAAGCTAAATGAAAGTGTCGCGTGTCTCCAGACGCCCCTTGGCACTGCAATGTGCCAACTGTCAAGGTGAAAAGATTGTCACTGTACACTGGTCAGTTGACAAGTCAGAAAGTAGTCAGAAATGTCTCGCCCAGGTTGTCAACTGTTGTTTTCTGTGACGATCCTCCGTCGTAAGAGACGGGCAGAGAGAGATGGGTTACATCGCCCCCCAGGTGGGACTGTATTCTGGACCCTCATCAGCCCTTGATCTGTAAAGGTGGGATTGGGTGTATTCAGGTCCCGACGGAGGTGAGCAGTCTCTCAAAGGATAGGAGATTCATATCTTGAGTAGGTTCCGAAATGTAAGCCTAATAACCAACATTGTCTATTGAATGAGTACGTGTTCTGTGTAGGAGGAGAAAACACATGAGCTATCACTTGTTTCTTTTTGGCGGGTGTGGGGGCGTGATTCTCACTTGTACACCATGTGAGAAAGGTGAGATAGGAGTGAGATATACGATCTCCACTCTCATTGGTTATGGCCAATGTGACGAAGGACAAATAGCTTTCCATGGTCAGACACCCCCTTTTTTTGGTGCTGGCCACCCCCTTAGCGTTTCGAATCCGAGGTCTGTGGCACATTCTGCTGGAATCAACCCATCTATGCTCAGACGATAGATCCACAGAGAAGGTCAACGTATGAGGTTCATGCCTTCTGACCGTACGCAACCAGAGGCCAAGCAACACACAGTACACACAGTCTCGCTTCTTTTCCTTTGGATCATATCATAATTCGGCTAGCGTGGACGCTGATCAGTGTGTGAGTGAGTCTATTGTAATGTTCCTGCGGAGTCTAAAGTAATAAAATGGCTAACGGTATATGAGATGAACCCATTTGTGTGCCATGTCCTAGTAGCTGGTAGATGTCAGCCTCCTTGTGGAGCAAAGGGAGCATGCCGCAGTGGACCTTGATGTATTGTACCGTATTTCGTACATTCTCCCCACTTCGCTTCGTCCTTTCGGAAGATGAACAGCCTTGGCGTTGGGCAGATAGGGTGACATGAAGATCGAGCCGCATGAATCAGATCGAGGCTATGGATATTGCCTCAGTCTTGCCGTGAGATTTGTTCCCCTTTTGAATTACCATCTAGACAGAAAAGACATAATTCTGTGGATGGTCGAGCTCAAGATCAAGAACGAAGCCAGCAAAAAGTGATATGCAGAGCTTATGCATGAGCGATGCCGACAAGAGATGCAAGCCAAGAAAAAGTCACGCCGAGTTTGCCATTGACAGATGTATGGAAGATTGGGTCAGGCTGGTGCCGGATTGCGGGCTGCGAACATGCTGTCCAATTCTTGCGAGGTCTCAGTGGATCGTCCTGATACGTGGAAGATCACTCACCACTATCCAGATCTTCTTTTCCTCTTCTATCCCTTCTCTGCCTTCGTCCGTCCCCTGAGCCATTCAAATCCGCATCGAGATCCATCGTCTCGTCTCCATCCTGTCCATTCCGCCGCCTTGCAAATCCCTCCAGTTCTTTATCGAGATCCTCCGCTGTTCTTCTGCCCCTACCTCTGGCTCTGTCATTTCCCGAAGGACGAGAATATGGATCTCTCCTCTCCCTACTGATCCGCTTGGCGAATTCACGACCTTCGCCAGAATCTCTCCCTTGCCACGTAAGCTGAGCATCGTCTTCTCTCCCCATCGATCTCCTTGCACCCGTCGCCGTCTCTTTCCCAGCTCTTCGCCCATGGCGTTGATACCATTCAGACATTTTCGCTTCTCTACGCAGCTCTGAATCGGATTCCACTGCGAATCTCACAGTAATTCGAGCATTCGCATCGACTCCAGGTGCCAAGTTCCATTCGTTGGCCATCTCATCCGAAGCTAATAAAGGTCGATCAGAACCAGATTGCGAGCTGGCAAAAGTGCCTCTTCCTCTTCGTCGAGGGGCCGACGAATCTTCAGGTTGAGATGAAGCGAGAAGCTCTGTGCCGGCTTTGGAGTCTGTTGGATCGAGTTCAGCTTGAGGTAGAAGATGAATAGGGACAGTATGAGCTGATCGTTCGAGGAGCGGATCATCTCCTTCTGTAGGATCGAACCCGGCTTTTGACAAGAGCGTCAGAGCGAGCAATGCGGCGGCCGGGGTGGGGAATAGGAGGATAAGAGTGGTATCATTTAGCCACTCGATCCCTGCAAGGATACCATTTCAGCCAAATGATGTAACAAATGGGATCTCTCTGAAGCACGCGAACCCACCCATGACGCCTGCGCCGAGACTTGTGGTCCAAGAAAACACTTTTGAGGTAGATAAATGCTTGATCACATCGGAGCGGATGAATAGGGCATTTGGGCGAATAGGGGACCGAACACTTTCCGACACAGCAGCTGAGTAGATGCTCAGTCCGAGCTGACAGAGAACGCTTCACGTTCCCAACTCACCAAGCCAGGCAGTAGGGTCATGCGTATCGAGCTGAGCTGCAAGTTCGGCGATCCGCTATTGTCCAAGTGAGCTCCTTCTCCTCTGAAAGCGATCGAAACTCGGCTCACAGGATCGCGCCTCACTCTCTCCTCTCCATCTACGTGAATGATGGCCGGAGTCTCTTCCAGCAGATACACTTTTCCTCGACTCATTCGACCCATCAGAGACTTTACATGATCTGGAACTTCAGCTCGGTAGTCGTCCAGCGGTCTATCCAGAGGGTCTGTTGATTGAGCCTCGCTTGTCTCGACTCCAAGAGTAGGATGCTCATCTGGAGGCGGTGTCCCTTCGTATGGGAGCATGTCGGACATCATATGCGACATTCTACACTGTATAAGATGGCCGTTCACAAAAAGTCATAACCCATGCCTGTAGCCACGTGTTTCAATTTTCCCACGGAGGGTGTATGTATATGTGCCCGGAGCTGCTGTGTGTTATCCCGACCGGGGGATGCGTCAGGGCTCCCATACCGAACCTTGTTACTGCTCCAACCCGACAAAGTACCAGTGTATACATCGGCTCGTCATCGTTATCTGGCAACTGCAGGCCGCTTGTATCCAGTAATATCAACCACAAAGTACTGCAACACAGCGCTTGTGGCTCGTCAGCTTTAGAACCACACAATCCCCGACCCATCACAACAGGATCAAGCCGCCTACCGCTGGTTTCCTTTCTAGTCGTTAAGCATTACACAACGCTTTCCTCTTCTCTAGATCGAAAAGACAGGACACCTCTGCATCTTCGAGTCATATCTTCTGCATCTCAGTGAATTTCGTCTGGTCATCGAGCTCCCAACATGTCATTCTTCAAGCGCAACAAAGGGCCTATGATCCCTCCCGTTGGATCGGAGCCAGACGACATGTATGCGTCGAGAGGCGGACCCGCGAATGGAGCGGGAGGAGATCCTTATGCGAATCGTGGCGGGAACATGGCCGGTGCAGGGGCTGGGGCTCGACGGGGTGGTGGCGGTAACGATCCCTACGCCAATGCCGGTGCCGGCGGTGGCGGACATGTGGATCCCTACGCTCAGATGAAAGCCAATTCAAACGCTCGATCGAACGACGGATGGGGAGCGAGTGGAAACCCTTACGCTAGACAAGCAGCTCCAGTGGATGAAGCGACTAGGAATGAACTGTTTGCGGGATATGCGCCTCAGCAACAGACCCAAAGAAGGCGAGAGTATGGTTACGAAGGACGTGAAGAAGAAGCAGACTTTGACGAGGATGAAGAGGTCGAAGGAATCAAGCAGGAGATGAGGGGTGTCAAACAAGAGTCATTGGCAAGTACGAGGTGGGTCAGCTGGATGGCGTGTCTCAACATCAATCTGACGACTTGATAGGAACGCCGTACGTCTGGCTAGAGAAGCGGAAGAGACTGCTCGAGGTACCATTGCTAGACTAGCAGACCAGTCTGGTAAGCCATGCTTCTTTTAACGAACGGTCCGTCGTTGAGTTCTCTTGTCAGAGCGCATTGCCAACACTGAGCGATACCTCGATGTGGCAAAAGCCAACAATCAACGTGCGGAAGACAAGGCCGAGGAGCTGAGACAGCTTAATCGGAGCATCTTCCGGCCTGTCATTGTATGGAACAAGGTAAGCCCTTGTCATTCGAGTGGAATACTTGCTTATACTCGAACTTCCCCTACTCCCACCTTCATTTTCTCCCGCCTACGCCCTTCTGTGTATTCGCAGGACGCCAAACGAGCCGCCCAAGAAGAGAAGATCAACAATCGTCACGCCATGGAGCGTGTAGACCGTGCCAAAGCTCTGAACGACATCTCTGATACCCGTAGACGTCTTGGTGAAGCTGCCAATCCCCTGCCCAACGGCGGTCGTCAACCTCTCCCAGGCGAGCAAAAGGCAAAGAAGGAAGCTCGTGCGCGATACCAGTTCGATGCCACTGCTTCCGACGACGAGCTTGAAGATGAGCTCGATGAAAATCTGGACGAGACGTATGAGATCTCGAAGCGACTCAAGAGTCTCGCCACGGCCATGGGTGATGAAGTGACTGGTCAGAATGCTCGTCTGACGGGCGTTACGGATAAGACGGACAGTCTCGAATTCGCCGTCATGAAGAACACGGAGAGATTGAAGAGAATCCATTGAAGCGCTCTAGAGTCGGTGCTATTCTAGTAATGGTTGTGACGAGCATCCTGTAAAGTATTTGTACATGTATTTGATGATAGCTCATGCCCGTCGTCCGTCTGTCTGTCGGCGGCCGTGAAGCAGCCAGGCTTTCCCTTAGATTCAGCAAGTGCCTGCCGCCCAAGACCCCTATTTTATAAATACCCGGAATTAAGGATCATGTCTTTGCCATGATACTACTGCAAATATCACCGAGGGTCATTTCGCGAAGTTAGGTAGTCAAGGTGCTGACGTGCAAGCATGGGTCAATAATCCTCGCCTGAACCTCCAAGGCTCCTCGCCATTCCTTCAAGTCTGTGGCTATCCGGCCATCCCCGTCCTTTGACGAGCGAGCTCCAAAGGCTGCGTCGCCTCGGCAACCGTATCGACAATTGTAGCTAAGATAGATACTGGACTGCTCCCTGCAAACTTAGGACTTGATCCTTCTGTAAATCTGAAACCGAGATGGTGGAAACTCAAGTACCTCCCGAGGGATCCGCTGAGGATGCGACTGCCCCTGCTTCCTCTGAGCAGGTCCCGCCTCCAACTTACGCCCCTAGTCAACCTCAAATCCTGGTCGCTCCTTTACCGGACGCAGCGAGCTTTTTCTGGGGCAGGACAGTCCAAGGTGAAGTGTTCGTCAAGGGTTTAGGCGAGGACCGTAGCTCCAATACCGTCAAACAACTGTAGGCCCGAAAGCTAACTGAGCCCGTATCTGTCGCTGACCAATCCTCTCTAGGTCCGTCAAATTGACGCTCAGCGATTCATTCCCTGATCAACCGACTGTGATCATTCAGACTTGCCCTGTTCAGGTGCTTTACCCACCGCAAAGCTCGATGGCTGAATCGACGTCGACACCTGCTGCTACTTCCATCCCGTTCTCGACTATCAACCGTTTCTCTATCCCTTTACTCACAACCTCTCCTTTACCTGGAACCCTCAATTTGGCATCCACGAACCGCGGTCAAGTCAAGTACGAGCTACTTGTCACTCTGACATTAGCTACTGGGAACGAAGTCCAAGAAGTGATCGCAGTGGAGGGGACACCGCCAGATCTGGGACCGGTCACTGCCTTTGATCACGAAGCCTCAGGATCATTGCCCGATAGTCCGGACGAGCGCCCAAGAGAAGTCGAACAAACACTCGAGAAGGGAAATGTAAGAGTCAGGATGCTCCTTGATACGGCTAGACCGAGATTGGGTAACCTTCTCCGGCTAGGCGTAGAGATCAATCCCCTAAAGGACGAAAAGGCGTCAATGAATACGGGAGCTGGGCCTTCGACACGGCCAACCGCAGCTCAGACCTTGCGACCCCTGCGTCGAGTGCGAATGGAGCTGTTCAGAAGTGTCAAACTTCCCTCCTCATCCTCCGAAGCTGGCTCGTCGTCGACACAACCTGCTTCGTCTTCATCGACATCACCTCGACATTTATCCCTCATCTATGCGTCCGGTAAATCTGTTCGATACCCTGGGAGTAGCTCTTCACATCCCCCTTTACGACTCTTGTTCACCGTCCCGACTTATCACGTCGCCATTGCGGCTGATCAGACATGGGGCGAAATCACGCAGTCTACTCCCTATCATACAGTCACCTTTTTTCTCCGTGTCTGCATAGGCTTCGGAGCGATCGGCGAAAGCTCCTCGTCGAATGATGGCGGAGATTGGGTCCTGGAGAGAGATATCGAGATACGTCGTCGGATATGGAGGGAGCCCTCCGCTGTGGTCATTGAAAGAGGAGAAATGCCCTCGCTGGGTGAGGATGCCGGCTCGACTGCGCTGGATCAGTCCATGTCGGACGAACAGCTGGCTCGAGAGGCGTATCGGCTCAAGGGCCTTGACATGGTCGGATCATCAGGTACATATAGGCTTGAGACGAGCGGAGGTCAAGGTCATGATCTTCCACCTCCGTTCGAAGGCTCTGGGCAGTCGTCATTGACCCCCAGAGATTCTATGGATGCCTCGGGTAGCAGTTCAAGGCAGGAGGAAGTTCCGGATACAGATAGAGCAGGTTTACCGTCCTTCTTGGAGAGCGAAGCTCAGATGAGAGCTGGAGAAGCGCCTTTCCCTGCTCAGACTGTACCTAGTCGTCGGCTTGTCCCGGTCAACTTTGATGATGCGGAGATGATCGATCGCACCAACACCGTCGGTCGACGAGGCAGTCTGGGTGGAGAGCTGGGTACATGGGTCGAGGTGGGCAACGTAGCTCACGCGTCACTTTACCGTGCTGACGTCGATCTAGTATGATGGGTATGAGACGTTCTCCGTTGCTCCCCCTTCAGTGTCAGCGAGCTTTGGCGTTGGTGGCAGTATGGACCCGCCGCAAGATGGGGACGAAGATGTCAATGTCATTGGAGGTATGATTGGGAGATTAGGTCTGGATGCAGCTAGACATGGGGATGATCAGACTGGTCGAGACTTAATCGAGTCCTTGGGACTGGGAGAGGGCACACGAGTCGTTGATCTACAAGTAAGTCATCAAATTGCTACACGACGATTCATCTTGACGCTGATTATTTCAGGACGATCTCCCGCCAGGCATCGATGAGCCGTCTCTCCCTGCGCTCCCAGACTTCTCTGGTGGCCGGCATGCCCGGACACAAGGCTTCACATCTTCTCAACGTTCTCCCGTATCTACACATCATCCCGATCATCAGCAGCGCCGTGGACTTCAGACCGCTTCTCCAGGCGACCATCCGCCAAGTTTTGACGCGAGCGAAGCCGCTGTAGAGAGACAACGTAGAGTATCTCAATCAGTCGTCATTCCTACGGTGACTGGACCTACCACCGTCGCTGTACCTGCTACGGGGGCGCATCCCACGCCTGGGGACGGTGATGCACCTCCTGGATATTTTGGGAGTACGCCTCACGCCGGCGGACCCCCTGCGTACAGCTAGCCTTGTATAGTAAAGCGTGTATATCTGCAGCTCTGTGATAGGTGGCAAAAATCTGCCCAGGCTGGCATACCGTGCTACCGTGAGAGCACAAAGCATAACATTGTATATCCGCTGTGGATAGAGGCATGGGATCTAACAAGATTTGACAATTGTGGTGATACAAGATAACGCAGACTATCCGTGTACCATCTGCGCACTCTAAGGTGATATACTCAGTCGATCTAATTCCTGCTGTGGCTCTGGGCGTAGACGGCATAGAAGAGGCAGAGGACCATGACGATCTTGAGGAGATTCTCTATAGTTGGTTGTGAGCGGGCGTTCTCATCGACGGCGGCAGGCATGCGACACTCACTCAGATGTAAAGCGCCTTCGATGTTCTTGGCGTCCTTGTGCGCCAGACGCATGGACACTACGCGGTTGACCCGAGATATCTTTGGCGAAGCGGGAGACTCCAGCACCTCAGGTCGAGAGAGTGACATGCGTAGCGATTCTCGATATCCGTCCACGCATTTCTGTGGAAAGAGTATCAGAGTCCAGAACAGAATCCTGTGGTGTAATGGCCCGGGGTCTTGACTCACCTCCATGGCATCCCACCAGGTGTACCCTTCGATCCCCTTCGTGCTTGCTCTTTCACCCATTTCTACCCTCTTCGCGTGATCCTTGACGATCTCCGCGAGGAGATCAGCATATGATCGTGCGGACGCTCCAAAACTAGAGCTCTGAGTTGATTTCAGAGCCTCGGGCCAATTTGAGGCGCCAGGTGGAAGACGTAAGAGAAGACCGGTCGAATTGTGAGATACGAGATCCCTTGTACCTTCTGCGTCTAGGCCAATGACGGGCTAGAGAGAGGATGTGTGTTAGGATCGAGTCAGATGGGACTATGAGCCACTTACCAAGCCAGAAGCCATGGACTCCAAAACCACTTGACCGAAAGTCTAAACGAGCTATGTCAGTATACGCTGGCTGATGCCGCCGCCCTACGACTGACCTCTGTGAAGCTCGGGAAGGCGAAAACATCTGCACTAGCGTAGCATTCAGCCAGTTCTTTGCCGGCTCTGAAGCCCATGAACGACGCATCGTATCCTTCTTTCTGGCACAAGGCCTGGATGTCCGCTCTGGCCGGTCCATCGCCGACAAAGACGAGTTTCGGCAAGAGAGCGCCAGGCGGCAGAAGAGATGGCAGGTGAGCGCAAGCGGAAAGCAGGAGATTGAGGTTTTTCTCCCATGATCTGAGGATAGGAATGGTGGATTAGCAATCGGGCTTTGTGTCACAATTGATCTTGCAAACTCACACTCTGCCCACATAGAGTAGGACGACTCGAGATTTTAGAGACTTAGGATCTGGAGAACCCAGCTCTTCAGGTTTGAACACTGAATCTTTCGGCAGGACGTCTAAGTCCGCCGGGATCACAGCTGGACTTTCGGGTGGAGTAAGGGGTAAACTGACTTTACGACCTTGATGATGGACACCGAAGGTCGCTGCCGCCGCCACGTTGTCCATTTCTGCCAGCTGTGACTTCGGTAGGGCAAAGGTCGCGCGAGGCGGATCCGACACTCCCCAACTTGCTCGAAGGGCTCTGGATCGATTACATGGTGAGAATTGAGCGAGATCGACTCCTCTTGGCCATAGCCGGGCTTGATCAAAGGATTGAGAGTGAAGCATAGCAGTAGTGGATGGAGATGGACAGAGCGTCAGTCGCGTCCTGGGATTGCTGATCAGTGATGGGCAGGGCGACGATGCTTCTCGACTCACTTGGAGTACAGCCACCGTTGAAACCGCCAAATGACGGGTTCCAGACGAGGCATGCCAAACAGTGTAGCGTAGGTGGCAAGGTTCCTGAGAACAAAGTCAACATGCCTGTGGTTCCTCAATCGATTTGCCAGGTGCTCACGTGTGGTAGCTGGCGACGATACCACCAGAGATACCCGCACCTAACGCGGGACCTTCTTCGCTGACCCATTCTCTGAAGCAAGTGGGTCAATTCCGTCGTCGGCGGGTCTAGTAGTTCTACTCACTTGCCTGCCCACCCCAGCTCCATAGCCATCAATGTCTGAGCGCCCAGCCAGATAGGATCGACGAAATGGACGACATCAGGTTGCTGAACAGCATCGTCATCAGCCTGGTTCCTAGTCGTGCCATTTTTTCACTTACGAAGGCCTTGATAGTGTTCAAGAATCTCGGTCGCAGGAAGTTGAGCTGGTGAAGCGTTAGCCTGATGCTGTGCGGGATAATGCTTGACTCGCCTTGAGACCGGGATAGACAATCAGAGGGATTCCAGCTGTTCCGACGAGCGGATGGCCAGCGTACGAATCCATACCTGTTCCAGGACCAAGAAGCATACATTGATGCCCCTCGCGTTCGAGGTGCTCAAGCAGTCTGGCGAGGGTCCGAGTGACGCCGTCGACTTTTGGTAAGAAGTTTTCTGAGAGGTTTCAATACCGTCAGATGCCGTGCGTCCACAAGCGAGTCGAGCGTTGTGGACTCACCCGTCACGATGACTATTCTCAGCCCTGATCTGCCTCGTCCAGCACTAAGCCATTCTCTTCTCTGCACCTTTTCTGTGGGTGTCAGGTCGCCTCGCCACGGAATGGCTCGTTCTTCGAGTCCATCAAGAGGATCTAGACCTTGCTTCTCCTGAAGCGATTCTTGACGAGCAGAAGTGATCGAAGTGGGAGAGCGAGGAAAAGGAACGGCTCCGAGGATGCTATTGACATTATCAAGATCGAGGTGAGGGACATGCTGAGTCGCAGGGAGAGGATCGCATTCGGGTGAAGAGCTAGGTGGCGTAAGGATGGACATGTCGAAAGGCCGATATTCGCTGAGTTTTGATGTAGGTCGGCTTTCGTATGGATGGACGAATGGCGAGCAGTGGTAGAAAGCCGCTACTACCAGAGCAGGCTTAGCCTCTTAAAGCCCGGCAAAATCCTGCCCTCCTTTGGCGACGATCTCCTCTACGCTCGGACTGATACGTGTAGCGGATATTCGTCGCTTGGTTCCCGAGAGGAGGGATTGTGGAATGAAAATCCTTTGTATGCTGAGCGTTTATGCGGGGGACGTAGCTGTCGTCGGCGCCGAACGGATACCTTGGATCCGATGTTGGTCACCGAGTGTTAACCTTCTAACGAGTGAGGAATGTGTTGACGAGATAGCCTGGGCGTATTCGACAGAGGTGCACGCGCAAGTGAATGCCACTAGCTGCACGATCGAAGAAGCACAATAGTCCAAGTGATGTCGGTTGCCACTCGGTTCAAATCGATTGTATCTGTATATAGCGCCATGATCCTGCTCCTTGTTCAGCGAAACAGCTCCAGACGCGTTGCCGGAAGAAGTTGGTCAAGTCAATACCGCTAAATGACACAAACGTTTGTCAGTGAACAATCTTGATCAGTTCAGAATATGTCAATAAGCATAACATCATTTGAGTGTATCATTGCCCCGCGCTGCCCCCTCTCACGCTTGGGGCGACTGCCCAGAGGCTCTTTGCGCCAGCTGTATTTTGGGCCATGCCAAAACTGTATGAAACGCAGCGGCTGAAGCCTAGAGATAGAAAAATCAGTAAACGTGGTGTGATATCAAACGTGCGACATGAGGGAGCAGATCAGTGTGCCGCTGACGTGTCATTGCGAGATATCAGTACACGTTTAAGACATATACAAGGGCCCAGAGGAGGGTGAGGCCTGCTTGACAATGTATAGCACCCAGAGGAGCGAGGCACTCAAGGCAGCATCCGTCCAGATAGCTTTCAAGGTATGTAGAGACTGACTCGTGAAATGTACAGCGGAACCAAAATTTGCACCTCCACTGTATGGCATCATCATCTTCAGTCACCGGTGCAGCATTTTTTCCTAGGGGGCAGCAGGGGGACCCTTGTGACTCGAGTCAATATTTTTGAATAATAATGATAAGATAACAAGGTGACGAGGGGGGGACGGTGTGATGGTGTTCAACTCAACACGGTCACGGTACACTCTACGTCCAGCACCAAATGCATGAGATACTGAGTGTTCAATATCCTATGTAGATCGCCACCACGAGTGCCACAAATCTATATCTCCGACGGGATCTTTCGTGTGGCCCCCGTTTTTGTTGGAAAGAAAACGCGGATAGACCAGACTCCCCCTTCTTCTTCTTCTTTTCCCACCATCCCCCCCTGTTAACACGTCCAACCACATCCAAGGCTTTCTACACGGCCTTTCTATTATATCGACTGCTGTCGATTCCCAAGCGAATAACACACAGCAGTCATCCATTACTGCCTCGGGCTCAACTACTTTAAACCAATCAGGTGTCGCCATATACTTTTGAACATTATACCAACGCTGTTCAAAATGTCTTGCGGCTTCTAGATTCCCCAAGCTCTGTCCAAGAGAGAGTTCATACCCAACCCCCTTCCAGTCACCATGTTCTTCCAACCTCAAATACGGTTCCTCCCCGGACTCCGTCAGAAAACACCCGCCAGCATGGCTTCCCTTACTCAAGTTCCCAGGCAATCAGCCCTCGAATCACAAGCAACAACCTTCTCAAGCTCCCTCCCCGCCCTCTGCCTAGCAGATCCATCGACAAGCACCCAGTGTTGTCGAAGTTCCCTCTCTCAAGCACTCACATAGTCGATAAAGACTTGCCCGCGGGCGTCAAACTATCAACTACTACTATTACTACAAGGTATGTTGTCTGATGTCATTTCCCACGGAATTATTCCCTGACATTTGCATTTTCCCCAATCTTAGTTTACAAGGTCCCAAACTTCCGGTTTCATTACCGCCTCCACCGTCCAAACGACGAGTGACTACAAGACAGAGTAGCACACCAAGCTTCTCGCCCGAAAAGACGACAAGTGTTCGTCAACCGAGTGCTTCCGATCTAGCACCTCAAGACAAGGCTTCCGCCATTCCGATTTCACCGACCTCGACTTCCGAAAAGTCCATACCCAACATGGCTTTCGATTTTGAAACTGGCGAGTTTTCACTGGCGGATCTGGCTGGGTTCACCTGGCCAGACACTCAAGGCGCTGCATCTCCAGAAGGTGCGTCGCATCTTTTTGATCACTCTGCACTAGCTGACGTCGTCTAGATTGCTCTTCTGGTACAGCGACCCCTCACTCGACCGAGTCGGAGCAGTCCGCTGCTCTCGACCCTTCTCAAGACCAATTCGACGACTTTGAGTTCTTTGAACTCGACAAGGCCGCCGCTATTCCCCTCGACTCTGACCTTCCTTCTTACCAACAAGCCATGGTTCCCGACAGCAACCTCGCTCAAGATCCGACCATGCTTGCGACCTTTGGCTCCGCGTTTGCCAACTTTGGCGATCTGACTGGTCTAGGCCCCGATGCTACTACGCAGCTGGGTCTCACAGGTCTATTTGCTCACAGCACGGTCCCTGCTCCATCCTCTTCCACTCTTCCTGTCCCTCAACCTGGCCCAGAACAATTCTACGAGTCTCTCTTCGGTGCCGCTCCCTTTACCGTTGAGCCCTCTGCGCTCATCTCGACCCCTGTCACCGACGCTCAAGTCACACCTAGTGGCGATTCACTCAAGCGCAAGCTTAGTGATGATTCTTCTGACTGTGACTCGACGGCTCCCGCCAAGCGACCACGTGGACGCCCGCCAAAGTCCCGGACGAGTGACGCTTCTCTACCCAAGCGCCCTGTTCAGCGACTGTCAAAGAGCAGCAAGCTGGACACTCCCGGCACTGTCACCATGTCTCTTGGTCCCGACTCTGAGCCTGGTTCACCAAAGCTCACGTCCTCTGGCAAACCCTCTACTGCTCGTCCTCGGTCCGTCGTCCCTGAGCGGTATCTCCGTGATGGCTCTGCGCAGAAGATACTAGGCATGGATCTCGATCAAATTGCCAAGTACCCGTCATTTGAGGATCTGCTCAAGGATGTGGAGCCGTCCAAGAAGGCACAGGCAGCCGAACTGGGAGCCAAGATTGCCGACCAGCGAGACAAGGCTGCCGATGCCGCCAAGAAGAGTCGAGACGAACGCAAGGCCAAGATTGACACTCTTGAGTCGAAGGTGTCTGACCTCACTCGTCTGCTACGATCCATAGCAGCGCGAGGAGCTCTTACATCGACCGAGACTGCTATGCTTGTCGCGTTGTCCTCGGAGGATTAGGCTTCTTTCTCTACTTTCACTTCGATATCTTTTCGCCCCACATCACCACCCTCCCATCCATTGATATGTACACCGTCCTCATCGTCCTTTATCCCTCTTTATTACTTTATTCTTAACGGATCGTAGTCAGTCTTTCAGCTCGTGTTATTTATGCGCCGCCGTGTCGCAGACTCTTGACGAGATTTTCTGGGGCGCGGTCGGTAGACTCGTGACTCAAGTATGCAAATCCTGAAACATTGTACATTGGCCGAAGCAGCATGTCCGCCATATGCTTTTATATGCTTTCCAGGCTGGACCGTCACCAAGCCAGCTCACAGCCCACAGCCAAGTGATCGCTCGCACAGATACCCTTTCTTGGCAACCCCTCCGAGAGATCACCAGATTGTGCTGGTCTAAGCAGGGCTGTAAAGGCGACACGATCATCAGGGAACAAGAGCAGATAGTCTGCAAGCGATTGAGCTCGGAGCGAGGAATGGAGACTCACCCAAAGTCAATTTGAACAACGGTGTATAACACGTATATCCCGGCTCATTCTGCCCCTTGAGACTTGCCGGAGTGTTTTCGAAATGCCGCTTGAACCCACCACGACGCTCGAAGGTCTCTTCATTTCCGGAAACCCAACGTGAAGTATCATATGCACTCGACAGGCCTTCAGGTAAGACCTCGCGGAGATGAGGGACAAGTGATTCGAAGGACAAAATCCCATCGTTGGGTCCGGGGTGTCGGGTTCCCGCTACGGATCGCTCGTCCGTATCCGGAGGCTCTTGCTCGTCATCGTCACCGTCATCGTCTTTCTCGTCATTGTTGTCATGATCTACGGCAGGAGGTGATGTTGAAGGGTTATCGTCGTTTGCAGGGATCTGATCGGCCGACGCGGGCCCAAGTTGAGAGAGAGCCTTGTCGACCGAAGTGTGGACCAGTCGAGACGTCTCGAATTCGTCGACGAGCTCCTGTGGCAAGGCTTGCGATGGACTAGTGATCAGCTGATAAGTAGCTTCGCATGGTGTCATATTCAGATCTGAGCGTGCGTGGATCAGTCCCTGAAAGAATCATCTTTGCCCAGACAAGCGCACCTCCGGCAAGTATCGTTGGCCAAGGCGTACGAACTTCATTCTGCTTGAAGGTCTGGATCGCGCGAGCGAGGACAATTAGCTGTCGTATACGTTCGTAGCTGAACTTCGGATGCCAAAATCTGTGGCCAGCGGTGAGCAAGAAGCAAGGTCAAGGCGAGGGGACAGAGACGTACAGATGAGTTGTGGCAATGACTATGCCTTGATCCAGAGCGTCCACTGACTCAAGAGCAACTACGAGACCAACATTCCTCGTACAACGGCTGCCACCGCGTCTTCGACCGATGTCTCCAGGAGCAGCATCTCCCTTTGAGCTTGACGACGGCTGCTTGTCTTGACCGTTGATCGAGGCATTCCCATTCACGGCGGTGTAAGGAGAGAGCTCCTCTTCGTCAAGATATACGGTCCTCTGTGATCGAGCTCGGAAACGAGATCGTCTGAAGAAGATCAAAAGACCGTGCTTCTTGTTGGGGCCAAAAGCTTCAATGTACGAGTGATCCGGCATGGCAGGGAGAAACTCCTTTAGTCGATCACATTCCTGCGAAAGGTATATATTAGAGTCCTTGCGCCTTGCCGACGACGTGATGCCGCTTACTTGAAGGCAGATTATGTCTGCTGAGGAGTGACGCTCAAGTTCAGCTAGAAGCATCGGCTTCCTCTCGCCCCATTTGAGACAATCAGATCCGGGAAACAGCTCTCGACCTGGACAAGGTGGTCGGTCATCCAATACCTCGACATCCTTCAGAGGGTCGCTTACGGACAAGAGTCTGGGCGAGGACCTGGATACACGCTCTGTCAGAACTTTGTCCGAGGACGACTGACACGGGGCTTACATTCCATGTCACGATCCTCACGCGCCGCTTAGAATCGCTCTGACCGACCTGGACCCAATCCCTCTTCAGAATCCGACGCCGCTCAAGCTCCTCTGATGACAGCTTTGGCGCCGCTTTCGGATTGGCCTTTGCAGCTAGCTTTGCGGCTCTTCTGGCTGCTTGAAGCTCGAGCTGGGCCGGAGTGAGCTGGTACGGCATGCTATCAATCGGTGTACACCTCTTGATACGTCGTCGAGCGTTCGAACCTGAAATCCTTCGAAATGACCCGACTGATTTTCAGTGACGTTATTGATCGGGGCCTTGGTTTATCGCCTCCGACTGACCTCGAATATCCAATATCTCTGCAGGGACACCTATGCATCAAACTCCAGCCAATGAGTCGCTCAACTCAATCAGCAAATCAGGCATCGTCCCCTCTAAAGTCTCAAGGATTTCCAGCCAGGGATCGATGACTGTGTCCTCAGGATGGGAATCAACGAACTCTTTCTCCCTCTCCTGCCTCAGGTCGGAACAATCTTCTTGAGCTTCGAACTTTTGCTCGCAGCTCCGAACATGTAACCCCTTTCCGTGCACTGTGATGCTAACAGCCGTAGTCGGATGACACTCGTTCCGCATACCCTCATTGCCATCCCGTTCTCGGGTAAGGCTGCCTACACGGTTGTACCGACAGCCTCTGGAATCTCCAAGATACCGGGAATGGGCGCAGTCGATCTGACCGTCTTCTGCGGCATGACATGGCCGCGAAGTATGAACTTTCATAGGGCATCAGGATAAGTGCCCCCGTCCAATAGTTGTTCCAGTTGGGGTTCGGCTTTCTCCATGTGTATCTCTAGTATTTTAGCGGGGCACATGCTTCTAATGATGAATACCAAGCGAGCAGCTGAGATGCGCTCTCGGAGACTATCGTCGAGAATATGCGAGTACCCCATGCGAGGCAAGCTGGAGAAAAACAGGCTTACCTCGCCTTGCCTTTGGATGAGAACTGTGCTGCAGGCCTTTGACGATCAATCATCGAGGTTTTGCTTCTGCCATTGTTCTCCGACCTGACGAGGACGTTAGTCCGGGGACGTGGTGCAAGAACGAAATGCATGAACGATCCCGGCGAGACACAGCAGCTATCAGGATGAAGGCATATGCACCCTACTGCCTCCCATTGAAAGGTCCGTCTGAACTTGGCAGCCCTTGTTCTGCTTCTTCGTCCCTTGAGGGTGGCGCCGTTTCATTGATGGCCTTCATGTCGACTTCCTCGATGCCAAGTCCGGCCAGCGTGTACAGAACACACATGACGACTTGGATCACAAAGACGGTATGTGTGGCTTTCTGATAAGACATGCGTGCTGCGAATTGAAGATCGGTGGATAGCTCTTTGATAGCAGCCGAAGATTTCCGTATGGATGAGATGATCTATGGGCGAATGAGGGATTAGCACGCGGGTGATGCAGCCGAAGGGCTCCTTCTCTGACATACCTCGATACTGCCTGGTCCAGTAATCCTTCTCGGTAGATCCCTCGCCAGTACAGTCTGGATGACTGCTCCGCTCATGGACACGCCGACGACTTGACCGGTCATCCGAGCGACGTAGGACACTGCGGGCTTCGTCAGGTGTTTGAAAGACAATGGGCCAAACATGCGTACAGCTCGTTGCCATGGCGATCCCTTCCCGTCCAACATCCGCTATTAAAGCAACAACCGTCAAGGTCGTGACAGCTGATCCACTAGGAGCTGAGACCTGCCAGAATGTCCAGGTCTGCCAGCTGTAGCAAGGTCAGCGTGTCGCAATCGAGGATCTGCCTCATGGCTGGGCTCACTTTGGCGAATCAATCCTCCAGAGTGTGATGAGAAATGCGCCGAGTATGCCGTCTAGACCACCCAGGAAACAGAGCCACTTGTACTTTCCGTAGACCTTGACAAGATAGCCCACGCCAATCGAGGTACACTGTTCAAGAGTATGAGCGAGGGACGAGACAGAGATAATCAGCATACAATACCGATCAGCGGTGCAGGCATAAAGCGCAACCCCGTTTCGGTGGATGACATTTGTAAGACTGCTGAAAAGTACAGGGGAACGGTGTATAGCTTGAGGCGGTCAGCTTTGAATGAATATCGTGCACGCACAGTTCCAAATATGACGATTGAAATGAAGAAATTGTTGACGAAGCAGGCTATCGGCGTTCTGCGACCTAGCAGATCGATGGGGAGGACCGGTTCTTTAACAAGCTTGAATTCTACCACAAGGAATACCAAGAAGAGAATAACTGAGGTGATTATAAGGCCGAGGATGCGGGGACTTGTCCAGCTGAGAGAATCGTCCGTAGCTTCTGTTTTCATCGACAACACGAGTATCGCGCAGCCCAACCAGCCGAAGAGCAGGAGACATCCCGCAAAGTCGATGCGTTTCAACATCTCAAGCGGAGTTTGAGTGGCTCGCTTGGATGACGGAACATCATATCGAACGAAAAAGAAGACAGCGATGAATGCAACCACAAAGGTGGGCGCCTGATGTCCTGTCAGCAGTATCTTCCGCCAAACATTTACCTGTAGCCAGAAAGCCCATCTCCAGCCTAGCCAGTCATTGACGAACCCACCGATGGGCGCCCCCAGCCTGTCATCATCAGCTGCTGCTCTCAGTCTGACGGGAATCGCACATACCCCGTTCCGATGCCGAAGGTGATATTGGCGTAGCCCTGCAAACTTAGAATGAGCCGTGGAACGGTGAGACAACATAATACACTGACCTGGAACAGTCCCCTGTAAGACCTGAGGCCAAATTGTCAGTCTAGAATTCTGAGGTCCTCTCGAGCATGCTTACAGAGGAACGATGTCCGAGGTGATTGTGCTTGAGGCTGGACGAAAGTTAGCTACACGTGCAAACGAGGAGCTCGCATCTACTCACTGACTTGTAGTCCACCGCCTCCGAGTCCAGCGATGAATCGTGCAGCGATCAGGATGTTCATAGTCGGCGCGACAGCGCAGAGAATGTTCCCAATCGCGAATACAACAACCGCGATGAGCATGGAAGCCTGTCGACCGATGACATTGCACAATCTGCCGTAGATGGGCGAGACACAGCAGACCGCCAGGAGGCTAAGGCAGGCATCGGCACAGCCCTTTTGACTTCGGCCACGTTGTTGGAAGGATTGAACACTCACTAGGATGTACCGAGCCATGAAGCTTCATTAGTCGCATTGAAAGAGGAAGAGATGGGTCCAATGAGAGCAGCCACTGAGGTGTCGAGCTTTGTGAGTCCTCCGGTGGCTGTCTGAGACGACTGCACCTACCAACAGTTCCGTCGAATGCTACGAGAAACGCCGCTATCCACATGGACAAGCACTGATCGATTCCTATCAGTTTCGAGGTCTCCCGATAAAGTCGGGATCGGGCCCGAACTCACCAATATCCAAAAGGTGGTTTGAGATAAACCCGCAAGATTGTAGTGCTGATTTTGGCCGTCCTTTCCATTCTGCAGGAGCGGAGTGGCCTCGGTTGCTCTCGCATCGATAGCTCGCTGATTCTCCGCCATGATTGAATTTGGATGGTCCGCCGAATAGATAATGTCAGGAGACTGAGAACAACTCTCAACGTCTTTTCTCCAACGGGCCGAAAGCTTATTGCATGCAAGCGAGCATTCGGACATCTCCGTCGAGACCCGATCGAAGGGAAAGAGTCGCAATACATCCCTAGAGTCTTCAATGTATTGTCTGCATAGGTTGTTTTACTGGGACTCTACAGCATTGCTCGTCGACAAGATTCTCAACATAATGGTGTTTCACAACGACTAGCGTAATATCAAAGCATACGGGCAGTCTGGACTCGCTTCTCTAGCTCCCAGGGACCGTGATAATGGGTCCGTCCGTGAGTGAACCAGGAGCCAGCACAGAGGAGAACGACCATCGCCACGACAACAATGACATAGTTCATGTCTGTCCCTGTTGTGACAGGAATGAAAGGAGGGAAGACAAAGCAGATGCTGGTGACGAAGAGGAAAATCATTGCAAAGATTCCAATGGGTTCTGAAAGGTTTAGTCTTGTTTCGGATCGGGTGACTCACTTCTCCAGCGCCCCAAGCTGTATTTGTGAGGCTGGTCGGCAAAGACCTTGTTGCCCCTGAAGACGACCAAGCAGACTAGAATATGAGCGGGGATCGAGACGAATGTGACTCACTGGTTGAGAAGTAACTGATCTGCAGCAGGACAACAGATGCTGAGAGAATGGCATTCGTCGCAACGGACGATCCAAGGTCTAGCATTGTCAACTAGCTGCAAGCGGTCGGGGTACATACAGATGAGTCCAAAGATGATTACCCAGATGGTGGTAAAAATGATGGACCAAGTCGGCACCTCAAGCCTAGGGCTGACGTGTGACAACCACGGAGAGAGATGGCCAACACCTTGGTCTCGAGCGAGTGTCATGACCATACGACTGGCGACAGTCATCAGACCCTGAGTTGCGAATGCCATGGCTCCGACGTTGAACATGACAAGGCATGTGGCCTGAAGAACTTCAGTATGTCGACACATGCCAAAGACCTACGCCAGCCCGATTTGAGACGGCTTGGTAGTAGATTTCCAAAAGAGGACCGGCTGCCGAGTTGATGGCTTCTTCGACGTTGGTTAAAGTGAGGAGAAGGACAACGGTGAACACCCATGAAGTCGAGGCTCCAAGGAGGACGGCAATGATCCTACGCGTCAACGAGATATCCTTGTACATCGACTTACATGACCTTTGGTGCATTGACCGACGGGCGGGGCATCTCCTCGACCAAGTGACTGACAGCATCGAAACCAGTGAGGCCGAAGACAGATTGCAGGAGACCGAGGATGAAAGCCATACCATCAGGCCACTGCGATCACTCAGCATCTGGCTTCCTCTACATAAGAGCATACTCACGCCCGTCTGGTTGGTGAATGTAGCGAAGACTGCCTTTCCGGATTGATAGTCGCCATGTTGGCATGCGAGGAGAGTGATGATGACAACAACGATCCCCACGAGACTCCAGATGAACGCACTGTGCTCAACAAATGGCAGAATTTTGACACAGTACATGTTGAGCAAGAATGCACCGATGGTGAATGCCATGTAGATGAGAAAGGTCTGATAGCGTTGCGCCTCGTAATCAGGGTACCAAAGGGAGATGATTCTGGTTGAAATTGCGCTTTAGCACCATTTACCGGATTTGTAGAGCTCCACTCTCACCCAACAATGAAATTCGCGCCCAATGAGGAGCCAGTCGCGGGCAGAGCCACCCATCCAGCAGTAGCCATCCATCCGACAAAGTATCCAAGACCGTTCTTCATTCTCGCCGGTGCCAAGAGATCTGTAGACCGAGTTTCAGACGGGTCCTTTAGATCACGTTGCCACCATCAACTCACATGCCCAATCATATTGGCCGCCGGCGGCTGGGAAAATGTGACAAACCTCGGCCCTGAAGCGCATGAGCATCTGGTGCATCGTTATGGAGGGACTCACAATGAGACACACATGGCCAACGTGCCTAGTGTTGACACGGCCAGACCCCAGACCATACTGATACTACCTCCTGATGGAAGCACAAGAGAGAGGCTGATAGGAGAATTTAGCATGATTTTGTTTAGGGGGAGGAAAGGGTATGATGACTCACGACGCGGACCTATATATGGGCTGGGATCAAGTCTGCAGCGTTACTCAAGTTGTTCACTTACATGGCTAAGTCGTCAGCTCTGGTGGCTATGAGGCCAACTCACCGGTCCAACTGTTCAACATGGCGAACGCCATACCCAGACATGATAGGAGGGAGAATCTCCTAACGAGATCTGTCCTCTCACCGACAACCTTGACTTCTACCTGCTCGGGCACCGACAGATCCTCCTTGCCCACGGATGCCATCGTGAATACAATGCACTGTCTTCGTACAATGGAAACTTGTCCTCAAAGTGACTTGGATGGAATAGATAAGACGGGGAGACTATGTCGCGAATCTTGGTTCACTTTCCCAGATTGACTCAGGGGGAATTGCGACGTCTGAACCGGTTCGGGTCAACCGTAACCGACGCTTAGGAAAAGCCGACGCTCAGCACGCCCCCAGAGCCCCTATTCCCACCTGGCCCCGCGGGACAAGTGCGTATGATGGGGGCGGCGGATGCCCTCAACCTCACCCCGCAGTGGCTACGAACTTACATGCATACAAATTCAGAAGTAACATCGGGTCATACAGTGTTAACGTGGCTCAAGTGCCGCGATCCAGGCACAGGAGGGAGCATACATATTACCTCACAGGGAATCCTCAATAGTCTCATGGATCATCTCCTCGAACGATATGAGATCCCTACCCGCCCACTTCTCCAGCAACTTCTGACCGAGCGAATTGTCTAGGATGTTCTGCTTTGGCGGTGATGGCACATCGAAGTCTTGTACGAATTGTCGTTCAGGATATTGCTCCCTCCATTGCGCTAACAATTCGTTGATGTGAACAGGTGGAGCTACTGCAGCCCACATGCGCTGCCCATTCACCTCGGGATCCAGTAGAGCAGCAACATGGATAATGGCAACATCCCTAACGTCGATGTGCCATTCACTCGGTAGCCAGAAGCCGACGCCAGGGTTGTTGTCTAGCTTGCCTTCAAAAATCCATTTCGTCCACGTTGAAGTGCTGTACACACCCTCGGCGGGATTAAAAGGCTTGCCAAGCACCATGTGAGGAAGGACAGTGTTCACAGCGAACGAAGGCTACGGGATAACAGGTCAGATTATGTGGTCATCTCTGCAGTCGACTCACTTTGTGCTGCTTGACAAAGTCCCAGAGCGTCTTCTCCATTTTGACCTTTGTGGCGGAGTAAACGAATCCAAACTTCTCAGGAGCATCATCGGGGAGTCGAAATGCTTTTTCATAGCCCGTGTCGTTGTAATCGTCTAGAGAGAGGTCCATATCTTGGCCGTAGGTCGCGTTGTAAATTGCCGCGGTGGAGGACGTGAAAACGATAGACTTGACAGACGGAGTTTCATATGCCGCCTCTAAGATAGCCCAGGTAGTCTTGTAGGCAGTTTCGACGGCCTTTGTAGTGTCCAACGTCGAGAGATCATATGCTTGGTAAACAATCCCGGCGACACCTGACGCAAGATGTTCAGCGCAAATGCAGACTGTCTTAACGTAGCCACGGACCATGCAATATCGCTCTGTACTCGTTCACATCGGTGTAGTCCTTGATCTGGACGAATTCGATGGTATCCTTTCCATACAGCCCATCAAGCTTGTCCTTCAGAGGTTGTGTCCTGGGTCCGACCTGTCGAGTCGCTCCGACGACTTTGAGACCTCGCTGTGCCAATGCATCGGCCGTCGACCTGGCGATATCAAAAGCACATTACATCAGCACCCGAAGCGTCGGTTAGATTGGCCGAGGTGGTCTCTGCGCCTTTAAAGCCACCACCACTCACGCGCCTACGAGGCCTGTCACGCCAATGATAAGGACCTTGTCGTCTTTCTGAAGACGGTCGGAAGGGAGTGACATCGTAGCTGGTGGGAATATGCTGCGTGCGAGATGATGATGAAGACTGGTCCTTTGGCTCCGGGCTCGTCGGGTCTGCTCTTATACGTCTTCGGAGCCAAATAATTGCATTAGTCATGGATCGCATAGATTATCAAGTCACCTCCACTTTTGCAAACTGACGCGATGGAGCGAAGGCTTTAGGCAGAACATTCCGCAAGTGGTTTGCAGCTCATAGAGTCATTTTTGAGCCCGTCTGGCACGTCCTTTCCCCCTATAGACCAGACACAGCTTGCTTTTGGTCATTGATCAAGAAGCTCCCCCAATCTGCGAGTGCATCATAGTCACCACGAACCTGGGTGGACCAACCCACGGATGTTCTGCGGTCAGATTGGAATTCATTCCAGCCACTTTGCGATATCCGGTTTCGACAAGGCTGTATCCCAACCCTTCTCGCTGTCTCCTTTATGCACCTCCTTGAACGAGTCCACGTTCTCTCCTTCCAGATGAGCATGTAAATGCGGGTATTCTAGAGGTTTAACGTCAGTCTATGGATCCGAGTGCCCATCTGACAGCCATAACGACCATTGAGGCTGGCATAGACTCACTCTGCCCGTCATTCTCATCCCATGTCAGCCGCTTGAACGATCCCACCCTGTCCGTTTCTAAACGGAGCAGAACGACTGAAGGTACATCTGCAAAGAATCTGTTGAGTGTTCCAGGGACTTGATTCGCGGTGGAGAGATGAACAAAGCCATCTTTGTAGTCCAATTCAGAGAGGTAGAAGGTGTGTGACGCTGGGATAGGAATGGGGAACGTGTAGCTGGAGATGGCTGTCAGTCTCAGGAGCTGGCCCCGGCCAGAGGCTGGGGCGGGCTCACTCACCGGGTATCGACGGAGGAGTGTGGAATGATCTTGTATATCCATTTGGGGCTTGACATGGTGCTCGAGCGTCTTATAGCATGCGACCACATGAATAGCAGCAGACGACCTGTAACAACAGGACGTTCCTCCTTCAGATCTCTGAGTAATGATATCATGGACCTGATCGCCATCACGGAAGCAATTATTTCTCGAGAGTCGTCGGTTGAAAGCATGCATGGAGTGGTGATGAGTATGGATATGTCTTGATCCGAGAATCTAGATGCTATAGTATGCTGTACCAATGCGCTGAAGAACAGATATCTCCCTCTCTCCCTCTCTGAAGTGTCTTTACAAGATCAAACCATTTCTCAACGATCACTTTCGCCTCTTGCCTCGCAAACTCTGCTTGCTCCGGGCAGTGCCCGTCGAGGTTGCTGAACTTCCACCTTGGATAAAGTTGACCAGCTCATCAACGTCAAGATGACCTCGAGTTCCGATCTTTGAGCTGGGCTGAGTGCCACTGGCCTTGGAGCCGGCGGCACCATTCGATACGAGCGGATTACTAGCGCTTGGCAGTGTCTGACCAAGACGCTTTCGACCCATTCCTCCAACTCGCGATTGAGCAGCGTGCAATCTGTCCAATTGACGTGCTTTAGCTTGTTCACCAAGAGCCTTTTGCCGCTCAACGCTATCTGCAACGGTGGAAAGAATCTCCACATTGCGCATGACCTCTTTCGTTTGGTGGTGATCCTTGCCGACAGTGTTTTCAAAGATTGGTAAAGCCGCTTTTGCTGAAGCCAGAGCTGCGGGTATATCGCCGGCCAGGAAGTGCGCTTGAGTGAGCTGGTGTTGCGATTGAGCGGTCTGGATGTGATTAGATCCGAACATGGCCACAGTGGAATCGTATGAGGTGGTCAAGACAGCGAGCGAGAGTTTGTGCTCAGACATGGCCTGGAGGACGACTCCAGCGTTCGACTATTCTCAAAACGTCAGAGTCATTCTAGCCATGCAAATTCATAACTCACCAATATGGTGTTGATCTCAGGGTGTTTGGGTCCGTGGATGATATCCCACATGTCTAAGATGTGGCGGAAATACTTCAAGCTCGTCACAGTGTTGCCTTCAAGATGCTCCAGCATGGCAAGGTTGAAGTAGTATGCGCAGGTTTCCGAGTGGTAGACGCCAAGAGTTCGCTCGGCAATGATGACTCCCTGTCTCTGCAGTCGCAAAGCCAGGGCGAGATCCAGATCAAGAGGTTGCTCAGGGTCAGCGTTCTCATTGGCCAGCTGTTGGATCTTGAGACGAGCAAGTTGGTGAATGGTTGAGGCGTATTCGTTGTACGCGGCGGCAACTTCGGGGTGAAGAACCGAGTGAATGTTTTCGTACAGTTGAACAGCTTCCAACATGAAGCCAAGACCTAAATCCAAATTGCCTCGGTTTAGCGTCGCTCGTCCAGCGTCAAAGATCTCGGCGGCGACTGCGCACTGAGAACTTATAAGCTAAAAATCCTGCTAGAACTAGAAGGGAACTTACAGGAGGAGCAGTGGACTTGATAATTGGCAGAAGAGTCAAGATATCGCTCGGCTCAAAGGTTGTCTGACGAGCTTTTGAAGCGGATCCTGTCTCCTTGCTCTTCGACTTTTTGTCCTTTTTGCTCGGCGCTGTCGGGGACGATCCAGCGTGACCATTGGACTCTTCGACATGTCCGTTAGCCTGTTCTCTAGATGTCGCATCGAATGTATATGCCCTCTGCAACAGCTGGAATCCTATCCTCGAAGCAAGCTCGCGTACGAGCTGGGGCTTCCTTATCTCTTGGTCGAAGTATGATTCAGCCAATGTCCATCGGAATCGGCTTTGGATTTGCTCGACGATAGCGGATCTGAGAGACTCCGGTGTGAGCTGGGTATAGGCAGGTGCGGATGATTCGCCATCCAAGTTGAGCGGCGTGTAGATAGCTTGAGGGGATGGGTTGAGTGCTGCACCAAGCAAGCAGTTCAGGATATGTGACAGCGCGCATTGAGCGTGTTCCGGTACGAGGCCAACCAAGAGCGAGCGAACAACGTGCTTTGTGGCACGGACGAACATCTCCTGGGTGATGAGTGCCTGTAAGGTGTCAGCACAGATGTCCAAGCATAAGGTTGACCCACCCTGAGATAGCTCAAGACACCCATCTGCGGTTTTTGGGGAGCTGTGCTCTTGCTGAAAGAATCAATGGTCGAAAGCAAATATCCCAAATACCGGATGTTGATACCTCTACCGTGCATTGCCTTGCTCAGACTGATGCCATCCATAACTCCGGACAGGTTACCAGCCAGTGCATCGAGGACCATAGCTGGCACAGCGACTTGTCGCAGGAAAAGAGAAGCATCTCGTACAGCCTTGATAGACGGATCGGAAGTATCGGTGACAGTGGATGGGAGATAGGGTTTGTCAGTCTCGGTTGAGCCCTTGGGGACGGGCTGGTCGGTGAAAGCGTCGGGGTTGAACGTCAGGTTGAAGTCTGCTAGCGACGAAGCGTCCAAGGCTTCAACGCTTGGTTCCTGGACATCAGGCTTCGTTTCCTGATCGGGAACAGTCCCTTCTTCAGCGGCGTTGTCCTTTGCAGACGCATCTGAGGCTTCGACAGGGATCTCAGTCGCCTTGCTCTCCTTGGCCTTGGAGGTGGCGGTCTCTCTAGCCCATCGTTTCAAGCTGTCCTCCCAGAAGGTCTCGATCAGTTCTGGTCGGAGCAGAACCAATCGATGAGGATAGGCAGGACCTTCGACTTCCGACTCAATAAGTTTGCCATCGACGTCGCGCTCCAGCCACTCGACATCTACAGGACTGAGACGGGGAAGATCCAGCAAGTATCGTCGACCGTCGTTTCCGCACAGAGCTTTGACTTCTGCCGAGGCGTAAAAGTCGTACTCTTTCCCATCTCGACTAGCGACTTTGTGAGGTGCCAATCGAGTAGATGCAGCGACCTTGGCCATCAGCTTATGAGTCGTAGCGTCCCAGTGAATCGATCCGGGAATCTCGGAATCGTACCCGTAGACGATCAAGGGGTTTTCGGCGGGTTCTTCGGGCTGAGCAACGCTGTCGTCGGCTCTGACCTGACCGTCGTCTGTCTCTGATGATTTGCTAGCAGATCCATCAACCTTGACCCAATCATCCTTCTTGTCCGAAGCTTCACCGTTGGGTGGCTGCCCATCCGCGACGCTCTGAGCATCAGTGTCCTCGATCGGTTCTTCGGCGCGACGCGAAAAAATTCCAGGAAGCATGCTCTGGCAGATCCATCGTTCGCCGACCCAGTCGACGACCGTATGACCAAGCAAGCTGACGCCATCGATGTCAAGTTTGTTGAGCAGTTTGACACCCGCGGCATCTTTGCCATGAGAGACGTGAGCAGCTGCGTCACCTCCAAGATGAGCATAGGCGTCGATGGAGTCGACAGCTTTGGTGATGAAGATGTTGGAGATGAGGTACATGTGGGCTCGAGGGTCTTCAGTGGGGTTCAGTGGGGGTATGTCGCCACGCTGTGTCTAATTCAGCGCTTCACTCGTGAACCAAGTCTCGCTCCACTCACTGCCACTGCCATGACACCTCGCACGGAGGCCGCAGTGAATTCTGCAAATGTCTTTTGAGCAATCTTCTCCCTCAGTACACGTTCTTGCATCGTCTTTTTGGGGAGCTCTCTGATCCCTTGAATCTCTTCATTCCAGTCCCGAGCTCCGTCGAGTCCATCTGCAGTCACGGCACCAGTGTGGAGGAAAGCAAGCTGGGTCTTGATGAGATCAGACTCAACGTCAGGCTTCGGCGGAGTAGCGAGAAATGGGTATGCGGGTTCAGCTTGAGGAATGGGAACGGTAGAGATTGGCTCGTAGACAGGAGGTGTGACAGATAACGGTGGTAGACGATTCAATCGTTCAGTGAACATTGGCGAAAGAGAATGCAAGAGATCGATAAGTGAGTGAGTGAGGTTTGCCTGAGCTCCTGATTGAAGCTGAGTGCGGGGAGCCGCATCGAAGGAGCTGGTCGTGGACCGAGAGACAAACCACCCCCGCGTAGTACAAACCAGAATGAGCACGTCGCCCTCCAGAAGCGTGACTTGAAGGTAGAGCTGATGTCCGACCTGCTTAAGATGTGCTGGTGGAGGGTTGAAAGCTGCAAGCTGAATGTTCTTGAGACATGGCAGGACCTCGGGAGTGACTGGAGAGATAGGGATGGCCTGCAAGTCTGTCTGTGGCCAATCTCCACTCCAATCGGCGAATGCGTGCTTTCCTTCCTGCTTGACTTTGACAATTTCCTTCTTCCCTTTGCTCTTCTTGCCTGGTAGAGACACTTCGACCTCACGAAAAGCAGGCGCAGTTGCAGTGCCATCTCGTACAGACTCAAAGATCGTAGCGCCAGCGCTGAGACCGATACTGGCCATGCCCGAGCTCTCAGGCCCCGTTGTGGACAGCAGCTCGACGAGTCGAAGAACAGACTGACGAGCGGAAAACTCAGAGTATGGTTCTGTATGAGACGGTCAGCAAGTTGATAAATTATACGGAGATCTACTTACCCCTGTGCACCTCGAGCACTCTTTCACGGCCGGGTGGATAGCTATCAAAGACATGTCCAACTTCCAACCAGTCACTGAGCTTGTCTCCAGGTTTCACCTCCGCCAGACCCTCCTTCCCAGGTGCCTTGGCAGCTGATTCCGTTGTCATCGCGTCCTCTCGCTGCGAGACTGGGATTCTGAGAGAGTATGGACCCAACCAGTAACCGCCGACATACTCATTCACGGCCAATTTGAGCTCTTGAATCGTTTCATGCGATTGTGGCAGGAGTGTGAGGCTTTGGAACGAGCCAGAGTCTTGTCGCGGTGGAAGGGTTTTGGCATTGGTAGGTCTGATGATCCGGATCTCCACAGGATGGACTACACGAGTCAGCTCAATAGGCTCTGATGTAGTGCAATCGTGTGACTCACCCTGTGATGATTCCTGATCCTCGTTCGCCTCGTTCGCCTGACCATCTTGCTCGGCGGTAGCGACCTCGACCGAGCTGTCATTGGCCTGCTCGGTCTTGAGGTCCTGCTCAGACACCTCAGTCGGAACGACAGGCTCCGAAGCGTCGACCATGGTGATAGTCCAAATTTACGGATAGCCGATCGTCGATCTAATAATTATTCACAATGAAACTTCCGGCACAGCGGCGGTCATGCGCTGGAGGTTGCAGCGAGATGGAAGCCCGTCTGCTTTATGACTGTCCTCAGCGTATGTGTTTTGGCGCTCTTATTGACGATGCCGAAGCGTGTCACTTTGACTGGTTTACAGTTGATCCGTTGTTATTACTCGATGGAAATGATCAGTTCACAGACCAGCTTGACGTCCGTCAACGGGCATTTCGTTTGAATTTTTCGAATCATTGGGCATTATTTTTTTTTTCCTCTTCCCAATCCCTCGGACCGGTTCATCGGATGAATCAGGGATGGGAGAAGTCACGTGGCAAACACCGATCAGTTCCGATTCTTTTCTTGTGGCGAAGGAATAGTGGCACAATGCATGCAATCAACTCTCTAGTAGCAGCTCCGATAGGTCTCGCCTCAAGGTGTTAGATGACTCGACTCCCTCGTCTCTTTCCCACCACTCTCAGTCGATTCGAAGCTGACGCTCTTCACCCTCTTATGAGTTGCACCTGAGACTGTTAGTCCAGAGGCTGAACTTTCATGGATGTCAGCGGAAACCCGGTTAGACTCTTTAATGCCCCGTTTCGGCTTGCTCTGTTGAGCTGCAGAACCATGCGCCTCGTTGAATACCTCCTCGGCATGCAGTCGAATGGCATTGAGGGACGAAGCGTATCTATTGCAAGTCTCCCAAAAGTCTTGGTAGGGGTCGTAGAAAGTTGCTTTCGAGACTTCGTCTTCTTCGTCTTCCTCGTCCTCCTCGTCCTCGTATTCGGCTTCGTCATCGGATGGGATGTCTCCTTGCTCAGCATCTCTGAGTGCTTCCGCGAGTTCTCGACCGGTGGCTACGAGGTGAGTCAAAAGTGTCAACGTTTCGATGGGATCCTCCGGTGTAGATATCCCCTCGGCCGAGTTTCCGACCGGCTTTTCATCCGGGCTTGTGTAGCCTGTCGGGATCGCCTTCTTGACCGACGCAAGATATTCCAGGAAGTTATTGGAACCATACTGTCCTATCAGATCTTCTGTCCCTTCCAGCATACAAGCGCTGCGGACAGCTTCAGACAATCTCCGTACAATCTGGGATGGGATCGAGGGATTCTTATGGTGACGAAATGCAACAGAGTACAGCCACTTGAGCTGTGTGACATCACGGTCCACTTTGCGGATGAGTCCGTCCCATTTCGTCGATCAGTATCCAGGCCATCACATGGTAGGAGGAGGAGGGCGAGGACAGCTTACATCGTACATGAGGTTCGACGCCATTTCTGCCTCAACGGGTGTTTTCTCGATTCTAGCAGCTCTTTGGTCAGCCAGAAGCTGGGAAGGGTCTCGGCAGCCTGAGCTCGCTTGTCTGCGTTACGTGGATCGTCAACTCACGTTCCGAGTCCGCACATACTCTCCAAGGCAGCCGTCAAGTCTGGCACGCTTACCTCTAGTGCAGAATAGCCATCGGCAGACCTGCTATCATTCGAGTGTGGCGTGCTCATCTTCTCCTTGCACTGTACCTGGGACCACGTTGCCGATCGGTTTACAGTTACCCCAGGAAGCCGATGAGTAACCCGTCACAAGTACCTTTCTGGGTCGTGGTGTAAAAGGTCTTTCAACTAAGACAGAATCTTACACATGTTGCAGGCTTCTAGGTCAATGATCGGAGAAGCTCGGCGGGGAACATCAACCAAAAACACTCCTTTCAACTGAGGCAGAGTAACCAGTCTCGGTGTGGCAGTATTCAACGCCAACCCCTTACATGGTCGAAGGAGATCAGCCTGAAGAGAGTCAAGCGTAGCTGTAACCTAGACCACGTAGACCGTAACGGTGTGCGACCGTGACGTCCCCGTAAGAGGCAGCCTGTGGATATTCGAGCGACACATCTCTCAGCGTGTCAGCCCCATTCTTCTGCAGAGACTGCCAGAGCACGCCAGTCGAGACAATCATGCATGACTCTGATGAGCGAACCTCATCATTGTCCATTGACAGAGATCTCCTCTGCTTTAAAACGCGTCAAGGATCTGAGTGAAAGGACGGGATCCTTTCATGTTGATGATGATCTCCACCAGAGCGAGGATGACGAGACTCCCTGTCGGTTCCCACTCTGACCTCACTTCTCAGTCGCCAGCTTCACCTGCGAGTAGATCCTCTCGTTCAGTGAGGAGCTTGACAGAGTTCGCTGAAGCACCCAGTGCACCCAGTGTCAGCTCAATCTCCAGTTCAGCAAACGCCTCCAGTCATGTTCTTCGCCCCGTCCTTCGACTTACACTCGAATGGACTTCCTTCAAGCTCATTCACCATCCATGCACCTGTCCGGCCACCTAGCCTTCTTCGAGCACATCAGGATCACTCACAACCAGCCATAGCCTCTTCGAATGCTCGGCCAGCCACAGCCGTCGTCCCAATCCCTCATTTCGCAGCCATGGCCATCTTCAACTCTCGTACTGACCTCCAGCCAGCTCCACTGATCCCCGACGAGAGTCCAGTCCCATATCGATCGCGAGAATCGTCTTTGATTGCTGTCACTCCTCAGCATCAGCCAAGCAATGGGGCCAATCCCACTCCGATCTACATTCCGCAGACGACTGCCAGACCATCAACTCACCTCAGTTTACCTGACCACTCTCCCCCTGCTTACTTTACGAGCTCACCTCCCAAGTACGCTCCTATACCTGCGACAGAGGAGACTGCACTGCTCATCGGTCCAGGTCTTCGGAGCAGGTGTCCGCGTTGTGATGTCGAAGAAGGAGGCAGCACTGAATGTCGCTGCTCGGACGCCACAGCAGATTGGATCGTAAGGCTTCTGGTCGTTCTCAACCTCTTGATCTGGACTGCAGTGTTCTGGTCTTGCTATGCGTCTTGGCTTGACCCCAACAACCCCGGTTGGAGTTGTGGTGGGTATGGTATGGTCGGCGGTGGGTATGGATCCGTATACTCAGGATGCGTGACAGGATACGCGCCGGATATGTAGTGGTCCGAACGGTGCTTGATGCTAGAACGGCTACGGGTACGATGAACGCCCACCAGCGGTATCTCTTTGCCTTGCTCGCTCGTGAGATGTTGATACAGTATACATCGGACATGCTGTTGAACAAACTGAAAGAACCCTTGACCGAGCTCACGTTGCTGTAATGAATAGTGACAACAATCATATTTATCGGCCTAGACGAGACCGAGCGTTGCTTAAAGCCTCTTCGGCCTTTTTGGCCCTATGAAACAGTTAGCTTACGGGTCGAATACAGAAACGTCAACTCACCGCCATTCGCAACCTTCCTCGAACTCACACCACCCACACCGTCTGGTCTCATGAACAGAGACACCCTTAGGTTCTCTCTCCCCCATCCACCACTGTAGAGTCGAAGCGAGGTGTATCGCGAGCTGCCTGGGTGAATGGGTGAAGACGCTCTTGCCGATAATACTACCAGCTTTAGAAGTCCCCTGAGATGAACCTCTTCGATTGAATGATGACTGAGAGGTAGCCGTAGCCGCGCTGTCGACAGAAGCATGAACCGGCAATCGGCGTTTATCGATCACCGGTGAGGAGCTGGATGATGATGACGGTGACGAGCTGGGAGTGTTTTGGCTCTGGCTTGCGACAGACTGGGACCCTCGAAGAACGGTCTCTTTCGCATCATTCAGAATTGGCTCGTCCTGGTGGATCCCGAATGAGACTTCCGCGGCCCAAGCTAGACCCTCGTCGATCGTTTCGTCACCAATGTGATCTGCCTGGTCAACATCATCACCGAAAGAGGAGCTCGCCGACCTCATGTAAGTCGACATGTCGAGCTCTGCATTGGCCATGTAAGAGGTTTGATTGCCGTCTCGCAGACTTTCGTTCAGGGCCTCTTGTATGAGCATTTCCTCTAGCTGTTCAGCCTCAGACAACGTCGAGTTGTGCAGGGTCGATGCCTGATCCAAAGCCGCACCCTTGAGCGTTGCCGGCCTAGTCTCCAGCGCTCGCGTCGACGCCGACGCGTCCCCTTTGAGCTTCTTCGAACCTGCCCTCCTGTAGACCAGCTCGAGCCTATCATCCGTCTTGCCTCTGTTCTTCTCCTCGACCGACAGAACTTTCAGACGTGAGGCGTTACGAATGGGCGTTCCGAGACCAAGGATCGAGACATATTGCTCCCAGGATCGTACCATGTCTCGTAATGTCCTTGCCTTATCGACATTGAATCGCAATTCGTTGCCTACGACTATCGGGGCAGATTCGTGCAAGAAATGATCAGAGAATGGCTGATCAAGCTGAACGCCGAGATGGGAGAAGATCGTTGACCATGCAAATGGAACTTCTGTCGGTAATATAGCCGAATCAGAGACGACAATGGGCGGTGTTTCTATATCTTGCTCTGGGATAGGCTCTGCCAAGAGGATGGCGTCAAGTATCTCTTTGTATAGCATGAGTTGGAGTCTGCCGGCCAGCGTATCGGCCTCTCGTGGAATAGAATCTGATGCTCGGGTCTTGGAGTCCGAGATCAGGAGCCTGTGTGTTCGTTCCCGTACAAGAGGTCCCGTCGATGTCTTTGGCTTGGTAGGTGAGAAGAACGAAGTGAGCGAAGTTTGCGTCTTGTCGGGTTCTTTCTTAGCTTTCGAAGTCTTGGGAACGGGAATCGGCTCCCGGACGATCTCATCCTGCAGCACCTTGAGTGAATTCTTACTGGCCGAGGCACTCACAATGACGCCCATGACCAACGTACCGCCCACCAGACCGATCACCGGTAACTCTCGACACTTGCCAATCGTCAAGAGAGCCTCAATTGCGGCAAACATGTTGAGAAATCTGGACAAAGTAGGCTTAGAACCTGACGTCGACTTGTATAGGTCGACCATACCTCAGACCCCATACATCTTCCTTGGTCTCGGACCGAACGACAATCTCCTGCGGGTGGATTTCTTTCTCCAAACGCTTGTGTATTTTCTGCAGCTGCGTGAGCTTTGGCCAGCTCCTCAGAAACGGGTATCGCTAACCCACCTGTCCTCGTTTCAAGACTTTCTCTTTGCCCTCGACCTTGACCTTATCCACTGAGATCTGCTCGCCAGTACGAGTGGTGATGACAGTGGGTCGTTTGTGCGGTGGGAGATGTGGCAGAGTCCTCAGGCGGCTGCGGTGATCTGTCTCAGCTGGGGTCCAATGGTCCGCAGGATTGCCTCACTAATCGTACTGGGACACTGTCAGCTCTCTCTCTCTCTCTCTCTGCTATGCAAGGCTGTACCGCTCACCTGCATCTCACACCACACTAATCCGACAAGATCGCTGACACTCAATCTGCCTTTAGGACGGAATAGCTCAAATGGAGAAGATTGCAATGACCCCGTGACATCTTCAAGATCCACAATATCAGCCACGTCTATCTCTTCATCCCTCTCGACAGCAAGCGTCGGCGGGACAAGGAAAGGGTCGGAAAGTGTAGGAGGTGGTAGTTGTAAAACTTGCGATTCGGCTCGGTAGAGTACCCTCTCGAGCTCTTCATCCAGCTCAATGTCCGTCCCGTAATCATCCTCCGGAAGTTGAGCCAAGTCATCGTCCGGCCTGGCGCTCCGATCATTGTCAATGTCCATAATCAGACTTCCAACATTCAAGATATCATGATTTGTATGCGTGAGATATGACACACTGCTGACTCGCCTGACATTTGGGACCGGACCATCGGATCATCATCGGTATTCGGCGAGGTGAATTTTCAGCAGTCGTTCGAGGCTCGCTATAAATCCACTCGTCCTGGAATAGCACGCTGAAGGCTACAGAAATGATGTTCTGGAACTTCAGGGAGAGCCAGACAGAGCTGCAGATGTTAAGTAAGGCCCTTTGAGGGCAATGCAGAGGTATGCAACGCTGATGTTGTCTCAGCCGACGTCTGTGAGAAGCCTGAAGGGAAAGCCGGACAGCCACCAGTGGTGGCAAGCTCGCAGTCCTCTAACAACTTGAAGACCACCTGCAAAATGACACATCTCGCGACTTCAGTCTATACCAATCTGCATCTCGTGAATCATTGCAACGTGTAATCAAACTATCCAACGCCGGTCAAAGCGACAGGATATGGTCCAAAGAAAGGGCAGAAAACATGAAATGCAGACTGATGTCGTGAGAATGCGAGAGAAGGAGTGTAAATGAGAAGAAAGGGGGGGAAATCTAGCGAAGGAAGAGTCGAGCCATTAAAACGTCATTGAGACATTATCTAGCGCTTAACCGGATCCACCCTGAACCGACGTGTAAGCATTTCATCACGAATCTTGCGACGAATCAACTCACAGAGTAAACCTTTCCGAACATGAGTTCCTGGAGTTTGTCGTAGAGGGACAAGACACCGGCACCGGCAACACCACGGAGAATGTTGGCACCAGCACCCTTGAAGAGCGACCTAACACCCTCCTTGGCAATGATCTGAGAACCGGCGTCGAACATGGACTTGTAGTGGACGGCACCTCCGGAAGTCATCATCATACGACGACGGATGGTGTCAAGAGGGTAAGAGCAGAGACCAGCGGAAGTAGTGACGGTCCATCCGAGCAAGAAGGAAGCAAGGAAGTTGCCCTCAAGAGGTCCGACCAAAAGAACAGGCTTAATAGAGTCGTCTGGGATGGGGTGTCAGTGCCAGTCTCGGAATCAAGCGCCAATCTCGAATGACGACCTCGAAATCAAAAGGTTCAAGACTCACAGAGACCAAAGTAGAGACCACGGTAGACAATGATACCAACAACGGAGGGAACGAATCCTCGGTAGAGACCGGCAATACCGTCGGAAGCGAGGGTCTTTCGGTAGACGTCGACCAAACCGTTGAATTGTCGGGAACCTCCAGACTTGGCAGACTTGTTGTCGTTGGCGAGACGGGTTCGGGCGTAGTCGAGAGAGTAGACGAAGAGAAGGGAAGAAGCTCCAGCGGCACCACCCTTAAAAAAGGTCAATTATTGAAATTTTTTTTCGCTCGGACCATGCCGGAAGACGACTTACAGATGCAATGTTACCAGCGAACCATTTCCAGTATCCCTCAGACTTCTTGAATCCGAAGAGGGACTTGAAGTAGTCCTTGAAGGCAAAGTTCAAGGCCTGGGTAGGGAAGTATCGGATGACGTTGGCGGTGTTACCTCTCCAGAGGGAGACGAGACCTTCCTCTCGGTAGGTTCGGCCAAAGCAGTCAACAATACCCTTGTAAGGGGTAGAGAGACGTCCTTGCTTGATCCTGATGCAAGTCAACAACGTTGTTCTTCAGACTTGGACCCACATTTCGTCCTGGTTCTGGACCAAGAGCTTAATTCGCTCAATGGGGGCAGCAGCGGTCTTCGCAACGGCGGCGGAGACACCTCCCATGAGGAAATCGGTCATGAATGCCTTGACATCCTTGGGCTTCTTGACAACGTCGGCCATTTTGGTTCGTTACTATGGGGGAACTAAGAGTCAGTACGACGTGAGAAACGAGTTGACAGGTCAAAGGTGGCTGAATGCTACGCGAGAAGAAAGGCTCGAGAGCACAATCTTCTTCGTTCACACCTGTCACCGCTTAGGGCGACGCACACACCACAGCTCCCTAGACTCACCTCGAGACTCTAGCTCGTTGTTTTTTTTTGGGAGAATGAGTGGTGACTTTAGACAAGAGAACTGTCTGAAAGATGAAGAAGAAAGAAGAAAAGAAAAAAACGAGGGGAGGGGGATGCTGGAATTATGATGATGGGGAAAGCTCCATCTTTCTTTTTTTTTTTCCAAAAAGACAGCGGAAAGTTCCGAAAACGCCGGTACAATGGGGCAATGTCGGCGTTTCATTTGTGGCACTTTGGGGCAGTCAGGATGCATGTGTCGAGTAACTATCTGCGAGGTACGAGTATACACATATCCCTTGATCAAGTCATTTTGGCCTGGCAGGAATGGTCAGGCTTATGTAGCCCCCTGCGATATGTGTGCTCACTCACGTTGCTGAAATCCATCTCAGGATGCTGCTTCTTGAACTTTTCCAGCATTTCGAGCTTCTTGAGCTCATCACTCGTCGGCTTGCCCATCGCCTGCGGAGACAGTCAGTACGATGTTCATGTAACGCCCTAGAAAGGGATCCGGGATGACCCGCCTTTTGCTGATTGTCAAACTGAGGAAAATACGGTTGTCAGTACTTTGGTGGTCATGGGACGACCTCACCATCATCTTCTCCACCATGCCTCGTGTCTCTCCGTCCAAGTCTGAAAGCTTCGAGTTCTCCGGTTGAATCTTGGTCGTGTCGATCTTCGGATGATGAGTCAGGACATGAGGCCACCATTGATGAGATTGTATATGAGCACTGAAGAGAGAGAGAGGGCTTCAGTCATGTTCAGGAACGATAGAAACATACGATAGCTTCTCCAATTCAATGGACATGACGCTATCATCTGAGTAGGCCGTTGGCGTCAAATCAAGAACTGACATGTCGATCCCGCTCTCACCTATCGTCCAGGACGAATCGTCTTTCGAGATTTGATTGAAGAGTTCTCCTTCCAATATCGGCTCAGGTGAGCCTTTCACTTGGACCTAACACTCGTTCATTCAAAGAACAGAGCCCTGCACAGTGCCTGTACATACCTTGAGCTTCTTCTTCTCCAATACTACGTTGCAGTCTTTCCCTCGCGTCCCTTTAGGTAGTGGTACAGTCACAGTGACAGTGTTCAGATCTTGAGTCCAAGCATACGGCAATGCTAGATATTCCATCTCGTCAACATCTGATGCTGCACAAACTCGCCAGATATCAAACATACTCGCTTGCTCCTGCCTCTCTCGTTCTCGCTCTTTTGCATCAAACGCTGTTCTTTCCTCCTTACTCATATCCTCATACTTCTTCGATGGCCCTGCTGAGTCTGACATGGTCAAGAGCTCGCTGTGCTGGCCCGGTGCATACAGTACGTCAAACCAAAGCATCTCAATATTCAAGTGGACCAACCTCCACTTTTCCGAAACACGGAATCAAAAAAAATCCTGGCCCTTCAAGAGAGGGAGATGAAAGGGGGAGCGAACGGGATGGTGACGATGGAGACAGGATAGGCATCGTCGACGACTGTCACTTACACCACCATTCGACTCGAGCAGAGGTCACGCTCGACTGTGTTGTCTGTTCACCGCGGTACTTTCTTTGCCGCCAAGTTCCTCTTGTAACGTAGCAACACGGTTCAACACGAGTCTGTCGCCTCTTCCCGGGTCTCTCTGGCCACTACGAAAACGTTGAAATCTCGTCATCTAACCTCTACACCAATGACAGCATTATAGTCATGCCTGGACCAGTGAAAGACTGGTCAGACTTCGAGGTGGGCGTGATGGCATGCTTTAGCAGATACCATTCTCCTGTCTGAGGCCGTTGCTCACTCATCTACAGTATTTCGTCAGGGATTATATACCCCGTCAGACGATCCCGATACTGAAGAGATTCTCCGAGATATTGGAGAGCTATACTGGCTCCGATCTGGGTATAAGGAGCACAGATAAGAAGGCTCAAATAGTCACCAAGTGGGCAAACACTATCCATCGCTCCCGCGATCAAGTGCCAGAACTAATAGTATCCAACCCTTCTTTAGGGTCGAGTATGGTTTTCGCGATCTGAAGGGAAGCAATCGATTCGATACTTATCGAAACGTTCGAGCGAACTGCGAGTCCATCGGTTTACCCGCAAGGGTGAGCTTTACGCCATCCTCCGTCCCGACATTCGGCGGCGTCCCGCAGCCAACTCTATCAAGCAGCAGCTCCTTCACGGGCCACAGTGCAGGTCAGTGGCTAAGGACACCAGCGGCACGTCGAGCTGACACGACATAGCTGGACTGCCTTCAGCACCACCCTTCCGTCCAGCAGGAACTTATGCACCTCCTCCTGGCCCTCGACCTGCTAATGGATCAGGATGGGCTCCCGCATCGAGCGTGACGAATGCTTATCAACAGCGTGAGATGGGATCGTGAATGCCACTCGCCGCTCCATTGACGCTATCCTTCAGATGGCACGGGTCCTCAGCATGCCCTCATGGACTGGAAGAAGAATCCTATGTGGAAGCCTGTGAAGGCTGTCTCGGGCATGGAGCTGCTACCCGGTGGGTTAAACAATAATCGATCTTGACTGAACAGGGCCCCCTTTCAGACATCGACGCGAATCAGAAGAATCACTTCCGAAAAGACAGGCGTGTAGCCTTGCACCTGCCGCCAGATGTTGTGGACAAGCTCAAGTCCTCAAAGTGTGTTGATTCGACCCAGGAGAGTTCATAATGGACGACTGACACTCCCGCAGAGATTCCAAATCACCGCCGCACTACTCCCTTCGCCTCTTCTGCACCTCCTCCGATCACTACCGACCTCCTTCAGCACCGTATAGCGCTTCCACAGCACACATTCGCAACGTGTCAATACCCATTGAATATCCATCCAACCCAGATATATCGGTGGATTATCAAAATCTTCCGTTCAAACAACGAGGTCTGCGTGGCAAACCCGGTAGTGCTCCCCCGTTCGATCTTGGCTCGGCTCCGAGTGGACTGTCATTGAATTCGAACAGGATGACGACGATAGTCTTTGGGCACACAGGCCCAACGAGCAAGAAGTCAGACTGGAAGGTGAGCCCCGATGGACTTGCCCGACTTGGTTCGTGCAAACGCTTATGGTGTTCTCAGCGGTTCTGGTTTCAGATCGTTCTGGCTGAGGTCCATACGAAAGATGAGCTCCTCAGTCAATTAGTCAGCTTAAACCCGACGAGTGCCGAAGCCTCCATAGCAGAGGGTAAGCCGGTCATACCAAAGACCAATCCCGGGTGCTAAAGCTACACTTAGCTAAGAAACGCTTGGAGGATGACGAGATCGAGCTGGGAGTTTCAAAGATGACTTTGAAGGATCCGGTGAGAGAAATTGGTCCCAGACTGTTGGCTGACTCGCAGCTCTCATACATGCGCATTACACGCCCGATAAGATCTTCCAAATGCTCCCATATTCAATGTTTCGACGCTACGTGGTGGATCGAGAGCAATTTCACTCATCCTATGTGGCAATGTCCGTTGTGTAACAAGGAGCTCCAGTTCGAGGATCTCATCGTGGATGGGTAAGTTTCACGTGTGGCCTTGCTTCTGACCCGCGCGCGCAGCTACTTTTTCAACATTCTCAATTCTGTTCCAGAGTCCGTCGAAGACGTCGTCGTCGAGCCGAATTTCGAATGGCACACCGAGGACAACAAATTTGGGTCGATCAATTGGTTGACGACCAAGGCAGCCGTCAACGATGTCGCAGCTACAACACAAGCTGACGTACAAGCCGACACTCGCATGTCCGAAGACACCAAACCAAATCTACCCTCCCCTGAGAAATCGCCTGAACCTGACCGGAAAGGCAAGCGGAAAGCTATCGAAATACTCTCTTCCGATGATGACGAAGACGACGTGCCATTACGCCGCACAACGTTCGCAAATGGCAACTCTTTATACTCCACCTCCATCTCTCCTCCTCTTTCTCCCCTATATGACGTATCGCGTCAGAGCTCGACACTTGCCGTTCCACCTTACCCCATTCCTCCTCCCGCAGCCGCTCAGCGCCCTATCATCCCCTCTCGACCGTTAGCACCGTCACGCACGCCCTCAGCGGCAGCTCGAGCGGATAAGTCCGTCATTGATTTGACGGCTGACTCGTCTGACGAGGAGGGCGACCCGTCGCCTCCGTTCCTCGCTGCTCCACCCATGCAGAAAAACACCACCGCCTCCTCCTCTTCCTCTTCGACTCATACGATATCGCATTTTCACCTGCCGGGCGCCGGAATAACCCACCACGCCGCTTCCGCATCGAATCGCCTGTCTCCTCTGCTGAGCACTCACCCTTCGACTCACCTGACGACTACTAGGCCAATCTCTCCAGCATTCACAGATGCTCCGAGTTTGGTACATCGTCCCAGTTTTGCCGGAAGTGAGAATTCAAGAGGTGGAGACGGGACCGGTGTCCGGCAGATCCAGAATGAGACTGGGATCGGGTCAAGAGCGGTAGTGAGAGGTCATAGTGCAAGTCATACGAGCGCAGCGGGCTTGGAACGAAGAGGTAGATTCGATACGCCGCCTTTGGGATCGGGGTCGGGATCTTCGAATGGGTTTGGCAATTATACTGGGCATGCTAGCTTTCCAACACGTCAACCTTTAGCCAACCCACCTTACTCGACTCCGCATACAACGAGCGCACTGCCAAACGTGTCTCGACCGCTATCCGTTCAACCGATCGCCTCGCCACTCTCTAGATCAGCTTCTGTGGCTCTCCCTGTCCGAGCAGAGGATCCTAGAAGACGGCCCGCTGCGACTTTGTCGCCAAATATCTCAAGCGCTTCTGTCGCGGCTGGACCCACGTTCGAGAGGCGAGCGAGTGAGACTGCCGATCGAGACATACGCTCTTCCTCAATCGTCACGTCCGGTCCTTCCGCCCCTGCGCCTGCCCCTGCCCCTGCCCCTATATCTGCCCCTGCCCCTATCCCTGCCTCGGCACCTTCCACCAGCCCCATCTCGAGGACATTGTCTGTCCAACCGCGCGAATCTAGACATCTTGCAGATTATCAGATGGGCGGCAATCCTTGGGGAACGGCGTTGACAGGTGGCGGACACTGGAGTCCTGGTCAATCCCCGTCCGAGGCATTGGAAACACCTCCCACTTGGGCCAATGCGACTCGACAAGACTCTTATCGACCAAGTTCTGCTCCACGTCCTCCTTCCAGCTCGAGCTCTGCCGATATCGGTCGATACGAGGAGCATGTTCATGAAGCACCTAGATCTCGATATGATTCTGTAGATGCGTATACAATGTTCAAGAAACGACCCAGTGCAAGCGATTGGATGGAGGACGAGTACTACAGGTAGTTGGCGGCGCGGCGCGTCACCCCCAATGACTTCGTGTGGCAAGGACAAGGGAAAACAATTCAACGTCTTGCGATGATCATATCGTCGAGTGGTTGTTTCCCCCTTGGTCCCGAACGAGCATCCTTTGATGTCTCACATGATTATTTGGATGCATGCATGCATCATTCGGTTGTATGATGAGGGTGCGTGCGTGTAGGAAGATGTCCACATGATGATCCTTGCTTCTTGCTCAACACGCGGGCGAAGCTAAGCAAAGGTCCATCAGTACCAGTACGCCTCCACCCGGTCGATGTCTATCTCTGTGCGCAGAAGAGTCCCCAACTCACACAAGGGGATCTTGACTGTCGTTGCGAGACCAGCCAACGAAGTCTCTTTGTAGTGTACGTGCATATCTTGTGCTGTGGTTCGACAAGCTTCGATCGCATCGTCGAGACTTGAGGAGATATAAGCCATCAGCTTGTCAGGCTTTGAGAAAAGAAGCACGGCGAGGGACTGGCTCACGATACAGTATGTTGACCGCCTCCTGCCATTGCTAATTGAGCAGCTGTGACGGCCTTGACGGCTGAAAATGGTGATGTAAGCTCATTCGCTCGCTCGCTCGCTCAAGAGATGGAAACGGAGGATGTGGCTCACCGCCTAACGAATTACGCTCTATACAGGGTATCTGGACCAACCCGCCTAATGGATCACACGTCAAGCCGAGACTGAGGAGGAGATGAGTGAATGGTCGCAATAAGTGACTTTGGCTCTGGGGTTTTCCGCCCTTGACTCACTTATGTCTGATCGGAAGGGGAGACATTCGGCATGAGCTCCCTGTGTCCACGCTGGATACCGGCCGATTCCCGCCTCGACTCACTCGATACCAATTTCAGCCGCTTGCAGTACCACTTCAGGCTCAGCTCCGAGGCAAGCGGCGATCCCTGACGCCTATGCGATACGTTAGACCAGCGAGCTCGGTAGTTCTGGGGTGATGACACCACTCACAGCCATGGAACACGCTACGCCTACTTCTGCCATGCAACCTCCTTCAGCGGCTGAGATTGTGGCTCCTCGCTTGAATAACATGCCAATGGCTGAGAGCGTTGCGCGTCAGAGCAGGAACTCGCCTTGTCGGGAAAGCTCACCTGATGCAGTGAGGAGAAACGTCATTGTGCTAATGACCGAGTCAGCATCAGTCATTCGTTTCCCTCCCCTTAGGGACTCCACTCACTCTCGTTCGGGATCCTGTGAAATAAACTCTGTGACATACTTCAACGTTGCTGGGATGACACCTGCTGCTCCGTTGGTCCTAGGCAAAAACCCTTTCAGCCACAGGCGCCGGCAGGCGCTGAGCTAACTCACGGTGCGGTTACGACCCGGCCGCCGGCAGCATTGACTTCGTTGACCTGAAAAGGCCGAAGGTCTGAGTAATGGAACGCTGGAAAGTCTGTCTCAGGACTCACCGCAATTGCCATACAGCTGAGATACTCGATACCAGGGAACACTGGTGTCGTTCGTTTCGGGACAAGGGCAACAGCATGATCCCTTCGGCCAATTCGTCCGTTTCGCTTGAAAGGGGATAATGCTGTAGAACCGTCTGTTGATTTCTTGACTCCAGCATTGGATTCATGCCTCTCGTTGGACGACGGCCGACGGATAGGAGGTTCCATATCAGGTGAACTGTAGAACCCTTTCTGTAATCTTTTGTACAGACCCGGCGCTCTGCGTCGGACATTGAGACCTCCAGGGAGATGTTCTTCGGTCGACGTTACTCCATTCCGGATGCATTCATCCATGACGTCCCAGACTGCAGCGGAAAGGCATGATCAGTATGAAATGCTGTCACTCGTTGTCTCGTCGTCTCGGTGGCATCGGCTCACGCTTCATCGTATTCTCCCTGATTTCTGATTCGGTTCTGAACGCCCTTTCGTTCTCCCATACCACCTGAGCTATGGTCATATTCTGTTCTCGACAGATCTCGAGCAGTTGAGCGGCAGTAGCGAAGAGATACGGCGGTTGACCGGGGACAATTGGAACAGCGGGATCGACCTCTTGTGGTGAAGCTGGGGTGTCAGTGGCATTAGGAGACGCTAGGAGAAGTGGCAGCGGTGCTGGTGGTGGACTTGTAGGTGACGGGGCGGCCTGGCCATGCGTTTGATCTCTTCTCGAAGGCTCGGCATTGCTGGGATGAATGTCCATGTAGTATAAATTCTCAGCAGTCTGGGTTTCCTTGTTGACCTATGCCAAAGGAGATCCCAGCGGCTCAGCAGAGAGCCGACGGGACAGAAGATGAGATGACTCACGACGAAACCACCTCCAACGGAGAAGTACTCGTTTGTCGCCAACATATCGCCAGATTCATTGAATACTGTGAATCTGAGACCATTTGGATGGGCAGGTAACGGTTGAAGATGCCACGTCTGAAGTCATCCCCTCATCAGCCTTGAGAGCTTTAACGATCGTGTCGACTGACCAAATCCTTCTCTATACTAAACTTGACACGCTTCGTTTGACCTTGTACTAGACCCAAATCGACTTCACCGACAGCCCTGACTTCGTCGAGGACTTTACCGAGCCGTGTCGTATCGACACTTTCTGGATCTTCGCCCATGAGTCCAAGGAGAACAGCATGAGGTGTCATATGGCCCATGCCTGTCGCTGCGAGAGATCCGTGCAATGAGCATTTCAGCGAGTGAATGTGAGGTATGAGGTGGGCGGGGAGTGAGTGTGTAAAGATCTTTGCGGCGCTAGAGAAACGGAAAGGATCATCAGCTCATGTCGACGAGATACAGGTGATGCTAGATGTGGACACAGACGTCACATGGTGCCTCTCTTCCTCTTGTGTTGATGATTCCGCTCACTCACCGCATAGGTCCAACGGTATGACTCGAGCTGGGTCCTATACCTATCGAGAAGAGATCAAAGGTGCTAATGACGGCGTGCAGAGGGAGAGGCGTAGCGGGCGGAGGTGGCGGAGGGGGCGGAGGGAGACCGAGAGGAATCAGAGTCGAGCTGGTGGTGCTGCTGCTTTGGTACCGAACAAATCGGTTCGAACCCTGTCCCTGGGCGGCATGCAGACGCTGAATGGTCTGCCACCTGGCAGCTTCAGAGAGTCTCGGTCGCGAGCCCGTAGTTTGACATTGGAGCGAGCTCCTGCTTATGGACCTTGCCAATCGATGAACCATCTTGTCTGATCCGGGAGCTTGTTCGTGTCCCTACGGCAGAGAATGGGTCATGCCAACGCGAGTACCAGAGATCAAGATAGGTCCAAGATCTCCACACAGGGCTAGCGATCCAAAGGGATGTTGAAAGATACCGATAGAGATAAGCAGTGGCTTTTCAAGCGAGATCAGCTGTATATCGAGGAGGCAGGTCCAACATGACCTGACTGAGATGCTCAAACTGCTGTTGGCCAACGTCTGTCCGTTGAAAATTCCAATCCTGTTCGAAAACAAACGTCAGTCTTGGAAATTACCATCCCGACTCTTCGGGGTCTCCGCCTTTTTTCCCGCCGGTGGGCCGCCGCCTACGGCCGGAACAACGACAGTAGGCAGCGGGGATGAAATGTATACATACAGTGGCATCGTTCGCTGCTTGTATCCCGGTCGTGGACCACAGCTCATGGATGATATGCTACAGTGTCGCCAGACTCATCTCTCTGCAATGATGTCTAATTATATCGCCTCGCTTCCATTCCTTCAGGCGGACGGATCGGTGTCGTTTCTGAGAAACGAGCAGTCAGTGATGAAAAGGGTTGTGACTGGACTCCTCCTGCTCACCCTTCCCAATCTGGTTCCAATTCGTACTCAGGGCCGTGCCTCCACTCTCTGTATAACTCTTGATCATCGCTCGTTTGGTGTCATCATCGGCGTCGCCGTAAATCTTGGCAAAGAATTCTTTGAGCGCAGCGTCACCGCCTTCATTCTGGAACGCGTCTCGTGTGTCAGCAGCGAAGAGGGAGGTTCAGATACACTGGACGGCAGATGCGTCTCACACAGCGCGTTGCCCTTGTTCCGACTTACGGGATCTTTCGCTCCTTCATCATCCTCTTCCACGACTTTATCCCAGTTCTTCCTCGCCTTGACATTCGGTACTGGTGCTGAGGTCGTGGCTGGCATTACATCCGGCTTGACTGGACGTGTCTCGGCGCTCGAACCTGTCGCTTCTCCGTTCAGGCCTGGGGTCTGGACCTGATTTGCCGACAAAGGATTGAGAGGTGTGGAATCTGGAGAATAGAGTAGGGAGATCCAATTTTCAGGGACGACTTTGGCGAGTTTGAGCTCAATCTGGAGGTCCGACGTGATTCGATCAGTCAAAAGAAGCAACACTCCGGGTGTATTGAATGTGGGCGGTGACGCACCTTGGAGGATAGGACCCTACTGGTCGATTGATCAGGGAGGATACTGGCTGACAATGGCTTCAATGTTATGCGTTGTTGTTGCTGATCCGTGTTGGCACCTCCTAGAGCCGGTAAATCAATGATGATCTACACGAGATCAGATCAGCACAACATCCCTTTCCAACTTCACCTCTCTTTCCCTGAACACCACATCCACCTTGTCTGACACATCTGCCGCTCCATACCCTTTGACGTAAAGCGATAAAATGAGCTGGAGTGGAGTTTGATAAAAGTCGTATCTGGAGCGCACGTTGCCATTGTTCAGTACATGGATGGCCATAGCACACCGTCCATGATCCCCTCCCCCCCCCCCCCCCCTTTGCTCACCTCGGTACAGGTACCTCTACTGGCTCCATTGTGGGATGTCAAGGTTGAAATAATGTCATCCATATGATGACGGAATGAGACTAGCTCCTGTGACTTTCTTATTTCGACTTGACTTGGCAAAAGATCTGCCCAGGCCATAATTGCTCAATAACAGCCGCCGACAGTCGGAATGCCGAGTGTGGCACATTTGCATCAGGACTCTACCAATGTTCCTCCTCTCTAAACGGTCCACGGGCTGGCTATCAGAGCCGAGCGCGGAGGGGGGGCACATGACTGGCTCTCGATCTGCACCATATTCGATATTCATCGCTTGCATGGACCTATGGCACTGCCTTCCAATGAACTCAAAGGCTATTATTCATCGCCGACAGGGATGGCTTGTACCGATACATGTTCACACGATCTCAGTTGGATCATTTGCATCATCGCTTGTTCTTTATCCTCAGCGTTGATATGATATATATACATCTGTGAAATGTATATGTGGGGTCGTCCGACCTCTATATAGAATGAATCCGAGGTTGAACCTTTATTTGGCTGTTGCAGTGACCTCATTTTTCATCTACCCTTGTGGCAGGAAGTGGCAGCGAGGCAGCGAGGCACACCGGATGCATCAAGGGAGGGCCGGAGGGCGGAGACCCGAGGCACGGACACACACACAGAGCACCCTGAAAAAATTAAACTATTTCTCTCTTTTCTCCCTCTCTCCCCCTTGGTTTGTTTACATCCACTCTGCTCCCGTCTTGACCACTATTTGCTGTTTTGGAACCTTTTAGGGCTGGCTGGCTGGGGCCAGGGGGGTTATATTAGATATTAACGAGGTCGGAAGAGGACTGGGTGACCCAGAGGAGAGAGAGAGAGAGAGAGGTGGTCAGGCGGAAGGGGAAGGAGGAGTTGCAGGAAGAAGAAGAAGATGAAAGGAGGGCGAAACGGTTTAAAGTAGCAGCAGCATATCGATGTGACCCCCCAACTTTCATCTTTCTCTACACATCCTGTTCACTTGTTACCATTTGTCGTGCGTCACGACACTCGATCACTACCAACCAGGGTAGCAGCCTTGCGACAGAGTGAGGCGTCAATTTAGGAGGAAGTGTCTTTTGTTTTGATCCGTTTATTTTTCCTTTATTTTCGCGCTTCTGACGGGCGGGTGGGATTTTTTGTTTAGGCGACTACAACCTCTCGTTCGATTGGAAGCTCATCAGGACGCCCCTCGGAGACAACTTTCCTGCGAGGTAGATCATCTCAACCCCCTTATTATTCACGCCACTTCACACTACGAGGAAGGGGGAAGGCGCACCTTTCGCTGTCTGTTGCCGATACTAACACGTTGTGCCACGAAAGGATACCGTGCACACCGTTGCTCTGTCCCAATCATCTCCTCCTCCTTTTCGCTCCTTTGTCTCACTCAAGTCAAGTCAACAGGAGACAGAGGGGTGTCCAGTCAATCACATTTCGCTGTCTTCGTTGGCTTTCATCCCAACTGGTCTCATATATACATTGTCACTCGTTACAACAGTCTCACGCTCATTGAAAACAACCACAACAACAAAAACAACAAGTCGATATCCCATCCCGCTTGGATCGCTGCAGCAATCCACCCTCCAAGACATCATCGACTCACGACCACGTTCGCTTTGCATTGGACATCACTGTGACGCTGCATCTCGTCCGGGAAGTCTCTCAACCTCCTCCTACCGCTTAGCTTTGGCCAAGAACTCGGATTGCTTGGCGCCTTTGTGTCGTCCGTCCGTTTCACTCTTGGTGTCCCCCCTGGTCGTCCCTCTCACCTTCGAACCCACCAACTCCCCCTCTCGATTTATCCATCCACTCCATCCACCATGTTTAGCATGACGGAGTCACCTGCTGGGCCCTCATCCCGTCCAATCCATTCGACCATCTCGCGTAGACGTCAACATGCTCGACGATCCCGACGCAACACACTCCTCTCCACTGCCGTCACGGCCCTCTCCCTCCTTCCTTCTGTCGCCGCTCAAGCTTCTATCACCGTCTATAATACCGTTGGGACCGTCACCCAAGCGACCCTAGCTCCTTCCGCAACTTATACGGGATTACCAGCGTACGATCCTACCATGTTGACCCCTCCCGATGCGCCACAACCTCCAGTCGACGCGGTCTCTGTCAACGTTCCCGGAACTGCAGATGCTGTCCAAGCGGCAGGGATGCTCCTGTCAAAAGAGCAGATGGGCAACTTTGTCGGGTTCTCAATCGAATTATCTGTCGCTCCAAGTCTGTTTGGCTCCTATTCTGGTATCCTGAAACCGGAATTCTTAAATTACATGGCCAACATTCAAGTCAGAGCGGGCATGGGTCCGATCATTCGAGTCGGTGGTAACACCCAAGACAGCTCAACATTGTACACCCAAGGATTCGATAACGGTCAAGATATCCAAAAGACTCAATCCACTGATCAGTATGGCAATGCCGTGAGTTTCAAGTGGCACCGGGCACCGGGCACCGCTGACGCCTCTTTCAGGTCACCACGCCCATCGTCAACTACTCTCCAGAACTCTTGTACATCATGGCCAATATCTCGTCTCACGTCGATGCCAGATGGTACTTTGGTCTCGCATTCAACGAATCAGACGTCTCGCCACCGATCGAGAACATTGCCACTGCGGCGCAATACATCTCAAATATCCTGAGCGATAAGCTCCTGGGATTGGTCGTCGGCAATGAACCGGATCTGTGAGTCGTTGTCTATGACCCCCGTTCAGGCAAACATGCTCATCCGATATCTAGATATGTGGACCACAACCACCGCGAGGCGGGATACAACGTCACGGACTACATGACTGAATTCGATGCCGTGACCGATCTGGTGCTCCAGACTGACTCGTTGACCCTTCAAGCTCCATTCGTCGGACCGTCCGTCTGTTGCCAGGTCCCAGGTTTCGAACTGCAAGACATATTGAACGCGGGATATCTTGATGCTCAAAATTCGGCTCGAATCGGACAAGTCACTGTCCAGCACTACCCCGAGAACAATTGTCAGATCGATGGAAATGTCGAGGATCCACAGACACTCTTCCCGACGTATCTGAACCACACGTCGCCCCAAGCTCTAGTCCAGCTGTATGCCGCAGATGTCGCGGCTGTCAGATCAGCAGGAAAGGAAATCGTCATGCTTGAGACCAACACGGCCAGTTGTGGTGGTTTCCCGGGTCTATCCGATAGTTTCGGTGCAGCCATATGGTAAGGTGGCGGACGTACGTGTGGAGACTGACTTGCTGTTAGGATGACCGACTACGCCCTGCAGATGGCTTATGGCAACTTTTCCGCGGCTCTACTGCATTCCGGTGGTCAAGGGACATACTATAACGTGAGCCAATCTGCCTCTCGGCGGGCGCTTGAACTGACTCCCATTCAGCCCTTCACCCCACCCTCGGGAACGCTTCCGGACTACTACAAATGGACTACTGGATCGGTATATTACTCTGCCCTCGTTGTCGCCGAAGCATTCGGTCAATCCAATGTCTCTCAGATCGTCGACCTCAACATGAACAATGGCAGTATCTATCATCCCGGATACGCCATCTACGAGAACGGAGCTCCCTCTCGACTCGTCCTCATCAATTACGTTTCCGATCCGACAGGCGCATCGACCTACCAAGCGACCGTGACACTTGGCGACGGAGTGGCATTGCCTTCATCCGTTGCCGTCAGATACTTGCAAGCACCCAGTGTCGCAGATCATGACAACATTACTTGGGCCGGTCAAACGCTAGGATCATCATTCAACAGTGATGGCCGATTGATGGGGAATCAAACGACCGTCACTATAGACTGTGAAAATGGAGCTTGTGTCGTACCGGTGTACGCCCCTTCCATCGCTTTGGTATTTTTAAACGGTGACGCATTGACAAATTCGAACCCTGTCGAAGGTGCCACTCAGACTTACGCGACGACCGTCATTGGGTTCGGATCAGCAACCATTAACCCGGAGGTATTAGAGACTTCTAATGGTCAAAACGGAGGACAACTAGGGAGTAACAGTAAAGGAAGTGCAGGCGCTGCGGATCGACGTGCAGTGATCTCGAGTGGGTTCCTCGTGGCCTTTACACTGGCTTCGGCGGTCTTTGCCTCCCTATCATGAGGACATGTACTCTCTTCGTCAACAATCGCCTCGTCTGAACGTCTGGACATCTCGCCCGGTTTGAATTCTCGTAATCTCGCTTCAACTGTATCCTATCGAAATCTCATCCGTCGTACAGTACATGCGACACTCATCAGGACATTTCTTTCTTGTGGATTAAAAGAAAACCCCCCTTGCCTCATCTGCTCGAATAGCCATCTGGAGATCATCACACACGCATACCTTTTACCCTCGCTGCAATGTCTCTTTCACTTGTAATCATAATAATTGTCAGTCATCTGCGAGTGAAAATGCATCCATATATTAGTATGAGCATCCGAACGTGATAGCGAGGCAAGGACTGTCTCAAAATTCATGGGAGCAGGCTCGCCCGCGCCCCACGGGAGTATGACGGCTGCGATTCGCAGATCTCGAGACAGCGGTCAGGGAGCGTCTTCTGACGATATTCTTTCAACATGCACTTCGCCTGACGAGCTGTGATGAGGGATAAGGCTCCGGCACCACCGATTCGTCCGCTTTGGGGCGTGGCGTCAAAGTTAAGGCTGATGTTGATTTCTGCGGAGATTGCGTATCGGAGACTGCAAGCATCAACAACGACTCTACTCGATCCTCTTATACGACAGGCAACTTAAAAGAGGCCTTTAAGGCCGCTACTGCGCTTCGAAGGAAAGTCAACGGCAGGAACAGAAGTACAGTAGCCTGCGACGATTAGAGTCGAGACGATGCAGAGCCGTCGACCTCAATATCGAGGGATAAGCAGAGCGTGTACACTCTCTCCGATGGTCATCTCGCATAGATCTGGCCCGCTTTTCCAACGTTATACATCTTTCCATTCCAAGATTCGATTTTGATCAATGCTGTGAAGGTACATCGGCCTCATCTGAACCTGGGTCAAAGTATCTCCACTGATGAGGAGGTGCTTCTTCTTCCAGCTTTTCCCATCTGCGAAGGGGGGTTTTCATGAGTTCGTTCATTTCGTTTCAAGTCTCTCCACACTCACGGTTTCCATTCCAACATCTTCGCAGCCAGCTTCAGTTCATCTTTTGCGACTTGGATGGATTGTTCTGCCATTTCCCCCAATTCCTTTTCGACAGCCTTGACGTCTCCATTGGCTTTATCAATGATGGACATCTTATGCTTCGTGGTCGCTTCCGTCGCTTGTCGATAGACACTGGTGTTTGGTAATGAGGCGAGGAGATTGAGAGTATGTTGATAGTGCTGTTTGAGAGTCGGGAGAGGGTCCACAACGGCATGAAGACCAGTGATGCCTGTAGAGGCTTTCATAGGTCTGAGAGGGATGACAGATCAGCGTGCGATGCGGGAAGGCTCCCGGGTTGGGACACATGTTTTGAGTGAAGATAATGGATGATGTATCCCACTCACTTGATGGCTGCCGCCAGGGCGACTCTTGACGCTCTGAACATGGTATGGAGGATGAGTCTGCAGGATGAGGATGATGAAGGAGGATGGATGGATGCCTTCGGGTCTGAATTTGGGTGGATGAGCCCCTTGGGAAATTACGGCATCGTCCTTCGTCGAATGGGATTTTTTGGTCGAGCAGCGCGCGTCACTGAACACCCCTTCCCTTCTCTCATATTCAGTAGTGATCTGTGAGAGCTGCATCAAGCTAGCCAGCCTCATGATCCGGCGTTCGTGTACAAGATGAACTCATCACCTCCGCCCCCTTCATTCAATCTCCCTCCATTGACATTGAATGGCCGACTACCGATCACGCCTAGCCCAACCGAAAGTCCAAATGAAGAATTCGAGGCGTATGATTTTACAAAAGCTAGCAGCAGCGGCGGCGGCGGTGGAGGGTCGAACAAAGGCAAGGGCAAAGCGAGGGAAGTTCATGATACGACAGAAGATGGAGGTCGAGTATCCATGTATGTGCAGCTGTTTGAGGGTGAGTAGAGCAGCGTCATTGAAGACTCACATGGAAGCTCACGCGCGCGCCGTTTTCAGAGATGATTCGGACGGTCTTGGAATCTGAGGAATACTTGTTCACGCCAAGGGAAGTATTTGTCCTCAAGGGAATCCTCTCATTACCTTGTGAGCTACCCTGGTAAAGATTCGTCAAGCTGCTTCTGACTGTTCGCGCCTCCAGATGACCCAAAATACCTCTTGACGCGATTACTCCTGCGACGACCTGGAAAAATTCATCCTCTCGCTAATCTGTGTCCGACCTACTCTCCGGAACTTGGTGATGCTGGCGTCAGACGAGCTGCGGAAGCATTGACAAAGCTGCTGGATGTTCCTCAAGCCATCAGAGATGCGGAACCCAAGCAGCTCACGTCCGACACGCCTTCGAATGACCTGAGGACACCTCTCAAACCGTCCATTTCGCCGCTTCAATCACGGCCGTACCCGACGCCTGGGAGCTCCAATAGCAAGCGGAAACATATGCGGAAACCTTGGGCAGACTTGTCTACAGGACTATCAGAAGCAGAGGAAAAGGAAGATCCGGAATTGGCAGAGGCAATACGTGAATCATTGTGGGCGAGTCGTGTGGGACGAGTCGAGTTGGATGAAGAAGGCACAGTGGTTCATACACCTCCACCGGCATGTGTCCACGGTTCGGCAAGTCGCTCAGTATCCGATACCTCGACGAGTTCAACGTCGTCGTCAACTTCTTCCGCCGAATCATCGGTACCACCCGCTCGAAAGAACACATCACAGATGGAGGCCTTCACTCTCGCTCCAAAAGCTGCGGACCCTATTACTCGACTCGCTCGAGATGATTCCGACATGTCCCTGGATGAGATCATGACTTGCGTGTCTGCTGACGAATTACGCAAGATTGCTCGAGCTAGAAAAATCCCATTGGCGAGCTTGGCAACTCGCAGTGCCGTCGAAACGGCCCTCAAATCCTTAGCTACAAAGCAGACAGTCCTTGGGTTTACACCGACAAAGTCCAGCACAAAGACCTCCAAAGGCAAGACGGTTCAAACGTCTCTATCGTTCACTTCGACAACAACAAGAGTCATCACTTCGGAATCACTCATCATTGCCTCGTTGATCCCTCTCCTCGGCGGGTCAGCAATCCAACTCACTCCTCAACTCCATTCACTCATTTCTCGCGTCAACCTGATTTACTCTCGTACACCACCATTGACAGCTTCAGCCTCATCGCTCATGTTACCTTCCATCCTGGTCGCATCCCACAAACGTCGGTATCCAGACTACGGGCCTCCGACCCGGTCAAAAATCTGGAAGACAAGGGACGATCTGATGATTTGGGAGAGGGCAACACATTGGGAGAGTGTCGTGGCGGATGCACTAGGCGAGACATGGTTGGAGCAGAGGAAAAATCCAATGCCTGGATTCGGGATCAAAAAGGAACCTCCAAACCGACTCGAGGGCGCAGCCATGGTGAAGAAAGTCTGGGAAGGCGTCTGGCCAATATGGCAGGAGATGGTAGAAGGCTCAAAGGGGGACGAAGTCGACGTCAAGGAAGAGGAGGGTGGTTTAGTGGGTGATAGGTTTAGAACGGGTGAGTGAAATCTCAGTCTGGCTGGGTAAAAGCTGATTCACCCTCCATCAGGTCACGTCCTCACGCGAATAGTATACAAGGTCAGCTCTTGACTCCTTTTCCTTAGCGTGACTGACAGCAGTGCAGTCTGCTGTTGCCCTTGGCATACTTCACGAGTACGATCTCGAATGCGAAATGCTCAAGGCGCTCCTGAACCAGCGTCGATGGCGTCGCAGCAAGCGAGGGTGAGTCGAAGGTTTCGATGCCCCGGATTCTGGCTTGGCTGATCGCACTCAGGGCCTGGTACGAGCGTCTGGCACTGGTTCTTATGAATCACTACAATGCCTCGCCAGAGGAGAAAGAGGAGAAGATGCGCGAAGCGACCCAGGTTTGCATCGACGGATTGCTCGACGAAGATACGCACCTCAGTGAGTTGATTCTTCTAATGTACTCCTCTAGCCAGCTCACACCGTCTCAGTCTACCGCCCTGGACTGTCCCGTCGCCTGACGCGACTGGAAAACAAGCTAAATTTGCCCAACGATGAGCGACATATCTCTCACGCCGAACTCCTCAAATGCGAGACTCGAGAACTATCAGCTCCGCGAGTCCCCGAGAATCTTGGGGCGCCCAAAGCTCGGCCTAGAGCTGATCCTGCACGCGAGAGGGATAGAGAGGCTAGTCTGGGTCTCGATGATGGATCTGAGCGTCCTTGGACGTTTCAACAGACTGGCAAGAGTGTTTGGGTCGGCAGAGAAAGCGAAGTCACGGTGGAGGGTTGGGTCTTGGAATGGTGGGAGAAAAAGGGGTATAAAGGGTGAGTCGGATCATGGCTGCGGGAGGCATATCGCTGATTTGTTCGACTGTAGGTATCACTCTGAAGGCTCTATCCTCACCACTCTCTTTGCTCTCCTCATGTGGCCGATCCTGTTTCATCCTCTTCCCGGGAGCTTTGAAACGCCATATCAGACTGCTCCGCTCGATCTCGGAGAAGACACGTTCGCACCTGCTCGCTTGGAGCTCATTGAATCCCGCTTGAATGCCATGACCAAGACAACAAACGCGTTGGAAATGTTACGAGAGACCGATGGTGCGCAGCGTGAAAAGCAGACTTGGGCGGTAGGACTCAACTGGGAATATGAAAAAGACGATTTGGAAGAATTGGTGCAGTGTCTAGGAGGCAAAGCCCTCAGTGTCATTTGTCGCATGCTGGCCGAGGAGTATAGACACCGCGTGAGCGGTGTTCCAGACTTGATGTGAGTAAGGAAAGGCTCTCAGCGTTGATCGAGTCATGTTCTTAGCGTCTGGAAGTTTGATACGCGTGAAGCTAGATTTATCGAGGTCAAAGGTCCAGGTGACTCGCTATCGGAGACACAAAAGGTGAGCCAGGTCAATGTATAGCATAAAACTCACGTCCATTAGATCTGGATCGATGTCCTCCTCTCCGCTGGAGTCCCAGTAGAAGTGTGTAAAGTCAAAGCGAAGGATCACGAAGCGAGTCGCTCCGCGATGGAAAGGCTGGCAAAACGCAAAGCCTCAGCGGTCAGCAAGGAAGTGCAAGCGAAGAGTGCGAAGAGAATCAAGAAGGATCGAGGAGAACAAGACGATGATGAAATGGCAATGATGGAGATGGAACGAGGTGAAGGTGTGGATGCCGATGAGAACGGGGATGATGATGATGATGGTGATCAGGAGGACGAGGATGATGAGTGGAAGTATGAATCGGGGGATGAGGGCAAAGGTGAAGGTCGATGGGAGAGGTCTGTGGCGAAGAGGAAGAAGGGCAAGCCATAGCCTTGCACACTACTTGTATAGAAAGGTTGTTGTACTTCTCAATTGTAAGTCAGATGGAATATCATATCAGGTGGACCACCTCCACCGCTGAAAAAAAAGTTTAAATTGTCTCGACCGGTTGACATTCTTCATTCTCATCCTACTGTACCAAGCGGTGCGAACCCAGAGTGACGGCGGCGCCATCCATTAGAAACCGCCAGCAATCCGGGAGCCATATGACTGAACTCTTCTCCACTCCCGCTTCTCACGCTTTCGACCATTCCGAGCTTCTTGAAACGGGTGGTCCGTCTGCGTCTTCCTCAAACTTTGGCAATGCGACAGAGGACATGGATATCGAAGCGGCGTTCGAGGTAGAAGATACCGTATCGAGGATATTGGAAGGAGGATACAAGACGGTGAGTTTGTTTCCTCTGTAAATCGCACAGGCCTCCCTGCTTGAAAACGCTGTGGGAGTAGTTTTCCGCTGAATCAGCTCTTGCCTGCGATTCATGGGAGATCGCTAACTTGTTTTTCAACCAGATTGGTTTACAGTTCCCCGATGAGCTCTTACCAAAGTCTGTCAAGGTCTTCAAAGCTATTCAGAAACGAATCGCTGCAGCAGGCGCTCAAGCGTACGTTTTGGCAGATAGCACGTATGGAAGGTGGGCTCGACAAGATGTGGCATGTGATGAAACTTGAGCTGAAAACAAACGCCCCCCGCCCGCCCGATGCAGTTGCTGTCCAGACGTCTTGAGCTGCTTGCATCTTCCTGCAGATTTTCTGGTTCATTATGGACATGCTTGTCTGACTCCGTGAGTTTGAGTCTGGGTCTGGGTGTGGGTCTAGCACGTATGGGTGGAGGGAGTAAATCACTTGCTGAATTCTCTGATCAATAGGACGAGCGCTCTTCCGGTCCATTATGTCTTTCCTCGAGTCAAGCTCGACGTGTCACACGCAGCGAGAGAGCTGGAGAAGATCTCGAAACCTGATCTTGAGGGCTCATCTGAAGACGTGCGCAAAGGCATCATCGTGGTCTGGGATGTGGGCGTCGATTGGCTGGCAGGTGAGTTATTTCCCCTTAGACCCCCGAACGTTGACTGGTGTGTATAGATGAGATCTGCTCGACTTTCTCCACAGTCAATCAGGTTCCCATCTCTTTCGCGACTATTCAACGTCCGGCTCATCTCCCCAATTCCTCACGCGCGGCTGAGAAAGCTCCTGCTTTACGGTCGATCGAACCGCCCTCCGGATTGACCATGGCAGAATGTGTCATCTTGTATATCGGTGAAGAGGGCAGGAGCTTGTTAAATTTGCAAATGACCCATGCGGGCAATCCGGTAAGCTACATCTACCGGCCCCTCTCAACCCAGGCTGCAGGTTCCTCTTTCGCTGATGCATTTTCCCCAAAGTTATACGCCTACTCTCCCTCCTTGAACCAAGCCACCGCCCTCCACCCAACGTCATCTCGTCTTCTATCCCGTCGCCTCTTCGCAGTCCATCAAGCCATGTCAGCGGACATATTCGGACTGATCGTTGGCAATGTCGGTTTGGCCCATTCTCAACCACTCCTCGCTCAACTCCGACGAGTGCTCGCGAAACATCGAAAGAAATCGTACACGCTCAGTGTGGGTAGATTGAACCCTGCCAAGCTGGCAAACTTTGAGACGATCGAATGTTTCGTCCTGGTCGGATGTGCGGAAGGAGGCGTGGTAGATTCCAAGGTGAGTGAAAAGATCAACAGGTGATACACCCTGTCGCTGATCAAGGATGGGCTGGTAGGATTTTTATCGGCCCATTATCACTCCTTGGGAGCTGTTACTCTCTTTGCAAGGACCCGAGGGCCAGTGGGAACCTTCAAAATGGACACTAGACATCGCATCTGTTCTGAAATGTAAGTCGTCCGGAAGTACAGGATCATTCCACGCGTTCTGACTGTGCCACAGTCGCTGAAGAACAAGGTCATGGTCGCGGCGATGAATCTCAACTGCCCGGTGAAAATGGTTCGAATGATCAGACGGATCCTGATGATCCTCAATTCGATCTGGTCACTGGCACTCTCCGCACTCGTAAAGTCTTTGGACGATCACGAGACGAAACACCAACAGATGAGATGGACGCCTTGACGTTGCGGAACCAGTCGTCCACGTTGATCAAACTGGAATCTGCGGGCAGTCGATACTTATCCAGTCGACAGTTCAAAGGTCTCGAAGCTAGAGTTGGGATGGATGAGCCGGCCTCATTGGAGCAAGGCCGCAGCGGGATCGCGAGAGGGTATGAGGAGGAAAAGTAGAGTGTGACGCTGGGTGCCTAAAGGGTGGGGGTGGGAGGACTGACCGGGGGATGGCGGGTACAGCTCGCTGAGGTGCTCATGCCTGCATCGGCGACTGCTTGCTGCGATGTATAGCATGCCTGTGCGATGCGCGGCATTCCTCTCAACAACGTTTTCTGATGATTGATCGCCTGGAGTCTGGGTGATCGCCGCATTAATAAGCTGTTTTGTAGACGTGGAAGCGCGTGTGAGGACGTGGCACCACCAAAACCGGCGCGAGCTCCAAAGGAGCTTTCAATTTCAATTTGTATTAGAGTTTTCCCCTCTCCACTGCTCGGTAGTCTGCTTCTTACCAATCAACCTGTCCATCTCATCTCTGGTCGAGGTGTTTCTGATATTTATACATACCACCTGTTGGGAGAGAAGTCATCTTGGTGTCACAAAACGCTTGATTCGCCATGCGATACAGCACACTCCTCTCACTGCTCGCTACCTTTACTGCTGGAGCTCTGGCCAGCGATGTCATTGACTTGACGGGTGGCACGTTCAAATCAGAGGTCAATGGAGAAGATCTGGCTTTGGTAGAGTGAGTGATCAGGATTCTGATAGGTCGATGACCGCGGACAAACGCCATCTGAGCGTGAGCAAGAGAGCGCCCCCCATCACTATCACCTTCACAAGAGATCGTCTCTCAAGCTCGTTCGCTGACCCTTCCACGTAGATTCTTCGCTCCATGTAAGCTCCACCACCTCCTTTCATGATTCCATCATCGGATTTCCCTTCATCGTGATGCTGACGTTCGACTGTTTCATTTGATCAGGGTGCGGACATTGCAAGAAGTGAGTATCTTCGTAAAGGCTCCCTCATGTCCATTGTTGATGTTATTCCCTTTGTCTAGCTTGGCACCTCATTATGAAGAAGCAGCTACTGAGCTCAAATCAAAGCTTGGAGTCAAGCTCGCCAAGGTCAGCTACTTCGGATTGAGAACGTCGTACCACTGAGCTGACACTCTCTCGCGCAGGTCGACTGCACCGAGGAAGCTGAGCTATGCAAGGAATTCGGAGTCAATGGATATCCCACGCTCAAGGTCTTCCGGAATGGAGTTCCGACTGACTATGCCGGACCACGAAAAGCCGATGGAATAATCAGCTACATGGTCAAGTGAGTACCACTTTCGCTACGTTTCATCGGCTGATCAACCTTATCAGGCAATCTCTTCCAGCTGTCAGCGAGGTGACTCCCTCTTCCCACGACGAATTCATCAAACAGGACAAGGTGTAAGTCTTGGCTCCGTCTGCGAGTGTTTTCTGGTCGTTTACCTCCCCGCCCCCTCCCCTCAGCGTTCTCGTTGCGTACGGAGACGAATCTCACCCTGTCCCTGCTGCTTTTGCCGAATATGCCAACTCTGCTCGTGATACCTACCTCTTTGGACAATATCTCGACTCGTCTCTTCCCTCTATCCCTGAATCCCCCTCCCTCCCCGCCATCGTTCTGTACAAGCAATTCGATGAGGGTCACAACGTTCTCTCCACTTCTGAGGTCTCCTCTCTCACTGCGGATTCCCTGGCCGAATTCATCAAGTCCAACTCGATGCCCCTTGTCGATGAAATCTCGCCTGAGAACTTTGGAGACTACGCCGAACGAGGACTGCCCATCGCGTACGTCTTTGCCGAACCCGATGACACTGCCACTCGAGAACAATTCATCGAGGAGATCAAGCCCATCGTCAAAGAGTTCAAAGACAAGGTCAGCTTTGTGACGATTGACGCTGTCCGATTCGTCGATCACGGAAAAGGACTCGCTCTTCCTGGCGAAGACTGGCCAGCCTTTGTCATTCAGGAACTGGCTGAACAGTCCAAATACCCTCTCGACACTAAATTCAGCGCCAAGAACGTTGAAGCTCACCTCCGGGCCTATGTCGATGGAAAATTGTCACCCAAAATCAAGTCTGAGCCTATCCCCAAGACTCAGGACCAACCCGTCTACCACCTGACAGCCGACGGATGGGATGCTCTGTTCGGTGACGACTCAAAGGACGTGTTTGCCGAATTCTTTGCTCCTTGGTGTGGACACTGCAGTGAGTCATTCAGAGTGGTGTATCTTGCACTTGCTGAGTCAACGATGCAGAGAAGCTCGCCCCCGTTTGGGAAGAGCTCGGTGAGAAATACCAGAACAGCAAGAACGTTGTCATGTGAGTCAAACCTTTCGTGTCTGTTTGACGGTCTCGCTCATTTCTCTCTCTCACAGTGCTCAAATGGATGCCACTCTTAATGACATCCCCCCCACCGCACCATTCAAGGTCGCCGGATTCCCTACTCTCAAGTTCCGACCCGCTGGATCCTCTGACTTTGAGGACTACATGGGCGGACGAACTCTGGAGGACTTGATCGAGTTTGTAGAGGCCAACAAGAAGTCTGAAGGTCCATTGTCTACGGAGGAGGCAGTCGAGGAGCGATCGGATGAGGATTCCGCCGTTGCGGGTGAAGAAGAGGAAGTTGTCGAGCACGATGAACTCTAGATAGCAATGGACGTAGATCCGCAAGGAGAATGATGCAGGATGTCGATCACTGCCTCTTAGCCACACACTTCTTACATGATGGGTGCCACAATCATTTCCATTCACAACGCCGCCAAATTCCGAAGCGAGCTGGTACTTAGCTCCAACCTTTCACTCCCACTCTCCTCTTTCTTCTATCACGCACTTCGACTCGTTCAAACTCAAGTCAAGTGAGTATTGGTTCAATTGTGATGGCGCTTGGCACTGCAGACAGTCCTCAATCGTCTTTGGAGTACATCTCCATTGCATTCGTATCCACTGTCAACGGCCAAGGGTTTTCCTGGCCATACTCTTCCTCCATCCCCTTCTTCTGTCGTGTGACACCTTCAGACGGACGGAGCTTGTATATGAACCATGCTGACGAACACCGATAGTATGCGTGAGAAGTGGCGAAAGAAGCGAATGAGGAAGTTGAGGAGAAAGAGGAGGAAGATGAGGGCTAGGTCCAAGTGAGTGAAAAAATCCATAGAGCAAACAGGATGGCGATACTTGTTACCTCTATCCGAGCTTCTTCTACACCCTCTTGGAAACGCCACTGACAACGCTCAAGGTAATCGACTTGCACAAACCATCTCTTGATCGCCCTTTGAACCAAAACTATCGCTCGACCTCTTTTTTCCACCTGCCATCTTCACCTTTTTCTGTTGAAGTTACTTGATTTTTCTCGAATGGATCAAACTCTGTTTTTCCAGCAGGGTTGTGGAGAAGGGAGCAAGTGGGATGTAGGATGCGGAGAGACGATGTGGAGGTGCTTTGGGTGTGTTGAGAGACGGCAAAGAGTCATTTATAAGGTCTTTTCCTTTTCACCCCTATCCTTTTTAACCTGAATGCAAACAATGAAACCAAGATGCTTCTGAATACGCGTAGATGTCATCTCAGGTGACGAGCTATGCTCAATTGAGTTTGTCCTCTGGCAAGTACATTCGAGACAACAGTGTGTTCCATCGTCGCATCAGGGGTGATTTGAGCCATTTCCAACCTCCACCCGAGCAGTCTCATCCGGAGACTCTCGGATGTGAATACAACTTCATACTCGACCAGCGCTTTCATTCGCTTTGGAATGTCCACCGTGAGTGTCTTTCTTCGCCTACAAAGTTGGAGCATGGTGCTTCAGCTCGCTGACAGGTTCACCACTCAGCTGAGCAGCTCTCCGCCGGCTAAACGGGCACGCCCGAACGTCGGCTCAGCGCTGAAGAAACAGCCTGTCGCACCTCCGCCTGCGGTTCCAGATTTTGACAAGGGGATCCAATACTGGGATGAAGTTGAGGCATCGGTGAATGGTGTTCTCGGGGGCTTTGGCGAGGGTGTGAGTTGGCGAGTCGGCGAGTCTCCTCCCATGTATCTCTAGCGGTCCGGTCACCTGGGAGATCTTCTGCCCAGACATCAGCACCTCCCTCCCGGTGACTCAAGGGCCGCGTAGATGCTGATCTTGCGACCTCTCATGCAGCCTGTCCCTCACATTGAACAGCTCTCCTCTCGACTTCTACTCCTTTCTCTCCTTCCATCCCTACATACGTTCCCATCTCCCTTGACGCCTTTCCCACCCCCTCGACCAAAACACCGACTCACCGTCCTCGATGTCGGAGCAGGTATAGGTCGGGTCACAGCCAACACTCTGCTGCCTTTGTTTGAAGATGTCGTTCTGGTTGAACCTGTCCAAAAGTTTATACAAGAGGGCTATGCAAATGCTCGCGCTGGCAAATGGAGAGATATTCCAGCAGCAGTAACATCAGACAACGATATGAGCGGGAAAGGAAAGGGAAACCAGGATCTAGATGAGGGATGGAGAGGGAAACGCGTTTGGTTCCTGAGAGGAGGATTACAGACATTGGACCCATTAAGACCGCAAGTTGGGGCCGATAGTCTCGGAGTACTGGGTCGATCGGAGGGCGGAGAATCTAGTGAAGGATTTGGAAGGCCAGAAGGAGAAGTGGTCTACGATGTGTGGGTCAACCTCTCACAGACACGCGATGTTAAGATTGAGCTCAAAATAGAAGACTGACTCATCATTCATCAGGGTATGGTGTCAGTGGTGCCTTGGTACGTCGAGCTAGCAAGCTGCTCTCTGCACAGAGCAGAATCAGTAAATACTGACGTGACATGGCTCCGCCCCTTTTCAGGCCATCTGTCATCCCCTGAGCTCGTCGCCTTTCTCAAGCGAGCCAGAGCATCCCTTCGTCCAGATACTCGCACGACTTCTGACGGCTCTTACGAAACGATGCTCTTCGTCAAGGAGAATGTGTGCGAAGATGGACCCGGGGGTCAAGCCACAGAGTTTCTAGATGAACAGGATTCCAGTTTGACCAGGTGGGTGGAGACATCAAATACAATCACAGCTTCAACAGTGCTTAACTTTGTGTAGGTCCAACGCCAAATGGCTCGAGGTATTTCGAGAAGCTGGGCTCGAGGTCATCAGGGAGGAGGTTCAGATCGGTATGCCGTCCGAGCTGTTCGTGGTGAAGACGTGAGTCGGCGCAAATCATACAATACCGATAAGGTGGAGGCTCATTATTTTACAGATGGGCTCTGAGATGATCTATGGGTCGCGGTATACACTGTATGCATGTAGTGATGTAGATCTGATGTCTGTTATACCATGCAAAGCTGCATTGGAGCATGCCACTAGAACTCTGCCATTCTGCGGAATCGCTGTTATCGGCGATAAAGTGCCACTCTCCCATTTTTGACTTTGTCTGCTGAAGGCTAACGCCGAATCTCCGTGGTCTCCAGCCCTCCGGTTCATTATCATTTTCAACGAATTCGAGGTGAGAGAGGATAGCAGTGTCTAACGAGCAGGTACATATCGGTGAGTAGAGGGTCGTGGTGTATATCACGTTTGGACAGCGGACTGATCATTGCATTCCTTCTTCAATCGCCTCCTCTCCGACCTCATCCTCGAATCCGATCCATCTCGTCGTACCCCTCCACCCTCGCCCTCTATCACAACTTGCCTCCATCAATTGCAGACAACCATGTCGCCCTCTCACATCCCCATCGTGAAGAAGCGCACAAAGCACTTCAAGAGACACCAGTCTGACCGATACCATGGTGTCAAGGAGAGCTGGAGAAAGCCAAAGGGTATCGACAACAGAGTGAGTCGAGCGCAGGGGGGAAAGGGGTCGTGCCTAGGTCGGGCTGCTTGGGGGTGGGAAATCACACTTGGGTATCGGGATGTGAGGCGACGATTTTGGGAGCAGCACAAGTGGGACACTGGTTGGAAGACTGGTTGGAAGAGTCTGAGACTCTCGCCGGAGGTTGTCGGCGTGAGGATCAAGACTACATTTCTCTCAGTGTCAAGCCTCAGAAGAAGTTTTCCCTAGCTCGCACATCGATGTGACGGGAAGCTCCCCCATCCGACCAAAGCACGATTTATGAGGAGAACAGACTGTTTTGCAGTTGATCTGACACCCTATGCTTTCTCCAGGTCCGACGACGATTCAAGGGACAGCTTCCCATGCCCAAAATTGGATACGGATCCAACAAGAAGACCCGTCACATGCTTCCTTCCGGCCACCGAGAACTCCTCGTTCACAACCTTTCCGACCTTGAACTGCTCTTGATGCACAGCAACCGATACGCCGCCGTCATCGCACACGGAGTCAGCTCAAAGAAGAGGATCGAGTTGATCCAGAGAGCCAAGGTCTTGGGCGTCAAGTGGGTCTTTTCCGTTTTCACCCCGGTCAGGGCCAATGCTGACGGTTCCGCTCAGGGTCACTAACTCTGCTGGAAAACTGAGGACAGAGGAGGCTTAGATACTATGGTCTCAGCATGGGTCTTTGCACATTCTTTGCCATCGATGTATGATATCACGGCTACGGCGGGGTCTGCAGGGGATACATCCGGACATCTGAATACTGAAGCGAGGAAACACCATCAAATAATGCTAGCGGTGCTTGCCTGGATCAGCGGTTTGCCCGACATGCCTTTCCTCGTCGAGTATCGCAAGACGCCGCTCTTCAGCCGCTCGAGTGTACTGTTTTGGATCAGCCCATGAACGGTAGCAACTTGAAAGCGAGATACTGACTACATTCAGAAAGTCTGCCACGTAGTTGTGGCCGTCCGTGTTGACAGGATACTTCTCCATCAATGATGAAGTGACGAACAACAGCTTGACTCGCTCAAGAAAAAAGGATATCAGTGACTTACTCATTGTCTAGACAGCGCCTCTAGCTCACCATGGCATTCCCGTTTGCGGCTAAGCTGGTAGGCGACATTCTACAAGATGTTCAGCTCCGCCGAATGACCAAGCACAGAACCCTTCCACTCACCGCTCCAGTAGGCTCAAGACATCCCTCTCGGCCCAATCACTGCAATCACCCTCTACATCGAGATCACCTATTGCCTTGGCATACTTGCGAATAGCAAATCGAGTCATAGCTTGAGTGATCAGTAAATTAGCACGACAATTCGCATAAGCAGTCTGTTCAGCCGTCTCTCGCTCAGGACCAAGCTGGAGATCGCTGTCCCTCTGAGCAAGGTTCGCAAGTCGCAGTGGGCCCGGAAGATCATCAAGTAACTGTTCGAGGGCTTCGTGGAAGTGGCTTGAGGGTCTATAGACTTGCTCGATGACTGGAAGGTTCAGACATGGGTATGGATCCATAGACGGATCTCTCCAAGAGGCATTGATGGATTTCAAGGCGCTCAAAATCGATCCCAGAAGTCGGAAAAGTCGAGAGTTGTAGTGAAATCCAGCGAGAATGGATGTCTGATTCGAGGATGAAACTTGAGGTTGAAATTCATCAGTCGGTGATGTCTGGAGAGCTTGATCATCCACCGCGAGAGGTAACGAGATGTTGAGCTCTTCATCCGGTATGAAGAATGGCCCATTCGCCAATGCAGTATCAGTACGATCTGAACCATCTTCCAATAATTGAGTGAGCGTGTTACCTGGACGTCGGAGACGACCCACACATCAGCCAAAAGACTCGGCGTCTCACTTCTCGCTCGACGGGCGACGTCATCTCCTGAGGCCATTTCTCTTCATCATTGAGGTTGAGGAGACTGCTCAGCGCCGCGGCTTTGGCTTGTGCAACCACAGAGGCTGACTGATCGCCTAGACTACCGAGGTAGACGTGGTCGCAGCTGGAAAGGTGGTCAGCTAGATCGAAATCGCTCAAGAAGCGGATCATACTACAGGGTTCTGGAGGAATCATCAGCTGGATCGTGTCGAGAAGTCTTTGTATTCACTGGATGTCTACCAAGGTGACATGCTTGTAGTCCCTGTTTCTTAGCACCTGACTCGCGCGATGGCATTCCTGATGCAGTCTCCTCAAGTGCTCGACGTTGAGAAAACCCAGGGTGGATCGAGGCAATTGGATAACACTGTAAGAGACTGGCAGTGTATCAGCGCTTGGAGATAGCAGTGCTCACTCAGTGAGAAGAGGAACGCTCGGAACACCCCGGAGTGCTCGTCGACTCGATTCTCCAGCTGTTGGTTGAATGTTGGCCAGTGCACAATGGGCATGAGGGGGCTATGGTGTTAGGCCAGGTCAGTAAAGGCAGACTGTGTTATAATGCCTCACAATAGATGCAGATGATATTCGTCCAAGATTCGCCTAGCTACATCCCATGAGACGATGTCTTCCAGCCTGGGCCTTGGGTCTGACACTGCCCACATGGAGCTGTCATCAATGGTATTGGGTGATCTGTAGGCCCTTGGTGATAAGCTGTACATCCGTCCATCCTCCAGCAGCATGGGCGCTATGTGCGCATGAGCGTCTAGACAGCTTGCGGAAGCTCCTGTATTCAGTCTAGTGGGGACGTCATGTCTCGATTGATCCCCCTCAGGTAGTAAGAGTGAAGCGGAGAAGGGCAGGTATGGATTCTCGTGGAATTGCGAGGCAGGCATCGAACTGTGATTGAACATGATTGGCGGCGCTGATAGAGGTTGATGGACTGGCGTGAGCAGCGGCGACTCCCAAGGTGCGAAATGTGTCGTAGTCAGTAGATGAGCTGCAGGATGAGCGGTTGACAGCGGCTGGTGGGACTGCTGTGAGGGACGAGCGAATCTAGTAAATACCGTCAGCTCTTACACTCACCAAGGCGTCAGCTCTTACACTCATCAAGGTCTAAGGTCACGATCGTGATGGTATTCAGTGCCACTCACTTATTCACTGGTCCTGGCTTCTTCCTTACATGCGTGAACTCACACTCTCGATTCAAACCTAGACATCCTTGACATTTGCTTTGACCAGTCTTGACGCATTTGACCTTACGTACCCTGCACAAGTCACATGAGAGCGTGCGCTTGACGGCATTGGAATGTGTATGGACGAGAAGGGACGGGTGCCTCATTGATCTCAACGTGATGTAGGAAAAGGTGGTCCCCAGCTGAGGGACTCTGTTGAATAGGCTGTAGGGTAAGTCTCGTGATATTCTAAAGGCGTGATGGAGGTTGTGCCGGTGGATCCGTCACCAAAAATGAGAGGCTGGTTGGTGGAAGTGAAGCAAGGTGTGCAATGTGAGGATGACCCATGAATACCGTACAGACACAACAGTTTACAGTATATGCTCCGCTCACATCCATCGCATCAAACGCCAAGACAAGCATCGAGGGCCATGAGAGTGAAGGTGTGACGCAGCAACACTTCAAAGGAGACACCTCAAACGAGGGAGCCATGGACCGTCCATTGACCATACGTAAAAGACAGGAGAAGGGCCATCATTGAATGGAGATGCTGTTGATGCCTTCTCGCTCGTGTCGGCGATAAATGTTGATCTCATAAAATCCGATGTGGGAAAGCCCAGTGTGAGGGGTGCCACTGGCTGTTTTGACCTGAAACGCCGACTAAGGCCGAGGCTCTCCGCCTCACTGGGTTTTCGTATTCAGTGCGAATTCAAAGGTCTAGAAAGACTGAGTGGTGGATACAGTCTTTTGGTAGGACTTTTGAACTTGTCACATTCACAGGACCCTCAAGGTGAGTTTGAAAGTGTGATGGTATGTGATGAACAGTTTGAGCTGACCGACTTTGCCTTCTTTCGACATCTCCGTTGTCTCCTCTTCTGCTCTACTTTGACTCTCGCTCTCGACCATCTCAGATGTCCTTCTCCTCTCAACCCGTTGTCATCGATGGCAAGGGCCATCTCCTTGGACGATTGGCCTCGATCATCTCCAAGCAGGTGAGTTGGATGTGTCAGCGGTCAAGGCGTTGTCGGCATGCGTGACACGGAGGATTTGAGGAGACGGGAGTGAAATACATTGGAGCATGTTGGGACATTCATCCTCTTTGACCGGCACCATTGCGTAGGCATTAGCAGGGAGAAAACTTGGGCGATAAAGGAAGCAAGGATGATGGAGATGCCGACAACGCCTACCTCCTGCAGAACATCACGTTGCCAAGACATCAGACACTAACTCTCGTGCTAGATTCTGAGCGGTCAAAAAGTTACCGTTGTCCGATGTGAGGAGATCAACGTTTCTGGATCCTTCTTCCGAAACAAGCTCAAGTACCACGACTACCTTCACAGTGAGTCTTGATGTTCGACCTCTAGCGTAGGCTCATACACTTGCTAATTCTGTTGTCTATAGAACGCCACATCGTCAACCCAAAAAAGTCGGGTCCTTTCCACCACAGAGCGCCTTCAAGGATCCTCTACAAAGCTATCCGAGGAATGGTGCGTCGAAAATGAGCGATGGGACAAGGCCGGTCGCTGATATATTCTGTCTTTCTTCCTTGCTCGTGTCGTCCCACCCTGCACGCCTCGCTTGTGTACTCGCTTGCGACCTACAGGTCCCTCACAAAACCCCCCGAGGTGCTGCCGCCCTTAAGCGTCTGGAACTGTACGAGGGTATCCCTCCCGCCCAGGCGAAAGTCAAGCGAATGGTTGTTCCCGCTGCTCTCCGTGTCTTGCGATTGAAGCCAGGCAGGAAGGTGGGTCAAATTGTCACATACACCTACCTGTCTTCTCTCATTGACTTTTTTTTGCAGTACTGCACCCTGAAACGTGTGTCACACGAGGTTGGATGGGGTCACAAAGACGTTGTGGACAGACTCGAGGAGAAGAGAAAGGTCAAGGGTCAGGCTTACCACGAGCGCAAGGTGAGTTTGACTCTTTTCGCGAGACGACACCGCTTTGTCGGCCCTCTTCCATACCATACGGACTTGTGCTTACACCTTTCTCAGCAAGCTGCGCTCAAGATCCGGGCCAACGCTGAGAAGTCTGTCGCTCCTAACGCTTTGCTCACCCAGTACGGATACTAGGGTGATGTAGACTTGGATAGCAGTGTACTTTGGCGGTGATGCATCACGATATAGCACTTAGGGGAAAGCCTTCTGGAATCTCTCAGGATAAGATCAGCTCTGATTTTAGTTGGCGACATGGTCAAACCGCTTGCCATGACCAGCGGGGCTGCTGCTGCATAACATTGTCCTTCACTCATGAGGGCCCCGTGTTTTCGGCGATGATCAGGTTGTAATAAAATTCCAAAACCGCCCGAGATTTTTCAACAATGTGACGACATGGTGACTGCCATCCTGTGTTGAGATCTGATCTTTATAACTTCACACTCCTTCTCTCAAGTCTGGAGAAGCGGACATTCAACATGCTGGAATACATCTATGTCTGCAGGCATGGTTGGCGGTGAGTTGATCGGTGAATTCACGTCCACCACAGCCACAGCCTCTCAGATCTCCTCTGCCTCGATCTCACCCTTCTCGTAGAATAAAAAGTCAAGGAATGTACTAATGGCCTCTTGGTTCAGATCCAATTGGGTCGATCCGACTATCACCACTGGTCCAACAAAGATGAAGCGCGATCCGGCGGTAAGTTGACAGCACCTCCCAGCTCGTGCCAACCGTCCCTGCCGAATTTTACCTGATGGAGTCTATCACTCAGCTCGCACCGTACGGGCATGAACAAGCTGCGCAGCTCGCGCAATTCATCTCGTCTTCTGATTCGCTGGCTCCATACCCTGTCCCGGAGCAAGTGTT